CCCCCCCCCCCCCCAAAAGCCATCAAATTACACCCGTTGTTCTTGACACCGCGCTGCGCCGGCGGCGTTCCTCCCCATGTATTCTATGCGGCTCTGCAGTCTCGTCATGACGCCCATTTCGGCCCTTGGTTTGCGCTTCGAGCTTGCTGCTGACCTTTCTCTCTGTTTTGGTCCGTCTAAGGCTGGATGGAGTCTTTCGAGGGGCTCACTTCCGCCGGTGCCCATCTTTGCCTTCTTCCGCCAGCCGAGTTGCCTTGGCCTTTGGGCGGACTGTGGTCCTGGCGCATCGGACATGGCAGTCGCTCGATCTTCTGCATCAGCGAAGTGCTCCCCAGACAGAGCCCCGGCAGCTCTGTTCTTGGGGCGCTCAACGGCGCCGTGTCTCTCTGAGTCCAGCCACTGGAACAGCACCTGGTCAATTGGGGCTTTGGCTTCCTACACCATCATGCTTCGCCGTCTTGTAGGTCGGATTGCACTCGCGTCGGTTCCGTCACCAGCACCACTGAGGTGTGTGGGCTCGTAATCTGAACCGCTCTCGACATCACTGTTGCTGACATTACTGTCGACACTGGTGAAACTGGTAGATCGCCGAGAGACATCGCTAGCCGTCCGACGATGACTGAGAAGAGCAGCAGAAGAGGCGCGCTTCAGGACTGCAGAAGACTTGGAGCTGTCACGATCTCGGCTACGTTCCTGGGCGGCATCGGTACGGTCACCAGTTGCTGATGACGGCCTGTAGATGCTGGCAGCAGAGGCCTGGCGCGAGGCCGTGCACTTCAGGGCCACGCGATCAGAGACTGCTTTGGAGGACGCAGAGCTGGAGGGTTGCAGCGAGTGACGCCGACCTGCAGTTGAAGTCCCAGAGGACAGCGATGGCGTTGAGGATGATGTGGATAATCGGCTGCCTGTCTTTCGTCGGACTGTCGCTGAGTTTGATGACGGTGGCTGGACTTCTATCACCGACGCATTGTTAGAGTTGTCGGGATGGGAAGGTGACGACACAGGGTGGTCGAAGATACTTAGGCCGTGGATGCTATTCTCCAATGGCGCAAATCCGGAATCTGCTTCTCGCAAGCTGGGCTGTGGTTCACCTTGTGCCCAGGTCTGTATGTCTATCGTTTCTCTTCTTCGCCTCTCGTTGGCAGCCTGCTTCTCCCGGAGTGGGCTGCGGGGCTCCTCGATGTGAGCCCCTGAGTTTGACCATCTTGGTTGCTGTGACGAAAGTCCGGTTTCCGCGAATGTGCTTTGTGCCTGTTGTTCATCCAGACCAAGGCTACCGTCTCGCTTCTTGCGATCGTAACCCTCAACAGCTCCAACAAATTCTTTGCCAGGCCGACGCATCTTGTCCCTCAGATTGGGCTCAGCATATGACACAGCGGCTTTTGCGCGCCGTGAAGCACGGCCGATGCTCCCATTAAGCACATCTTCGACGCTGTTCATGATGACAGCTTCCTTCAGGGCTCTGGTGTTCGATGGCCCAGACGGCTGTGAAGATGGTGGTGACAAGATATCGTCAGGCAGGAGTGGCGTTTTGGGGAGCACATCGACCTCGTGAACATGATCGGAGTGGGAATCGGTATCCGGTTCAGCTAGCACCGAAACTTGTGTTTGTCGATCCGACAGGCTATCCGTGGAGACATGCTCGGTCAAGGATTTTCCTCGCGTTGGTGGTCGCTCAGTTGTGGTTGATGATTTCTGTTCTCTGCGGCGTCTACTGCTGAGGCTCGAATCCAGGCGCTTGACAGGGCTAGCAGGCTCAGTCGAGCCTTTAGCGGACGGCTTAGCCTCCAGAACTTTCTTCGTAGGAGAATTGACGTTCTTCGGGGCGAGGGCCTTTCGCTCCTTTTCTGGTGACGATATGTGGTGTGATGCTGACTGGGAGTTCTGTCGATCGGAAGGTCTCGTGAATCTACTGCTTTTCCTTGCAGCAGAAGCGGGTTTGAGCGCGGGTTTGCGTTGGTAGACGAAGGTCTCTTGCTCCGCTCTCGATTCGACTGCCGATTTCGTCGTCGGTTGCAACTCAGATGCATCAAACTTTCTCTTCGAGCTCGGCCTGGAGGTCTCTGTCGCGGACGCAGTATCAGAGTCCGCATGATCATGTGCTTGGTGATTGGTGACTTCCATGTCTGAGATCAGACTGCTTGTGCGCCGTTTGCGACGCCTCTCCACGTTGACTGTTGTAGTCGGGTCAGTCGAGTCTTCCTCTCCTGCAGCCGTCTCATTCGGAGTGCTTTCCATTGCGTCAGCTGCTTCAAAGTGAGACACAGGTGGTGGTCCGAGGTCTGGAGATTCAGCAGGAGCACCTGAACCGGTCTCAGAAAAACATTGTATATCCGTCGGATCCAAGGTCAAACGAGGGAACGACTTGCCCTCAACAATCGCAGGAAGGTGGCCATCTTGATCCGCGAAGCTGGGCATCATCATACGTCTTCGCTCCCATAATTCCTTCGTGGGTGTGCTCGATGGCTCCTCCGCCACTGTAAGTCTTCTCACGGCCTGTTCCTTGCTGCGCACCCTCTCCGGTAGTCTTCCCAATTCTGCCACGATGCCGCTCACCTGGGCAAGCTTCTGCTCCAGGTCTGATTTCAGAGCAAGTAGCTCGCCACTGACAAAATCCCTCCTCTTCAGGCGCGAGACTTCTTCGCTCTCGGTGATTAGAGCCTGACGTAGGGACAAATTCTCTGCTAGTAGACGTGCGACTTCTGTTTCAAGGTTTCTGATTCGGATTGCTTGGGCCGAGTTGTTGCGTACTATATCTCGGTTTTGGCGAGTGAAGCGCCTCTTCAGGTTTTCCACGGATTCCACGGGTGGTGGAGGGTCGTTGAGTCGAGCCATGACTGTTGACGGTGCATCGAGCGGCTTATCGAGGGTTACGAAAGCACCGTCCGAGGCGACAGCTAGGAAACAATGAGTTTTTTATAGTTCTCTTCAGCTGGCAATGGCTTGATGTACGTCAAATGCAGAAGTTGTATAGTTGTTCAAGTACTAAAGATCGACCAACGGCAAAAGCGGATGTAAACAAACTGCCTTTTCCATGATCCTTGGCGCCTTGGCGTGTTTTCTTGAGAAAGCGCAGGCGCGTGCCCCGCGTTGGCCGCTACTGCGATTGCTATATCATTTCCCTCGTCCTTTTTGTCCTGGCCACGCTTGACCAGTGGACTCAAAACCTCGTAGCGACACAAAGCTAGCTGGTGCACGCTTGTGCTACAATGGCATATTCTTCGCGGCAGTCGATCCTCCCAGCCTCGCGGCACTCTACGTTCGGCACGACATCGAACGCATCCTCGAACACGGCTTTGCAGCAGCGTATCACACAGAAGCGGGCCGAGCTTGACAATCTGAAGCAGCTACGCGACCTCAGTGGCAATCTGGCGGCGCAGATGTCTGAGTTGGAGAAAAAGCTGTCAACGCTTCGAGATGGCGCCGAAAGTGTGGCCTGTGTCCTACAGAACTGGGAGGGCGTCTTATCTGTCATAGGCATGGCGAGTACCAAGGCCGCCACGACACTGGTTCCTAAAGATGATGTACCGGGCAAGCCGGAGAACGGTCTCCCGCTCACCCTAGTGCGCATCCCAGTGGAGGATAAGAGCCAGGAAGACGAAGAGGAGCGCCAAACAAGATGATCGCTCCTTGCGGCTTGTCTGACACAGGTCAACCATGCACATTCAACTTGCACAATTATGCTGCGATTGCATACAGCCCCTAGTCATTGCAAAGCAGCATCTGTTGCATCTTATGATGCCCGCTCACCCCCACGGGATGGTCGAACTGGCGTCGCTGCTTTAAGGCCTTTGCAGCGCCAACCGATCACACAAGACGTGGGAACGCAAAGCTTTCCCGCATGAAGGCAGCCTGTTGCATGATCCTGGCCTTGCCCCGCGGCGTCCCAGAGCTTGTATTGGCAATCTGCAAAACGATTTGCTGCTCGCCCACGAGCACGCAATGCTGTGTGCGGATGACGGTAGAAGCTGCCGCAGACCAAACAAATCCGAGGCCAGCTGACGTCCGTGATGCCATAAGCCGAATGCATCAACCTCCACAGGGTCCGGGATAACACGCGATAGCTATAAGCGTTATTCCACCTCAGCAAAGATAGCACACGCTTCCACCAGCTGTCTGTCAGTGTATCGTCACAATCAGTCGTGCCAACGGAAGTCGACCCAGTGCGCTGGCACCATAATACAACTGTACTAATTTATCGTCATGTTTTGGATGGCGCAGTCCACCGTGGAGGAGACGTTCAACGCCTACACCGACGCCTCGCTCTCGCCCCGACGTGGGAACTCACCATCCCAGACAGGCAACGAGAAAAGATCTGCACGCTTCCAGTCAGAGTCCAAGGTCCCAACTTTGAGCACCGTGAGTGCCAGACCCAGCAAGTCAAGTTCCGACGCAGAAAGCGCTTCGAAGGCGACAAACAAAAAGACCGGTGCGCGGAATTGATCTCGCTTCTCACAGTTGCGGGGAACAGAGACTTGTTCACGAACGGAGGGAATGTATCATTAATAACAGAATACTTTGCACACGAGCTTTGTTCGCTTCTACGCAGCCACGGTCTGTTCGGGCAAGGCGCATCATTCCCGATCAAGCCTTGGAAGAGTGAACTTTTGCCAATTTCTTGCTGGTCTATTCCCCGGTTGGCCCCGAAGAGGTTTTGGCTTAGCCGGAGTACGGAGTACTTGTGACTTTGCCAGTCCGGGGGTCTCCCCCAGAACAGACTCGCTTGTGTTTCCATGCCAAGAGCAATAGGCGAGCATGACGAACGGCATTCGGTACTCCGCGTCCACATTCCATCTATTGTTGCGCGGTGGAACGGAGTTTCGCAGCCCAGAGATCCAGAATTGGGACATGGAATCGCTGGTGGAGGCTGGACTGGGCCGGGTGCTCGTGTCCACCAAAATCACGTGGCGGGGCCAGGCCTCGATCCAGCCAATTCCTGCAAAGCTTTTAGCCCCGAGGCTTGGGACGAGCTTAATTTCCCCTGAATCCTCCCAGGCTTTTTTTAACGCGCGCCGTTCATACCAGTCTCCAGATTACGGAGTCTATTGCGTCTATGCTGGCAAATTGCGTGACTGCCTGCCTGCCGAACCACAGCTGATTGACACCTCCGGCAGCGTGACAGCCGGCTCGCCGATCTTGCCCCTGAACAGAGAGGCCGTTGAAAGTATCACCTTTGTGCGATCTACCAACTTTTGCTGTACCTCACGGTGGTTCGGCGCAAGCGGTCAGAGTGGCCTGTGAGTCGTTCAAAGCTGCTCAAATGTAAGTCGACCAAGAGTTACAGCGGCTCCTCCAAGTCTGGCACAAGCAAAAGCTTTTTCGCACCATCGCGTCCGATAGTCAATCTGTTTACAAACTCTATTTCGGCGGCTGGTATGCTACATCACCAGGTATCAAAACAACCGTTGCCGAATAGCGTCGTTTCAGCCCTGATTACCGCCGGCCATGGGATCAGCAGTCGTCGGGCCTAAAGACCTTCTGACTTTTGTCATGTTGCCTTCAGCGGTACACTTTCAACTTCCTTTACCAACCTCTCTTTTGAAAACGCCGGACGGCGAGTCACTCTTTTAGTTATTTCAACCCAGTCCCTCGTTACCAGTCATTCATTTCGGTGTGCTTTTCATTCTTTTCTACCATCATGAGCTCCTTCAAGGCTACCTGCCTCAGCCTGTTGGCTCTTGCCAGCATCGCCACTGCTACTCCAGCTGCCGTTTCTCAAGCGGCTCCCAGCGCAAGCCCGAGCGCGTCCTCCTGCTCATCATCCAAGTGCCAGTCCTTCACTATCGACCTCACCTGGGGCAAGACCGATGGCGCCAACTCGTTCTCCAGGAACGCTATCCTCACAAATGGCTCTTTCCCAGGCCCTCCCCTGAAGCTCAAGCAGGGTGATTGCGTTGATTTCACGGTCATCAACAACATGGAGGCTTCCACCGCCGTCCACTTCCACGGCATCCGTCAATTGGCCACTCCATGGTCTGACGGTGTCCCTGGTGTCTCCCAAACTTCAATCAAAGGCGGCGATTCCTACACATACAACTGGATCGCCGACGAGCCCGGCGCATACTTTTACCACAGTCACTACAAGGGCCAGATGATGGATGGTCTCTATGGTGCCATCATCATCTCTCCTGCCGAGAACGCCACCCTTCCCTTCTCTTCCCTTGGCGACGACAAGGCGGTCAAGCAGATCACCGCCGCCAACGAGAACATTGAGACCATTCTTGTCAGCGATTGGTCGCGCTTCACCTTTGATGAACTCTTCGGCTACGAACAGGCAGCCAACATCGACGCGGCCTGCACTGATGCTTTCGTCCTGAACGGCAAAGGTTCGCAATACTGCCCTGACGCGGCCTTCCTCGCTGCTCAGTCCGCGCCTCCGGCGGCCAAGATCCTCAACGGCACGTCCTTGACTGCCAAGGGCTGCATTCCCGCAAGCAATGCTCAGGTCCAAGGACCGCAGTACAACCGCACTCTCTCTGCCCTTCCTCCTGGGGCTTACGATGTCTGCACTCCATCCACCGGTAAAAACTATACCTACACTGTCGATGCTGCGTCCGGCTGGGCTGCGATTTCCTTCATGTCACCTGCCGGTACCGCTCTTTTCAAGATCTCCATCGACGGTCATCAGATGTACGTTTACAGCATCAACGGCCAGTACATTGCTCCCCAAAAAGTGGATCAGATCGGCCTCGACAACGGCGATCGTGTCACTGTGCTCGTCAAGCTTGACCAACCTGCTGCAGACTACACCATCCGTGTCGCCAATGCGGGTCTCAACCAAGTCATCTCGGGCTTCGGAACGCTCTCATACAAGGGTTCAAAGGGCCCCGCAGCCGTGGCGCCAAGCATGTCTTATGGCGGCGGTAACGCCACCGCGATTGTACCACTCAACCGCGCTGCCGGCGCGCCTGTTGGCAACGTCAGCCCCCCTGTGGCTGCGCAGGCTGACAAGACGTTTATGCTGGACATCATGAAGGCACCCAGCGTTCCTGCCGCGTGGGAGTGGGTTCTCAACGGTGATGAACCATACAACCAAACACTGGACGACGCAACAACCCCACTTCTGTACCAGAACCCGTCTGCTATCCCGGAGAGTGACCTGATCCTGCGCACCAACTACAACGAGTGGGTGGATCTCATCATCATCGTCAAAGGCCCTCTGGCTCAGCCTCACCCAATTCACAAGCACGCCAACAAGTTCTACGTCATCGGCGCCGGCACTGGCGACTTCAATTACACCTCCGTCGCCGCCGCACAGGCCGCTGGCGTCCCCTTCAATCTGCAGAACCCCCCTTATGTTGACGGCGCCACCACCCCACCCGCTGAGGGCAAAAGCGCCTGGTTGGCTCTGCGCTACAAGGCCGACACCCCCGGCGCTTGGCTTCTGCACTGCCACGTCCAGACCCATATGAGCGGTGGCATGGCTGTCGCCATCCTCGACGGTGTCGACAAGTTCCCCACCGTGCCCAAGGATGCTGGCAAGACCTGCGGCATTGACGGCAACGGCAGCGGCAGCGGCAAGGACAACAATGGCTCCGGCTCTGGCTCGGGCTCTGGGTCCGGCTCAGGCTCAGGCTCAGGATCCGGCTCAGGATCCGGCTCCGGTTCAGGTTCCGGCTCCGGCAGCGGCAGCAAGGGTGGCTCCGGCAACGGCACGGAGCCATTCACTGGCGCAGCCGCGCCCAATGCCGGGTCTGCTGGCGTCATGTTCGCGTTCGCTGCTGTGATGGTGGCTGCGGCGATGAATGTGCTGTAAACAAAGATTCTTCTTGTGCTCACTTTCTTCGGCCCAAGTGCATTTTTTGAACATTAGGGAGTTTTCGCTTACTGAGACCCCGGAGGGTGGGCTTCAGACGGCTTTTTTCGTGGAGGATGAACGATACCAGATGGAATGCCCTTCTTACCTTCTCACGGTGTGTGTGTGTATGATTCGGAGAACCCTGCCGCCAGGGTGGACTCTGCTATATACATCGACCTTTGTGTGCGTATGTGTGGATGTGTTGGATGCATAAATGGACTCGGAGTGGACAGTGTTACCGTTTCTTTTAGGACAGTTTACTTGGGAAAAGAAAAGGGAGGAAGGGGGGTGAGCAGAAGAAAGGGGGAAAAGAGCCCGTCCGAGATTTGGACGTAAAAAGCCAATACCAACACCGGGGAATCGAGCAGACCTTGGCTCTGAAGTAGGTAGGGATAGATACCTGAATTGAGATGGGTGTCATGTTTACAAAGCTGAAACGATAATGTGGCAGTGGTGAGTGGGAGATATGAAATGTTTTTATTATCGTCCTTGTTTGGTTTACTTCAGATTTGTTGAGTTCTCTTGAGCGGGTGTGATTATAACAGTGTCTCGTTCGCCGGACTTGTATCTCTGAACAAGGTGTCGTACTAGTATCTGATGCCAATACGATGCCCATCGTGCCGTACGTAGTCTCTTGTTTAAATGATGATAAGGCTGGGGTTGGCGTTGGCATTGGCGTTAGCACTCATGCTGAGGTTGGATACACAGACGCAACGCGTCTACAGGCCCCTAGGACACCATGTGGCTGTAGCATAGCGTTATATCTGATTTCACTACGGATTACTGTATGTGCCGTAGTGGTGCGGGACGCCGATTTGGAATGGCGGAGTCCCCGAGAACGACCCTCTTTGTGAGCGATGCGACGACGACGTAGGATGCGGCAACGCTCTGCCGTCACGGGGCGAGACCAACGGCCTCGAGGCGTTGTGGGAAGATGCGGTGGTTTGCCAGAGGGCGCTGTTTGCGAGCTGACTCGCGGGTTCGTTCACTGCACGCTTGGCGCTACTTGGCTGGTTCCTTCAGAGCCCAAAGCAGAGATTAACTTCGGGGGGTTGTGTGCCCGCCAAAGGAAAAGCGTTTGTGTAGGTTGACGAGGTGGGTTGCAAGTGCGTGGCTATGGGAGGCCTTAGTGTTGATGACCTGTTGGCCGGATTGTCTCCGCGTTGGTAAGTCTGACGCTTGGTATAAAAGCCGTGCGATGTTCCAGCCTAATGGATCCAGTTGGTCAGACAGATAGTCACGATGGCTCCTTTCAATGCTGCAGAGACCGTTGAGCTTCTCCATAGCCTTGCCCAGCATTTGCCGAACGAGGATGATGATCGCAAGAAGATCGCTGAGGCAGCCTTCGGCCTTGCAAGGGCAGTCCAGCCCTTGTACGATCAGGTGCAACATCTGCTCTATAGTGCTGTCGTGGTTCCTGTCATCCGAGCCGCAAACGACCTTGAGCTGTTGAGGCTGCTTACGGAGGGCCCGAAGAGCACGAAAGAGCTTGTGACCAAGACCGGAGCGGACGAAGACCTTCTACGCAAGGTTTTTCAAAGCCATGTTATGGCGGGCTGATGATAGGCACTTCGCATTTTGAGATATCTTGCCGCCTACCACGTCATTGAGCAGCAGGATGTCGACGGCTGGAAGGCGTCGCCATTGACAAAAGAGCTCGCAGAACCTGGTGTAATAATGGGAAGCAGCCATCAGTATGGAGCTGCCGAGTTTTGTCCATCACACTGCTGACCAAATGGCAGGAATGATAACCTGAGTCCTTTGTATCAAGCGATACCTGCAATTTGAGGAACATTGAACATAAGAGCCCAGAAGGAGCAGAGAGGATCCCACTCAATATAGGCCACCGCACAGATAAGACGCTTTTCGACTGGTATGGGGACCACCTGGAAAACTTGGCATTTTTCATGGGCTTTCTCCCCGTTGCTCGAAGTCCCAAAGCCAGGAAATGGATTGATTCGGATCTGCCCGACGTGGTGGCTTCCAAGGCTCGGGGTCCAGACGACGTGCTCTTCGTCGATATTGGCGGCAACGTGGGCAACCAGTGGTTTGATCTCCAGAAGTAGAAACCAGAGATGCAGGGCCGGATCATCAACCAAGATCTGCCAACCGTCGTGGCGAACACGATCGAACATCCTGGAGTCGAGCAATGCCCACATGACTTCTTTACCGAGCAACCCATCAAAGGTGAGCCTTCCCCTGTACGCCTCTGAACCGAGCTGATTGGAGTCAGGCGCACAAGTCTATTACATGAGGAATGTTGTTCATGACTGGGGCAACGTAAAAGCCCTTCGAATCCTGAAGAATATTGTGCCAGCCATGACAGAAGGTTCGGATATATGGCTCGACGAGTTCGTTGTTCCAGACGTTGGGGCAATAGAATTACAGGTCAATTGGGATATGACCATGCTTGTCTCAGTCAACACCACGGAGAGAAGTCGTACGCAGTGGCAGAGATTATTGGCCGAAGCTGGTCTGAGCATCAAGAAGATTATGGAATATAATCCTGGGTCGGGAGAGTCCATGATCAGGGCTGTGCCGGCAGCAACAGTACACTCTTGGTTGGTGACACTGTAGAGCATGGGGGATCAGAGATAAGCTAGAGCGGATGATCACTTTGTGTCTCGCTCAACCACCGAGATCTTAGGTAGCTTTTGCTGGAAGTGCTTTTGCTCTTCGGGAGTTGGCTTGACGCCCAGAAGCTCCTCCAGCTGATCTTCGAAATGCAAGGCCAAAGCTGCGTTAGCCATGAGGCCAAAGCCAACGAAAATGCGCGTTCTAGGCGAAAGCGCCTTATATGACCTGTGGCCAAAAGGTTTAGCAAGCAACGGGGAGAGTTCCAGGTGTTTCTTACGACCACAGCGACATTGCGACAAGGTAGCAAATTTCCGTCGGTTGGGAGGGCTCTTGCCGTACGCAACGACCGACGACACCTGCAGAGTTTGTCCCCAAAGAGGCCGTGAGATGATGGATAAGGCACAATCCGGACGATGCTCGTTCCTGGAAGCTTGGAAGCTTCCTACCAAAAGTCTTGGCTGGGTTGCCGAAAGGGTTTAGTGTGTACAAGGCATCTTCCGGCTTGCTTGGTGCACTTCGCATCACAAAGGTCTATAGACATGTCTGGGCTTCCAAAGTTCCTACCGTATTCTGCGGAGTGATTACTGTTGCTGCTGATGGGCGCCTACTTGCCCGCTTCCCGGCATACGTAACGAAGAGCGGACCGTTTGGAGTATGAATGTAAGGGCCGTGCTTCATCTACGCAAAGTCGTGTGGGACTCGAAGCAGAAGGTTCTGCGCGGGTTTGAGGGGCTTCAAGGCAGAAGGGGCTGGTGATGGTGACGAGCTATACTCGCTAGCAGACCTGCCGATACAGAATCATGGGGGAGATGTGTTTAGATGCTACTAGATGGAACGCTCCAGTCGCCTAACAACAGTCGGGGACATGGTGGATCACTTGGCTGGATTCTGAGTTGGTGATGGTTGAGATTTTGGAATCTCGGTAGCTACCTAGTCATTTCATAGCATCGTAGCTTGACTTAAACCTCGACGCTCATTAGCTTTGCAGTAAGCTTGCAGTAGCTTGGCGTCGTCGGTTTTGGGTACATGAGCGGTGACCGCTTCATGCGCCGACCTCTGCCTCTTCCGTATCTGGGTCAATGATCAAAGGGCTAGAACATAGCCATCTGAACTAACATGGCTTCTCTCGTCGCACCAGCCCATGCTGGCCCACTCTCGACAATATCCCCAGCCGCACCACACACTCGCCGCCTTCCCCCGCTCCCATCCCAGAAAGGTCGCAACGCAGACGCTTTCGACACTTTAAGCAACAAGGGTCGAGGCGGTGGCGCTCTCGTACCGCCAGGTGGGCGGCAGGACACCGACGGTCTTGTAGTAGCGCGACAGGCGGTGAATGCGCGACTCGATGAGAATCAGACGGAACTTGGAGTCCTTGTCCTTGCGGTTGCGCTCGAGGTGCTTGCGGACAGCGACAGCCTAGAGTGAGAGGTTGGTGTTAGTGATGCAAGGTCTAGGGGTTGTGGTGATGGGCTGTGGTATTGTTGGGTGACAGAGTGGAAATGGTAAACGTACCTTCTTGATCAGGAAGTATAGGTCCTCAGGAATCTCGGGGGCAAGGCCTATTGGGGATCACTCTGTCAGTCTTGTGTTTTCTTTGCGGTATGTAGCAAAGGGACCAATGCAGAGGCTTTGTGTGATTGTCTTGTTTGGTAGGGCTCGTAGAACATCTTTCTGAGACGTAGATTTGCAGACATCGCTTCGACGGCTTCAAGGCGTGACCAAGGGGATGTGGGAGTATTTACCACTCGACTTGAGGATACGGAGGATCTTGTTGCCTGTGTGTGACGGTTCTGTTAGCCATGGGCTCTCTTGATGCGTTACCTTATTCGCGATGCGAAGGCGCCAGTCGTCGTTTGCTCTTCTTCAAAGGAGTCGGAACATACCAGTAACAACCTTCACTTGCGCGACACCATGGCTATCTCTCAGGATAACACCGATCTGGGAAGGGGTGGCACCCTTGCGGGCCAGCTTGCAGATGTTGTCGACGACCTGGTCGGGCGAGCTCTTGAACCAAGTGGGCACGCTGCGCGAGTACGGGATGGCGGAGGAGGCAATACCCTTGCCCTTGCTGTGGAGGCGACCCATGTTAGGCGGTTTGTCTGGGTTGTTGTCTGGTCGAAGAGGGAGGGAGTTGACGTTTGGCGATGAGGGAGTTGGAGGTGCGCAGTCGACCGGCGCAGGAAAGATCGTTCTGTGGGTGTGAAAATCTTGGCATATGCCAAGGCTTTATATCTGTTCTGGGTTAGACCTAGCTCGAGATGCTAATGGAACTTTTTGATGTCCCTGCTTCGTTTCTCTCTTCTGTATGCACACTACGTTCAATGCACTCGAGCTGTCAGTCATTAGTATGAGAATGAACCATATATTCAAGAGTGTTCGAAAATTGTCGTTTATTCTCCAGAAAGTTCTCCCGTAGCAGTGCCTTCGGATGCATGGCGATATTGCGGGCCACTACACCCGTTCTTGTGACTTGCTCGGTCAGGAACACCACGCCACCCTATTGTTGCTCGAGGTACGTTCTCATTATCTTCATTCGTTCTCCCCCCTCACATCCATGATGATATCACATTTTTACTATTATTTCTGGTACCTCTTATGTCAGTCGCGCTTCTTTGCAGGTGCGGCGATGATCTAAACGGACTTCTGATCGATCATTCATTTACTTCATGCTCAGAGACCTTGTCCAACAGATGCTGACTTCCTCGAAGATAGGTCGGATTTCAGCTAGCCTGTGCTCATTCACTCGTAGCCTTTTCTCTTGAAGCTGGGTATCAGATTTTTTTCAAGCAGCCTAGCCTGCTGCTTCAGCGCCCTTACGTAGACGCCTTCGCTATGCCATGTCTCAAAATGCAAATAAGTGTCAACCTCATGACGTCCCTTCCATGTCCACATCTTGCACCGGAGCTGCGGCAGGGGCAGCAGGGGCAGTGGGAGGCTGTTCGCTCGGTACCTGTGTTGAATCCTGCGTGTTCTGCTCCTCAAGAACTTCCATCTCCCCGTTCAACATTGGCGCATCGGCCGGAGGCACCGCTATTGAGGCAGCGACTTGTGCGGCTGAGTCTGTAGATGCTGTCTCGGTAGCAGCAACTCCATTTGTAGAAGCAGGGTTGGTAGTTTGCGCCTGTGCTTGTGGCTCTTCCTGGGGCACTTCTTGTGGAGGCTCTGTAGGCATCTCGAAATTGTATCGGAAGCGTTCGCGAATCCCAGTGGTATCAGGGTTGCCCTCGTAGAGCATTGACTGGTGGATGAGGCATTCACCCAGCCATTGTAACGGGAACTCGGCCCTGTTTCTCTTGTCAGCGCTAAGAGCGGTTGCGGAATATAAGATGAGCGCACTCTGATGCCAGACTCTCGGTCATTGCTTTCTTGAGGAAGGGCGCAATGCGCGCGTTCAGATAATCGCGCAGAGGAACTTGCTGTCGCGTGCCATTGGGGTTCATGACCAGTGTAGGTGGTGTCAGGTTGGCCGACATGTTGGCGGACACGTTGGGCAGAACCTTGACGTCTTCGAGATGGTCAAGGGCACGACGGACACAGATAGAGCAGCAGGGCAATTCTGAGCTGACAGTGGCAGTCAATGTTACGCGACAGATGTTTCAGAGGCAGTGAAGAAATGTTGGTGCAGGCGCGACCGTACCTTCCTCAGGCGCGATTGTGGCTGCACAGCCCAAAATGGAATACTAGCCGATGAACATGTGGCGCAGGCGACGGTGAGGTGACTCGGCGAGCACAGCATCACCCAGATTCAGACAACCGGCGAGCGACAGATCTGTGACCCGCCGATGCCTTCGTCGTTACTAGATGAGATTCGGCTGTCAATCGATCAAGCCAGCGATGGTGGCCCTGAACGCCATCCCAGCACCGCGATTCTCCTTCGCCTGCTTCGAGCAAGATGCCTTCATTTCCCTCAAACATGTTTCATCAGGAGGAGAATATCCGGCTGATACCCAGTTCATTTCATAAGCGAAAGGTCGGAGAATAAACACGCCATGATTGAGATTTGAACTCGTGGAGGTTGATCATCGATTTTGTCCCGCACCTGCCCCGCGGAACAAATTGACTATCACTGACCTTCATGCTACAGCGTATGATGACAGCCACGTAACTTTGCTAGGAGTTCAGCCTCAATCAGACTCACAATGCAGCCGATGCATGATGTAATGCGATGGACTTGAGTGCTGCCGGGAAACCCGTGAACAGTTCGCGCTGCGAGATCGGGTCGGCGTGCGCGACGTGTGCCAGCCCAGCGAACCAAACTTCCCAGCAAAATGTCCAGCTCCGGCATACCAAGACTGAAGCGCGAATCATGTTGGGAGCTTGTAACATAGGGTGAGGCGACAACTGTTTGACTTCGACCGGAGTACTGCACTGAGACCATTCTCATGCCGCCACGTTGCAGTCTGCGCCGCGACAAGCGAACTGTCTCAAGGTTGGCAGTTGTCGACCTCATAGAAGCGGTCAGCAGCAATATAAAAGCAAGTCGCCTCGGCTTCGTGAATCCCGTCTTCGCGTTTAAACGCTGTTACCTGATGCTTTCCGCAAGCTCTCTTCTTGCACGAAAGTTGGAGCGCCGTCCTAGGGGCCAATTCCCTCTCGGTGCCATAATGAGGGGCCTGAGCTGCCGCTAAACCACCCCTACCCCTGCAACGCAGTGGCTACACTTCGGGGAGCTGCTCAAGTACAACCAAACGAATTGGCAAAGTCGCGCGACGTCGGAACAAAGGTCAAGTATATAGCACTGATGTTGAGATCAAGATGTTCTCGAAGAGTTCATCACAGTGATACGGATACCTTGAGTGCAGGCAACACCCGCTCGATCTCGAGGCTTAGGCGACTCTCCAAGCACCATTGGCTGCATCGTAGCCACTCACATCCAGCTCCGAAAGGCCCAATGGCTTCCCTGTATCGCGGTGGTTTAGGGCGGAATTCGCTGGTTCCACTTCTATCTGGCGCAAGAAACGGTCGCGTCTAGCATCCCCCCGGAAATCTATTCCCCAACAAGCTTCTGGAGCGCCGGCGCGGTCAAAGACAGTTCAATTTCGATACCAGAAAGCAAGCAATTTTTTGCTGCAGGGGAATGCGAACTCAAGCAGCCGGGCTCATGCACAGGAAATTGTGTGGTCATGCAGCCAGCAGCGCCCATACAGCACCAAGCCCAGCAGCTAACCCGATTCCAATCCCAGACGGCTGCAGGAGGTCACTCGAGCAACCCCTCCCTTGGAAAAAGTTGACAGCAGGCCCTTACGGAACCTGAAGCCAGCTTTACGCATGATCTAACTTGCAGCTATCACTGCCAAACTACTACTAACCTGGCCATAGCCTTCCACTCCGAACCTCCCTTCACTCCTCCTCATTGGCCTCAGCGCTACTACCAGCGTCTTCTTGACCTTATCCTTTCCTGGCCTTGAATGCCAGCTTGCTTTGCGCAATCAGACATCCGGCAGCAGTGGCTCCACCAACCACGAATCCACGATGGCGCCTCCAGCATTGCGTGCAGCTCGCCGGCCGTTTGCGCCTCCTGATCGTCTGCCAATCGTTGGGCGGTCCTTTGGCCATTCCATTTTCAAGGAAGCGGTCCCATCTCTCATGTGCTTGAATCAGATCAGCTGCTCATTTACTTTCGCTTCCTAGGCAGTTTGCAGCTTCGCCTCAAGGCAATGTCGACTGCCCTCGAATCATTCCCGACCCTGCTCTCCTTCAAACAAATCTATACCGCTATACAATCGCATGTTTCGCCCTGCGGCTATCGCGCTTACTCCACCCTAGTCACCTGAATGCCTCGTCTGCCGGTCGCGCTCGTGCTTTGGGCAACTTTCCATGTCCAACAAGGGCCACGAGCTTTGGACGAATCGCGAGAAGGTCGACCTTCTTGTGAATGTCCTTCAAAGTCACCACGGCCCAGATCTAGTCCCATACTTGGTACACTTGGTGCAAGAGAATAGAATTGTGCAACCACAATGGATCGACATTCCCTTACCAGAGGGTAAGTTGACCACTTCTCACACTTCAGGCAACGCTGATGGTCTAGGTCGCTCAATGCGCGCCAGCCAGGACATGTTCGGTACTCTGATGCAGAATCCTCGAGCCCAGGCTCCGTACCCCCAAAGTGCAACTCTCGCCTCCCCGTACCCCCCTACAATTCCTCAAACACGAATCTTCACCGAACCCGCACAATTACAACACATCCCCCGTGCCATCCAGCCACGGCCTTCTCGCTCAACGGACTCACCAGCCCCTGCATCCACCAACGGCGAGGGACTCACGATCGTACGGACTGTGGGTCCTGAGTTTGGGGTCGAGAAGCGCAAGAAACGCGGTCGGCCTACGAAAGAAGAAGCAGAGGAACGTGACCGCCTGCTGGCCGCCGAAGGCAAAGTCTACGAGCCAAAGAAAAGACCTTCCAAGAAATTTCGCGCATCAACCGGCACGCCGGTACCAGTAGGAGGTGAATCATCCAATCTCTCTCCTTCTGCACAAACACCAGCGAGAACGATTGAATCGAAGGAAGATTCGTCGAGTGGTAAAAGGCGGCTACGACGTCAAGCCAGCCAAATTTCAGTTCAGCCTCCTCCGCACCCAATGTCTCCACGTACGCGACCGAGCGATGATCCCGAGCGCTCAGCGGAGAGCCCCTCGGATCGCCTTCTAGCGAGACTGGGCAATCGAGGCGGCGGCGAACGCATACCTCTGACAGCCGAACCTGCCATTAAAATCCAGCCACCTCCGACAACGTCTGGCGTTTGACGAGATTCAACACCCCTCAGTTGCCCATCACCCACGAGCGCACGATGCGACCATTCAACCTCCTTGTTACTTTCGATAGACATCCCAAGACGATGTCACGACCCGTAGACGGCGTTTGCTGCTTGCTCTATCCAACAAGCAACGACTGACACGACATGAGGGCGGTGTTCTTCTATGTTTTTTAATTCTTGCGTTTACATATCTTCTGCAACATTACGATAGGGAGACGCGCGCGCCGGCCAGCCTACTTGGCCAAGTATAAGGGTGCGGCATGAACAAAACAAATGGAAATCAAGACGCAGAATAGGTGCTTGTTGTTTGGGGGCATCTCCTCTAGGGGACCAAACGGCTGGATGGCTTTCCCAGCAGCAGCAGCAGCAGCATCAACGACTATTCGAACTCACTGCGCACTACCACTACAATCACAAATAACGACACAAAAGCTTCATCATGACGACCTTCATAATCGTGTATATCTAAGGATTGGGGACACTGGGGAACTAAAGCAGGCTTGCTGGTCAAGTCTGAAGGTACATAACACAACCTCATATAAGAGATACACCTAATATAGGACTCAAGAAAAGAGTCTGTGGACTTCGGCTGTCGGCCTCGGGAGATACCACAGCACTGCTGAAGCCAACAATTGAGACCTTGAGTCTGTTTCTATGCCGTTCATGTCGTAGGCCCAGCACTAGCCTCGCCATTCAGCTTGAGTGACACGGAGTTCTGTACGTGACAACATTGTTAGCTGGTCTATATTCGTGTCCGGCCAATCCCCCCCACCCCAGCCTTTCTAGGGCCAGCAGCGAAGCCGCGTCCTGCAACCAACAGTGGGATTTGGCATGAAACTTCAGCACGAGCATGGTCACTGAGGGCCAGCAAGGGTTTCTCAAAGAGGAAACTCGCACGCTGTGCCAACCTGTGCATCCCCATCGAGCTTCGACACAAAGTCCCCCAACTCCCCGGCCTCCCCCCATGCACCGCGCATCAAAGTACAGTGTGTAGTTTCGAAAGAAAAGGTCTGGGTCTCCTCGACCGCATGCACTCATCCATTGCCTTTTTAGCTCGCCAAAAAATGCGAATGCTTACGTCGGGAGCATGTACCTCCACCTCAAGCCAGAGGTTTGCTCCCCGGTGAAGGTGAACGCGCTGGAACGTCGACTCGCCTGCCCGCTAGTGCAGTCTGATACTTCACTTGCTTCCTTGCTCTCTTGCTTGCTTGCTTTCGAATAGTGCCGGCCAGAGGATGCCCGTTCCCTGAGAGTCCTGCTGGGGGGGGCGTCTACACAGAAAGTATGTTTGGGTGTCATGTACAGTACATAGACCGATGCCTAAGTTCCCAATGTGCTGTCGAATGATGCGTTGCGCGCTGGCCAGGGGATGGTCAGGGAAGGGGGGGGGTGTCCTCTGTAAGTGGATAAAGTGCATTGGAGAGGCCCAGCAGCCAGCGACTTGGGGTGGCGCTGCAAGTGGTTGGAAGCCGAGGGTGGTGGTAAGGTGAGGTGAGGTGAGGATGGTTGCAAGCGTGTGGTGGGGGTGCTTGCCGGGGTTGGCGAGGGAATGTGCAAATATATTCTACATTTTGGCTTTTGTTTTGTACATGGTATCTTGAACTTCTGCCACGATGATGGCGGAGATGACGCCTAAGTTCACTGTACGCTTCTATTGCATCGCAGCGAAAGGCAAGCACAGATGGTCGTGATCAGGGCAGATTCTCAACTCAGCTCTCCGACCAGATGCAAGACGTAGGACCTCTTTCCGTCACAAGGTCGAGCTAGGCCTGATACCACCCACCAAGTCCTAAAATTCCGCCGTCCTCGGCGCTCGTGTCCATTGACCATTTACGGACAGCGGAGACATCGAAAGACGTTCGCCAGCCAGCCTCGTACATTTCCATACCGGCCCACGCGATCATGGCAGCATTATCTGTGCACAGCTCGACTGGCGGAAAGACCAGTTGCACACTTCCGTAGCCCCGCGCATTGAGGGTTTCTCGTAGAAACCATCGAAGGAAAGCGTTGGCCGCTACTCCGCCGGATACCACGAGAGTGTCAATCGCCCTATCAGAGCGTGTCTGGGCTTGCTGGTCGAGGGCTAGACATATTCTGGATGCAAGGTGCTCAAAAGACACGCCAATCACGGTGCGTGCGAGTAAAAGTCGTTCATCGTAGGAGATGTTTGGTTTCTTGGTCAGCACCCTTTCCACGTGAGAAGGGATGCCGGCGAACGAAAAGCTCATGTCGCGAGACTTTGAAAGCGGCACCTGTAAGGACCACCCGTACTCATTGACCGGCTTGTCCAGTTCATCTCGGCGACGAGACGGAAGAGGATATTGTTTGAATGTGTCAGGTGTGGGGAAAGCGTAGTTGGACAGGTGCTTCCCGTATGCTGTATCGTTCGTGCTCGCTAGGACGTCGGCAGGAAGTATCCAGCGGCCGCACTTGTCCAGACAGTCTCCAATAGCGTTGTCAATGCTGCTCGCGAGAATAGCGTGAGATGTCAGGAATGTCGAGTGGAGTAGCATGGTATGGCCTCCGGAGACCAACAAGTTGAAAAAAGGGAACACCGGTTGTGGATCAGAAGAGCGGTTGTTGAGCGCGTGAACAAGGCGAGGCGTCAGCGCGTGCGCTTGCATGTGGTGGACTCCCACCATCGGAATACGCCACGCCGTAGCAAGTCCCTTTGCCGTGTCCAGTCCACACGAGAGGTTGCTGCGCATACCAGGGCCGCGCGTAACGGCGACAAAATCAGGGATCTTGCGGGACACGCCGTCTGGTCCAACCATCGACTGCTGGCCCCGTCCATTGGATGGTGGCAACGAACCCATGGACCTTTGAATCAAGGCTGCGAGGTTCATCCTATGGCTATCAAGTGCCTCGAGTGGATGAATGCCCCCTTTCCCAGTATTCGCAGCTGTGATCTTTTCGTGGAAGTGTAGCCTCGCCCGCCCGGGCCAGTCATCTGGCATGGATGTTCCACCATGTTTTTCAAGTATGGCAACACAAGTATCGTCGCATGAGGTTTCGATCGCAAGTGTCAAGAGTTGCCGGCGTTGCGGGGATGCGCCGCAGCGCGTGAGCGGTCGAATGACTGCATGCCTCGGTCTGGGAAGGCGACGCAGCATCGACTGGAGAAGGAAGGCGATTGTCGTATCAGTATGAGCATAGCATGGCGTTCTGATGTGAAGCGACCACCCAACGCGACTCGACGTCGATGGCTCGGTGAGTATTGATCCGTTCCGAAGCGCCAAGACTTGAACCGACGTCGACCAAACGAGCTCGTTGTCCGCGTTTCGATCACGAGAGAACCGCCATTCAGCATATGCAATGATGCTGAACACGCAAGCGTCCTTGCGCCAGCAGACTGGGACGGGCAGGGTCTATGGAGAGACCGCCGATCCTGCCGCCCCTTGGTTGGGCAGAAGGCGATTTACTTTTGAGGTTGACCTCTCAATAATTACAGTTAGCAAGCCCTAAGAGCGGCTGCCGCATGGCCGATTTCAGCTACTGGCGATGATTTGCGCTGCATCTGTGGCGTTTCTGCTTGAATGGCCAACTGCCCAAGACTGCACAAGTTGAATATTGTCAAATAAGCAACCGCGCACGATGCAATGGACTACTACGAGGTCTGATGGAAGACATAGGTGTCTCCGCGTGGCCATATGGAGTTCTGCGTGAGGGCTGGTTTCGGCGTGCAGTCTGTGACGGGCTGTCACTACGAGCTACAGGACGTTATTCACATACCGCAGCCCCAATTGCCCACATCATGGTCATCGACACCGGTCCCAAGGTCGATGTTTATCAACCCATGCTCACAGGACGTGCGACTCGTGAAGCGTCTGAATTTGTGACATCTCATCTCCATGATCTGGTCGTTCCGAGAGGGCATTTTGTCAGTGTCGGAACATCTCAAAGTGGCTGAAGGTGAGGTGTAAGTTATGGTAGGCCTCGTGTAGCCATGTAAAGTACGAACACTGTAAACGAGCTCAGATCGGCAAAATGTTTGTTAATCACAAAAGGATCAGACGATGTCGTCTCAAAATACCTTTCATCAGCGCTGTTGATTGTTCGTGCAGCATCACTTGTTAGCGACAACGTGGTTTGATCTATATACCTCGAACAATGTCACAGCACCATCAGCATACAACGGCCCAGGAGGCGGTTGGATTCACCACCCACCCGACTTGTATAGAGGTGATAGTACGAGACACCTAAAGAGGAAGTTGGACCTGGCTAGCACATGTACCGATCTTCCGTCCTAAATTGGGCCGCATTGCTTGGAGCGTTGTTCACTGAGACAACCGGGGTAAGTTGAACCTGGCGCAAGATTTGACCAGACTGAAGATCGCGTCGTACAGAAGCGTTGCCCTCCCACCAAAGTGCCCGCACAAGACCGCGCACGGCATGTCACATCAGCACTGCGCTTGACCCAAAACAGTACCCCCGGCGGTCGAAGTTCTTTTTGCGATTGGCTCCCCTGGCTGTCAAAGGTTGCTCGGCCGAACTCCCAGCTGTCCCAATTGCCAGAAGGAGTCAAGCCCCAGCTGTCAAACTCGGAGGGAGGGCTGCGCCGGCAAGAATTCGCGCTCCGCCGTTGCGGCTGCCTCGCTTCTTCTTAAGACCCCCTCCAAGTGGCAACTCCAACTTCCCTTTTCTTTCTTGTCTTCACAACAACAGGCGAACAGGCGTTGAGCCGCCCTACTTTTCCCTAGGCAGTTTTAACAGCAACTTGTATTGCAAACCTCCACAATGCCAGCCTCAGCAGCACCAAGTCAGCGCATCCCGGCCTTCCGACCGCCATAATTGGCGCTCTGATGGTCCTAGCGACTACGAAACTGGTTACGACGATTACGGTCAATTCTTGACGGACTGCACTGTCTTTGAACAATGCAATGACATTTACAACAATTATTATACCCCCTCATCGGGCTCTGACACTTACGTCGAGCAAGATACTCAGTCTCAAAAGTTTGCGGTCGATGCCAGTTGGTGCCCGCCGCTTCAGGCGGCCCCTCCGGCCTACTGCTACTCTCCACCGAAGCCTCAAGTGGCCACTGGTGTGCTTGCATCCGAGACTCCTGGACTCCCACAGCCCGGCATCGACTACGAAGAAGACTCGTTCCCAGCCAACTTCTTCATGAACCCATTTGCGGTATCTTTTCCCGGCGACATCGCCCACTATGGAGACCTCGGCATGCCACTCGACCATGTCCCAGACGACGACGATGAGGAAACACTGGAAGGCACGCCATCAGATGACCATCATCGTCAAGCCGGTGGCCTGCGGGAAGGCGTGCACCGTGATGCTTCGGCTAAGGACACCTCACTGTCTGCCTCTCCCCGTGCACATCCACCAAACGCAGGTATCACCCGTAGCTCCACGTCCGGCAGCAAACAGTCTTCACCCCTCATCAATGTCATCAACGCATCGCCATCACCACTCACGGACAACACGTACTCTTGGCCGTCGCCTCCGGGCCCCTCCAACACCAACACACCACCTGCCCCCACCACCTTCTCCTCCTCTAAACCTTCATCACCGCCGCAGAACCCAGCCAACAACACTGCAGGCGGCTTCCAGTTCGTTGACGCCTCGGACCGCAAGACCATCGTGCGCCTGCGCAACACCATGGTCTCGCGCAAGCACCGCGACAACAAGGTGCAGCGCATCAAGGAGTTGGAGAAGATGCTCGAGGAGCGTGACCGTGAGCTGGAGGAATTGAGGCGAAAGGTTGGGGAGAGGAGTGGATGAGCCGTTGTCGTGCGTGTGAGAGGCTGAGTGTGGGAGAACAACGGTGATTGATCTGTTCTAGAGTTTAGATATTGTGAGGGAAAAGCAAGTCGGTAGATTTGTGGAATAATGACCTTCGATTTCTACCTAATATCTCCTTTTACACCGAGTCGTCCCCACATATTGATGCCGTGCTCTTATCATGCCGAAACAACATTCTGCTCTCCCCCATACCTGCAGGCTTCGTGAGTCTACTCCCCCTGGAATCACGCGCTGCCATCCATCATGCAATAACAAGGGGGCTTGTTTGTCGCTCTCACGTAGCCGACCCAAAAAGAGGTTGTCAGGGCTATTCTTAACTCCTATTCATCCCAGCAACTGGGTCAAATCTCCCCCCTTCCTTTCGATGCAGGGCGCGTGCATCGTCCGCAGCAAGGCCGTATGAGTAAGTGGCTATTCCACCTCGTCCGCACTCCTAGCCGAGGCGGGGGCCCTCTAACGGCTGCTCGAGCTTGTGTGAGGCTCTTGCTAAGCGGTCGCATGTCATAGCGCCCTCCGGCACGGAGGCAAGAGTGCCGCCATTTCGAGTTCGCTCAGGAGGGGCGCGTCCTGCTGGAGACAACGTTTTATTGTAGAAAATGTACCGGCTAGTGTCATGTCGAGGGAATGTCGAGCGTTTGGAGGTGGGAGGCCACGTAGCGCGAAGCTTGTGGCAGGTGTAGAGACGTAGAAGCTGGCAAAAAGGAGGCCTCCCCAAGGAACAGAGATTACCACGAGCATTGTATTATCCCTCCATCCGTACATCCTGCTTAGGAGCGTCGCTTAGGTTCTTCAAGAGATACGACCGCTTGAAGTAGGTGTTGGGGTGCACGATGGTGTCAAGTTCAGCAGCACCCCAGATACCCTCATCCTTGACTTTCTTGATCTCCCCTTTGTGGGCCCACTCGAACACTCGGTTGCATGCAATATGGTATCGTTTCTTCTCTACGTCTTCCTTGACACCTCTGAGCACTTCTCGATCATGTACTCCAGTAGCTTGAAGCATGCTCGTTAGGTTATCAACGCTGAAGTGACGGTACGGGCAGCCGTGTGCTTCACCTGTGCCTGGAGGGTGTTCTGTGAGGATCTTCTGACACGAATAGGGAGAATAGCCGCGACCACGGCGGTTGGCGTCCCCGCCCACGTCGCCGTAAACATGTCGAACGTTGTAGCGATACTCTTTATTGAAGGTGTCATCGGTGATTTTGGTAAACGCCTGACGCCAGAACATCAAGCAGTCTTCGAGGCTCAAGCCGATGCCTTTCAAGAAGAGTGTGTATTGCAACCGGCCGAAGTGCTTTAAGTGGCTGTTCTGGCGGAGTGTGGTGTGAAGGTGCTTCATACACAACGGAAAATGTTGTGATAGTGCGTCAATGTTGGCAGCATTGATGGCAGCCCCTGCCAGAGACGAATCGGAGTCGGAGAAGCCGGCATCGGGTGTAGCGAAGTTCTTGGACAGGTGGTCCAGGATAGGAGATAGACGGTCGTCCTCGTCGAGTCGCGGCAATTGTCGAGCGGTCAGTTCGAGGCCTTTGTCTAGGCGGCTTGTGAATTCAGTGAGGATCATGCTGGTCTGCTCCTTCAGTGGCACATAGGCTTTGCCCTTCTTGATTAGAACACGTCGGTGCTCCACCAGCTCTGGAACTCTGGTCCAATCGACCTTGAACCAATTCTCCTCGTCGAGCCGCCGAATACCAGGCGTGGCCCCCAGGAGTTCTTCGCCGAGGGCTCTCTTCTCTTCGGGAGTGACAAGGTCCCAATTCAAGTTCAGACTGTCGACAAAAGCACGCTTTTCTCGACCATCGTCCTCTTCGAGGCGTAACTTGAAGAGCATGGTCTCGATACGGGCAAACCGTCTTCGCAGATCCTCGGTGCCTGAGAAGGCGAGTCTGAGGATGTAGTGAGAGTAATGATCTTTTCGACGTTCATCCTTCAGTCTCTGATCAACCTGGCCTGCAGCGGCTGCTGTATTGTTTGAGAGTGGTAGGTACTTCTTGAGCATAGGCTGCATGTGTGCGGCAGTTTCTTGGGGTGACCGGTTCCTGAATGAGCACGACTCCAACTCGGCGAGAACTATCAAGTCAGTCAAACACCATGAAGCAGACTGAAGAAACTCACTTCTCAGTCTATCAATGGCCCATGTCTCGAACTCCTCAAGACTGATCTCCTGCGTTGGCGGCACATCATAGAGCGACAGTCTGTGCGGGTAGTCATTTTCCCTGTACGTAGCTGTAGCAAACTGAGTCTTCCTGTAGTCTGTCTTCTTTCGTTTCGCGTCGAATCGGGCTTCTGATCGAATCATGTTTGCTGGGTATCGAATGAATGATCTTACTTCCGGGCGTTCACGAGGAGTACTCAATAGTTAGATCAGCGGGGCAGGCGACGCGTCGCGGTGGAAAAGCGCGTTTCAGGGTTAGGGCTACAAGTGCCTGTAGGCTCTTTCGCCTAAAAATGCTGCTAAGCGAGAAGCACGCTTACCTAACCGCTGCCCGCAGTCAGCACGAGTACGGAGTAGTTGTTCGGCCTCCGCATCTCGAGCCGCCAGTATGTGACTTTCTTCTTCCACCTCTCCGCATTCTGGGTCCTGTTTGCCGAAAGAGCTGCAGTGCTCGTCCTTTTCGCCGTTGTTCAGTCTACCTTTTTCTGTTTCGTTTGGCAACATGATCCGGTGACTTCAGCCGTCCGGGCTCGTGGCCCTCCTCACGCGACCCTGTCCAAGCTGCTCCGAGCACCGGCCCCCCACTCTCCGCACAACGCCATGACTTTCGCGACTGTCTCCAGAAAGCTGAGAGAAGCTGCCAGGGTCATTCTAGTCGGAGCTCCTGGTGTTGGAAAAGGAACACAGTCCGAGAGATTGATACAGCGCTATCCGCAGCTCAGCTCTATCGCAACCGGAGACCTACTTCGGGATCATGTAAAGAATAAAACCTCTCTGGGTAAGAACATGATGTATAGAAGATTCGACGGTGCCTGACAGACGTCCAGGCAAACAAGCGGAAGCGTACATGAATGATGGGGGTCTTGTGCCAGATCCACTGATCCTGAACCTCATCCTCTCCGAATTGACGACTCGCAAATGGCTCACGGTCGACAAATCAAACGACGAAATCATTGCTTCTATTGGTCGTGGTAATGGCTCAGCGTCTTCCGCTGTGCAGCCAGACTCGCGCCCAGACTGCTCGTTTCTGTTGGACGGTTTCCCACGCACAGCTACTCAGGCACAAGCGCTCTCCCACCTGCTGCCGATGAATCTGGTCTTTCACCTAGTGACTCCGGTTGACATCATACTTGGACGTATGGCAAATCGTTGGATTCACCAGACATCAGGAAGAGTATACAATGTGGGCTTCAACGATCCGAAAGTGCCTGGCAAGGATGACCTAACAGGCGAGACCTTGGTGCAGCGAGAAGATGACAGCGAAGCCACCTGGCGGAAGAGACTGTCCAAGTTTGAGGAGACCAGCAGTAGTCTACTTGATTTCTACCGCAAGCAAGACTCGAGTCTCGTGGTCACGGTCAAAGGCAACAGCAGTGATGAGATTTCGCCGCAGATATTTGAGGAGATTGATCGCAGATTTGGCGCGTGAATGCCATTGAAGAGATGACATATGTAGATACATTTATACTCAAAGTTATTGATAAAAAATGTCTCCTCGACTGATGATTTCCCAGATTTCATGAAGCTCAGGATGAGCTAGAGATCCAAGCGCCCAGCCAGAGGCGGTAACAGCTAATCTACGCACGAAGTGCAAACAACCTCAGCATCGGGGTGGGCATGAGGCTGAGACGCAAAACACAAGGTAATGCTGCTTATCGGCGGTGAATATAGACGAGGAAGAGAAGGGGAGCCCAACCCAAGGTGATTTTGTCGAAATTTCGCCTTGGCACATCGTCATTTGAAATGCTGCCAATATCCGCCAACGACCTCACAGTCCTGGCTCCTCGCGTTCACTCTTCCTCGATCTCTACGCGGGTACGATTGAAGGGCGACTCTACTTCCGATGGTGAGGCCCACATCCATGCCGGGGTATGTGAAGCTGAGAACACGTCATTCTCGGCGCGTCAACACGCAGCTTGTGCAGTAGCCAGATCGATTGAAGAAGATCGCTCGTTTGGGATATTTTCTGGCAAGAGCTGTTTGAAGCCACTGTGATGCTTATACGCAAGCAATCAGGTATGTGTCAGCCACATGTGCCTGGATTAGTGCATGAGACCTTGCATTTTCGATAGATGAGATCGACTGTATTACCGACATCCGAGACAAGATGGGCTGATGTGAAAGGCTGGCGAAGAATCGTCTGCTGTCGACGACGGCAGTATCTCTAACAAATGAGTGACTGCGTCTCCTGCATTGGGCTCATCTTCAGTCTGTGCTATTGCCAATGTCAGCGGTGCGAGCAGGCTTTACCATGCCGCTTCTCTGCACGGTGTTCTTAGAACGCGTGTGTGTCTGACAGCTTCCGAGACCAATAATCCAATCGTTGCTGGTCCATGGCGCGTCGTCTCTTGAAGCAGATAGTTGCAGCCTCGAAGCAGCAATTCGAAGCTCCTTTCGCCTTCAGGTTTTCCAGTGAGTATTTCAACTGGATCAATCTGGTCCGAGACGTCGGCCCAAGGTATGCCTCTATTTCATACATAAGTCCCTTCATCAATCGCAAGCACCAGCCTTTCTCATCTATCAGCGCTTACCGCAGTCACTCTTTTGTACCATTCGTACCTCATCAAAGTCATTCTTTACTCTCTCTTGGGAAATGGCATGTACTTGCAGGTTCCGCGTTCTCTTGGTCATAACATGGCTGTGTCTTCTTTTCGTTTCTTGGACGAATGCTCTTGCGAAGACCGATACCATAACATGGGGAGGCTCCAATGATCGAACAGGCTATCAGACAAACCACAATATGGACCCATCCATTGTTGGTAGCCCACAGTTCGGACAACTCTATCGGACGCTTCTACCAGGTACCTTTTCGAGCAATGGCCAAAATGTCCCAGAACAGATCTTCTCCCAGCCGCTAGTGTATACTGGCACCGATGGTATTCAGTACGTCTATATCGCGACAACCCAGAACAATGTGTACAAGATGAACGCAAAAACGGGTGTTATCGTCGCATCCCGCAATCTGCACCGTCCATTCCTTGTCTCGGACTTGGATGGCTGTACTGATATCAACCCGACGATCGGTATCACAGCTACTGGAGTCATCGATCCTGCTACAGTGAGTGACAAGAGCGATGTGAGAATGCTGGCTAACGAGCTTAGGACACATGGTACCTGACTGCTAAATCCTACGTTGACCAGAACATGAACGGTCCTCGTGGAAAGCCAAACGGTCGCTACTATGTGCATGCCATTAATACCAACGACTTGTCGGAACGCGCCAACTTTCCTGTTGATCTCGAGGGTACAGTCTCTAGAAACAATGCGAATCGCGCTTTTGGCGCCGGCATCCATCATCAACGCCCAGGGTTGCTCCAACATGGCCAATTCATTTACGCGGGCTTCGCCAGTCACTGTGCTCAGTACAACTTCACCGGCTGGATCTTTGGTTGGGACAGAACGACTGGTAAGCTCGTCGAGAGATTCTCTTCTGAAGGTGCCGGTGTTGCAGCTAGTGTTCCTGGGGCTGGCGTTTGGATGTCAGGTGGTGGTCTAACCAGCGATGACAAGGGTAGCATGTTCTTTGCTACAGGCAACGGCTACGCTTCTCAGCTGAGCAATATTCCTGTCAACGGCCGCAACCCTCCCACCGCTCTCGAAGAGGCCGCTGTCCACATGGCCATCAATGACGATGGCTCACTTCGTGTGGTTGACTTTTTCATGCCATGGGAGAAGCCGCAACTTGATGGGGCTGATAAAGACCTTGGAACGACACCGCTCGAATTGCTTCCAAGCGAATTCTCCTGTGGAAACATCAAGCGCATCGGCATCGTGACTGGAAAGAGTGGCAAGACGTACTGGATCGACATGGACAACATGGGTGGATACCAGAATGGACCTGGTCAGCTCGACAGTGTCATCCAGGTCTACCCGAACGAGAACTCAGTCTATGCCGGTGCCGGAGTCTACCCGTTAGAGGGTGGCTTTATCTACATCAGCGTCATTCAGTATCCGACGCACGTGTTCAAATTCTCCTGCAGCAACGGCGTGCCTTCGTTTGACAAAGTCGCCGACTCACCAGAGAACAACGCCTACGTCCTGGGAGTTGGTCACGGCACAACGACTTCATTGGACGGCCGAGCTGGCACAGGCCTCCTCTGGACAAGCGATGTCGAGGGTGCTAACCTTAGAATCTACGATGCCGTGCCGGTTGATGGCAAACTACGCCTACGCAAGTCCTTCGTCACGCCTGGTGTCACCAAGTTCTCACGACCTGTCTTCGGCGATGGCATCGTATATCAAGTTACAACTCTCGGGTACATATATGCTTACGGATCCCCAGTCAACCTACCCTTGAATTGTACGTCCCCAAGTTTCGGCACTGTGAACATCAATTCCACGTCTGCTCCAGTGGCAGTCCAGTGCAAAGCCAATACCGCTTTGACCGTGACTGCTGCCAGCCTCGCGGGTAACCCCAACTTCGTTATCAGCGACCTCCCCAGTCTACCTTTTCAGGTTGCGCAAGGTCAGAGTTTCTCTTTCCGCGCAAGCTTCGTGCCTCAGTCAGTCGGACCCTTGTCTTCCGCTATCGTTCTCAATACCACTCAGCAAGCTCAGGGGTTCTCGACTAGAAGCCAGATCCAGCTGCAAGGAACAGGTCAGAGCCAGGTACCTCTACTTCAGGTCGCTCCCAACACCGTCAGTTTCAATGGTTTCATCACAGGCCAAGATCGAACTGGGGTCAACCTTTCAGCCACAATTACGAACGCGGGCAATAGCCCACTTCAGCTTACCTCTATTCAGTTCTCTACTGTCGGCGAAACCGGTCCCTGGATCACACCCAATGGCTCCCAAGACGCTCGTTCGGTCTCTGCTTTTACGTTCTACAGCCTCCCTGTCACCGTCGCTGCGAGAAGTGGCGTGTCTGTTCCTATTAATTTCAATCCCTCTAGGAGCGGAAGCTATGCAGTGTTCGTCAAGATCGTCTCAAATGGAGGCACCAAGCTACTCAATGTTCTCGCTACTGGCAACGATCAGCCTAAAGCTATTATCGAATTCGAGACTCCCGATGGTGGATGGATCCCGTTCAGCAGCAACACTTCCTTTTCTTTTGGGAATGTCACCGAGAATACGAGCCGTTATCTACGTCTCCGAGTGAGCAACAAAGGTAGCGGAAACTCTGCCGCTCTCTCGTTGACTGTCAGCAAGCCGCCATTCGGCATACCTGGAAGCGTTATTGGTGCGAGCAACCAAGTCGACCTCGGAGAAGGTACACTCATCAATTCTGGGCAGAACGCCACCGCTACCCTCTATTGCTCAGTGCCAAAGAGCCAGATTAACGTCGATTCATACAATGGCACGGCAGTCTGGACTATGAATATGAACGACCCGTCTTTTGGCAAGCAGCAACTTCATTTCTTCTGTAATGCTGTCTCTGAACAATCCGGGCCCCTCAACTCTGCCACCCAGCAAGCTACGTATCGTTACGCGGGTTGCTTCAAAGAGAATGACCCAGGGCGTCAGCTGCAGACCCAGATCTATTCTTCCGATAGCGGCAACACAAACGACATGTGCATCGCTCAGTGTGCTGCACAGGGCTTCATTTTCGCAGCAACCCAATATCGCTCTCAATGCTGGTGCGGCTACAATCGGCCGAGGACACTTGTTGATGAGACCAATTGTAACTTCGCATGCACAGGCAACACCAACGGAATCTGTGGTGGTAATGGCATCAATGGTGATGGTGCATTTCTTTCGACCTTTGGCGACATCAATCGCTGGAATGGTAACTCCACAGACGCCCCTGGACCATATGTGAACCCTGGAGCTCTTGGGTTCAGATCTTTGGGTTGCTACACAGAAGCCACTAATGCACGTGCCTTGAGCATTGTCCCTAGCTCGAACAACACCGTCTTGGGTTGCTTGAATGCTTGCAAGGGCTATGCTTATTCCGGAGTTGAGTACGGTGGTCAATGTTTTTGTGGCCAGTCACTTGCTGCTGGATCGGTGAGCGCGCCATCCAAGGACTGCAGCATGTCCTGCAACGGCAATCAGACAGAGTTCTGTGGCGGCCCGGATCGATTGAATATGTACACCACCATTCCTTCGGGAAATGTGACATCTTCGACAACTTCTGCCACGGCTCCAGCTTCAACCTCGACCACGGGACCAACAAGTACCGCGAGTGCGACTGGACCTCCCATCCCGGTCGCTACAGCTGGTGGCTTCGCATACATTGACTGCTATGCGGAGCCTCCCAACTCCCGAGGACTTGTCGACAAAGCTTATGCTGTGAATCGTGGCATGAGTGCAGACATCTGTGCTACCTTTTGCGCTGGCTTTAACTACATGGGGATGGAGTACAGCTCTGAATGCTACTGTGGCAACATTTTGCAGCCAGGTTCGCTCAAAGCAAACGATGGTCGCTGCTCGATGACCTGCTCTGGAAACAAAGCCACCATATGTGGAGGGCCAAATGGTCTGTCACTCTATCGATATGCTCCGGCGAACACGACCACCGGGACTACAACTTCAACCACGATCAGATCTACGTCCACCTTCACTGCCACCACCACTAGGTCAAGCACCGCTAATCAATCTTTCAGTAGTCTCAATGTGACCACATCAACACTATCATCAACTCCCCGTACCCTAAACGCGACTACTTTGCCTCCGCTGACCGGAAGTACCCTGCTTTCTACGTCCCTGATGACAAACACGACTTTCACAACTCGCCTAAGCTCGTCGGTATCGAGTACTTCTACGTCACTCTCGGCAACCATCGCATCGAGTACCGGCACTACCAGCCTCCGCTCTTCAGCCAGTGTTAATACGACCGCAGTCACTATAAGCACGTTTAGATCCTCATCAATCGCATCGACTGCTGCAGCCAATATGACAACACCGCAAGCGACCAGTAACACAAGCACAGTGCCACCGATATCCTCAATCCTTGCGACGAGCAGCAGCAGCAGTTCTAGGGGCGCCACTAGCAACATGACTACCTCGAGTCCTGTGATCAGCAGATCTTTGTCCCCAACATCGTCGATAGGATCCTCGCCGTCTAGCTCCCACACTTCGACGTCCGCTACCCCCAGTACTTCTCGTTCAACGTCAAGCTCCTTGACTGTGTCAACCTCCACAAGTCTCTCGACGTCCTCCATTCGCAGCTCCGCATCGAGCACCACGTCTTCGTCAGCCGCGGCTTCTACAACCCCCGCGCCGTACCAGCCCCTTGGCTGCTACGCCGAAGCCACTAACGGCCGCCTTCTATCCGGGGCCTCCAGCTCCACGAACACCATGTCAACTTCCAGCTGCGCTACTTTCTGTCTCTCCAAATCCCTGCCCGTCTTCGGCCTGGAATACGGGCGAGAATGCTACTGCGCATCTTCCCTCGCAGCCAGCGCCCGCCCACTCTCCCCCAACACCTCCGATGCCTCCTCCGGCTGCAACATGCCCTGCTCCGGTGCCGCCACAGAAGTCTGCGGCGGCAACTCCCGCCTCAGCGTCTACAACAACACCCTGTACAGCCCGCCTGTGCACAAGGCGACGATCAGTGGCTATGCGTTTCAGGGATGCTATACCGACATTGGTCCACGCACGTTGCAAGGGTACTCATTCTCGAATGGCAACATGAGTCAGGAGCTGTGTGTGAGCACGTGTGCGGCGAAGGACTTCAAAGTCGCAGGCGCAGAGTATGCTGAGCAGTGCTTCTGTGGGACTGAGGTGCTGATCAGCGCGGACGGGAAGGGAGGTATGAAGGTGCAGAACGGCGAGTGTGCGATGCCGTGCAAAGGCGACGGGTCAGAATGGTGCGGTGCGGGCAATAGGTTGAGTATTTGGGCGATGTAGTGAGACTGTGATGGAATTGGGCGAAGGCGAAAAGGGTCTTGAGGATTCCAACCAGTGCGTGGTGGCAGTACATGGGCAGCGGGTAGGAGGAGTGTCGGAGAGTCGACATATGTGGTTCTCTCCTTTGTTTCTTTTTTGGCATCTTTCGCTTTATCTCATCAGCTTACCATATATCGACAGCTGACGAGCTACTTATATACTTCTTCTACTATTACGTGTGATCAAGGAACAGTCGTCCCAGTTCGGTAGTATTCACCTGCGAGGCTGAAGAGTGAGGGGGTGTGCCAAGCCAAATCAGTGCCAAGGTTGTGGCTCGTGCCGAGTGGAGAAACCCAGTGCGGCTTCGCAGCGCGAAGTTCCCGACACCAGAGACCACCGACTTGCGCTGCGTCCAGATTTATTAGTTCCACCTCCGCTCACAAGGTGCTTCTGCATTATTTTTCAAACCAATTCCGTCCATCATCGTGCACATCTCATCTGTCCGCTACCGACAATAACCATCGCTTCTTTCTCGAACATTTTCATATCGTTGTGCGCCAGACGGGAAGCTTTCGCCTTGCTGCCAAAAAGTTTCTGCTTCAAATCACATCTGCGACTTTGACCTCTTACCAGACTGTCCCCGCAGCCTGTCCACGCGACCGATCCATCCTTGCCGAATAAACTAGTGTTGCGCTTGCATCAACGAAGAAGGGTTATCTTTCTAGGGCTACCACCGCACCGACTTGTCTCGTCTTGCTAGCTTCCTCACAGCAAGCTAATTTCAAATACCTCGATAATGGCCGACACTACTGCTGCTGTCAACGGTCTCTATGCTACCCAGTATGGCCAGCCCGCTGAGCTTGCTGCCTCCACTCCCTCTGGCCCCGTCCATGCCTCAACGGCTTCTCAGAGCAGTACTGCAGCCTCTGCCGCTCCCCAAAAGGCCGACCCGCAAGAGATTGGCTGGTACTTTGTCGAGCAATACTACACTACCCTGTCTAAGAGCCCCGAGCGGATACATCTCTTCTACAAGAAGAAGTCCCAGCTTGTGACCGGCGTTGAGGCTGAAAAGGTTATTCCCGCTGTCGGCGAGAAGGTATGCGCGTCCCTTTAGCCATTATTTTCCATCCTAACTATTTCCAGGCCATCAGCGAGAAAATCAAGTCCCTCGACATCCGTGACTGCAAGGTCCGCGTTCTCAATGTCGACTCTCAGGCCTCGTTCTCCAACATTGTCGTCCAAGTCATCGGTGAAATGTCAAACAAGAATCAGCCGCACCACAAATTCGTTCAGACTTTCGTTCTGGCGGAGCAGCCCAACGGTTACTTCGTGCTGAATGATATCTTCCGCTACCTTAACGAGGAAGAAGATGAAATCATTGAGGACGAACCTCAGCCTGAGGTTCCCGCCGAGCAGCCTGCCACACCAGCTGACGAACACGTTGTCGTTCCTACCGAGAACCTTGTAACCTCCGAGTCTGCTACAGAGGAGGTGGACGAGAAGCTCGAGGAGGAGCAGGAGGCTGCAGCCGAGGCTGAGCCCAGTGCCGAAGTTCCAGTCAATGGTGTTGGTGCTGAGAAGACTGCTGAGACGGCCGAGCCAGAAGCTGAGCCCGAGACTACCGAGCCCATTCCCGAAGAGGTTGAAAATGTTGCTCCTGACACCGCTACCGAACCTACCGAGCCCGAGCCCACCACTGCCGCTCCTCCCATGTCCTCTGAGCCTGTGGCCGAGGCGCAGCCTGTGAAGAAGACTTGGGCCAGTATGGTTGGCGGCAAGGCTCCGGCTGTTCCTGCTCTGCCCGCTCAGCCTGTTGCTCCAGCCCAATCTAAGGCCCAGAAGCCTGCTGCTCAGCCCGTTGCGCCCAAATCTGCTACCACCACGGAGCCTGCTGCCGCCAGTCCTTCGCCGACCCCTAGCAACGGTTGGCAGAATGTTGATGGTGGCAAGAAGAGCCGCGGTGCCGCTCCAGCGAAATCCGATGGAAATGTGCTTGCCTACATCAAGAATGTCAACGAAAAAGTCGATGCTCGGCTCCTGCGCGAGGCTCTTGAGCAATATGGCGAGCTGAAGTATTACGATGTTTCGCGCCCAAGAGTAAGTCCAATCACAGCCTCGAAATCATATGCTAACCTCTCTCAGAACTGTGCTTTCGTCGAATTCGCTCACCCGGATGGCTACGCTGCGGCTGTGGCTGCCAACCCTCATACCGTGGGATCCGAAACCATCTCTGTTGAGGAGCGGCGTCCCCGTCCTGGCGCTTATGGCGGCACCAATGCTTCTTTCGGACGCGGTACCAATCAGAACACCAGAGGCCGTGGCAACATGCAGCAGCGCTCTGGTAGCCATGGTGGTGGATCATTCCCCAAAGATGCTCCCCGTGGTGGCGGTTCTCAGCAACGTGGTGGCAAGTCTGGCAACGTTACTCCACGTGGCCGGGGTCAGGCTCAGGCTGCGTAAGTGCTCATCGCGGTACCGGCTTGGGAGTAAACGACTTCGACCACTTCTTGCGGGCATGGCATCGAATGATGTCCATACAATTACTTCGAGGATGGGATGGAGCGGGAGTTTCTTCGCTCGTGTTTGTTTGATACGGCGCGATTGGAAAAGTTACGACCTCTTATTCTCGTTTGATACCAGGGCATAGCAAGCACGGGGGCAACGGTCCGGATGACTCACGGAACAAAACAGTGCTTTATCATTTCCTGTGCGCTCATGCAACTACTTGATGTGGGAGGGCTGCGAGAAACATTTTGTGTTTGCAAAGCGCTTGTAACTGGAGGATCGATGCGCGACTCGGGTAGAGAGAAGTCTCTCCTAGGACAGCTGTCGACGGGGCTAACGGTGGGATGATTGAACCACGTGGGTGGCAACGGGGCGACGCATTTGATTCCTATCCCATTCTGCCGACCCGATGGGCGCACAAATTTGATTGTACAACAGAGCAACGACAGTTCAAACGGAGAGGGGTTATTGTTGTAGCGAACAGTGCTTGTGCCTGGAGCCATGCGAGGCTCAGTGGGTCCCGTGCGCAACCCCGCTGCGTATTCATCCATGACCACTCCAACTCTCCAGACCACATCCGTCCCGTGGCTAGCCCTAGACCCGACTACCATCCCTTTACTGCAGCCTTACCTACATTCTCTCTGTCCCGCCTTGTTCATTCTCTGTAGCACGGCTTCCACTTCTCCATGCCTCACGATGCGGCCTAATATCGCGGCGCTTGAACAGGCAGAACCTCGTCCCCGCAAGTCATCCATCGCCGATCCGCCTGCGCCATCCGACCGCTTGTCTGCCGCACCCTCAACCTTTTTCCTCTCACGGGGCGTAGACAGCTCACACAGTCCTCCAGAACACCGTGACTCGGCTCGTCTCGTTCCCGACCCTGTGACTTTACTACAAGATTTCATAGAAGAGACGAGTCGGCCCAGCAAGTCCGGACCCCGCCTTCCCGACAGCCAGCGCAGCGGCAGCCGAAGACGATCAACGATCAAGCCCGTAAGCTTTGACCGCACAAGACGTGACTCCTCTGTTGGTGGAACTACTCAATCGCAAGGCTCGGTAGAGAGGCCTGTGACACCCTCGCCACTGCCCTCGACGGCAGCATCGCTTCCTGATAGCCCCGAATCGTTATCTTCCAGATCCGTTCCCAAGTCAGATGAAGACCTGACCAGCGATGATGCATCGAGCCAGGCAGTTGCATCAAGTGAAGATGAACGGGATGCGGATCCACCTCCACAGGTTCATGATAGCCAGCCAGAGTTGATCATGCCCAGTATCAAGATGCCGAGCCGGCGGCCGTTCACCGATCGTGGAAAGCGCTTGGGAAGGTTCAAGATACTGGTCGCTGGCCAGAAAGGTAGGCCAAAAGTGTGGGTTTAAGGATCTAGGCTGACTCGTGCAGGCTCCGGGAAGACTTCTCTTATCAAGTCAATTGTGCAAGTGTGTGAGGACATCGTTCACGTGGATCCGCTATCTGCTACCAACGCCCCTTCGTCGAGCTTACCGGTCGAGACGTACGCCAGCACAAGGGCCTACCCCTCGTGGTGGTCTGATCTAGACGAGAGCCGCATCTTGCGTCGCCGCAAGAGCATGGGCGATTCTGTATTGGAACGCAATCTGTGTTTTGTTGATACGCCAAGCTCCAGAAAGCTCGAGCACATAATCCACTACGCTGAGCGCCAACTATCAAAGGCACTCGACGCTGCGACAACGGGACAGCATGATTTTGCTGCAATGCTAAGTGGTCGTGGAGGCTCGCAGGTCGATGTGATCCTTTATCTGGTCTCTCAAGGTATGTCCCGGGCAATCGTTGGAATCAATCCCTGGCTAAGTCATTGTAGACCACCTCAAAGACGACCTTGAGCGAATCAGGCATCTGTCAGAGTTAACCAATGTTGTTACACTCGTCGCCCGATCAGACTTGCTCAGTGCTGAAGAGCAACGAATACTCAAAGACGAAGTCCCTAACACCCTGTCGGCGCTCCCAAGGTTGCCACCATTCGGTAGATCAGATACCGACCTTGCCGAGACAGCGACAGCACCATATACGATCACATCTGTCAACGGTCCTGACTTAGATACCATGGACGCATCGCTACTGATGTCTCCTGAATATGTTCAGCCCCTCCTGCCCTCGGAACTAGGCTTGCTGATCCAGAGCCTTTTCGAGGATGACACCATGTCCTACCTCAGGTATTCTTCTGCCAAGAAGCTTTTGTCCTGGCACGCGCTTCATCCGAAGCTCTCGAGGATGCCTTCACCATCGATAGCCGCGTCCGTGCACAACTCGACGCTAGCGTCACCCCAATTGACTTCTTTAAGCAACTCAGGAGTGCTTATTCCGCAAGGCTCAGAGCTATCGCTCAACACGTCTAACAGCTATGCATTGGCACGCGTCGCGGACCATTCTGAGCGCGAAGAACGCCTAGCGCAAATACGACTGTCCAAATGGGCGAGCGAGTTGCAGCTAAGCTTGCAGCGAGAGCGAGAGAGGTACGAGCGCATGGCACGCAACGAGCGAGCACTTTGGCTACTTCAAAGAATGGGCGAAGAAGTCCGAGATGGTCACATTGTAGCCTCCGAAGCTGATTACGCACAAGCCATGGTGCGACACGAGGACACTGAGAAGTCTCCGACCCGCGCTGGACACGTCTATCAACTTCACGATCCGCTTGGACTGCTGCAGTGGAGACATTCGATCCGAACGCGAGGTTGGTTGGCATTACAACTTGTCGGTAGCGTTGGCGTCGTTGGTGGGCTTGCATTCTTCTGGCTGGCAAAGACAAAAGGCATAACAAGCACCTTCAACGACTGGGCGCAAGAGTGGAGTGCTTGGTTAGGAATGGCTGAATGATGGTATGAAGCCGCTGACGCAGACGACTCTGATGCATTTACGAGGGCACGAACAAACGGTGTGCAATGCGTAGGGTTCATGGCGTTGAAGAACGGTTGTGATGGACCATGTAGCATAGGATATCTCTCCGACTCCTTTGGTGTTCCTGAGACTATCAATCTCAGACGTTTCATTCCACCAACATAGCCTCCTCACCCTTCGCAGTGCCACGGTGTATGCTCTCCTCTTCGATCTTTATGTACAAGCATTTCTCGTCATGATGATTTGGATTTCTGCGCCTTCTCGTACTCGATGACCTGTCTGCTCCAGCTGCCACTCAGTTAGCATGTCCGCCTATCCTCTTGTGCGCGGCGTCTGCACTCACTATCGACTCGGGAAGAATGCGTCGGGCTCTGGCATCTTGTATCTGACTTCTCGCTCCGCGCTGAGCTTCCATGCTGCGCCCGTAATGCCAATGACGACCAGCCCGGCGACCAGGGTGTTGGCTCTCCAGTTGTGGGGCTGCGCGTACCAGCCACCAGACGGCGACCAAACGTGTTTCGGGTAGGGAATCTTGCCGCCACCTCCCATGTTGACGGTTGTAGGAGGACTAGGTGTTTGGTGAGGGCTCAATCAGAGTACGTCGGCGTCGGGGTAAGTTGCGCAGATGAAGCTCGAATAATGCCAAGGAAGGGCTACGGCGGCCCAGAACTCCAGACAGCTCTCTTCCGGCTGTGGCTCGCGTCTCTCAAAAAAGTTCCTGACGGACAGGACCACGCACGAGATCTAGTACTGCTTCACGCCCACGCTCTTTTCCATCCTCTTTTTCCTTGTAGTACTATTCCTCGCACTACAGCACTGCCTTCTACCGGTGCGATCATCAATGAAGAGGCTCCGGCTCCAGATATGGAGCGGTAGCGTCCTGTCCCCTCGAACCAGACCTTCATCATACGATCTATCAGCATCTTTATATTCGCTACAACGATGCAGACATCAAACCACTGCGTCCCTCTCTTCCTCCGCGGCCTTCAATGCCAGCGACCTTCCCCCGTCAATGGCCCCGACCATCGACCTAACGAATTTACCTTCGCCTCCGGTCTCTGCTGCCCGAGAGTCCCCTAAATTGGCCGCACTGCACGCCCGATTATCATTACCACAAAAATTACCGCTTGAGTCGCTAGCAAGGACACTCGTAGACTCCTCTGCAGACCCTTCGCCGCGCTTCAACAACGCTTCTCTGGCCGTCCTGGGCGGTGACCTCCTCTCATACTACACTTCCGAATATATTATTGCGCAATACCCGCGCTTACCGCTCGCCGTTGTCTTTGCCGCCATGTACGCATATTGTGGTCCTAAAGCGCTCACTGCCATTACGAGGGAATGGGGCGTTCAGTATGCTGCGCATCCGGGCAGTGAAGTCGACCCCGGATATCTACAGTTCACGCGCCTGCCGCCTGAGCCCAAAGACACGGATTTTAAATTAGGGCCTGAGACCATCGGAACAACACGCGAGGGTAGCGGACCAACCGGGCATTACAGGCGAGGTATCTCCATGCGAGCCATCTACAGCGATGCGTTCGGCGACATGCAGAACAGCAGGCATGCGCCAGAATCGATGCACGAGGTGGAAGAGGAAGTTGTGCAGAAAGGCGTCACGGCAGAAAAAGCCAGCACGAACTTCGTGCGCGCTGTAATGGGCGCGATTTATCTACATGCAGGCAGAGCGGCAGCCAAGCAGTTCTTCCGCGATCACTTCCGCAGCCGGCAGCTCAATATGGCGAGTTTGTTCCAGTTTCGAAACCCGAACAGAGATCTGTCGAAGCTTTGTCAAAGAGAAGGATTCCAGAGCCCGGTTGCAAGGATCTTGGCTGAGACTGGACGGAAGAGCAGACATCCTGTGTTTATTGTTGGCGTCTTCAGCGGAAATGACAAGCTCGGAGAAGGAGCGGGCGCAAGTCTTGACGAGGCCAAAACTCGAGCCTCTGTTGCGGCGCTGAAAGGGTGGTATCTCTACAGTCCGCTCGAGGTGCGTGTACCAAGTGATACTGAGGAGTCTGGCGCGAAACCGTGGGATCCCATCATGGTAGACTCCGGGGACGTTGTGGCCTAGTTGCGGGTTGTTCCACGGATATGATGGGCGGCGGGTGTGGTGAAGCGCCGGTGAGACGATATCGATTGAGGAGCCTTTTGTCACAGGAAGCTCATGCAGACTGCTTGGCATAGCAGCAGAAGATCAAGAGAAATCGTGCGAGGTCGAGGAGGGTTGTACTATCTGCACAGCACGGCGTCGTTAAAGCGTTAACAGGCGCGAACGCTCTGTATCTGGGACTCGTGAAGGTGTATTTGGATTGAACCGCACGTGTAACTATCGCAATCCCCTCCCAGCTTCGACAGTGTATTCATCAGCTACGGACAGGATCCGCAATAAAATAGAAACAAGCATTCAAAACATTTTGAAAGACTGCATTCTCTATAATGGCTTTCGTTTGTAGCTCAGAAAGTGAATAAGTTAGGTGCAGTGCACGAGGCAATCCCAATCCAGCAAGGCATCCGGCGAATTTTGCCTTGCCGAATATAAAAGTTGCCTCTTTGCTCAGAACTTGACTGGTCGAGCAACCACATGTCCGCTTTGAAGTGGACAGCATCATATCAACTGATCGCTAGTCCTCAAGCCAATTTTGGGCCTAAAAGTTTGTCGATTGCGTCGACGGTTCTTGCTCGCTGTTCATCTAGCACCGCAAAGCCAGCGATGGCCACACAGCCATTTCAGAAGCTGTGCTCAATCCGCGGCACGTCCACCGTCATCGCTGCAGCAGGCTCAAAGCTCCTTGGTATCGATCTGGCGAGCGGCAAAGCCAGCTGGAAGCTCCCTCGGTCCTCCTCGAGCTCTACAGAAAGCCACACAAATGGCGAGGAGCCCACTTCTAAGCGGCGCAAGCTCGACAATTCCCATGCCGTGGCCGACGTGACCGCATCAATCTCGCGGGGCTCGTCTGAAGACTCTATCAACTTCAAGACCGAGCGCCTGAAGGGAGAGCGCAAAAAGTCCAAGGTCGAGAAAGAAGCCCCGCCCCCCAACGTATCTCACCTCTTCGCTACGCACAATGGCAAGCATCTTATCGTCGTCACCGCGGAGGACAAGGCCGTCAGCATCTACAACGTCATCAGCACACCACTCGGAACCGATCTCGTGCTGCAGTCCAAGCGACACATGCCCAAACGCCTCTCTGCGGCGACGCTTACACCCGACGAGCGCTTCCTCGTGGTGGGCGACAAGTTTGGCGACGTCTACGAATTGCCGCTGTTGCCCACGGAGGGATGGGTGCCGCCAGAGAAGAAGACGACGGACGCCAAGATCTTCGAGCCGTCGGCGACGGAGTTGACGGTGCACACGAAGGGGAACCTGCAGGCGTTGAAGCAGCAGAAGCAGCAGAAGGTGATGAAGAAGGAACGGGAGGGTCTGTTGTTCGAGCATCGGGTGCTGCTGGGCCATGTTAGTTTGCTGACTGATGTTGCGCTCGCGAGAATCATGGTTGATGGCAAGGAGAGGCGCTTTGTGCTGACAAGCGATCGTGACGAGCACGTGCGAGTGTCGCGCTACCCGCAGGCGCATGTTATCGAAGGCTTTTGTCTCGGGATCAAAGAGTTTGTGAGCCGTCTCTGCGTGGTGCCGTGGGCTACGCAGTGGGTGGCTGTGGGGACTGGGGAGCCGAGTCTCAGGATATACGAATGGTTGAGTGGCAAGCTACTGGATATGGACGACTTTCAAGGGGTTGCAGAGCTGCTCGAAGTGCTCTCGCCATCATCTGCACAGGAGAGCGAAGATCGCAAGTTAGCAGTCTCGGGTATCTGGCCGGTGTCGGTGGCTGATGTCAACGCAACCGCTGGGAAAGCTTGTGGGCAATTGCTAGTGGCGCTCGAAGGGTGAGTTCTGTCTGATTTTCCGACGCCTTTTCTATCATATTAACTGATATGCCAGTGTGCCGCTACTGTTCTGCTACTCCATCAACGCAGAAGGGAAAATAACACCGTCCCAAAAGCTGGAGATGGACGGTAATATCCTTGACGTTGCTGCTCTGGAAGCCCCCCCCAATACCTCGTCTATCGCTGTTAGCATCGACACCGCTCACGGCGCCGGATCAACAGCCTCGTACATGCCAGACACGGCGACCAAGCGGGATCCCGTCACAGTATTCCGGCTTGAATCACACGAGAACGGAGAGAAGTGGGTTCCATCCGAGCAGCCCCCCACTATGCGGACGGCGGTAGCTCAAGTTGGTGAACTCCCTGGCATTCCCGAGGCAAACAGCAGCGGGCGACTGGACAGAAGGAAAGGGCCGTATAGTCCATTAGGGGAGTTCCTGTACGGGCTGGAGAACCTGCGGAAGAAGCGAGGCGATGCGGCGCAGGACCCTGAGGAGGACGATGGTGATGAGGGATTGGGGGAGGGTGGTGCGCCTCCGGACGTCTAGTGGGATGCTGTTGTCACACAAGCCAGAGCAAAGGCCGGGCAAAAGCCTGCGGCATCTGTCTTAACAGAGCAACATCCAATCGAGTCATGCCACACGCTCTGTAAGCGGTCGCCCAAGCCTTTCACTGCCTGTTGACTCTTATCTCCGCCGATCTCCGGCCGGCTGCGGGGCATCAACCCTGCAGCTCACTTTTCCTGCGGCTGGATGTGTGTACTTGTAGCAATTGAGAGCATCTTTTCACTACTCTGTGAACTCGCGCATAACCTCTGTCAAAATGCCTCACGACTTCCCGCCCCTCAAAAATGACCGTCTGCTGCGCGTCGCTCGAGGTAAATTTCCCCACCAGGATGTCGCCTTCGTTGCAGCACAGATCCACTGACGCTTGCCCACCGTAGGCGAGAAAGTCGACCGCCCCCCCATCTGGGTCATGAGACAAGGTACGCTTGCACCCACTATGACTACAATAATGGTCAGTGGCCTTTTCCCGCTCCCCTCCCAGCATTCAATGCCACACTCCGTCCGCAGCCGCAGCCCCTCGCTCACACCACACGTCCCACCTTCTAGCTGGCCGCTACCTCCCCGAGTACCACCGTGCCAAAGGCGGGCGCGACTTCTTCGAATGCTGCCGCGACCCAGAAGTGGCGTCGACGCTGACGCTGCAGCCCATCGAGCGGTACGGCGACCTCATCGACGCGGCCATCATCTTCAGCGACATCCTCGTGGTGCCGCAGGCGCTCGGCATGGAGGTGCAGATGGTGGATGGCTTGGGTCCTAAATTCCCCAGTCCCCTGCACTCGCCCGATGACCCGCAGTATCAACAGATCTTGGACAAGAAGGTGGACGTCAATGCCGAGCTGGGCTACGTGTACGAGGCGATCACGCTGACGCGCAAGAAGCTGCAGGGGAGGGTGCCGCTGTATGGATTCACGGGCGGGCCTTGGACGCTGCTGTGCTACATGGTGGAAGGGGGCGGGTCGAAGCTCTTTCGATACGCTAAGACGTGGGTGTATAAGTACCCTGAGGAGAGCAAGAGGCTCCTCAAAAAGATCGCGGACGTGTGCATCGATTATCTGGTCGAGCAGGTGAGGGCCGGGGCGCAGATACTGCAGGTTTTTGAGAGTTGGGCCGGAGAGCTGGGCCCAGGGGAGTTTGATGAGTTCTGTCTGGCGGAGGCGATGAGGATCAGAGAGGAGGTCAGGGCAAGGTTGAAGAAGGAGGGGTTAGAGGATGTGCCAATGGTTCTGTTTGCAAAGGGCGCATGGTATGCGCTGGAAAAGCTGTCCGCCTTTGGCTATGAGGTTGTGGGGTTGGATTGGTTGCAAGATCCGAAGGAAGCGAGGAGGATAGCGGCCGGTCGAGTGGTATTACAAGGAAACGCGGATCCGGGTGTACTCTATGGCACTCGGGAGAGTATCACCAAGGCGGTTGAGAGAATGGTAGACGGGTTTGGGGGTGGGCAGCAGGGCTGGATCGTGAATCTGGGCCACGGCATCACGCCTGGAGTGGACCCGGAGGATCTGAAGTGGTTCTTCGAGGAGGTACACCGCGTCACAAAGACGTTTGCGGGGCGTTGAGAGGAGCAACTATTGCTCCCCGATATCCTCGTTCCTGGCCAGGCCATTAGACAAGAGTGAGGGCTAGAAGGAAAGAGTGACCACTCACCAGACATTGGGCTTCTCGGCAATGAATCTAGCCATCAAGGCCTTGCATTCCTCGTTCTCCAGCACGACGACCTCGATGCCCTTTCGCCGCAGGTGCTCCTCGCCTCCAACAAAGGTCTTGTTCTCGCCCACGACCACCCGCTTCACCTTGTACAATATACAAGCCCCGCTGCACATCTCGCAAGGGCTTAGACTCGTATACATAGTGGCACCCTCATAAGCGTTTGCCGGCAACCTGCCTGTATTCTCCAGTGCCGAGATCTCAGCCTCGTTCTCAGTCAGCCAGGGAAATGACCGGAGGTGCTTCTGGGACCTACATGCAACGTTGCGCTCCCTTTCTGAATCCTCATGTTATGCCCTCGCCCAAGTATACTTCCATCCCTGCTGACCAGACACGCACCAATAGGAACGCCGCCCTCAGCGAAGCCCGCCTTGGCTTCTTCGAGGGCAGCAACAAAGCCAGGATCTGATTCGGACATTTCGTACGCAACTCGGTTCGCAGGTCACACTCTGTCACAACGCTTACCTGCGGGAGATCAGGTCTTGATCACACGGTTTTGCAGAGTCAAAGCCAAGAGACAAAAAATGTTCGGGGTCATCTTATCAGAGGCGGAAACTGCGTCGATACCCGCCCGGCAATCGGGACGGACAAAAGCGACTCCTGTGACGGGCAGATTCCACACAGTGGGACAGGCCTCTGCGGTCGTTTCCTGTTCGCAAGGAAGTGATGATGGTGTGACGAGCACAAGCAATTCTGAGCCGCCTATGCTGCTCGACTGCACCTGTTCCTGGTTTTGCTGTTCGCTGGGAGGCTTGGAAGAAGCGAACAGAGGCGGGGGCGTTGGGACCAAGGTGGGCGTCTATTTTGGGCGTGTGCTTGGTTGGATTTCGGGTGGATCCTTAACTATCGACCCCGCTATCAGTGACGACCTTACTTGGAAGTGCCTAGCTCGCCGTGACTCCAGGCGCCGAGCCCGTGCTTTTACTGCCTGATTGGCGGGGGCTGCTCACTCTTTTGCATCTCTGCTTCTCTTCACGTCCGCCTCGCCTACAACGGCGAGCCCAATCATGGTGCACAGCATGGGACCCTTCAACCACCAACAGCCTCTCAGCGGCCAGGGCACAGCTGGTACTTCAAGTACGTGCGATCGTCTGCTTCTCGCTTCGTCGCATGCTCTCCCTCCGTCTCGCAGCTCAGGGGGAGTCCATCAGTTTCACGATTTGAGGCCTCTGTGCTGTCCGCGCCAAATGATACCCAACGTGTAGGATCCGGCCCATCAAATACACGATGCTGCCACTTCTTCCCGCCGAGCTGCTTACTTTTCTACTTTTCACTGCTTCAACCCTCGCCGCTCCTGCCGAACAGAAGAAACCCAGCGTTTGGCACTTTGAGATCGACAACGGTCCTGCCCCTCCGCCAGACTCGCCACTGAGTCCACCTGGCGCTGCTCGAGCATTTATCGGTAGAAAGTATCTCAAGTTTGAGATTATCGGTATCGCTGGCGCATACCTCGTTTGGCTTGCCATCACCTTTGTGCTCTTATTGTCCGTGGGACTGAAGCTACGACGAAGAGCACAGTCGTCCAACGGAACACTCAGCATGGAGATGCTCAGAATCCAGGAGGCCAATGAGAAGGCGCTGCCTGCGAACCCTGGCCCGCTCAGTCCGGGCAAGATGGCCAGTTTGAAATCCTGGGCCACGAGAAGCCACAAGAAAACCCCGAGCAACGTCACAAGCTCCACCATCGATACGCGGCTTGTGGCGGAAGACAAGGCGAGAAATGCAGACGAGATGGCCAAATTGTATGCGCATGTCATGGCACAGGAGGAGGCAAGAGAGCGTGGCAGCAGCACCTCGGACAGCTCGCCATCAAGTCCCTACAACCAGGCTTTCTACACCCAGCCTCAGCGGACAATGCCTACGCCACCCCTTTCACCGCAAGAGCAATATCCACCAGAGCTGCAGCATTTGCGTCAAGGGAAGCCGCATCCATCGGAGTCGCCTTACTACTATCCTCCACCGCAGCAGGACCGCTCCGAGAACATCTCTCAGGCAACCACCCGCCTTGGAGAAACGCCTCGCTCTTTTTCTGCCAGACATGAGCGTGTCGGGTCGAGCAATTCCAACAAGCTCCGACCCAGCCGTGTCTCAGTGCGAGGAAAGTCCATTTCTGAGCCCATTGGCGATGCGGATCTCTCTCAGTCCTTTGGTGACAATGAGGCCACGCCTCTATCGCCCCGCCTCTACACTCCCGGCCCGGCACCGCCTACACCAGGCCGACAAGCAGCGCAGGGTCTGCCAATGTCACCACGCCTCTACAATCCCGGTCCACCTCCACCAGTGCCTAGCTCCCAAGACAGCAAATCAGCGAACCGACGCAAACAAACTCCAGGTGCACTTTCTCTGGGTGGTTCTAGCGAAGCCAACAGTTCTACCCGCACTCTACCATTCCGGCAAGTCTACCAAGACGCTCTGAAATCGGCACCTCCCACCAAGACCACATTCGTCAACATTCGAGAGAGTGTCATGGGAAGACATCCCAAGACTGGAGTTCCGCAGACGCCTTACAGTCCTTACCAGCCCATGACGCCAATGACTCCGGTCACCCCGAGCAGACTGGTCAGCAAAAAGGAAATGAAGCGCGAGAGGAAGCAGAACCTGCATGTATTGAGTGAGGACGACATGGTGAAAAATGACGCAGACATGTGGTCTTGAACCGAATTAATCTAAGGGGATTTTCATATCAATGTATGAGCAGGAGTTCACCGGCAAAGGACAGAGCCCCTGCGACTTGAACAGATTCCCTTCAGATGGAGGGCATGTCTTTGCATACCTAGTTTCCAGACAGCCAGCTGAGGATGCTGGCCATTTCTTAGATACCCAATCTGCTTCAAATCTATGCTTCCAGAGCCGATCTTTTCAGAGCGTCATTTATATCTGCGACACAGTGATAAGTCAACAGACTCTCGCCTCTCGTAAGCACGCCATGTAAATGGTGCTCGCCTAGCCCCGACTGCGGCATGACTAACCCTAAACCATTGCCACCCTGCAGTTTTGCCCCCCGCCTGCTCCACTTCTATACCTCCATGTATATATCGTGAGTGTCAGCCTTCGCTTAACCTCTTCTCAACATCCTGCAACCACTCTTTTGGGAAGGAGCGATCGTTCACTAGTAGGTCGCACTTAATCAGTCGAATCTGGTCTTGCGACACGTCCTTTGCATAGAGCCACGCCGGTACTCGCACTGTCATATTCTCGCGATCGCAGTTCCCCGCACCTCACAGACGGAATCTGTGACTCGCGCTTATCGAACACGACCGACCTGGCGTAGACGCCTAGCAAGATGACTCTCAGCGTCCTGACTGACAACGATGTCAAGGACATCCTCCTCAGCCTAACCACCGAGGATGCCAATGTGCTGCAAGCGAACCTTTCGGAAGCGCTTCATTCCTATTCTACGGGCGACACCAATTCGCCCTGTTGCTCCTCTTACCAGCCCTTGCGCACCGTGGTCAAGAAGCATGGCGTCACTACTTTGTTCATGCCGGCCACCACCGGTGACGCGATCGGCATGAAGGTCGTCTCCCTCGAAGCGCCTGAGACACCAGAGAAGAAAGGAAGCGTTTCCTCGCGCTCGACGGATTCCTCCGTCAAGTCCGTGGGCTCTAATTTGTCGGGCATGACTCTTTCTCCGTCAAGCACCGTCTCCTCGGCCGACTCTACAACGGGCTCTTCCTTCCAGGCGCCGCCCTCAATGGCTAGCACGCAGTCCACCACGCCGAGAGGCACGGTCACGATGATGGATGCGCAAGGCAATCCTATTGGCATCCTGAACGCGGAGGAGCTCACGGCTTTCCGCACCGCCCTCGCCGCCACCATTCTGTTTCAGAAGCGCGAGCACGTTCACACGATTACGGTGTTTGGCGCGGGCAAGCAGGCGTACTGGCATATTCGCCTGGCCCTCATGTTCAAAGGCGATCAGATCAAGCACGTCAACATCATCAACCGGTCCCTGGAGCGCAGCCTCAAGCTCATGAAGTCGTTCCAGCCGACGGAAGGCCAGACGCTTCCGTGGCGATCAGACGTCAAGTTCTCAGCCCTGTCACCCGAGTTTGGCGAGTATGGCCGACTACTCAAAGAACAGATCCGCAAAGCGGACGCCATCTTCTGCTGCACGCCATCGTTGGAGCCGCTGTTCCCGCCGGAGTTCCTGACCAGTCACAACGGGCAGAAAAAGGGCCGGTATATCAGCGCTATCGGGAGCTATGCGCCGCACATGACGGAGCTGCATCCCGATATCTTCAAGCACGCGACGAACATTGACAAGGAGCACCAGCACCACCCACACCCGCATTTCAAACAGGCGAAGAAATCTGGCGTGGTCATTGTGGATACGCTGGAAGGCTGTCTCAAGGAGGCGGGGGAAGTCATCCAGGCCAAGCTGAAACCGGAGCATCTCGTGGAGGTGGGAGAGTTGATGATGATCAAAAAGAGTGTAACGCGGGAGATGGAGCTGGGTGGGGAGGGAGAGAAGGAGTTGAAGGATTGGTTGATCAGAGGCAACGTCCTTTACAAGAGCGTCGGATTGGGTCTCATGGACTTGACGGTAGGTACGGATTTGATCAGGTTGGCGAGGGAAAGGGGCGTGGGTGTGCACGTTGAGGATTTCTGAGGACTGTACTGGTCATTACAGGTTCGATCAGGTGAGTGGGGTAGAAAGAGACCTGTTGGGTGTATATGTCTGGGACTACTAAGACACACACGCACTGTGTCCGGAGGACGTTATAAGTGACGGTGGCTATCCTGATAGCGAAATTTCTCACGAGGCTGAGTCTGTGTTACGCAGATGTGTCCAACCGCGCACCTTTGCAGTATCCTTGAGAAAAGTGTTCTAGAAGCCAGACCCCCGTCATCTGTTGGGATTGTGGCTGAAACCAGCTTCAGTCCACCACACACAGCCTGAACTGTTTATACACAGGGGCGATTGATTGGATATGGCCTGGCCGGGGGCCCCAACAGGTGCGGCAAGTTCCCCCTAGGGGCAAGACGGCCCGACTCAAAACATTCGAGCATATGATGCTGCCGGCGGCTGTCGTGACTGGGCTTGTATGTAGGCAATGAAGTGACCTTTGTTGACATCTGACGGATGGAGTCGAAATTCTTCACAGCGCTACTCGAAACTTAAAGCAATGGAGATTGCATGGCGAGATCTTGGGGGCACGAGACCATTTGCGAGAAAGGGTCTCACCACTTGTTGAGCATGGGTTATTAAAAAGTGCAGAAGTGGATAGCGGGATTTTTACTGCCTGAGTCTTCTGTCATTTGAGCTCGTCATTCAGGCTCGACTGTGCTGCGCTCGGGGTGTTTGGCCGGAGTGCAACCCCTAATTCGACTGTCAGACAGACAATATACTTTTCCGCGCCCCAACTGCGATGGGCCTGGGCTGCCCCGCACTGCTCGGACCCCTACGTCAAGGAACCCGAGAAAGCTCTCGTGGGGAGGGCAGAGCCGGCGGAATGAATAGCTTTGACAGCTGCGTAGCTCCGTGATGTGGGTATCCTGGGTCCTGATAGCACACGACTGAAGTCGCTTTCCTTTCCGAACGCTCACTAAAAATCCTGTCGTTTTGTATTTTCTTCTGCGCCGCTCGTGATCTACAGAGCCGACGAACTACAACTTGGCCGTCGGCAGCGTACGCGGTGCAGGCTCGGTAGTGAAAGCGACCTGCTTCCTCTCCAGCTCGCGATGCGATAGCACAAGCGCTACCATGCCTCCACAACAAGTCAACCTCCCCAATGGGCAGATATACAACATCACCGCCGTCTTTGGCGGGTATAGCTTCAAGTCCACGAATCTGGACTTGCACCATTCTGCCATGCCGCCGGGGTGGACAGTGATACTACAGACTGAGGACGAGGTGGATGAGGTCAACGAAAACCTGCGAAGGAAGAGCAGGATATCGGTCTTGAGAGAACCGACCGACTCGGACGACCCCAATCAGAAGCGTACCATAGCACATCGCTTTGTCCAGCCCACGATCCAGAGCGATTCGGTCTTCATCTCGTCAATATCCATGCCAGCGAACAGTGATTTCAAGGGCCCGACATCACCCACGAGGCATATTGCTCTCATGCTGTGGGCCACACTATATTGGTACTTCCACAAGGACCCTCCGAAGCCCCAGATTTGCACCGAGGAAGGTGCTCTGACACCTGAGCTGGGGAGGCCAAAGGCTGAATGGCGGATAAAGGTCAAGAGGGAGGGCATTCTCAAGGGCAAGAACATCATGCAGAAATTGGAACGAATGGGTCTGGTCGCCAGCGAGGACTCGTGCGTTGGTACCGATACAGATATCCGATTGCCCACCGGTTGGGCCGAAACCTTTGTCAGCCAGCGAGCCTTCTGGCAGACCGACCCCAGAATATTCCTCTTCACCCTGGCACCGCAACAGCACTCACCCTTCCCAACACAATCGCCGCATCCCTCACGACCTGCATCGCCCGACCGCAACCCCGAGAACCGGCCCTCACCGCGCCCCGTTGACAGCATCGTCAACACCACCGGCATTTTGACCGATGGTCTATCAGCCGGCATTGCTTCGCCCGGAGGACCGTTCAATTCTGGATCGCATCTTCCCACGTTCTACCCTCCACCACCTCCTCAATACACCTTCACCAACCATATCCGCCATCCCATCCGCCCGAAACCACCTCGCCAGGGTGAGGTCTTCTACACGCGCTACATTCCCTCGGTAGAGCAATGGCTCTCCTTCCGTATCCCCTCGCTCTCTCACCGGCCTGTACCGCACCCGCACCTCGGCCCAATTGGCGGTTCCATGCCCGCCACGGCCAACACCAACAGCATAATGAGCCCCCCGGGCAGTATCGCAACGCTGCCCACACTCGCCTCCTTTGGTGAGCGACAGTCCGACCTCGACCTCCTGCACAGATGGATGAACGATCCGCGCGTGAATGCTGCGTGGAGCGAGGCGGGCCCGCGAGAACGCCAGCGCCGCTTCCTGGAGGATGCGCTGAACAGCCGCCACAGCTTCCCCGTCTTTGGATGCTGGGACGGACGGCCCTTTGGCTATTTCGAGGTATACTGGGTCAAGGAAGATAAGCTGGGGCGGCTGTTGGGTGGAGAGGTGGGGAACTACACGCGGGGACTACACGTGCTCGTGGGCGAGCAGGAGTTCCGAGGCCCGCACCGTGTGAGGGCGTGGTTGAGTGCACTGGTGCATTATGCCTGGCTGGCGGATTCAAGGACGGAGACGGTCATGTTGGAGCCGAGGGTGGATAACGAGAAGTAAGTTTCTTCGCCTCTAAGAAGGAGATAAAACTTGGCTAACGTGCTTTCGCAGGTTTCTAAAGTATTTGGCAGAGGCAGGATTCTATAAGCAGGGCGAAGTGTCGTTTCCGCATAAGCAGAGTGCGGTGATGAAGATCGATAGGGAGAGCTGGGTGGCTCCTTGCACGTGAGTCGGATGAACGTAGACGAAAGGAAGATGTCGAGCTCGACACCGCGGCCAGGCGGGCTTGGAATCTAGGCCTCGAGAGGAACATAACGCATGTTTGGTGTTTTGAAAGATGTTGGAAAAGTGGGAAGTGTCAATGTCTTGAGAACACGAAATCGACCAACACCAGAGCTCGAACGCTACGTAGCGCATTATTGAGATATGAACTGATGTAGAACGATCCAGTCGTCAATGCAGCCTCGCATACATCTTGCCCCTCCAATGGTCAACTGAGTCATATCCCCACTGCTCACCGCCCGCCATGACTCACCTGGCACGATTTATTTCACTCCGAGCATCGCACGAAATAACTGCCTCACCTCCCGCATACCGGTCATTCTCTTACATCAAGCATTCTACGGCGACATTTGCCATCTAACACCACTGTAGAAGGCACGTACAATCGTTCGATCCGCCATCATGGCGACCCAGATCCCGGTCGACCCCACCCTGAACTCGGCCAATACCCTCAAACTCGAAAATACACACAACCGCGATGTCCTCATTGCCATTGAGAAGAAATACCAGCAAAAATGGCAAGACGACAAAGTCTTCGAGTCGGATGCGCCCACCACCTCCGAAATCCCCTGGGACTCGCAGTCCGCGGCCGACATCCGAGTTCAGCAACCCAAATACTTCGGTACCTTCGCCTATCCATACATGAACGGCACCCTCCACGCCGGCCACAGCTTCACGATTTCAAAAGTTGAGTTCACGGCCGGCTTCAATCGTCTGCAGGGCAAGCGCGTCCTGTTCCCGCTGGGGTACCATTTGACCGGCATGCCCATCAAGGCCTGCGCGGACAAGCTGGTTGACGATGTCAAGAACTTTGGGCAGAACTTCGAGCGCTTCAATGAAGATGAGGGTGATGAGGAGAATGGCGTTCCAATTGCACCCACCCAGGATGTTAACGTCAAGAAGGACATCACCAAGTTCAAGTCTAAGAAAAGCAAGGCCGCGGCCAAAACTGTCAAGGCCAACCACCAGTTCCAGACCATGCTCACCATGGGCATACCGCGCGAGGAGATTCACAAGTTTGCCGATGCCAACTACTGGATGGAGTACTTCCCGCCGATCGCGAAGCAGGATCTCATTGATTTCGGGGCCCGTATTGATTGGCGCCGGCAGTTCGTCACCACGGACGCGAACCCTTACTACGATGCGTTTGTGCGGTGGCAGATGAACAGACTCAAGGAAGCGGGCAAGATCCTGTACGGGAAACGCTACACGATCTACTCGCCCAAGGATGGCCAGCCGTGTATGGATCACGATCGGACGAAAGGCGAGGGTGTAGGGCCTACGGAGTACACTGCGCTGAAGCTTAAGGTCAAGGAGTGGGCGCCTCAAGCGGCGGAGGCCGTGCAGGGAAAGTTGCCGAAGGATGCCAACGTGTTCTTCGTACCTGCGACGCTGCGACCGGAGACAATGTACGGCCAGGTTTGCTGCTTTGTGGGACCGAATATCAAGTACGGACTCTTCAAGGCGAGTGAGACTGAGTACTATGTTGTAACGAAGCGAGCGGCGTGGAACATGTGCTTCCAGGGCAAGTTCTTTCCCGACGATGAGAGTAAGTTCCCAAGAGACCAGAAGGAGCTGCAGCCAGTAGTTGAGCTACCTGGTTCCGCCTTTGTTGGCACTCTCATCAATGCGCCACTATCAGTGCATACAGAGGGTGTGCGGATACTTCCCATGGAGTCTGTGTCCGCGACCAAGGGTACTGGTGTTGTGACATCGGTACCGTCGGATTCACCAGATGACTTCGCGACTATGCGCGAGCTGGCGAAGAAGGCCGACTACTACGGTATCAAGAAGGAGTGGGCTGAGCTTGACATGCCGCCCATTATCGACACCCCTGCCTACGGCAACCTGGCTGCGAAGCACCTGGTGGAGAAGATGAAGATTCAGTCGCCCAAGGACGCTACCCTTCTGGCCGAAGCTAAAGATCTCGCTTACAAGGAAGGTTTCTACAATGGCACGATGCTTGTGGGAGAATTCAAAGGGCAGAAGGTCACCGAAGCAAAGGAGAAAGTGCGCGTCGCTCTCATCGAAAAAGGCGAAGCGTTCCCCTTCGCCGACCCATCGGGCGAAGTTATCTCCCGCTCTGCTGATGAGTGCGTGGTTGCCAACATCCCGCAATGGTTCCTCAACTATGGACCTAATGACCCCACATGGCAATCCACCGTCATCGACTATGTCAAGTCTACCGAAGGTCTGGCGACTTACACGCAAGAGACCGAGAACTCGTTTATTGCCAACCTCGAGTGGCTAAATCAGTGGGCTTGCGCACGGACTTACGGCCTGGGCTCGAAGCTGCCCTGGGATCCCAAGTTCTTGGTTGAGTCCCTCTCTGACTCAACGATTTACATGTCATATTACACCATCGCGCACATGCTGCACAGCGACAAGTTCGGCACCACGCCAGGCACCCTGGATATCAAGCCGGACCAGATGACCGACGATGTATGGGACTACGTATACACACGCACATCTGACGCCGCTGCCGTTTCCAAATCCTCTGGCATTCCTGTTGGCAAGCTGCATACCCTCCGCCGCAGCTTTGAGTACTGGTACCCTCTCGACCTGCGCTCCTCTGGCAAGGATCTCATTCCTAACCATCTTACCTTCTTCCTGTACATCCATCTGGCACTCTTCCCCCGCGAGTACTGGCCCAAGTCTGTCCGTGCAAACGGTCACTTGCTGCTCAACGGTGAGAAGATGTCGAAGTCAACAGGCAATTTTTTGACCTTGTCGCAAGCCACCAAGAAATTCGGCGCGGATGCTACCCGTATTAGCCTCGCTGATGCTGGTGATGGCATGGAAGACGCCAACTTTGAGGAGAAGGGCGCCAATGCTGCCATCATGCGCATGTACACGCTCAAAGAATGGATTGAGGAGACTCTGAAGTCTTCCGACCTGCGCACGGAGTCTGGTTCAGTTCTATGGGATCGCCTCTTTGAAGACGAAATGCATCTGCTCGTCCACGAGGCCGAGTCTCACTACGCGGCCACGAACTACAAGCTTGCTCTGAAATCTGCGCTCTATGACTTCCAGTCGGCGCGAGACTTCTACCGCGAGGCGTGTCTGTCATCCGGTGTGGCGATGTCGCGGCCCGTGCTCGAGAAATACGTCGAGCTGCAAGCCCTCATCATGTCCACCATCACCCCTCATTGGGCCGAATATATGTGGCGTGAGGTTCTGCAAAAAGAGACCTCCATCCAGCTCGCGCACTGGCCGCAGGTACCAGAGGCAGACCGTAACCTCAGTGCCATGCGCGAGTACGTCAAGAACACGTCTTCAAGCATCACATCTGCAGAGGCGCAGGCCGCGAAGAAGATGGCCAAGGGAAAGACGGCGGCATTCGACCCCCGCAAGCCCAAGCAGCTCACCATCTTCGTGGCCGAGGACTGGCCTGCCTGGCAAGAGAAGTACGTCGAGCTAGTCCGCCAGTTGCTGGACGCCCACAAGATTTCCGACGGTCCAGGCTCCGACAAGGAGCTCAACGCGCAGGTGGCCAAGATGGCAGGCAAGGGCCCCGAGATGAAGAAGGCTGTCCCCTTCGCCAAGGCGCTCAAGGGCCAAGTTGTCGCTGCGCCGAGCGAGCCAGAAAAGCGCAAGGTCCTAGACGACCGCAAGCTGCCGTTTGACGAGGTCGCGCTCCTGGAAGACATGAAGAAGGGCCTCATGAAGACGACGGGCTGCCGAGATGTCATCATTCGAAAGGTCAAGGAGGGCGAGACCGGCTTGCCCGGCAACGCTGAGAGCGCCGTGCCTGGTCAGCCGAGCACATTGTTCGAGAACGTCGAGAACGAGCCTTAGTCGGCCTTGTATTTCTTGATCGCTATGTCTTTTGGCAGAGACGCGCCTGATGCGCTGTACACGAGGGGCAAACACGCCCGAGCGAAAGCGTGGTAGAACGAGGCGTTCCGGTTGCGCTCGTACCAGCGGTGGCAGCGAAGAGCTAAAGTCATGGAGCGCACCAAGTGGCGTGCGATTGAGCCGCAGGGCTGGGAGGGAGGAGTGAGCTCGTGGTTGCGGTGTGGAGAGTGTCAGGGCTGGAGGCAGGGGTCGTGAGATGGACTGACTAAGTCGTGGAGCGTATGCTATCTCTTCTTACAACGGCGTGTGGTTGAGAGGAGAGGATAAGCTTGAAAGGGCAAGGATGATGATGATGATGATGTCCGCGCCCACGTCTACTTCGGACTAGACGAATCGAATCAACGAGAAAAAAGAGGAAACGCAGATCCTCAGGATGAAATGCGATGATAGAACCAAAAAAGGATTCAAAATTATTGGTCTTATCCCTGTGTGGGATTCCCTGCACTCCCTCTGCCGTCCGGGACACATTGATTGTTCCATGTACATTGACCGGAACACCCGCACAACTGCTGCCCACGTGCACGTCGTTGACTGGCTTTCGGCTGTTTCCTGCGCTACTGGCTCATTTGTCCTTTGAGGTCAATGTCGGCGAGGTAGCTATGAACAACAGGTCGGATAACTTGCACGAAAGGCAGCCAAGAAGAGTTTAAAAGTGCTCTCCTGGTTGTCATGGGACTTACTACTTCACAAATGTTAGGTCTCGGTCTGAGAGCCGGAGTCGATAACAGTGGTGTCAGAAGTGAGATGCCGTAGTCAGACCGCTCACTCCTAGTCACGCTTGCGTTTACATGACGCTTTACCGTTTGGATCGCAATGTCGAACCTCGAGGTTTTGCAGACTCACCTCGGGACTGGTCTTCACCAGCCTCTCCGCTTCATCACACGTGCGCCATGCCGACGGTAGGGCAACGACAATGTTCGTTCACAGCGCTGCGTTCGTCACGGCTGGTGTTCGATATCACTCAGCAAGCAACGGCGAGGTTAATGTCGTACACGACGGTCGATCGATTGCAAGCCGTTTGCAAAGCGTTTGGCCGCACTCGTGGGAGGCGGATTCCATCAATATAAATGCTAGATCGTCGAGCTTTTTGGAACATGACTTTCCTGTTTCTAACAACCGCCCTCCGTCGACCATCGAAGATATCGAAATATAAATCCACCAACTTCAAGTCTGCAAGCTCACCGAAACCACACTTTCCACACAATGTCGAGTCCTCGTCGTTGTGGCCGGTGCGGCTCAACACACCACCACGAGAGTTGTTGTCCGGAACGTCCGCCGAAGCCAAGAGCCCCGCCGCCAGAGCCCCGCCGTTGTCGCATATGCGGGTCTGCGCGCCACCACGAGAGTTGCTGTCCTTCAACATAAGAGCTCGGACGAAGCAGGGGCTTGCAGCAGCCGGCGATGCATGGCTTGTATGACAGGTTATTCCACGGGCGGTTGTCCAAACGTGCAGCGGAAATGCAATGTTGAGAGTCGGATTTCGTCATGATTACAGCAAAGAGGGATCTGGTATCAAGTACTCAACTGTTGTTTCATCGTAAATCTATCGCTGCGTCCTTCTCCATGGCTTCCCTGAGGTGTGCAATGGAACATGCGAATACACTTTGACTGCTGCGCTGATGAAGCGTCATGGCGTGAGTAGATACAGGGAATCAGAAATCGAAACGGAGAGACGACGGTACGTAGCACAGGACTCGCTGGAGCCGAAGGAAGAAATGTGGCTGTCGTTGAAAGAGCGCTCGAGAGCCTCGGGGGTGCCAAGAGATGAAGTCAGCAGGTTAGCCGAAGCAGAAATATTGGCGCCAAGCCACACTTTTGACTGCGGTCTCGAGTTGTCAAATGATCGTGATAGACTTGGTGTTTGAGACCTCGAAACCACAACATCACCATACTTAACATCAAGTTTGCCCTTAAACATCCTTCCTGTATCCTAAACAGAAATGGGGGGCAAATCCGGAACTAAGGGTCAGTCTGCGCACAGGATCACGACCGAAATTGTCGCTAACTTCAGCAGCCGTCTACTTCGACAAGCTCAAGGGCTTGCTCGACGAGTACAAGTCCGTCTTCATTGTCGGCGTTGACAAGTACGTACCTTTGGTAAAACCTGCAGAATAGTTCTAACCGATGAATAGTGTCTCCTCGCAGCAAATGCACGAGATCCGTGCCTCCCTGAGAGGCGAGGCCGTTGTCCTGATGGGCAAGAACACCATGGTCCGCCGCGCCGTCAAGGGCTTCATTACCGACTCCCCGGAGTTGGAGAAGCTCCTCCCTCACATCAAGGGTAAATGCGCACAAGAGTCAGAGTACAAAGAACCGGGACTGACATATCGCAGGCAATGTTGGTTTCATCTTCACCAACCAGGACCTCAAGGATATCCGTGACAAGATTCTGGCCAACAAGGTCGCCGCGCCCGCCCGTGCCGGTGCTGTTGCTCCCGCTGATGTCTGGATCCCCGCCGGCAACACTGGTATGGAACCCGGCAAGACCTCTTTCTTCCAGGCCCTCGGTGTTCCCACCAAGATCGCTCGTGGTACCATCGAAATCACGACCGATCTCAAGCTCGTCGAGAAGGATGCCAAGGTCGGCGCGTCCGAAGCCACTCTTCTCAACATGCTCAACATCTCCCCTTTCTCGTACGGTATGAAGGTTCAGCAGGTCTATGAGGACGGTCAGACTTTCTCTCCCGATGTCCTGGACATTGAGGAGGCGCAGCTCCTGAAGGCGCTCAGCACCGCCATCACGACCATTGCTACCATCTCTCTGGCCACCAACTACCCTACCCTTCCCTCGATCATGCACTCTCTGGTCAATGGCTACAAGAAGGTGTTGGCTGTTGCGATTGAGACCGACTATAGCTGGGAGGGCATTGAGGAGCTCAAGGACCGTATCGCCAACCCCGATGCGTACGCTGCTGCTGCCCCTGCGGCCGGTGGTGCTGCCGCTGCCGCCGATGATGCACCTGCGGCTGCTGCCAAGGAGGAGGAGAAGGAGGAAGAGGAGGAGTCTGGTGATGAAGGTCGGTTACAGAGTCCGCCCATATCGAGCGCAAATGCTAATCAGTCACAGGTTTCGGTGGTCTCTTCGACTAAACGATTGCAACCCAGATACCCCTTTGATCTCATGCTCATGAGTGCGCTTCATCTACGATTCTACGAAGATAGAGGCCATGCACGAAGTAGCGACAATGAAAGACCAAATGAGGCAGCCTTAGACAACTACTGTGCACTTGGGTTGTTCGTCTTGATTCGCCACGCCGGACTCAAACGTAGCTCTTGGTAAGCCACACTGTCTCTTTCACACACCTGATTTCTGGATGATGATCATTTTTAACGCGGAGATCTCTTCGATGAAGATCAAAAACTACGCAACAACTTACACTCTAATTTTTTACTGACTCCCAGTCTTGGAATTACATTCGTTCATCTTTGACTTGAATTGTGGACCCATCGCTGACTTAAACAAGTTCTCACAGGCCTTGAGATCAAGTGGCATTGCCCTGGCGTCCATTCCCCATCGTTTCCCTCCCGATATAATTGCGTTCGACACCGGATCGTGACAGCAATGCCGTAGTTCTAGCAAGATGCTCGCCATAATCACTGCTGACCCATCGGCTTCGTTCGGTCTGCCTCCTCTTTCTCCGCGAGGCTCAGATTGACAATTTCTGGCTCTGTTTCCGCCCTACTAGGGACTCCCGACGAGGACTGTTCCTCTTCTCGCCCGTTGTTCCCTGTAGATTCCCATGTAGCCTTGTACCTCGTCCACAATTTCTCCACGCCACACCCAAACAACCCTCCCCAAAACTCCTTCTCCTCATACTTGCCCTTCATAGTCGCATTGAGTTTACTGACGGTTCCTGCCCCAAATTCACCCTCCAACCACTCCAGAAACCACGCCGTTCGCTGATACCCTTCATCCCACTTGCTGCCCATCTCCTTCTCCGTGCAGCCCTTCTTCCAGTGCGGCGGCGCCAACCCGGCTTTCAGGCGCACGTAGTCGGCGATGCCCTCAATCAGACCACCCGGCGCCGTGCCTTGGCAGTTGTGCTGGAAGCAGTGAACCATTTCGTGTGTGATGACACCGATGGCTTCGTGGCGGAAGGCAGTCGGTGAAGAGATGCGGTTTGAGAGGTAGGCTAGCGAGACGTGGATTTCCTTGTGCAGGGAGTCGAGATCTAGACCGGTGGTGTACTAGAGAGAGAAGAAAAGTCAACAGGGTGTTAGCTGATGGCGGGGGAGTGCTGCGGTTCAGAAGCAGTTGTACAATATGTGTCTGTGAGAGTCGTGGAAGGGGCCAAGAAGCGTGAATTCGCTACGTTAATGACAGGAGGCTGGGCAATGAATTTAGACTATTTGTGAGACTTACTGCGACTCCTCCCATGTCACGGAGGATAAGAGTGACTGACCGTACGGCGGGAATGCTGTGGAGGCCATGCGGGTGGTACAATTGCTTGAGGATGTGATTGATGGCATTGGGAATCAAGTGCGCGGTATCGATGGTGGTGAGAAAGGTAGTGGTAGCAGGTGAGGTAAGATCATTGAGATGTAGACGCAATGTGGGAGCATGCTTGAGTGACGGCGGTAAAATGGGTGTGGGATGTTGCGCAGTGTCTCTGTCGGGTGTGACGGGGGCCATGGTTGGCCGCTGATTGGATAGTCAAGGAGGCCGACGAGGTCGTTATCAAGTTCCACAGACGCACCTCTACACAGACGACCAGCCAGGAGGATCTTATGGTGGTAGGGGTACTCGAGGGCAACTCGGCGGGAGATCTACGAAGAAGCAATGCAGTATCTAGAGCGCTGGACAGCACGCAAGGGGTCGCTGGGACACCCACGAGATATGGATGCTGCGGAGACTGGCTCTGGTGTAGAGCGCAAGTACAGTTGAGATCAGTGCAGATGCTTTCGAGACTGATTCTGAGTAGGGGTAGATCGAAAGACACCTGAGATACTGGAAGAGAGGTAATCAGGTCAGTCGTCGTTCGATCAGACCAGTTGGGAATACCCACTCGATCCCAATTCGGTTAGCGTGTTCAGAATCAAATAAATAACACGCCCCGCGCTCTCCCACCACACCTTCACATCATTGTACACTTGCTCGAACTTCACTCAAGACTCGCTCAAGTCTCACTCAAAAGTAAACCGCTGTAATAATTGCTCCTGCCTCTGCAGTTTATTGCACAAGAATCACAAATTTCACCCGCAACTTATTCACACCTCACCCTCAACTCACCTCGCGAAAGTTCCCACAATGGCCGCTTTCTTCATCACCAAGCGGGCTCTGGCTGCAGTCTAGCGACCTGTTGCCAGCACCGTCAATTTCTTGGTTCTTCTGCTCGCTGCTTGGTCCTTTCTTGCTTTCGGTCTCCTCCAGTTCCTTGGTTTCTCGTCTGTGGCCAAAAAGGTCTACAAAGTTGCCCGCCTTGCCGACAGTCTTGGACGCGTCGATACCCGTGGCCCAAAAGCCAGTGACCTTCTCCTCTACACACTCTTCAACTTCAAATTCCCCAACATCATGGACTACGAGTTCTACGACGTCATCAAGGGCGTGCGTGCCGAGTTCGAAAACGCTTCAGAGAATGAAAACAATTGGAAGCGCCGCAACGACATCTGCCGCCGTCTCGCCGAACTCTGCGAAAAGCGCAAGCATGATCCTCCTAGAGACCTCTACGACCAGCTCAAACCCCTCTTTCAACCTATCCTCACTACCTGTACAACCGAGCGGACCACACTCGGTATTTCTGCCTTGGTCTGCCTCAGCTCTTGGTTCACGGTCCTTGGGTCACAGATGAACCCACAGATCGACCACATGTTGCCGACTCTAATCTCTCTGTGCGGCGTCACCAAGAAGCTTACCTCCAAATCAGCGGGAAACGCCATGGATGTTGTCGTCGCTACGGTCGGATACAGTCCTCGGCTTGTCTCTCATGTCTGCGATGCCTTCAAAGAGAAGGCTGCAAGCACAAGACTTTTCGCCGCCGCCTGGCTCGCTCAAATTTTCCTGCTCTACTCCAAACAGCTGGATCCTACTCGCGATTATCCTAAAATCGCTCGTGCCCTTCTGGACGGCCTTCAAGACTCTCAGAACACTGTCCGCGAAGCGATGAGAGCCACGTTCTGGAAATACGCCAGAATTCCGGGAAACGATGCTGCTGCAATCATGGACAAGCTGCCAAAAGACAAAGCTACGGCACTTGAAAAACATCCGGACAACCCAGACAGAACTGCGCAGGCCAAACAGCCACCTCGACCAGTGTCAGCGCTCTCACAGATCAAAGCTAAAAATAAAGCTATGAAACAGAGCACGACTGCGAAACCCACCGACAGTTCTGCGAGCTCCGCCCTTAATAAGTCGACCCACCTGAATACATCGACGTCTAGTATCACATCACAGAAGCCTGCTCCGATTGCTACTATGGCCGGTGCGCCAACCCGCATGCCTGCGTCTGGACGCGCTAACACCGCTCCCCATGGACTGCCGCGGAGAGATTTCATCCATTCTTCCCATTCCGAAGGAGTCCACGCTTCCGATGGCGTCCAGATTCCACTCCCTTGTTCACCAAAAGAAAATGCATTCGCAGACCTCGAATCCCATGACGACACTGAGAGGCCTGTTGTCTCGAAGAAGAAGAGTCGTTATGGACATGAATACTCTGAGAGATCCGAGCACTTGACTACGGATAGACCCGGTAGCGAGGATGCTCCACCCAAACACCATACCAGCAAAAGCTTAGAGAAAGTCGCTGCTGTCGAGAACACCCTAAAGGATGACTCAATCAAGGCCAAGCAGGTCGATAATGCCAGTCTCCGCAATCTTATGGCGGCACCAGTCAGACGTCCCCGCATTGTTGCTACTCCAATCAATCAGGCACACCCTGCTGTCCGCCCTTCTTCACGAGACGAACCCAAGAACATTCAAACCGGACGACAGACTCCTACCGAAGAGATCATTACCCGTGGGCACAAGAAACAAGCTTCGAGCCGCTCCGGTCGTCAGACTCCTACCGAAGAACTCATTGCTCGTGGGCACAAGAAGCAAGCTTCTAGCCGCTCGGGCCGTCAGACTCCTACTATTCGCGAGGACAGCAGTCACAAGAAGAAACCCTCCGTCTCGCGTGCAAAGACCGCACCTGCTCCCGTCCCTACATCCAGACCTACATCGTCATCGTCGAGCAGCAAAATTCGCATCGATGCCTCGTCTGACCCTATTCACAACACACCACCTACTGGTCAAGAGTTCAGCTCTCCTCCGCATGAACCAGAACCCGCTAAGCCCGTCGCTACTCCCCGTATCATTGACGGCAAAGAAAACACATTTGTCCATGGAGATGGTTGCAGTCACAAGAAGGCCTATGAAGCCTGTACTGCCAAAACCAAGGACGCCAGATCTGAAGTCCAGAGACTCAAAGAAGCTCTCAAGGCTGGCAAGCTAGACGCTCTTGGCCACAAAAAGCTCTCTGGAATGCTCAAGGACAAGCCAAGTCAGCTCATCACCACCCAGAAGGACTTCGATGAGCTTTACACCATTCTAGCGAATGCCCTCGCTGCTGATGCTAACATTGCTGCCCCTCCTGGGAACGCGGCGAAGAACCCGGGACATCCTTTTTACAATCGCCATGCTCTGATTGATTCAATCATCCGCCTTCTTGAACAGTATCCCGACGCAGGGGAGCCAAGGCCAGGCATGGCATTGATTGCTGTCGCCCAGTGCAATGCGACACACCCAAGCGGCGAGCGCTTTAGAGCAGCGTCCACGATCGAAGCTGCCGCACAAAACATTGTCCGCCTCACCAGTGAGGCTAATTTACTGCCTGCGATCGACAATGTCGCAGAGTCACTCACTGAAGCCCATATGTTGGGTAAAGCCGACGTGCCCACCTTCTCCCTCGGCTTGCGGTCGCTATCAGAGCTGCTTCGAAAAGCAGCAGGTCTTGGAATGAACCTCTTCGAGGTTCAAGAGCGCCTGGTCGCCGAGGTGGCGTCTGTCGCCATCTCGTCGTTCCGCAACGACCTCGGAAGGGAGGTCTACGCGTTTGTGGTGGCGCTCAAGGGCTTGATAAGCCCAGAGGAGAGGTTGGTTGCTCTTTTTGAGCAAGAAGATGACCGAAACTTGGTCATGTACTACCTGGGTAAGTGAGGCGGTAGCCGGCCTCGCCCCGGCAAATGGGTATCGTTAGAACATTATTAGCGGGTTGAGAATTGTATCAGTAGAGTATCAGTATCACCATGAGTGAATGAAGACTATGATTAGCGGAATATTGCCTTCTTTTTGATCTCGTCGCCTTGCTTCCCGCTCTTCTTCTTCTTCCTCCAGGCCAACATTCACTCCACTCATTTACGTATCCTCAACGATTCGGACGCTTTCACCGTCATGAAAGTGACTCCAGGTTTCCAGGGAGCTAAGTGAAGAGGTCGTGATACACTAGATGGTAGTTTCGAAAGGCAGTGAACGCTGCCAGTAGTGCTGCATCCCTCGCACGAAACTTTCGACAGCACCATCCCGGAAGGCCTACCAGTCATCCACAGGACTTGTTCGTACTCCGGTCTCCAAACTTTCGCGGAGGACTATATGCCTGAGGATTCGCCCCGGACTTTGTTCGCTATCAAGACTGAGGCTTTTGCCGCTGAAGAGGGGGGGCATGGTTGGCCACCTCCACGTCGCCCTCACCTATGTTCACTACATCTTATCGTCCTCGTCTCGTTGCACGTTGCCCTCTCATTGCGAGTCTGCCTGCCCTCTGACCATGCACAACATCCAATTGAAACGAAAGACCATCAGTGATTGCCGAGGGCCGCAGTGGGCTCCTGACGGCGTCAACGAGGCCATGCTATGTTTGTTGCCTCCGGTGTGGACAATTCTGTGCTTCTGAACCGTTCTCGCAACTCCTGTTAAGCATTGGGAGCGCCGATAGCGAGCGCCAACATTTGTGATACGTCTCCCAGAGAGATAGGTTTTGATAGCGAGTCATCCTTGGTCAGCTCAATTTATGGTCTCGAACACTTATCAACGTCAGCCCTCGGACATGGGCAACCGCCGTTTACGCAAGGTTTCGACTCACCTATGCAGTCTCGCTTGCAAGCACTCTGCTTACTGGCCTCCATCAGGCAAGCAGCGCAGACTTGGCGTGGGGATTGCCAGGGTCGCGCCGAACTCATTTGATCGGTTGGAGGTCGGACTCTCGAGACGAAACCAGCTCAAAGTCTTTCAAATAGTGTGGTCGAGCTTTGATACCATGCCAGTATGGTTCCTTTGTAGTGATCTGTAGGCATAGCAGTGAGTGTCTTGGGGTGGGTGGATTTCAAGCAGGCAGTGAAATCTTGGCGGTGCGGATTGGCAGCACCTTGAAAGACCTCCATCGGGACATGTCAGTGCTCAAGCAGCCAGAGCGAGTTGCAAATTCGATACAGAAGCCACGTTATTGCTTCAAGACGAGCTCGAGAGCCACAACAAACGACGGTTCCTGAAAGAGAATCCATCAGGCCCCACCTGATTCGCTACCTGCCCACTTGATCATGCAGCAGCATTATCGAGCTTGATGAGTGCATACCTGTACCCACACTTCTGTGGTGCCCCTCATGTGCCCCTCGTCTGATCCAATACTTTATGGTCCTCACTCCAATATTTCTCTCTCTGCTTCTGTCCCTGCGAGAACCCAGGATTCAAGCTTCCTGCATAGGCAACATCATTATTTCCACCGTCTCCAAACGCATTAAGCAAACGGTACGGCCGCAGACCGCACAAGGAGCAATGGCTTCTATCGTCATGGGGTATTCAAGGTCAAGGTAACGTCCTCACAAAAGAGCATGCCGGGTGTTCGGGCTTGTTCACTACCACGAGGATCCTTCCTCGACTGTGAGGTGGGAGACTGTGTTGGTAGTGGCCAGGCCCGATCTGAGATCATACCGGACGAACTTGATCTGGATAATTCCAGCGAAAAGGACCATGCTTCTTTTGAAATCCCCTCGCCTCCTCCTTTGGGGCGTGGAGGTGGTTTCATGCTGACTTGGACAGTGACTGTTTGAGGCTGTCAAGATGTCAACTGATAAGGTCACTTTCTTGACCAATTGGTATATACTTGCATACCTGCACAGCGTGACTTGAGCTGATGAGCGTCTGAAGGCATGCCACCCCGTACCATGCGCCGCTCTATCTCGCCCAGGCGAAGGGCTTCTTCGCCGACGAGGGTATCAAGGTCGCACTGCTCGAACCGAATGACCCTAGCGTAAGGTTTTAAGTCTCGCATTCAAACTCTCGTTGACGATGACAGGACGTGACTGAGATCATTGGCACCGGTAAAGTTGATCTGGGCCTCAAGGCAATGATCCATACGCTCGCGGTAGGCTTACCTATTCTCCATCAGGATCTCGTTGACAATCAGAACAGGCTAAAGCGCGCGCGTTCCCCGTTCTCTCGATCGGGTCGCTGCTCGATGAGCCCTTCACAGGCGTCATCTACCTCAAGGAGTCCGGCATCACGCCAGATTTTCACACTTTGAAGGGCAAGCGTATTGGATACGTTGGCGAGTTCGGCAAGATCCAGATTGACGAGCTCACTTCGCACTATGGCATGGCGCCATCCGACTACACCGCGGTCCGCTGTGGTATGAACGTCAGCAAGGCCATCATCAACGGCGAGATCGATGCCGGCATTGGCCTCGAGAACGTCCAGCAAGTCGAGCTCGAGGAGTGGCTTGCTGCACAAGGACGGCCGAAGACGGACGTGCAGATGCTGCGCATTGATGAGCTGGCCGAGCTGGGATGCTGCTGTTTTTGCTCTATCCTGCTGATTGGCAACGAGGAATTCATCGAGCAAAACCCTGCCAAAGTCAAAGCATTCCTCCGGGCCGTGAAGAAAGCAACGGACTTCGTGCTGGCGGACCCTGAGAAGGCTTGGGCCGAGTATATTGACTTCAAGCCAGTGATGGGTACGGAGCTCAATAGCAAAATCTTTGAGCGCAGCTTTGCGTATTTCTCGCCGGATCTGCAGAACGTGGAGAGGGACTGGAAGAAGGTCACTAGGTACGGGAAGAGACTCGGAGTTCTGGAGGAAAGCTTCGAGCCCAACTATACCAACAAGTACTTGGAATGGACGCTCGGGGCTGACTCGAAGGATCCGACCGGGGATCAGAAGAGGATGGTGCAATTGCAAAAGGATGTTGCAGCTAATGGTGGCTTCCACCGACTGGGTGGTCAGGGTGTCGGTATTGCTGCATGAGGTGGGGGCGATTCTCGTCTCATGCAGCGGTAGAGTGCCTGGTGTGGACAGAAGATAATCGACCTATACGCTCTTTACTAGTAACAAGGCCTGTCCACCACGATCACGCAATAAATACAACCCCAATCACTTGTGTGCCAACAGGTTCGTCTACCTCGAGCCTGCTTCCATTTGCTAACTTAAGAGTCGTCCGGTCCGTAGCACACAGGTGCGTATTGGGAGAAACGCAAGACTGCGTGCTGTGAGTGAGTATTCCACGCCAGACTGGCTGAAATTGCCGGGTAGATTCCGGACCAGAAGATATTGCCCTAGGTGTTGCACCAGGACCATGTTACAGATTGGGGGAACAAGCCCCTGAGAAGGTTTCGAAGACGATCAAACGATCAGATACTGAATCGTAGGAGAGGGCTGTGGGGTAGCAACAGGTCTAGATGGGGGCTGACGAGCCAAGTGAAACGCCTCTACCATGCAATTAGCCTGACAATCATCTGTACCAACGATCGAGTGCAAGTCCTGACGACCACGTGGATACCGGCATCTCGACAGCATTTTCCGCGAAGTGGCGCGACTGGTTGTGTCGTTGAGGAGAGGGTGCATGGTGTCACGTTGCTGAAGTGCAGGCGACGCGCAAGATCGTAGGTAATAGGGGTCAGTTAGGGTAAAGCGAGCCAAAGGAATTCGATTTTTAACATTGGCCTTTGAGCCTCCGAGAGGGAACCGCAAGGCAAGCGCCGCAAGCCACGTCTGTCCCTCAGCCAGTCAGACAGTGCCCCCTTTCTTCAACATACGCCACCCTATGCTGTTTGGAGACACTTCAGGGACGAGCATGCGGGCTTGCAATCGAGCTTTAAACCCGATAGAGATGGGCGGCGTTGTAGGTGCCCATGGGTGGGGACATGAGCACCGCCAGAACTGCCAGAGGAGCACTCGTAGGGTGGAGTTCGGGGTATCCTGGTTGGTTAGCGGCCGCGCCCTCCTCGAGGGAAACCTGGCCCGCTTCAGACACTTCACATTGTGCACACAACACCCTGGTGTATGCGCATCTTTTGTGTGCTGCACTTCCAAGATAACTTCATTCTCGTCGTCGCATAGGCACGCCTTCTCTCTGAAACTACGCCTTTGACGTCCGTGAGCTCCTGGACCGCCGTAGCAGGCAGAAAGGCCAACTTACCTCCGCCCTCACTTTCCGCCCACCTCCCTGCTGGAAAACCGGGCTCCTGGTCCAGCGACAACCTAATCACGAACCCTGATAATCCTCCGGCACTGTACCAGGGATTGCCAATTGGCCTCGCCGATCGACCAACCACCCATACTCTCCTGCCTTTTCGATATCGACCTCTACCACTATCGTCCCTTTCGCGTCTTAATCTCTTGTGGACAGCCGCCGGCGGCTGGGACACCTGCTCATCAAGCAACGGGGCAATACCACAGACCAGCAAGAGGTGCAATTCCAATGCGGTACCCTGTCCTCCGGTCATAACAGTTTTGCGATTTGTTTTTGTTGTACAGTCGCCCAGTACTCAACGCGCCAGGGGCGTATTGAAATAATCCGGTCTCATCATGGCCGCCGCCGCCGTTGATCCGGGCATGACATACCCCGACTCGCCATACGACGCAGAGGATGTTCCGTATCCATGTAAAGGTTGCGGAGAGGTGAGCAGCTGGCAATGCTCTGTTGATAACCACAATCACTGACTCAACTTGCAGATCCTCGAGGAGGGCAAGGCGTTCGAGCTTGGTAGGTTCCCCGTTCCGCTCCCAATAGAGGTGTATACTGACACCTGCATAGCTGGCAATCGCTGGCACATTGACTGCTTCCGATGTAACACCTGCGGCACTCTGCTCGACTCCGATGCCAATCTACTCCTGCTTGGCGATGGCTCGCTGATATGCAACAATTGTACCTACAGCTGTAGCAGCTGTGGTAACAAGATTGAAGACCTGGCCATTCTGACTGGTGACCAAGCCTTTTGTTCAGATTGCTTCAAATGTCGCAACTGTAAGAGAAAGATTGAGAATCTGAGATATGCTCGCACTTCACAAGGCATTTTCTGCATGGATTGTCATGAAGCCCTCATGGCTCGGCGACGCAAAAAGACAGGCCGCAATCCATCAGCGCGCTCAAAACTTAGCAGCAACATATTGTTGGATAAGTCCTTACCTGCGATCCCACCTCCTGGTGCCGGAAGCTTTGCTCAAGAAGAGATGGATTATGGCCAGCCGTACGTATCGCCTCCTCTTGAAGGCCCGTCGATATCAAAGACCATTAGTGAGTTGAGGGAACCTGATTCAGGACCTTCGCCGCCACAGGAACATGTTCGAGCTGGTATGTGAATCCCTGAACCCTGAACCCTGAATCACTGCTAATACTTTCGTAGGTGGTCTCACTCTGCCATCTACCACGTTCAACGGTAAGCGTGGCTCTTTTGTCTCGTCCAAGCCAGATGCTTCCGGTATTGGAGGTGAAGAGTTTCTGGTGCCTGTTGCTTTTGACCCTACTCCTCCTGCTGGCCACTCGCCTCAGAATGTGGACGTAGCGAAAATGCCTTCCGACTACTTCTCGAGAACTCAGTCCCAGTCGAAGACAAACAGTCCACACATCACTTCGCAGTTTCAAGGCATGCAGCGTTCTCAGCAATCCTCATCGGATACACTGCGCAACCGACGGGAAGAGAGCACAAATCGGACCAACTCGACATCTGCATCGTCTTACGTGGCCGTCGAACAGCCGCAGCGACAGCCCTCGGGATCTAGCAGCATCTCGCAGGTCGCCCGCGGTGGTGTCTCAAAAGACGACGACTTTAAGCTGCAGGATGCTCCTAAGACAAAGCGGATGAACTCCAGCAGTCACTCCAAAGTCGAGTCGCAAGACCAGACAACTGCGCTTCCACAGGATTTCGCCGATGTCGACCAGTACTCTACCCCTCGCCATTCGATTGACAGTCCGATGAGCAACGAGTCACCGCGGCCGCCTCTGCATCCCGCTTTGCTGGCCGCCAATCTGCCTAAGCGGGGCGATTCGCTTGATCGAGCAAAAATGAACCAGAGTAACCAAGGCAAGACAATCACGCGGAAAGAAGTGAATACGGCCAACATACCAGCATCACTCACCAGCGCCATAAGCCCGAATACGACTGGCGACAACGCAAAGGTGAATGGCGGTAAAGTTATCTCCGCGCCTATCGAGTCTCCCAACTCTAAGAGCATATATGATACTCCCAGCATACCTAAAGACCAGGCAACCGAATCTTTTATCGAGCCCCGCAGCGCGCCTATGCCACCACCTCCAGGGTCTACTAAATCTCGCAATGAGTCGGTCAGCACTATCCACTCCGAGGTGAAGGCACAGAAGTCGCCATCGCTCCCCCGATATTCAGCAGGTGGCGATTTTACGATGGACGAGGACATGGCTCGAATTCTTGGCAACGAAGAATCTAGCAGCTCGTTCCTGAAACGTGTCTCAAATTCTGTGCGACATGGCCGCAGTTATAGCGACAAAGCTGGACGTCTCTCAAGAGACCGATGGCCACGATCTCCTGTAGCAAATCCCCTCGCACATGAAATCAGCAGTCCCAGCAGTGCCTCACCAGAGGTGCGCGAGGAGATTGCTTGGTTCAAGAACCAGCTTCGTGTCGAGCGACAAAAGATGATCGATCGCGAGAAGAGAATTGCCGAACTCGAGGCTCAGCTTGCTGCGAACGTGGAGATCAAGCAGGTGAATTCCGAACTTCGAGAGAAGAGATCCACCATGGTCGTCCTCGACACGCAGAAGGAGATTGTCGTGCGTGAGCTTGAGGTTTTGACCGAACATATCGCTGCTGTCAAGGCCAACAAGGAGCCCCTAGATGTGACGAAATTCTCGACCAACGTGCTTCGAGAGTTTGTCGATGCGCTTGAGAAGCTCAAGAACACCTTCACCCCTCAAATTGAGGACCTGATCGAAAAGAGAAACGCTCTTGTTGAGGAAATCGCCAACTTGAGCCATCTCAAGGATAAGAGCTTTGCTGAGTTCGAGCAGTTGTCTTCCAAGAATGCTCAGTTGGCCGAGCTCAACAACCAGCTTGTCCACCAGATCCAGAACCTCTACAAGGCGAACTCAGGTCATACAAATGAGCAGACCAGGAATCAGGTTAACGGACTCGGCATCTACACCCATCACAAGGATAAGTCGATCGAATCTGCCACTGCGGTCCGCAACATGTCGACTGATGTCTCAATTCCTGATTCCGCCACCACTCTCGCTACCAGCGAAGCTGAGCCAATCACTGTGCTTCAAGGGCCGCAGGTGGTCAACATTCGAAAGGGTCAACCAAAGAAGTTCGACTGGAGAAAGGGCCAGAAGGTCGCTAAGGGCGTCACGAAAGGACTCAAGGGAGCCTTCTCATCCGCTCAGCAGAGCTATAGCCGTGACCTTCAATTTGCCGAGACTGGTGCATATGGTCAGCAGCCGGCTGGCATGGGGCCCGAGTATGGTACTTCTCTGCCTGGCAAGAACCAAGAGCCTGCAAAAGGTGGCGGGTTTGGTTTCTTTGGCGCTGGTCAGAAGGCCGGCACCAAGCCCAACGGGTTGTACGCTCAGCAAGCCAACAACTCCACTCCCAGCCTGCTTGATGCTAGTATTCGTAAGTCCAGCTCGGTCATTCTTGAAATCCCGAAGCTAACAGCCACAGATCTTTACGGTTCCGATCTTATGGACCGTGCTGAGTTTGAGCGATCCGCCATCCCAACCATCGTCAAGCGCTGTATCGGCGAAGTTGAAGCCCGCGGCATGGATATGGAAGGTATATACCGCAAATCTGGTGGCAACAGTCAGGTGCAGCAAGTGCGCGACGCCTTCGAGCGTCTCCATACCGATACCTCAGCCATCGATGAAGTGATCTCCGATCCGGATATGGACATTCATGCCGTCACCTCCGGGTTGAAGCAGTACTTCCGCAAGCTCCCAATGCCGCTGATCACGTACGAAGTCTACGACAAACTCCTCGCTGCAACCACCATACCGCAGGAAAACCGCGAAGAGCGTGTGGCGGCCATGACTGAAGCGGTCAAGTCGCTACCTCGAGTACACTACGAGACTTTGGAGTATCTCATGCAGCATTTGGCACGTGTCGTGGAGCTTAAAGATGAGAACCTGATGACAAGCACGAACTGTGCGGTCGTGTTTGCGCCGACGATCATGCGTCCAGAGAGTTTAGCAAGAGAGCTAGGCGACACGAAGGCAAAGAATGAGGTGGTGGGATTGATGATTGAGGAGTGGGAGGCCGTCTTTCGCTGAGCGACAGCTTGAGGAAAGGGATCGAAGTCTTGAAAGAGATATGATGCAGGCTTTGGGAAGGGCTTGGGGCCTTTCCTGCAGTAACTGTAGCAGCTTGGGGTGATTTGATGGGCGGCCTATTCGCCGTCCTGGTCGGAACATGGAGATGTCTGCGGCATGTTTTTCCAGCGACTCCACGAGCGAGGTGTTTTGTGCGTTGTTTTTTTCCTTTTGAGAAAAAGGCTGCGCAGATTCGCAGCAGCGAGTGCCTTTGTTGGGCTTTTTGAAGCTTGAAGCGAGCGAGATGCCTGTCATGGTAAGCTTGGCGGAGGCTTTGGTAGCTACAGTCTGGGCATGGCGATGATGATGAGCCTTGAGCACGAGCCTAAGAAGGGGCCCCGGATCTGTGTGGGCGGCTCGAGCAACTTTGATACCAAATTGAACTGTGGATACGATAGCCACACTTTTTCGAATGAGAATGCCGAGAAGATGAATCTCTAGACCACTACCTTGCCCCTGCTATTTACTGCGTTTTCTTACGAATGTCATCAACAGGCGGTAATCGTAATGCTGACTTGACTCTACGTTGAAGCAGCTCCTCTCTACCGTCACTACTCGGTCAGACCGCCCGTCTGGCTGTATCCGCACCGGCACAGAGACGCTGCCCCTAGAACGTCTCGTCTTCAAGGCCCTTGGCGGGGCGCACGACTGTTGGCGAGCGCTCCTCCTCCTCCTGCTCTCCCACAGCCACGTCCCCGGCGCGATCACCGTCTTCGTCCCCGTACTGATATATATACTGGCCATCCTCGCCGATTTCGACATCGAGATCAAGGTCGTCTTCGGTGATCTCGATCTCCCCTGCCGTGTTGCGGTGCGGAGACAGACCGGCGGTGGTCAGCAGGTCATCTACTATTCGGCGGGAGGCTTCTTTCGCTGTGGGGAGTCGGCATGTTAGTACATTTACGGAAACTAAGGAGCGGCTTGAAGGAGAGAGGCCCAAACTTACCAGGTGTTTTCAGCAGGCGGTTCTGGGGCACGTGAAATTGCATGGTCTTTGGTGGGCTGCCGAATTGCAGGTCTGTGTCCTCCTCGTCGGAGTCAAAATCCCAGGCGCCACCTGTTGGGGCAGCCGACTTGTGCGCCGGTGGCGTTTGCATGGCTGAGACGCCTGTTTCCTGCCCGCGTGGTAGGCTGGGCCGGGCCTTGGGCCTTCCGGGCGTCAAGACGGACACACCGGGCGTGCGAGGACCACGAGCTTTTGCGGGTGAGAAGAGCTCGGTGTGCAGCTGTGGAGGTGCGACTTCCGGAGACGAAGATAGCGTGCTCTCGAAGAGCTTGCCGCGCGTTCGTTGGGCGGTGGCTGGCGTGGCGCGTACAGGAGAACGGTGCCGAGTCGTAGTGAGCGGAGTGGCTTGGACTCGGTAGTTTTTGTCGAGGATCCGATGCAGGAGGGGATCGGTCTGCTTGCGAGATGTCGAGGGCCGCCTCTCCGAGGGAGGCGGTGGTAGAAAGGGTGAAGACTGTGGCGTTTGAGCAATGTCTGAGGGGTCGAAGTGCGTGGTTTGTGCTCCAGGAGTGGACGGTGCGGGCTGGGTATCGGAGAGCGACGACGTTTGGTCGGATTCAAGGGTGCTGTCGACCGCTGTGGAAGTGACTTCTTGTCGCAATGTCTCGTACGGAGAAGGGTCTTCCACAAAGACCGAGGCCGGTGTAGATGCTGAGTAGTCTTGAGCAAGGCGCTGTTTGGTCCTTGGTCGCGGAGTCGAGGATTTGGAGGGTGACAATGTCATGTTGGATATGTCGAGGTCAGCAATCGAGTCTGTCGAGATGTGTTGCGCCGTGGGGGTGGAGATCGAGTCGGAGGTCTCGAGGGTTGTATGTGAAGTAGTGGCTTGAGAATCATCGGTCGTAGTGGTCTCTTCATGGAGGTGCGAGTTCGCAAGCGCCTGCTCTTCATAGCCGGACAGGGACACATTTGCGCTGGACTCGAAGAATTGTTTCCAGAACTGCGACGGTAAATATGCGCACATGGTATGCAGAGGCTACGGTACCTTGGAGCCTTCCCAGACGTCCCTAGAGTGATTGGTGTACTGCTCAACGATCGGTAGTATGCTTGAAGTGACTATGCGATGTGCGCGACTGAAGTTGTGGTCGATTTCTTGACTGATGTTAGATGTATCGTGGTAGCGGGGATGATGGTTGAACCTTGGAGTGTAAGGGTGATGGACTGCTCTAGTTTTTCCAACTCCTCCGTCGCTGTCAACTGACGCTGCTGCGCCGTTGAGCTAGGTCGCGTCATCCTCGATATGATGTATGTAAGCCGCCGGCCCCTCGACTACTCGCAAGATGATTGTCAAATTCGCCGGAGACGCGTCGCGTGCGACGAGGCTGTAGTGTGACACCATGAGGCTGAGCCGTCAACGAGCGGGGCTGTCCTCACCGCCCGGGCGCTGACATTGCCTATCTAAGATCGGCAGACAAAGTCCCGAAGCCTCTCCCTCTAACACCTCGTTCAACCACTGTCATTTAGATTCAGGATGAATGCGATAATAAGTAGTCCTCGTGAGGACATTGATCACTCCTGACGAGATCTAAGAGACATCTCTCATACATTCGGCATACTTGCGCAGAGTTCAACGTGACCTGTACTTCTGTGGTGGCGTGCATTAGTGGAGTAAAAGGCGGGGTGCATTTGTCCCTCCGGGTCCAGGTGGCTTTCGACTTTCAGGCGTCAGTATTGAACCAATTCCTTGCATTGCTACTAATAGAGATTCTCCGCAACACAAGCTGACGCTGAGACTCGTTCATTCCGCAAATGTTACTTGAAATTTCGCATGACCCTTCTCCCTTCTGCTGAATCTACATCCGACCGTTTCCGCCGCCAAAATGCCGGCCCCTTTGGCTCGAGGTGTGTACCTTTCCGCCCTGTCATGCGACCTCCTTACATCACGATCCAATTGTTGATTTCCCGTCCCTGAGCGGTGTACCATACAAGCACGTGCTGTGCCGCACCGAGCGTTTGCCCTCGTGCACCGTTAACTGACATGCCTCATCCTGCAGGAGCCATCATCGTGGTCAGCATCCTAGTTGCCGCCGGCATAGCCGCGTATGAAAGCGATAACATCAGAGACTGGGTGGAGCGTACGAAAGAGAAGATCACGACTAGCTTGAACAAGATTAGCGATGACTTCCGACCGAAACGTGCAATCGCGATGCGCACTATGCAAAGAGATGCTTCCATGATGGAAGACACAGGCGATGCTGCAAGAGCCAAGCGAGATGAGGTGAAGGCGCAGCTGGCAGAAAGGGCCCGTATCCTTGAAGCAAAAGCGAGGAGGAAGCGAGACTTATCATTGGAGCCACTGTCGCCGAGTTTCGACGCCTTAGTCGACGAGGATGGCAAATTGCGCGGTAGCCCAGAATCACCTCGAACACCTACGGCTGCCACATCTGCGTTCGAGACAACCGAGAAGGCAGGGGAGCTTCGTTCGAGGAATCCAGCTAGCCGTGGGCCTGGGGAATTTTCTCGTCAACTGCCAGTGACACAGCAAAATGTTGCCGATCTAGAGCGTGAGATGCGAAGCACATTCAATATCCCCATCCCAGATCCCAGGAGTGCTTTCCCGCCTTCAACCCACCCTTCAGAGAGCTTACTCGATCTTACTCCTACGACTGAGGACTTCCCGGACCCGGACATCTCGATCCCTTCAGCAGATTCCCGGGAAAACAGAACACGTAGATCAGACTACTTTTCCGCCGCAGACTCCTCGCGTACCGTTTCAGATGCAGAACCACAGTTCTACTATGCTCATCCTTCCCGCCCTTACGAGCCGCTTGAACCTCGATCTCAAATACTGAGTCCAGCTGCGGTAGATGTTTCCATTTCGTCCGCACCTAGTGTGGCAGGAAGCACGTCCATAGTACATCCAAGCGATGTGGATCTGAGTGATGACGACTTATTGAGCGAACCAGATGGCGTTCGAACTCCAGCGAGTGCGTGGACAGAGGTGGGAAGTTCAGTCAGCGGGGATGATAGACTTATGCATTGAAAAGAAGAGTCTGGACTCAAAACGATAACATTACATTTACAACGGGACTTTTGACGACCCGTCTTTTGACACCTTCTATGTTGTGAGGATCTTAATCTCAACTGCTTGAAAGCATGCGACTACCCGCCTCGCACTATGGCGTCGCAGGACAGCCCCTATCAGTTATTATGGTGCGGGTTGACAACTGCCTTACGCACCTGCATCTCACACTGCCCAGCAGATTCCCACGCCCCTGCCTCATACTGTGTGAAGCACAACTTCACTTGCGGCGCACTCACATTCCCGACAACTGTTGGACATCCTCTGATACAGTCTCGGCACACCGTATTCATGTTGTCTTCACCCTTACTCTATCACCAGCTGTCTCACTGTTGAACTAGGTCGTGAATGCAGCGATTTCGATATACTTCAGCCATCTAAGCCTCTCAGCCAGCACGCCCGCAGTCCGCCGTCTCGATCAATCTCAGCTTTACGTTCTCCCAGCAGATTCTTTGACACCGTGCGCTCGCGATCCCGACAAGATCCTCTTTCGAATGAACATCAACGACTAGCTGGTCACCCAGATTTCACCCATGATGGATGTTGCGGAGACAGGGGAGGACCCCTCGAGCAAATCATGGTCTATCACAGACGTGAGTACCCATCGGCCATACTTTTTGTTGAATGATGCTAACATAAAGAAGATTGTCTTCGTTGCGTGTGTCAGCCCCATCCTGGTTGCAGCCGTTCTAGAATGGTTCCTATGGCTCGCTGCCTTCTTGTATTGTCTGAGCAAAGCCTTCAAAAAGGCTGATCATTGGTCTCAACGCTTACTGGCGACTCTTTTGATTGTCATTTTCTTGATCATCAGGTAAAACACGTGGCCATATACGAATTACACTTGCTAACGGCTGTCCAGGGGTGTCTTCCTGCCTGTCATGATCGTCACCATACCACTGCCGAGCCGCATCACCCGCTATTTCCCAGACATCGTTGTTTACGCTCTGCAAGAGTTTGCGTTCTACGCTTTCGCCGTCCTATTGACTGTCCCATGGCTTGTTGTAGTCTACCAGATCATCGTCCATCCGATTGGCCGTAAGAAGCAAGTCAGATATCCCCTGACTGAACACAACGCTCCGAAAGTCGTGGTCGTTATGCCGGTCTACAAGGAGCCGCCCGACTCGCTCTGGACAGCACTCAACTCCGTTGTCGCTGGAGACTACCCCCCAGAATGCATTCACGTATTCCTCTCCTTCGACGGCGAAGATATCGACGAGCTCTATCTCAGGACTATCGACCGCCTAGGGATTCCGGTCACCATGAAAGACTTTCCAAAATCAATAGATGTTGCATATAACGGTGCCCGGGTCACAATATCCCGCTTTCGCCACGGGGGCAAACGCCACTGCCAAAAGGCTACGTATATGCTCATCGACAAGATCTACAAGCGGTACCTCTCCGTGAAAGACAATCTATTCATTCTCTTTATTGACTCGGACTGTATCTTGGATCCGGTGTGCATTCAGAACTTTATGTACGAGATGGAACTCAAGCCTGGTATCGACCAAAACATGCTTGCAATGACTGGAGTTATCACGTCTTGTTCGGAAAAGACATCCCTGATAACCCTTCTCCAGGATATGGAGTATGTGCATGGTCAGTTATACGAGCGCTCTGTCGAGTCCGGACTAGGAGCGGTCACCTGCTTGCCGGGTGCGCTGACTATTCTTCGCTTCTCTGCGTTCCGAAATATGGCCAAGTACTACTTTTCAGATAAGGCCGAGAATTGTGAAGATCTCTTCGATTATGGCAAGACTCACCTGGGCGAGGACCGGTGGTTAACACACCTGTTCATGCTGGGAGCCAAAAAGCGGTATCAAATCCAGATGTGCTCGAGTGCTTTCTGCAAGACTGAAGCCGTCCAATCTTTCCGAGCACTTCTCAAGCAGAGAAGACGGTGGTTTCTAGGCTTCATCACAAACGAAGTCTGCATGTTAACGGACTTTCGACTCTGGCGCAAGTATCCGTTGCTTTGTCTTATTCGGTTGATGCAGGATACCATAAGGACGACAGCATTGCTTTTTACCATCATGATGATCTCAGTTGCAACAAAGTCGAGTAAGTTTGGTGATCTCCCGTGGCAATTCATTTGCGTGTCATTGGGTTTGAACTGGCTCATGATGCTGTACTTTGCGGCAAAGTTGACGCGACTGAAGGCAGCCTTGTACCCGGTGATGTTCGTTCTGAACCCATTCATGAATTGGATCTACATGGTCTATGGCATCTTCACCGCCGGCCAGCGTACGTGGGGCGGGCCACGCGCGGATGCGGGCGCTGCTGATGCTAAGATTACTCCACAAGAGGCTATCGAGTACGCCGTCGCCACGGGAGATGATCTCAACATTGTCCCAGAAACGTTCAAGCCGGCCCTCCAAGCTCGGCAGCGGCGTGTCAAGCACTCGACCCTGGCACCGTCGCCAAGCGTTGAAGGCAGATTCGCTCCTGCAGAACAGATGTCAAACGGGGGCTATCGTGTCCACCGTCCTTCCTCAGGGGAATCTGACATCGACCTGAAAGATTTTAGATACTCCCACGACAGCTCAGGCGATCTGAGCGATACTGAAGGAATCTCAATCCACACTCCGCGCCGCGTCGACACCAGTCTCTACATGACTGATGCAATGTACGGCATGGAAGGTTCGAGCCATGCTGTATTGGCCGATCCGAGCGAGCTGTCCAGGAGGCTGAAAATACTTTCAGCAACATCTATGTTGCCATCAGCTGCCCAGTCCTCAATCAATGAACGGAGCCCTCTTGGCAGAACCAGTCCGCTCACTGCAGCGAACATGGGCAATAATGGGGTTCGGCGGGGACAGCGGGACAATGGCGGGCGGCCCCAGACCGATCAGACGGGGGCGAGGAGGAGTTCGGTCAGGAGAAAGTTGCAGAAGAGAGACTCCAGTCCAGCGAGCATGGTGTGAGCATTCGTGCAAAGCAAGGCTGAGAATGTCGAGGGGCGGGCTTCTGGGCGGACTAGTCCCAACCACAGGGCACACAGACATTATCAGTGACTCGTATTAACAAATCAGTATGTCATTAAGACCCAAGGATCGTCAGGCACTACGCGTTCGGACAGCAAACCTTTAACAAGTTCCCACCGCCTCACTTCTGGTTACCTAAAGTTTGCTGCCTTGTCCTGGTCGTGTTAGGCGGTGATTGGTGGTGCGGGGCGACGGTCTTGGCGGGCCGGGCAAGAGTGATGTAGGCTGCGGGCGCCAGCAACAGAACCTTCTTGAAGCGTCCCGAACCTGAAAAACTTCGAAGCCTTGCAGCACCCGTTTTAATTTTCTGTCCAGTCTGCGATCCGGCTCAAAGGACTGCTTCTCATCTGCAGCTGCTAACGCACCGCTTTGTTGCTATCTGAGATCTGAATTTCCCCCACCATCCTTTCCTTTCGCTATCCAAATTCCGCCACCGCCCAACAACCATGAGTGTCGTTGGTATTGATCTCGGTGCGCAGAGCACCAAGATTGGTGTTGCCCGGAACAAGGGCATTGATATCGTATGTCGATTCCTTTTCATCCGTTGAAGCAATTGTGTCTGACTTTTATCTAGATCACAAACGAGACCTCAAATCGCCAGACTCCGTAAGTCCTTGCGCTCCATCACGCTTTCACCGACACTAACCACCAACAGATCCCTTGTTGGCTTTGGCCCCAAGAGCCGATACCTGGGTGAAGCTGCCAAAACTCAGGAAATTTCAAACCTCAAGAACACCGTTTCATCCCTAAAACGCCTCATTGGCCGCACTATCAACGACCCGGAAGTCGCAATCGAGCAAGAATTCATTACCGCCCCACTCGTCGATATCAATGGCACTGTCGGCGCAGAAGTCACCTATCGCGGTGAGAAACAGAAGTTCACTGCCACTCAGCTTCTGGCCATGTATTTGGGCAAGATCCGGGATACCGCCGCCAAAGAGACGAGACTTGCCGTGTCAGATGTAGTCATCAGCTGTCCCGCCTGGTTCGCGGACTCGCAGCGGAGAGCCGCTCTTGACGCTGCCGAGATCGCTGGCCTCAAGACTCTGAGGCTGATCAACGATAATACTGCCATTGCTCTAGGCTACGGTATTACCAAGACCGACTTGCCGGAAGCTGACCAGAAACCCCGCCGCATCGTCTTTGTCGATATCGGCTACAGCGATTACACTGCGTCTGTCGTGGAGTTCAAGAAGGGCGAGCTCGCCGTAAAGGGCACTGCTTTCGATCGGCACTTCGGTGGACGTGACTTCGACAAGGCGCTGGTCGATCACTTTGCTGCGGAGTTCAAGGAGAAGTTCAAGGTTGACATCAACACCAATCTCAAGGCCAAGACCAGAGTTGCTGCTGCGGTTGAGAAGCTCAAAAAGATCTTGTCTGCGAACGCGCAGGCTCCCATCAGCATTGAGTCTTTGATGGACGACAAAGACGTGCGTGGCGTTATGAAGCGCGAAGAGCTCGAGACCCTGATCGAGCCTCTTCTTCAACGCGTCACTCTTCCTCTGGAGCAGGCTCTCAAAGACGCTAAGCTCAAGCCAGAAGACATCGATTCCATTGAGATGGTCGGCGGCTGTACTCGTGTGCCTTCTATCAAGGATCGTATCAGCAAGTTTTTCGGCAAGCCCTTGTCCTATACCCTAAACCAGGATGAGGCTATCGCTCGCGGTTGTGCCTTCGCCTGCGCCATCCTCTCGCCAGTCTTCCGCGTTCGGGACTTCTCAATCCACGATATCGTCTCATATCCTATTGAGTTCACCTGGGAGCAATCACCAGACATCCCCGATGAAGACACCAACCTCGAGGTGTTCAAGACTGGCAACGTTATGCCCTCTACCAAGATTCTTACCTTCTACCGTAAAGAGCCTTTTGACCTGGAAGCCAAGTACTCGAAGCCCGAAATGCTACCAGGCAAGATGAATCCTTGGATTGGCCGCTTCTCTGTCAAGGGTGTGAAGGCCAACCCCAACGATAAGGAGCACTTCATGATCTGCAAGCTGAAGGCGCGCCTGAATTTGCATGGTGTGCTCAATGTCGAGTCCGGCTACTATGTTGAAGATGTCGAGATCGAAGAACCGATTCCTGATGAGAAGAAAGAGGGCGAAGCCAAGAAGGATCCAGACGCTATGGAGACCGATCAGGCCAACGGTAGCGCCGATGGCAAGACCCCGACTCGCAAGGTCAAGAAACAGGTTCGCAAGGGTGACCTGCCGTTGTCCTCGGGCACTGCTTCACTAGATGAGGCTGCCAAGGCTGCCGCCGCCGAGGCCGAGAATGCCATGTTCATGGAAGACAAACTTGTCACCGACACCGAAGACAAAAAGAACGAGCTAGAGGCCTATATCTACGAGCTTCGCGCTCAGGTTGATGATCTCTATGCCGACTTTTCCAGCGACGAAGAGAAGGCTAAGATCAAGGATAAGCTCGAGAAGACCGAGGTATGCACTAACCCGCTTTCGACCATAAGAACTATGCTAACAACTCACAGGACTGGCTATACGAGGATGGTGAAGACGCTTCTAAGGCTCAATACATTGCCAAGATGGACGAGATTAGATTCGTTGCTGGTCCCGTGATTGGGCGCTACAACGAAAAGCTCGAAGAGGAGCGCCAGGCCCGTCTCAAGATCGAGGAAGAGGCAGCCGCTAAGCGACGTGCTGAGCTTGAGGCCAGAAAGAAGGAAGAGGAGGCGAAGAAGGCGGCGGAGAAACCGGCCGAGCCTCAAGATACGGAGATGAGTGAGGCTAATGGCGAGACTGTCAAACGGGAGGGCGTCGAGGAAGCCAAGTGAGGGCGGCACACCCGAACGGCCATGGATGATATGTTATGCATAGCGATTGGGAAGTTATCGGCGTTCTGTTGAGCAGTCCAAGATCAAGACACGAAGGGATGACGATAGATGGGTGTGGCCCATGCCAGCGGGGCGGCATAAGCAAAGCCATATGAGGACCTGAAAATGATGAGTTGGGATTCTGGACTGAGCGTCGCACTCTAGATAATCTCCATAGACCGATACCAATACCGTTAACAAGATGATGTCGTTCCTAGCCGACATGCAATGGTGCTTTTCTGCTAAGGCTTTGATCAAACGGAATCTGGCGTACATGTGGGACATATATGTGACAGCAGATGCGTCAAGAAGATACCAAGTTGGTATTTGAAGCAACATTGCTAGTGCTAGAACGAATGCCTTTCAGAATAGGTGAATTATGTTTGTCGCGACGGATCCGTGATCAATGCTGCTCGTCGCCCGTCGCTATAGTATGCGATGGACAATCCCGGATCCGATTTAGCCAATCATGGCGCAGCCGAGGTAACTCGACGACCGCGGTGTCGGTTTGGAGAGGCGAAGATGACTTAACATTCGCACTGCGACTTTCTCTGCAACTTCTCTCCTCCTCCTTCTGCTCATCCTCAGGTACCTCAGGTCCATCCTCAACTGTCCCTCTATTTCTCACCCTTAGCACTTCAACACAATGGCTACTCAACGTCTCGGCTCGCTCCTCTCACACCTCTCTCCCAGCAAGAGCGGGGTTAGTGCCATGTGAGTCTCACCTACCCTGAAGCTCCATCTGGGTCTGGTGAATCGAGCTAATATCTCCGTTGCGTAGCACTCAGAAGAATCCTGACGATGTTGTCATAACGCTGGCAATCCGGACGCCTCTTGCGAAGGGAAAGAAGGGTGGCTTCAAGGATACGGATCTGGACTTCATCGTCTACAGTCTGTTGAAGGAGGTTAACAAGAAAAGCAACCTCGACCCCAATCTGGTTGAGGATGTGTGCATGGGAAACGTATGTGATCATCAGCCTCCCAGACGATGACCGTATTGACAGATCTAGGTCGGCGACTCCAAAGCCGCCTACAAAGTTCGTGCCGCTATGCTAGCTGCCGGCTTCCCACACACCGCTGGCGCCAACAGCGTCAATCGATTTTGCTCTTCCGGTTTGAAGGCCGTGCAGGATATTGCCAACCAGATCACGTTGGGTAGCATTGACATCGGCATCGCCCTTGGTGCAGAGTCCATGTCTGCCGCCGGCGACCGCCTCGAGAAACCTTTCCATCCGGATATCCTCGCCAACCAGGATGCGGCAGATTGCATGCAGCCCATGATCCAGACGAGCGAAAACGTGGGCAATGACTTCAACATCAGCAGGAGGCAACAGGATGAGTACTCGGTAGAGAGTTTCAGGAGGGCGGAAGTGGCCCAGAAGGCTGGGTGGTTTGATGACGAGATTGTCCCAATCACCACTAAGGTCAAGGATCCCAAGACCGGAGAGGAGAAAGAGGTTACCTTGACCCGTGACGAGGGTCCCCGGTATGGCACGACCCTGGAGTCGTTACTGAAGATTAGGCCGGCCATGCCACAGTTCGGAGACAAGACAACTGGTGGAAACGCATCGCAGGTCACCGACGGAGGTAGGTCGTTTGACTTGTGCGATGGAGAGATGCTAATGATGCTTAGCTGCTGCTGTCCTTCTCATGAAGCGCTCCAGGGCTCTTGAACTCGGTCAGCCTATTTTGGCCAAGTTCTGCGGTGCGACCGTCGCCGGTGTAAGTTCGCCTAACAATACTATGGGAAGCGGGCTGACCGTTATAGGTTCCTCCCCGCATCATGGGCATCGGTCCTTCCGCTGCCATCCCCAAGCTACTTAGCAAGTTTGGCTTGACCAAGGAGGATATCGACATCTTCGAGGTTAACGAAGCTTTCGCCTCCATGGCAGTCTACTGCATGAACGTGCTCGGCCTTGACCATGCCAAGTTGAACCCTCGTGGTGGTGCGATTGCCCTTGGTCACCCTCTCGGTGCAACTGGTGCGCGCCAGATTTGCACCATTCTCTCAGAAGCCCGAAGGACGAAGAAGAAGATTCTCGTCACCTCTATGTGCATCGGCACCGGACAGGGAATGGCTGGACTTTTCGTCAATGAAAGCATTTGAAGGCTGAGCTGTTAGTGAAGAGGTCACGCCGGCTTCTCGAGGACTTGGGGGCCGTCTTTCCTGGGGCTGAAAAGCAGAAGAGCGGCTTTGTGTACATGAGATCGACGAAAAGCATGACTTGCGATCAGGACCTGTTTCCCAATATTGAATCTCGTCAATTACAGAAGTTTGCGTTGACTAAGCCACACCGATCATCTACCCTGGTCATCGTGAACGAGGCTTCAGACTGTTGGACTGCTCTCAAGACCGCAGTCCTCGTCGGAGCTTCTTGAGCAGGTGGGAATGATACAAAGGTGTATTTGTCGATATTCTCTGAGATAGATCTTCTCATCAGCACAGGATATTTACTGCCTGAACTGAAGCTTGGCACACGGACCAGATGCTTTAGCCTTGCATTCAGATACCCCACCTTGAATGATTTTCTGCGCATCTAGTTGACTGCTCCAACCCGACTTCAAGAATTTCCTTCGACGACTCTTTCCGCTCCTCAACTTCGCAGGAACACGGATCTGCTACTTGATTGGAGTCATAACCTGTCAGCGATTCATTACGGAGGACTTGACACTTGTGTCCCCGCCATTACTCATAACGCATCTGCTCTTGAGTCAGATTTACTTCTAGATCAGCCGCCGCTTCGACTTCATTCCTCCACTGATCCTTTCAAGCCTTCCCAAGATGTCTACTGAGGCCGAGGTCACCGAGGCTCTCAACCAGCCGGTCGACAACAATGCGCAGGCTGCCGACGATGCGAAGAAGATGCTAGAGGAACTGTCTGGCGAGGGCGCAACCAACGGTACTGCCGAGAAGTCGGACGAGAAGCCAGCTGAGAAAGACACCAACGGAACCTCGGAAGAGAAACCAGAGGACGATGACGAGAAGCGCGACCGCTCTCCAGAGTACCGTCGCAACAATCGAGGCGATCGTGATAGAGGGCGGGGCCGTGGTCGCGGCGGCGGCGGCCGTGGGCGTGGGAGCTATGGTGGTGGCCGCGACACCCGCAACAACATCAAGTCTGATCTGACGACTCAGGAGGAATCCGATGACCCTGTCGCCATTCGGAAACAGGTCCGTTGCAGCGTAGCATCACTCAGACCTCAAAACTAACTCTGGCAGGTCGAATTCTACTTCTCCGACAGCAATCTTCCCCGCGACAAGTTTCTCCTAGAGCAGGTTGGCGGCAGCAAGAACAATCCCGTCGAACTGAAGACTCTCCACTCCTTCAAACGCATGCGCCACTTCCAACCATTCGAGGCCATTGTCAACGCCATGCGCGAGTCAACCTTCCTTGAGCTTTGCGAAGATGATACCTGCGTGCGCCGGAAAGAGCCTCTGCCCGCCGAGCTCGACAACGGTCCCGACCCTAAGGCGGTTCAGATTTTCGAGGACCGTGCGATGCCCCGTTCTATCTATGCCAAAGGCTTTGGCGAGGAGACACCTAGCACGCAGTTCGATATCGAGGCTTTCTTTGCTGAGCACGGCACTACCAATGCCGTGCGTCTCCGTCGCGCCGAGGATAAGACGTTCAAGGGCAGCGTGTTTGTCGAGTTCGATTCCGAGGCGACAGCACAAAAGTTCCTGGAGCTTGATCCTAAGCCTGCGTTCGAGGGCAAGGAGCTGCAGATCATGAGCAAGAAGGAGTACTGCGAGAAGAAGGTCGACGACATCAAGGCTGGCCGTATGAAGCCCAATAGGCAATACGAGAAGCCTCGCTACGATCGCGATCGCCGAGGAGGCCGTGGTGGCCGGGACGGTGGCCGTGATTTCAAGCGCAAGCGAGATGACGAAGATGACCGTGACTGGCGAGTGCGCCGAGACGAGGACCGTAAGAGTGGCTTCCGTGACGGCAGGGGCAAGCATGATCGTGACAACAAGGGTCATGGTCGCCACGACTCAAAGTATGAGAAGGCGCAGAAGGACGATCGGTAAGTGCCACAAGACCTAGCTGCGAGACTTTTCACTAACTGTTGTCAGCGGCATTCCCGCTGTCCGGTCCACTGACGACAAGGATTCTGCGAAAGCCGACGCCCTTGCTAACGCAAAGGCCGCGGTGGAGGCTGAGACTGCGAAGGAGGCCACTGCTGGACAGAAGCGCGAGCGCGAAGAAGACGAGGGAGATGCAGAGCGGGAGACCAAGAAGGTGGACACGAAAGAAGTCGAGGCGGCCGCGTAAGGGCTCACGCAACGAGTTTGTGTCTAAATCTACATTGCCACGACGCATCGGGACGGCGCTATCTCTTCGTGCTTATGAATGCAATGGTCCACGGCTAACATAATCTCATTTGGGCTGCTTCTACTGGGTCGGGTTGGGTTTCGAGACCGGAGTCTCACAGGTATAGCATCACACATAGCTTCCAAGTGACAGCAGAAAAGTCTTTGCTTGCCTCATCCTCTCTCTCTCTCTCTCTCTCTCTCTCTCTCTCTCTCTCTCTCTCTCTCGCTGCGGAGCCGTGATGTCTGTGCCCTCCCGTCGTTTGCATCAACCTGTCACGTGACTCGCGCCTGCCTTCACTTGCGACCACAGCAGCAAACATGTCTGGTGCTCACTCAGATAATGTAAACCTCGACACTTTGAATCGACAACCCATGCATTATGATATTGACAACCTGGGATAATCAGCAAATACTTCGCCGCTTCCAGACCCACAACTACGAGCATACACCCTTGTCGCCAAGACTCCAGCATCTCCAGTCTCGGCGATGGACGACGATCCCAGAAACATCAACTTCTCGCCCTCATCATACTATACTTGGGGCCATTCTATACCAGTCTCTCCACCCTATAACTATAGCCAGCCCCGCCGTTCTCAGGCGCCAACTCGACGTCCGCAACCGTCCCTGATTCCGCCTGATCAAAACCGTGGAGGCATCTCCATCCGTGGTCGAGCAAATCGAGGTCGAGGCAGAGGGCGCTCCAGCAATCGCGACAATCCCAATCTTATCGACGTCCAGCCGTTTCGGCGTGGCGGCAGCGCCGAGTACGACCCATCTAATCCATCTCTTGGTGTAGATGAGCCGGATGTTAATGCCATTCGCATCAGCGATGCCCGCAATCGTCTTCGCGACCGCCTGAAATCACTAACGCCTGAGACCCGACTCGACTCTGAACCTCGACCATATAAGGACGCTGTGCCACCCTTTGAGTCTGCATCCGAGCCTGATCCAGACCTCGCACCGAAGTCTCCGCCAAGACAGCATCCCCTGCAGAATCTTTTTCAGCAGATGGCTGCCAACGGGGCTGCGCCCATCCCAACTGGACCAGCAGCTACCCACGGCCAGAGAACGAGGAGACTTCCAAATCATGTGCAAATTGCAGATGCGTATATCTTCCAACAGACGATTGATGAAAGATTACGGAAAATCGGTGTCACGCCCGCGAGGGAAGATGCGCTGAGGCTAGCGGGAGTGCAATGGATCGACCAGACGAGAAAGGCGCTTCGGTTGTGGGTATTGGAAGAACGCACAAAATGCAGCAGTTACTAATGCTTGTTAGACCAGTGAAGACATATGACACAGCCTGCGTCTACTACCATAAATTCCGTTTGTTCCACGGCGATAATGAGTACGCGTTCGTGGTAAGTGACCCAGATATGTCCACCACAACCCTTATATTGGTATGTCGATCTTCGAGCATGATTGCTAACGTAGACTTTGTGCTCAGGACGCTGCAGCAGCTGCGCTATTCACAGCCTGCAAGATCGAAGATACACTCAAGAAGTCGCGCGACATACTCTGCGCTGCCCACAATGCTAGAGCTCCCTCGCGCTCTGACCATCTCTCCCCCGATGATCCTTCATTTGACGCCCCTTCACGCGCTATAGTGGGGACTGAACGTCTAATGCTAGAGGCTAGCGGCTTCGATTTTCGCTCCCGACATCCGCAGCCACTGCTTGTCAAGTTACTGAAAGCCACCGGCCGCGAGAAATTAGACGACATCAGCAATACAGCGTGGAAGATTAGTCTTGACCTCTACCGCACACTCGCACCACTCAAGATGGGTGCTGCCGCCATGGCGTTCTCTTGCCTGGAGTTGGCCGAGCGAATGCACGGTTCATGGACCGACGCCAAGCAGCAAGACACGGAGAGAAGATACAAGCGCTGGGGTGTCCGCAGAGAAATGGTTGTGGAGACTCTCCTTGACCTGTTGGATGTATACACCTCTCATCAAAAATCGACGGCATTGGGCCCAACACTGCCGTTGGACGCGTTTCTCAATGTGCGCATACCACTAAACGAAGAGAGCGCCCGCCGACGTCTGCCGCGCTATACCGAGTACCACGAATCCACGCAGCCACGAGGTCCTGAGGATGGCGGCTATGGACGTGGCCCAAACGGAAACATGGCCAATGGTGGGAACAGTGGTCGAAGTAGCAAAAACACAAGCCCAAAGGATATCAGTCCGGGCAACCTGAGCGTACCGGGCACGGGCGGCAGTGGCAGTACAGCTGCCACAGCAGCAAGCACACACCAGACGCCGAGTGAGAGAGGGCCGCAGCAGGGTATCAGGCAGCGCGTAGGTGACAGGGGAAGGGAGGGGACAGTACGGTTCATGATTAATCCGGAAAGGGAGAGAGAGGAGAAGGCCGTGGTGTCCGAGTACGGCCTACGAACATGAAGCAGAAGCACGCCTACCTTAGCTCCCTATTCAGAATCTCGAGTTAGTGGAAGTTGCGCCGGTGTGAAGCGAAGCGGTGTTATTCTTCTGCCTGCATCGAGACGGAAAGCCCAAGTCAAGCAAAATCTCGGGGCACGCGGTCGGTGTAGGCTCAAGAAGACGTCGTGTTACTCTCATGTTGCCACCAGTTCGGGCACTTTCACCAAACAGAAACACTGTACAGACACTATAGGTTCTTCAAAACCACCTAGGGCCCTCTTCTCGTGCATTCCAACCCCGTACCGTCATTGGCCATGGTCATCTGGTATCCATATTTCAGCCTCGTGCAGCCTCGCCAGGAATGAATCTGGCCAATCTGGAACGATCGCTGCTTCATACCGGAGTTCAAGGTCAACGACCTCCCTTTCTTTCTTCTTTCACAATTTTGGCGAGCTTTGCTCGCAGAGTTATACCGACCCTTCCGCACCACCTTGGTAGCAGATGTAGGTGCGATGGCAGGGCCCAAAAACGCCGCCTTCGCCGAGGAGTCGGCAGAAGTGGAGGTCCTCCTCGCGTCTCTCACCAAGACCAAGGACCTCACGAAACGCATAGCCTCAAGCCTCAATCGGCTGGACTCGAGCGGAAAGATCGTCCGCGATGCCATCGGGCCCATTTACTCGAATACACAGCAGCTGCAAACGACAAGCCGGAACATTGACCGGGTCAATGAAGCCATCGAGCGCCTCCGCCAGCCGTTGGACACGCGCGGTCAGGAGGAAACGATCATCCGCGCGGGGCCCAAGGCTAGTGGACTGCCTCAGTATCTGAGCGCGTTAAAACGCGTGGATAAGGCACTGGGCGATATGGCCAGTACGAACCTGAGGTCGAATCAGGCTGCCATCAGCGAGTACCATGGGCTGCTGACCACGGGCGTAAATCAGCTGCAGGATTTGTACAGGGGCATGCTGCAGGAGGACGTGACGACTGTGGAACCGCTACATTACATTACCAAGAATCTACCGTTTCCGACTATTCCGCAGGAGAGGGTGCAGATGCTGGGCCAAGTTGCGGGCGCGATTGCTAGTGCGAGCGCTCAGGCGGCGAAACTGGGCCAGAGGGATGAGGACGTTGCGGCCAAGTTCTATGCAGAGATCAGAGGCGAATATTTGAACAAGTCTCTGCAAAACCTCGCGACTGGGAGTATATCGACCGTGAAGGTGAAGAAGGACGACTCAAAGGTCTACAAACAGGGCGACAGCGGCATCTCCGCCTATGCTCAAGGATTGGAGGGCATGATTCTCGCCGAGCACGAGAACACTTCACGCATCTTCCGCAACGAGTCCCCTCGGATGCTCTCTCAGACCTGCGCGCCAGCACTGGCGACCTTTTCTCGCACGCTCACCGACCTTAATCGGCACATCAAATCCCGTCTGCTCACCGACTGCTTCCTATCGTACGAGATCCTCGAACTCATCACTCCCCTCTCCTACCGCCTAGAGTCTCGCACCAATGCCTTACGCCCACAATTCTCCGATGCCTTGCGCCCCATCCGCGACGTCGCGCGCTCCTCGCTCAGTGAGATCTTGACCCAAACGCGCTCGAGCGCCGAAGCCACCCCATCACTACCACCAGACGGCAGCCCCATTGCCTTCGTCAATCAAACCTGCCTCCGCCTACAAGCCTTCTCCACCTTCGACCGCCCCGTCCTCACGCTCCTGTCCTCCCTCGGCGACGGCGGCTGGCGATCCAACACCAGCACCGGCGCCTCCCCGTCAACCCTCTCGCTCGAACTCACCCCCTCGACCGAGAACCCCACTCTACTCTCACACTACCTCCTCGACGTGCTCACCGCGCTCCTCGACCCCCTCGTCTCGCGCGCCACCACCCTCCACCGCTCCAAGCCCCTCCAAGGCATCTTTCTCCTCAACTGCACCGCCCTCCTCTCCCGCGCCATCACCACGCACCCGGACCTCGCGCGCTACCTCTCCATCACCCCGCACTCCACCAAGCTCGACGGCTACCGCAAGACCGCCGCGAGCCTGTACCTCTCGGCGTGGCGCGAACCCTCCGCGCACCTCCTCGACACCATCAGCACCTCGTCGTCCGCGGGTGGCAAAGCCGGCGGGCCCAACACGCGCAACAGCGGCGCCCTCGACAGCACGCAGATCGTCAAGAGCCTAAACTCCAAAGACAAAGACAAGATCAAGGAAAAATTCAAGGCCTTCAACGCCAGCTTTGAGGAGCTCGTCGCCCGCCACAAGAGCATGTACATGGAGAAGGAGGTGAAGGGGGCCATGGCTCGCGAGGTCACCGCCATGATCGAGCCGCTGTACGCGAGGTTTTGGGATCGGTATCGCGAGGTGGATAAGGGGAAGGGGAAGTGTGTCAAGTATAGCAAAGGGGAGTTGAGTGCGGTGTTGGCGGGGTTGTGAAGGGGATCGTGTGTAGTGTTATGTGTAGGTAAGGTATGCACTACGCAACGAAGTCATGTCGGAATGGAGGAGGTGGGCATTGGCTATTGCTATGCAGATGGGAACGCAGCAGCTTGGTTTTCTTTCCCCGTGCTTCGTTCAATTGCTCTCGTACTTAGCTACAGCAGTGCTCTCAAGCAGCAGTGCTGTCTTCCTTCCATCCATTCGTCCCCTGCGATGCCTATAGCAATATTCGACAGGGTACGTGTGATTCTAGATTATTCTTCCACGCAACAGATAGGGATACTGGAATCGGCGCGGGGATTTAAGAGCCTGCCGGGCACCGGGATCGTCGGCTTGGAGTACTGAGTTACCATATCTAGCACCTCAGTCGTCCTTAAGTATGCACTCAGTCATATATACATGACCGTGGCGGCCCTTCTCCACTATAAATCCGTCGCTATCATCGCAAAGCGATGCTCTTCACAACAGAGCTCATGGAGAGGTATGCGCGGGCCTCGTCAGCCGCCGCCACTGCACCTGCGGACGGGTGGCACGCGTCGATCAGCAAACGCACAAGCCAGTCCAGGCTCATGTCAGTGCTTGGGGTCGGTTCAGCCAAAAGCATCTCGGCCGCCATGTTCTTTCAGCTTCTTTCTAAGGCCCTTGAGCGCCTCGGCTTTCTTCCTCTCCAGCCTCTCCTGCCTTTTCCTCTCGTACACAGCTCGAATCGTCTGCTTTGTCATCTCGGCACCTTCGTCAAAGTTTGTCTTCGCCAACTCGACGACTTTGTCTAGCTGTTGTGGCTCATAGATCTACAAGTGTCAGCAAAAGCAAGGAGAGGCTCCCTGAGAGCAAGACTTACAAAGTTCCAAGTGCTCATATAGTCGGTCTTATCGGGGTCGACGCCAGGAACCTTTTTGTTAGGCAGTAGTGGAAAATAGATTACAGTGATGCCGGCATCAGGCTGCATGAGGTGAAAAGTGCTGTCCTCGGAATTGTCCCACGCAAGGCGCTTGGAAGGCGGCGGCTCATCGGGAGACGAGCGCTCAGCTTTGCTTCCGACCCAAATATTGCAAGTTGTCAGCGTGGAAGAGGCGCCGGTCTCAGAGATCCTCGAGACAGTCTCTACCTCCTTTTCTTTGGCGGTCTCAGCCGGGATCTGCTGTTCGGCCGATTTCGCATCCTCCAGCTTTTCAGAGGCGTCCTTGGGGCTGGACGCTTGAGCTTCAGTCAGCGCGGCGGCGTTTTCTTCGGGTTGCGATGACTGCTTGGGCCAGCCCGTGCCTACAGGCCAGGACTTGATGCCACGCTGTTTGGCATAGCCATCAACGACCGAAAGCCAATTTTCTTTCTGGATATCGGCGGAGGCGTCGAAAGCAATGAGAACGTCGACGTCACGGCCCTGCCGAAGGAGAGGATAGATGGGCAGATTGTTGGACATGCCAGCATCCATCAGTTGCAAGTGATCGGACTTGTAGACTGACTCGGGACATGTGTCAGGTAATTGGCCTTTCAAGCCATACGCCCAGTTCGGGATGGTGGCGGGCTCGATGGGGTGGATTTTGACCAGGTCGTCGTTCTTCTCCTCCAAAATCTCGTCCAGACCTGCGAATCCGGTAATACCAGTCAGGATGGGTTTGATCTCCTTGTAGTAATGCGCTAGAGTAGCGGTAAAGGCACTACCCCAAATTCCGAGGAGTAAAGATACACGGTATTCGGGTACAGCGTTGCCAGTATCGAGGAGCTGGTTACGTCCCTGGTTGAATGGACGTCCAAGCGACCACGTGGGAATCCATGCTCCGAACTCTTCGCAACCGACCTCCCATGGAGTCATCTCAATCCATTGAAACCATGCTTCCTTCTTGACCTTTTCCTTGAGTTTCTCCTGAAGAGCAGGATTGCTGCGAGATTGTTCCTTCTCTTCGGCATCAATTGGGATCTCATGTCTCACTGCACTGTAGATGGGCATTGGTAGCTGGCCGTGCTCAATGAACGTACGTTGGTTTGAGAGCTTCAGGTCTTCTGGATGAACATCGAGATCTCCATGCGGCACCAGCAATCGCAAGCCGAGTAGGAGGCTATAGATGTCGACGAGGCCGAAGGTTGCAGTAGGGTCGCCCTTCAACTTCTCGATGAAGCCACTGAGAATGAACTTGTTTGTGGGTGCGCTCGTGGCAAGCTTCAGGGCCGGAGGCGGAAAGGCAATATGTGTGCCGACACGCGATTTTATATGGCGCAGCATTGTCGCGTGATTCTGTTTTCCCAAGCTCGAGTAAAATAATGTCTGTAGCCAGCAGCTCCCAGATACGCCGGCCGTATAAGTGACAATATCGAACAAGCCCGCCTGCTGCGCTGAATAGTAGCTGCTCGTTCCGGCCACCAGGGCTCTGAGTCCACCACCACTGCCACACATGGCAATGGTCGGAATGTCCTCGGGCTCTACCTCCTTCTCACTTATGCCCAGGTAGCGGGCGAATGCCTTGGCCATGTATTGCTTCCTCCGTTCTCTGAATAGCACCTCATCGTGGCCTAGGCTGTCTCCTATACGAACGCGCGCATCCCACATGATTTCTGGATTGATACTCGGGTTATGTGCTTCCTGCCAGATCTCATCCGCAAGTGTGCCCGGCTTCATGGTCAGCTCGAATTGCAGCTTCTGAATCAATTCGGGAACATGTCTGGCCCAAGCGGGCACCATGAAATCCGCCAATTTATCTCCAAAACCGCCCCATTCTATACGTGTGATGCCCTCGATGAGAGTGTCGAAATTACGCGAAAACTGTGCCCAAGAAGCATCGTCGTCGAGCTCGAAGCCGGGGTGGTACACGTCATGGTCGGTTGTTTGCTCAATGAGCTCTGCATCGCCTCGTTTCGCGTCGTCCTTGGACTTGTTTTCTTGCTGGGGGAATTTACTATGTACTCGGCGGGCGTGCCCGATCAAGGTGGCATCATTTGCGGCATACGTAGGGCTCGGAGCCGGGCCATCGTGGTAGATCGTGCATCGCGGAGCTACCGCACCAGCGGCGAGAGCTAGTGCGCCGGCCTGGAAACGCCGCGAGAGGAAGATACGAGCAGCGCTCATGGTGCGCGAGCGCCGCAAGCAGAGAGCGTTCAGCAGACGTCAAATTCCATAGCAAGAGAGGTATAGATGTCGGCCGCTGAGTAGGGCTGGAAATTGTTGGATTGGGTTCCCGTGCTGTGACGTTTACGCCCGAATCGCCCCACGTGCGGACGGATCACTGTTCCTTCCCGGTCGGGTACCTGACTGAGCCGATTTTAGTTAGTACGACGTCACGGTTAGGTAGTGGCAGTCCAAACCGAGGTTTGCTAAGCTCTCTCTACTTGATGATGCTTGATAGGACCTTTCCGGCCGAGGACAGAATGGCAATAGTGGGATCGTACATCGTCAACGACGCGGAACAAGGCACTTGCTGTAGCATGAGCTGACTATTGTATATATTTGTCAATCATGCCTGCAAGACTTCATTGACAGAAGCACTCGTCATGTTGAGCTATGGGTTGTCGATGGCCCTGCATGAATGGCCCTACATGGTCTTACGCAATGTCCTGAGAGCAGCAGCTTACTCGTAGCTCTGGCTAGCCTCGGTGTCGGGAGTCTCCTCGGGGCGATAGACCAGCTTCTTCCCACTGACCTTGTCGTTCTTCAGATCCAGCATGCCTTGCAGCACGCCCTTCAGCCCATCAGATCCCACGCTTTCGGGATGGGGCTTGAGTTTGCTGTCCGCAAGTAGTTTCTCTGTGATGTTGAAGATATTCTTCGCTGACTCGAAATCGTCGGGGCTAGCGGGCGTTGTCCGGCCTCCTTTGACGAATTCCTCGTTGAAGATAGTGTACATGAGTGTCACCGTCTCTTTGACGTCGTCTCTTGGTAACTTGACTGGGAGAATGGAGCCAAATTTGGCGTCCTGGGGCTCACTCGACAAAGCCTCGGCGCAGATTTTGGCCGACTGCTCCAAGGAAATCGTGTCCCAGGCGTATTGCAAAGCGTTGTTGGTGTAGGCGTTGATGTCTTTGCCACAGGTGGGTGAATTATAGTCAAAGGCTTTCTCTGCTCCGAGGGACTCGACGAACGAGAAGTTGCGTGGCGAGCAGGTCGTGATGACCTTATAGCCAGAGAGCTTTGCAAATTGGATGGCCAGAGAGCCAGTAGCAGAGGACCCACCGTAGATCAAGACATACTCATTTTTGGCTGTTGGATTGGTGGGCAAATTCAGGCCTAGCGCTTTCTGATACAGTCCCTGGTTGACCCTATAGTAGTGTCAGCCTTGGGACCAGACGCCACCAGGATTCCGGGGCCACTTACGTTGAAACTCCCAATGGAAACGTCGAGGCGGACTCGAACGAAAGCGAATCGGGGATGTGAACCTGGACGTCGCCCTTTACAACGGCGTATTCAGCGAACACTCCATCATTGATATTGCTGGCGTTGGCGCCGTGAGCGACTCCAGCAACCCTGTCGCCTTCCTTGAATGACTTTGTGACCTGGTCACCGACCTTCACCACCACGCCAGCATAATCGCAACCAGACAAGCCTCCATCGCTCGCCATTCCACGGAAGATGTGTTTCCAATCGGTGGGGTTCTGTCGACGTTAGTTGTCGAGGCCTTCCTTCCTGAGCAATAAGCGGGGTACTTACGAGAGCAGCGGCCTTCACTTTGACGAGCAGCTGGTCCGGGCGAGGAGTTGGGACAGGTCGATCAAGGACCACCCGGGCGGTCTTGCCCTGAATCGTCACCGCTTTCATGGTTGATGGGATAGAAGTAGACGCCATAGTTCTTACTTGCCGTGACAGCCGAGGTAGAGCACGGGACAAAGCCAGGTTGGAAATGAAAGTATGGGAAATAACTTTGGTTGGGCCACGGATATTACTTGTGATGTGTGACAACGTCTAAGCTAGCAGCATGAGAGATGTGCAAGGGACTCTGTCCATGATGTATTTATCCCGGCTGTTGTTGCCGGCTGAGCAGAGCAAAGGAAAAGTGGGGCTCCATGGGGCAGCTTTGTAATAAATACCGGCACTCCTACCAATCTCGGTCGCGAAACATCTGGGAAGGAGATACCACCCCCGAAGCCAGCCGACAAAGTCCGGGCTTAACAATGCCCGGGCAAGGGCTCAGTCATGCCCAACGAATTGTGCAAGGTATGGCGTAGCTAATACCGATATGCATGATGGCGGAGGGCGGGCCATGTCTCGGCGTGAAGCCAGCGATGTTGAGGTCAGTGTGGTTAGGTGACTTGGACTGTACTTGGCCCTGAAATCATCAAGGATACAGCGTGCATGTCGGCATGGAAAGGGGAAGTCAGCCTCGCCCCTATACGAGTTACACAATTTTGGCCTAGCTGGCCAATCTGTGTTCGTCACTTTGCCACCATCTTCTGTAGCTTCACGTTGCTTTTTGTTGTGAACCTGATCTTTCGGTAAATGCAGTCAAATTGACTGGTTGTTGTTACTATATTCAGTGGGTGTTGGACCAAGCCCGAGTCAGGTAGGCCCGGAATCGTTCAGGTTCAAGATTGACCCTGCTGTTGAGGTTGTTGTCGGTAGATTGGGCGAAGTCATAGTGACCTTCGGCGGTGATGATGAGCTGATGCAGCTGCAGCTCGCGTGGCTTGTCTCGAGCGGTCCTGGCATGTGCTTCAGCGTCCCTCAAGGCGGAGCGAGAGTACCTTTGCACATCAAAGCTGCGACCTGTCCAGCAAGTTAGCATGAACCGCGTATCACTGGAGGCAAAGGACAGTACTACCTCGGATGGATTCTGCTGTTGCTACGAGGTCTCGTACGCTCATCCTGTCGCCCCTGACTCGGAATTCTCGTGGCCACGAAGTCAAAGCGAAGGAGGCAACCACGAAGTGAGCCAGGTCCCGTAGGGAGATCATGCTCACCTTTGCTGGGCTCCCATCTGAGGAATTGTAAGGCAGTCTCGCAACAAGGCGTCGGAAGTCTACCATGTACGATCCTTCTGTAGCGACACCACTGCTGGCCCCAAGCTGAGATTGACCCAGTCCTCCAGGTGCAAATCTCTCGTAGAAAATACCACAGGTAAAGACGCAGAATCGCATTCCCGTCGATTCCAATTGAGCGAGTCGGTGAAGCGCACGGCGACGCTCATTATCCAGTATGTCGTCCGCGGATCGGAGAGCAGGGGGCCCACCAAACTCAGCAGGGACGAAGCGACGAACCCGAGCTGTGGCCGCTGCTTCGATCAGCCGAAGCTGAGCATCTCCTGACACCGTGGATACTACCGTATCGACACCTGCCAGCTTGAACGAGAGGTCGGTGGTGCTCGAGTAGTTCACCACTACAACCTGCCACCCTTTATTGGTCAAACCTGAAACAGGCTTGCAATATGTCAGTGCCGCAGATCATCGGTTTCTATCTCAACACATACTCTTCTGGAGAATATCACGAATTGGTGCGAGGTCGTCGTCTCGATGTAGTGGGCCTGCCCAGAGGTCAGGACACGTGGGGTGGTCTCGGATGGAACACTTACCAGCAGCTGGGCGAGCCCGTTGGTTCCCACAATCGCAATCTTGATCATGATCCGGGAAATGGTGTTAATACAGCGCAGAAAGAGAAGACAAAACACATAGAGCAAAACTTGTAGCTGCGGAAGACTTGTAGCCAAGATATTTGCCAGGACAGCAGATGAACCCGTTTACTCACGGCATAAACTCCATCACTCTTGCCACAACATGGTGGCCTGAACCATGTGTCCATGTCGACGCAAAGCAGTAGCGGTAGAACGTATGAGCACAACAGTATCCGCCCGTTGCTGCAGCAGAACACTCTAGTTGAAGATATCATTCCTTCCGCAGTGGTATTCCGAGCGAGGTATTCACGAACTGACGAATGGTACTGACGAGAAGCCACGAGACATGGATCGGTTCCACAGGCTTCAAGGCGGCAGTCGACTAAGCAGCGTTGAGCGGCCGGTTCAAACCGATAGTAAGGCTCCATGTGCCGGTCTCCAGGTCCGAATACTCTTTTTTGCATCGTAGTGACCTTTTGTGACGCTTGGAAAGCACCTTACTTGGCCACAGGATGAACCAACCAGAGGGGATGGAGCGCCGATTGGCAGGGCTGTTCTGGAAGCACCGAAAACGCCTTCTTCCTAACGGCTGTCAGTGGTCTCGCTAAGACGAGTAAACATTGATTTTGATCGAGTCAGGTAAGAGGCCTTTTGTGTCAAAGGCAAAGTGCAAGGCTGAAACGGCATGTGACATGGGCACGGCTTGCACACCGGTTTGGCGCCTAAGGAGCCAGAATTCGGTCAACTTCGGTCGACTCTGTAGATCAGTAGGACGGCTTTTTCAAAAATGTAGTCCTCATGCTTGACGACCTGCAGAAGCAACACAAAAGACTACTGAAGCGTTGAGGAAGTTTTGTATCATGCTGGAATACTAATGGCCCTAGCGCCGTGTCGTTATCCTGCTGAAGGTGTAAGCATTCGTCCGCACCTGACCAAGTGGGAGCAACGTAAGGTAGGCGATCGGATGCAGATGGATCTGATAGCAGTTTCTATGCAAGACATTAGGCGGTGTGTTGGCCGATCAGTCTCTGAGCAAACAAACTCTGAGATGGTAGTGCAGGTGAATGAACAGCCGTGTGAATGTTGGGGTCACGTCTTTCTACAATGCGGCGGAGTGAACTAATTAGGCAGGCGGTGAGAGCAAGTGCAAACCTGCCAAGCAAATGGCCCTGGCAGATCAAGATGTGGGGAAGTCGCGCCCTCGTGAAATGGAAAGCGCGTCGCAATATCAACTGACTTGTAATTGCTTCCCAAAACTACATTCCGCTCGCACATCCCCCCAACACTCACACATGGTAGACAAACACGTCCCAGAAGATCTCACCATGGCTGTGAACGAGAGAACTCCGCTGTTAGCCGACACTGTCGCCAGCACTTCTCACGTCTTTCTCGATAACAACGCCAGCATGAAGAAGTCTAAGCGCAAGCGGACTAGGTACTCTCCCACCTTCTATCGCAAACTCCAGAGTGTGCACTAACTTACATACAGTGCCCACGACCACGAAATCCTCGAGGATGCCTATCTCAAGAATTCCAAGCCTGACAAGAGCGAGAGAGCCTGCATCGTCGCCAAGGTCGACCTCAACGAGAAAGAGGTGCAGGTATGGTCTTCTGCTTCGCGCAAACCCGTGCAATGCTGATCAGTTCGTAGATATGGTTCCAGAATCGCCGCCAGAACGATCGTCGTCGCTGCAAGCCCCTGCAGTCGCACGAAGTCGAGGCTCACTTCCACAAGTCCGCTGTATCGACTACCACTCCCACTTCCTCCGACTCTACCACTCATACTCACCCTGCTCCGACTCCTTCTCCGATTACCGACAACCTGTCGTCTCCCACTCCCGAAGAGTCCAATGTGCCTGCTTCGTCGGCCGATACTGTCGCGCCACCCACGTCTCAGGATGCCAGACTTCTCGAAACCCCACCCTCGAGCATTCAGACTGCAACTCAGAAGTCAGCCGCATCGAGCAAGGTCTTGGTCGCTTCGAGCCCTAGCAGTGGCCGCAAGCGTGGTCACGACGAGATGGCCGAGGCTGATCACGCTGCTCCCGTCTCGGTCGAGAGCCGTCCGCCCAACATCAAGGAGCCACTCAAGCGGAGCACCAGTATGCGTTTGACCATGACCGCAGATGGCGCCGTCAAGATCAAGACCTCCAACTCGCCAACTCCATCGCCTCCCAAGCCTCGGCATAAGCCTGTCAATGAATCAAACTCCAACAAGAAGGTCAAGCTATCACGCTCCATCAGTATGTTCGAGGATGGACAAACCTTCCGTGACCCTTCGTCATCCAAGAAGCTCGGTCATATGAGCGCCAACTTCGGTAGATCTCGAGATGCTCGCACCTGGGAGTTCTATTGCGATAATGGCCCTGATGACCCCCTCTCTGTGCATGCCGAGGCTGAGCGCAAGGGTTCGGCTGTGAGTGCCATCAACCTCATACGCTCTGCTGGTAGCAAATCGCGCGCTGCTACTGCTCTGAGTCCCGTCCCAACCAAGGTCAATTCTCGCGTCTCACAGTCGGCTACCACTAAGAAAGCCAAGCTCTCCCGGGCTCACTCGTCTCTTGCGACCCTGCAAACCAGCTCTAGCGGAGGTGGCCCAAAGAAGCGTACTTCATGCTCTGTGCCTCGTGTTGATCGCACCGACGACAGCGAGAAGGAGAATTGGAAGCCGGGTACCACTGATGTGTATCACGAGCTCCGTCGCTCAGGCCCTAGTACCAACACTCACGCGGTTCTTGGCGAGAACGAAGAGCTTTCACAGCCGGAGGAGTCCCCCACCAAGGTTGCTGCTGACCTCGACTGTGTCCATGGCCTGCTCTCTCTGAGCCAAGGTGCTTGGAAGTAAGTCCAACCATACGCAGCTCAAGCTGTCACAGATACGCAACACCAGATTTGTACATTGTGCATAGCGATACCCTATTTTCGATTCTACCAACGGCATTTTGGTGGGGCAAACAATTGATCGGATCTGTGTCTTTGTGGCCATCAACTCAAGCGACAAACGGATCAACAGACCAACAGTGAGGCGGAATCAGTGATACAAAGGTTAACTGATAATGCAAGTTGAGCAAGCTAGAGTTCACAATGTGCTCTATCACCAGGCCGCCAGTGGAGCTGTCTGTTCACAGACAGGAGCCTGGACCTCCATCGAACAAACCCGATGATGCATAAGAGGCACGACATCGAACCAGAAAGCTCGAGGCGGCTTTAAGAGGTCACAGGTGCTACTAGAGCACCTTTAGTGACGAATACAGGTGCCACAATCCAAGCTCCTTGCATGCTCGACAGTATATGCCTGATCCCATCTTCTGACTCTACTTGAATTCTATCAATGTTTGGTAGGCTAACCCCGACCCAAGTCTCGAAACTCGACACCCCGCCAAATCCAGGCGCCAGCCCCACCCTTTCTCCAACCATCCGCTGCGTCTAGCCACCGGTCGTATATTCTGACATAGATACACCTGCCTAGCGTGCAGATAGAACTGCCCAAGGCACGCAGTCAGCAGCTAGAGAGCGGTTCGACAGTGTACAAGCTGCTGATCGTTCCCATCACATTCCTGCTTAGCCTTGCAAGCAAGACGGCTCTATCTGCCCCGGTTTCCGAGATAATAACCGATTGTGCTTGGCCTACAGATATACAAGAAGGCACAACTAGTACCCCATCTTGATTTATATGTCTCGAATTGCAAAGGACCTCGCGAAAGCTGCTCCGTGGCACGTCCATCCGCGTCCGGCACTCAACTCCGGTCCTTCAGCTAGCCCGGGATGGCAGGCGTTCGGCAGCTCGAGTCCCAGCTCTACACCCATCACAAACCATAGTCCCAGCGGTGGCAGCTCACCTACATCCTACAGCACCAGTACTTCCACATCAACTGCACCTTCCACGCAGCCCTTTCAAGACGTAAACGTTACAGCAGCCCTGGCCGCTTCTGCTGGTGCCTCTGCCTGCAACTCTCCCTCGATCGCCATTATTGGCGCCGGCATCGCCTCGTTACGCCTTGCGACCTTGCTACTCCGTTCCTTGCCCCCGACCGCCACGCTCACGATTTTCGAAGCCCGTTCTCGCATCGGCGGCCGTCTGGCGCAGACCCTCGTCGGCGACCACCTCGTCGACCTCGGCGCCAACTGGATCCACGGCGTGGCGGGTAACCCCATCGCGAAGCTCGCAGAACGGACGGGAACCTCAACGCTGGAGCCGGAGGAAAGCTGCGACATTTTCGATGAAAGGGGCCGACGCATGAGCGTGGTCCGCGCGGCGGAAACTGCCGGGCTGGTGTGGGAGGGCGTCGTGGACGCGTTCCGGTTCAGCGATGAGCACGGTGATGCGGTGCCTGCGGAGCGCAGCCTTTATGAGTGGTTCGAGGAGCGCTTCACGAAGCTGTCGCATGGCTGGGAAGGCAGTGAGGCGGACCGTGAGATCAAGCTTCGTGATGTGTTGAACGAGACGCACATGTGGGGTCCGTTCGTGGGCGATCCCATTGAGAGGCAGAGCCTGAAGTTCTTTTGGATGGAGGAGTGCATTGATGGAGGCAACGTCTTCGTAGCGGACACGTACCGGAAGATCCTCCGGGAGGTGGCGAAGCCTGCCTTGGATGCGGGGATCGTGAGGTTCGACAGTGAGGCTACCGGGATTGAAGTTTTGGAGGCTGATCAAGGCGTAAAGGTGACGCTGCGCAATGGCGAGCAGAGTGCCTTCGATGAGGTGGTGTGCACGGCGCCGCTGGGATGGTTGAAACGCAACAAGAGCACCGCGTTCACCCCCCGCCTGCCGAAGCGGATAGATGCGGCCATTGACAATATCTCCTACGGACGCCTCGAGAAGCTGTACATCTCCTTTCCTGAAGCCTTCTGGCTTGAAGAAGCTTCGCCATCAACCATCACGAGTCCCCCCAATGCAGTAAGCGGGTCTTCAGCAGACAAGTCCAGGGATCCACCAACAACACGGCCACTGGCCCTGTTCACGCACTTCCACCATCCCTCGCCCTCGTCCTCCTATCACCCCTCCATCCCCCCCACCGAATCCCCACCAACATGGAACCAGAATCTCGTCTCCCTCGCACACCTCCCCGGCTCAGCCGCCCAGCCGACCCTCCTCTTCTACGTCTACGGCGCCTGCGCCACCACATTGGTCAAGTCCGTGCGCGGCCTGGAGGTCCAGGGCGCAGAGTACAATCGCCTGTTGTGGAACTTTGCGCGGCCCTGGCTGGCGAAACTGCCGGGCTACAGAGAGGGCGGGGACCGGTGTCGGCCCGTAGAAAGGGGAATGTTGGTCACGCAGTGGCAGAACGACGAGTTTGCGGGGAATGGGTCGTACGCGAATTTCCAGGTGGGGTTGCAGGCGGGGGATGAGGATGTCGAGGCTATGAGGGACTGCGTTGGGCTTACGAAGGAGTCGGAGCTGAAGAAGGGCGGAGAGCCAGAACAAGAGGTAGGCCAGAAGGGGCCGAGGAAGGGTGGGCTGTGGTTGGCGGGCGAGCACACGGCGCCGGTGGTGGCGCTGGGGACGACGACGGGCGCGTGGTGGAGTGGGGAAGGGGTGGCGAGGAGGATCTGCAAGAAATGGGGAGTGCAGGTCGTGGAGGATGAGGATGTTGGGGTCGAGCAGGAGGAGGTCAGGGAGAAGGTGGAGGGGGAGAGGCTCAGCGGAGGTGGACCAGGGGGCCTCGTGAAGGGGACGGCCGATGATAACGTAGAACGGGATGACCTGAGAGGGCGAACGTCATAACTTCCAAGTGGATGGCCCGATTGGTACTGCTACGGCATGAGGAGGCAATCGAAAGAAAGCATAGATACTCGGAAGGTGTTGTTCTAGTGGAGCTCCAGGGCCTGTCTTCATGCACCGGATGTGCTGCTATCTATTTAGCTAGAAGAGCATGGTCTCCAGCCCGGACTTCCAAATACTTCTATCGCCCACAGCTTCCCACGAGGATGGGTACTGCTTCGCGCAGTCTCCTTATGCGTGCCGTAGCCATCAGCAGGAGCCATTTAGATCTGCTCATCCGACACGTGGAAAAACACGTTGACCTCATCTAGATCTGCTCATCGAAGACCCTGAACATCATGTTGACTAGATCTATTCCAGCTGTGGTCGATTCGTTGAACATGTCTGTGTTCAGGAGCGCGTCGGCTGCTTCAGGCCCACCCGTTCCTTTCTGTCCGTTCGCGGTGGCTCCATTTCCTGAACCAGGCTTAGGCACAGACACAGAGGGCTCCATCGACATGTTCGCCACTGATTCGGCTTGACTGTTCGAAGCGCCCTCAGACTTCTCGGCGGCAGCTGGCGTGATGACATCGAAGGCCGATTCAAGCTCTGGGATTAGTGTTTTAGTATACGGAACCCCAGGGTGGTGCGGCTCAAGGAATCAAGACTTACCTTTGGTCAGCAGTTCCAGCTTCTTGTCCTCGTTGAGGTCTTCGGCGGCACCCCATCTTCGCTTTTCTCTCTGCGCAGTGCGCTTGTTGAGCGACTTCCTCACGCCGGTGCTCTGACTAGCAAGCGCTGCAGTGAGTCCTTTCTCTGTAAGGTCATATCTGGTCAGCTTTTGCCATGCTTTTTTGGATGAGATGGAACGATGACTGACTTTGCACTGTTTTGGCGAACGCGATTCCTTCGAAGTTGTGCTTGAACCTCCTGTCTATCGAGCCATCCTGTGCGATTGCTCTCTTCTCTTTTTTGGTGAGAATGTGCCCATCAGTTGCACGGGCTAGCCTCGCCGCTTTTCTGGCGGCTTTCTTTGCTTTCCTCGGATTTCGAAGATGGGCGTCGATGTTTGACGGCGTACCAGTCGCTCCAGTACCATCGTCGATTGGGTTGGCATTGGCTCCATCCGGTGACAAAGAGACACTTCTTTTACCACTTCGAAGGTTGAAAGTGCGGTATGCTGCAGAACCGTCGCCAGCTTCGCTCACATTCTTTGGCTTGGCTGACTTCTGGGTATGCTGGACATCTGAGACGATGCCGGTGCTAAGCGAGAAGCTGCGGGGACCGTCCTGGACTTGAACGTCGCCGACATTCATACCCTGGGCTTGCCAACTCTCTTGGACCGAACTTGCGAGGTCGAACACCGTTTGGCCGGGCTGCAGGGTCTCTTCGATAACCAAAGTGACCTCCACTCGGACGGGATATGCCATGGTGCGATGCAGTCGTCTGACGTGATGGGGTTGTGGCGGAAGTTAGAAGACCATCAGACGATGGCGGGAGTTTGGGTCACAAGAGTTGCAGAAAATACAGCCACTTTTCCGCAGCCTCTTCAAGGGCATGACGTTTGAGGTTGTGGTGAATAGTCTGAGAGTCACACCTCTGAGCTTGGCACTGGCTTTCACTTCACACCCAGCACACCTGAGCTGTACCTCTTTAGAGCTTTATACCAGCCGCACTTTGTGTATGTGGCATGTAGTATTCGACAGCATGTCGGCGATAGATTCCGACGCGGTCAAGAGTTGGTTGCCAGCAGGAACATGTTGTCGATCAAGATCTGTCGAAATAGAAGAGGATATTGGAGAGGCGGAAATTTATGAGGCAAGAAAAAAGGCTGATAAGTTTGCCTTGGAGGTCTTGGCAAGGCATCTATGGCCTGGGGGCAGGCTGTCTCAGGCAGCCTTGGAATCCGCGATCTGTTCAGCGTGTCAACTGCACATGCATTGACCAGTCTTGTCGATTGACCCTGGTGGCATCCTGCAGTCGAAACCACCAACGATATTATGGTTACCACAGCTTGATCAGGTGCTGTTCTACTCTCAGTGACGTCCAAGTTATAGACCGCAGAAGATCGGAAGTCACTGAACACCACGACGAACCTGAGCGCATACCAGAGGATTAACAGCTGGAATGATTCGGCGAGGGGTAGTTCCCGTTGGCAATTCTGAGACAGAAGCCGCTGGCTGTGCTTGCGTTGACCCGCGGACTTGGGATTGCAGTCTCGCCCCCAATGGTCATACACAATGGTCATACAACTGCGGCACTGCGCTTCAAAAAAGGGGCCCTTGGCTCCAAGCTGTATGCTGCTGCTGCAGTCTGGGTTCTTGCAATTGTGCATTACAACTCCATTATGCTTCTTCAGGACCGATCGCAAGCTGAACCTGCGAAGCCTCAGCGCGAGCGAGGGTCACGGGATGAGCTTGGGAAAAGAAACGGCTGGAAGAATGCGGCACTAGCTTCTCTGGCAACCTTTGCAATAAGCTGGTGCTCTTGCAGCAAAGGGGCAGCTGTAGATAAGAGGGCAGAATCGATGAGGTGCGACCAATTGATTTAATCTAGGAGGCTGGGAGATGTCGATGTTGAGATAGCCATCTGTCAGCTGCACCAAGATGGAGGGAGCGTTGAAAGTCTATTCTAAGCTGTCGCGCCACTCGTTGATAGGTCGAATAGGCGGGAAAGATCTTCGATTAGGCGGCAGAACGCCCCCCCGAATCGCTTAGGGATGGCTGTGTTCGGTAAGACAACCGAACTCGACCCCAGCCACTCCAAGCATCAGTCTTCCTGACTAGTCGCCAGCACGGTTGACTTCCATCTCCTTCTGAGCGCTTTCTAATGAGCCTGCCATACCACATTTTCTTCTGTCGCCGCCTCTTCACCCGCCCGCTGTCGTTCCCGAATGTTCGGACTACGTTCTTTTCTTCTTAGATTCACTTTGTCATCCGAGCGCCCTTTGTTTTGAAATCCGCGTTCAGCCTCCAAGACGACCAACGTTTCAGCCCCAACACAAGCGCAACTCATTACCCATTCGAATCGAGTGACGAGAGGCTGAGAGGCCTATGACGCGACCCTCACCACCGGACAACACGCTTTCGATTCCCTTTATCTCTACTTGATTGTCCCGACAAGTCAGCGACAATGTCGATGAATCCAACTACCCCGCCCCACGAAGACGCAGACATGGCGCTGTTTGCGGACGAAAACGGCCAGGATGCTACACCTCCTCCTCGAGTCGCTGCACGATTCTACCGGAGCACGAGCTCTCGTCGTAGGGGTTCCGCGAACTCGTCTCGTCGCAGCTCGATCTCCTCATTGCACTCCCATTATTCGAACCTTTCTTGCCATGGTGGCCCCCGGAGCACTCATATTGCGCAGCACCTACGACGAGCATCGATCATCGAGACACGAAAGGCGCGATTGGCTGAGAGAGCTGCTCACGCCGAGCAAGTACGTCTGAGAGCCGCTGCAGCAAAGGCCGCGCCCAGGACTTCTCATACCGAAGAGCGGGCTGCAGCCGCACAAGCGGCGCGGGAGAAGCTGCTGGCCGACATTGCTGCTAGGTGTGAGGAAGAGGTCCGAAGAGCGAAGCGAATTGCAGAGGAGAACAAAGAGAGGAAGGCTGCCGAGGAGGCTCGGTTGCGAGAAGAGCTGGCAGAGAAGTTCGCCGGAGCAGCAAGAAGGAAAACCCTATACCAGAATTCCGTCAGGAGGCCCCGGACAACGTCCTTGGCTGCAGTTGAAGAAAAGAAGGTCAATTCCGTTGCTCTGCAGAAGATGAGTCGAACCATTGCCGTGAAAACCATTCAACGGGCCTACCGGGCGTATCAGGCAAGGAAGATCATCTCTCAATTTTGTGAGCTCAATGTCAACATTGCGCACCTTGCCAACGCTTCTTTTGAGGAGGTGACCCGCCTTATTTCGGAACAAACTACGATGAAAGCGACTGCGAAACTCCTCAAAAATCTGGACATTCTGACGGCAGAAGACGAACCAAGCGGTGATCGCGGAGTAGTTCGCGTCTTCCTCAGCGCTTACCTGGTCTTGTCTCACCCCATGCAAGCTCTCAGCTATGGCGGCGGCCAGCCTCAAGAGCAGGAGCTCATGGGCAAGGCAAAAGCGCTCATACAACCATTCGAATCATATATTCGCATGACATCCTATGCTGCTCCTGGGAGCAAGGTCATTAAAGAACAGCAGGACGAGGTCACCTTCGCCTTCAATGACTTCACCTCTGCATTCCATGCCTGGAAGAGCAAAGACGTGTCGGTCTTGGTTGAGGTAATGATTGGCTCATTTGTGAACCTTGACTTGATCATCCAGTCGACGAAAGATGACCATGCCGGCCGCGTTGGCGAAGACTACTTGACTGCAATTAGGCAGGAACAGGTCAAGATCCTAGCCAGGCTGAAGAAGATCGCTGGACCAGAACAGGCACTAAACAAGATCAGATTGGCTGTCAGAAAAGCCCGGAAGCAGAAGTCTCTGGAGAAGAAAGAGCGCAGTGGGGAGGATCATGTGCCACGTTCAGTTGCGCCGTCGACGGGCAGCATAGACTCGACACCCTTGACTCCACCTGCCACTCCCAGACCAGTGTCGCGGACTGATGCAGCACCAGCTTCCTACATCACACAGCTGGGCCAGACCATGACTGTCTTGCCAACCAACCGCGAAATTGCACATGAGATCCAGATCAACGGCACGTTCGAGGTGCAACAGCAGCCTTGGACGGAATCAAGGAAGCATTTCATAGACGCCTTGAGCAGAAGCATGCGCGACAGCATGGCAAATGATGCAGGTCCGACAGCGGCTAGCTGGACGCATGCTATGGCTGTGTTAATACGGGAGAAGTTGATGAGTCTCGTCAGTCAGCGGCACCCGCTTTACGACCGCATTGATGGCTTCCTCGACCCTAAACTCATCGATCAGCAATGCCGCAATGGCGCGTTCTCGTATGATTCATTTTTCGACACTCTTGCAGGCCTTATCGCACAGCTATGCTCACCAGGCCGTGATGAGATTATCAAACAGTTTGCTGAGGATAAGAGTGCCGACACGATTGATCGCTTGTTCGCTCTCATCAACATTATTGATCTGATGAGCCTGGACCATATCAACTTTCAGTTTCGTATGGCCTCAAAGTCGGTACTCGAACATGGACATGAGCACGAGCATTCCATGTTCGAGCGGGACTTGGGTAACAACGCACACACCCTGGAGCACACAGCGCGCTGGTGGCGAGCTGCGAAGTCCTCGTTGAACACTTCGTCCCCGAGCGGCAATTCCATTTACTCGCGTGGTCTGACTGATCTCGTGCTGCAGAATACTCATCTGCGGTATTCTCAGCTTCCCGAGACATTACGTATTGACTACCTGAGGATCCTCAATCTCAGAGCTAAAGCAATCAAAATCGTGGCGCTCTCCGCAATCTTGCTGACTACAAAACTTCGGCTCCAGCGGAACCGTGAGGCTTTGTGGACTGCCGACAAGAATCGCCTCATGAGCGTTGACCTACTGAACACCGATGCGGCCCGTGTCGTCCAACTGATGGGTACATCACGCACCATGCCGGAGCCAGTTCGGGCGGGTCTGCTGAATTTTGTTCAACGAGTGCTTCCACCGGCAGTTGCGGCGGCACGCAATGCCGCTGACGCTGAAGCAAATCGTCAGATCTGTATTCAGGAGCAACGTAGCTGGAATGCGGCTGATTTGTCCCTGGATGGCGGCGATTTCTTCACTGAGCAAATTGCTACCTACCTCCTCAAGAGTGTACGGGAACATGTCTACACCAGACTGTCTGCCAGCAGTGCTGCTGACCAAGCCAGGGTGATGAGTGGAGCCGCCGAAACGCTCGCTCGAGCCGGTATGCCCGAGTGGGTTGCTGAGACGGGTGATCTTGTGCGGGTCATGGAGCGAGTGAGGACTGTTGACCTCAACGCCCACGAGAAGTGGTACGACCAAGTCTCTAGTGAGGTGTAGGTCCGTGAAATGTTTTGGTTCCTTCTTTCGAGTTGTATCCTATCCAACGGCGCGGTAGCTGTTGCACATTCCTGTAATGGCTTGGATTTCATAATGGACCACGGGCGGGGCTGTTGCATTGCATCGGATTGCTGGGATTCACGCAAATGCTTTTCTGTACACATACATGGACACGCAGCATGTTCGTCGTCGCGAACGACGACAAGCCCAATGACGACTTTACGATATATGCAATGCCATATCTTGATATCAGTGCCCTTATCTTGATGAGCTCTTCCCTTGCGCATGCTCTTGAGACTACCATTTGAAGCTGGATCTGTGGGTTCAATCCATTTTGTGATACCGACTAGACTGGACTTGGAGTTCCTTTTTTTAATTCTCGAAACAAGCATGGCATTGCTAAATCTACTACCTGTCGACCATGGGAGTTTCACCATCATGGTTTGGAAACGAGCCTACTTCATCTACCAAGCCTGACTGTCGTTCCGGTGCATGCGACGCTGTTACTGTTGGGAGCCTATTGCCTGCCCGCCTGCCTGCCACCACGCTGCCTCGATGAAAACTTCAAACCGACCTGCTCTGACCGGGCTCATTATCAACTAAGGACGAGTCAGTGCGTGGGACAGAATCCTCCCGCTGTTGAGACGCGTCAGTGACAAGGCAAACTCTCCGTGGCCTACAAAGGAGGATTCTTGTTTGTGAACACCTGTCAAGACAAACCTGCCTCGAGTGAGTGCCAAGCAAGATGGATTGTCACTGTGTCAAAGGCCGGTCAAGCTATCTAGGACTATTGGTCTTCCGGTATCTGATGCCTCTCCATCTTCATTTGAGGCCCCCCCCAATATACGCTAGCATTCGCACAGATCGAACACCATGTCCAGCGCAGAAACCCCTCCAATTCTCGCTAGCCTATGGCAGAAGCTGCCCACCGAAATCACCAGTGCGATCTGGGAGTATGTCTTCACCGCGAACCACCCGATCACCGCTCCCAGCAAGCTGCAGCCCCAGCAGCCCACGCAATATCGCCTCCTGCGCACCAGCAAACAGGTCATGCAGCAAGGCTTTAAAACCTTCTGGACCAACACTGTGATGTGCGACGGGTCGTGTCGCAACTTTGCTGCTCGTCACGATCCGACGTATCTGCAATATGCGCGGAGTGGGGTTTTCGATGGACAGAGCAGGAGCTTCGGAAATGGCTGCAGTGGGTTTGCTGAAGATCGCCTGAAGTCACATATGACAATAGAACCTGTGAAAGCTTTGCCTTTCTGTTACTACTATAAATCCTCCTGAGATACTCGTGCCTCCTCAGAGGAGGGTTTTGGCGTGCCCCAAAATGTCAGCCCGAGAGCTCCCCTGCGTCCACTCTCCTTGTAGCGTGTCCCTCCTCGATGCTGTTCAGTCCTGATCTGATACCCCAAACGGCTGAGACTCACACCCATTACTGTTTTGGCACCCCAGACTGAACGTGCAAGTCAGCGTAGCTCACCAGGCTTCATCTGACAAATGCTTGTGAAGCACGAATGGACGAAAGTCTCCCAGCTGGATTACGATATCTCACGAGACACCAGATAGATATGCTCCGAGATTGTCTAGTCTTAGGCACATATGATAGTGCGCATTTGCCGCAGCAGATATACCACCTAGATGGCGGTAGGTAAGTAGCAGCAGCCTCATCTCCTCATCTCCTGGAGACACAGCCTCATCCTCCGAGGTGAAACTCTATTTGCACCCACCACCACATCACCCCCGACTCACCTTTTATCCGGCTTCTCTCTCCAACTCGGACCATACCGTCCCATGATTACCTCCGTCCACACAGCCGCCTACAGTATAACTCCCTCACGGACATTCTCTGAACAGTGGAGAAACCAGCCCCGCAAAACTTGGCACCTCCACACTCCGGTACTCCAAGTATCGGCAACATCCCGCCCTCTCCCTCTCCCCCCCCTTCTTGACCCACAACTTGGCGGACGATCCTGCGGGTACGCTAAGGACGAACTTGGCCTGTCGGATAAGGCGATCAGGGCAGAGCTTGTGAGACTTGGGCATAAGTCCCTGACCAGGTACTTGAACGGTTGCAGATAGCGTCTTGTTGTTTTCCCACTTCCTTTCCCACAAAAGCTCGGCCTGGCTGCGGGCTGGCTTACCCCAAACCTACTCTCCACGATGTTGTATCTTGGCTTGTGGAGGTTCCAAGGGCGACGGTAGGAGGAGAGAACAAGTACCCTTCCCACTTTTTCCCAGACAGCCCGGCTGTTGTTTGTTTGTTCTTCTTCTTCTTCTTCCTCTCCTCTTACCCAACTGCCTGCGGTCGTGGGTATAAGCAGTGATTCCCGCACCCACCGTCCGCTGTTCTGGAGGAGTTTCATCTGCATACCCAAAGGCTTTCATTCACAATGTCCACCGATCCACCCCAGCCCAACCACCGCAAGGCCCGGGAGACCTCGGTCGCCTCCAACTGGAAATGCATCCTTATCTGCATCGCCATGTCTCTCGCCAATTGCCAGTATGGGTACGACACCGCCACCGTTGCCGGATTTCAGGCCATGGTCGGCTTCCTCAAGGTCTATGGCTATGAGGATCCCACGACGCGTACCGGCTGGAATATTGAGACAGTGCCGCAGCAGCTCATCAGCTCTTTCCTGCAGGTGGGCACCATCATCGGTGTGCTGCTGACTCACCTGTTTGGGCGATATTTCGGACGGAAACCCGCCATCTGGGCCGCCAGCCTGGTCTCGTTCGTCGCCGCGGGCACGCAAGTGGGGACCACCACGCTCGTGGGACTGTATTTCGGCAGACTGTTGATCGGCATGTCCAATGGATTCTTCATCACGTTCGCCAACATCTACACGGCCGAGGTGAGCCCGAGTCACCTTCGTGGCGCGATTGTCTCGCTGTTTGGTATTTGGGTCAGCATAGGTTCGTGAATCCGCCCTTCCGTCAGCTTTGCCACTGAGGGCGGGAATGGATCTGACATGACCGCAGGAAGCATGATGGGTGCCATCGCCAACCAATTTTCCAAGGAGTATGACAACAAGCTTTGCTACCAGATCCCGCTGGCGAGCCTGTTCATCATCCCCGTCACCCTGAGTATTCTGATGATCTTCGTCCCCGAATCGCCGCGATTCCTCCTCGTGCATGGCAAGACCGAAGAAGCTCGTCGCGCGCTGGCGACCCTGCGCGGGAACTCGTTCAAGGACCACCCGGAGCTCTTGGAAGAGGAGTTTCAGGAGATGAAGCAGGGCATCGAGCGAGAGCAGGAGCTGGCATCCTCGTCGTCCGTCTCAGATATGTTCAAAGGCACCGACCGCCGCAGAACGTTCCTTTGCTGGGCAGTCGTGCTGTCCCACTCGTCCTCGGGGATATCGCTGATTGTAGCCTACGGCGTGCGTCGACCCCTTCTCTACTGAATTATGCAGAACATTGACTTGTCCAGACGTTCTTTTTCCAGCAGGCTGGCGTCGGCCGGCCTTTCCTCGCCACGGTTCTCAAGTCTCTCATGGGTCTGGTCGGTGTCGCTTTGGGCATGTATTTGTCATATAAGTGGCTCGGGCGCCGCACCATGATGCTGATAGGCCATGGCACGTCGGCAGCTTTCTTCTTTGGAATGGGGATTGCCGAGTCGATTGCTCCCAAGACGGAAGTTGCTGGAAGAGTTATCATTGGCTGCGCGATGTGTTATCACTTCTTCTATAACGGTTTCTCGGGTGCACAGAGTTACCCGGTCGCCAATGAATTGGTGAGCTCGAGGCTGCGCGTCATCTCAGTAGGAACAGCCACTGCGGTCAACATGGTCTTCGCCTGTGAGTTTTCCGATTGCGGAGGTCGTTGCCGGACAGGCATGCTGACTAGTATGTAGGGCTCACAGCATTTACGATGCCGTACTTCATCAACTCGACTGAGCTTGATTGGGGCGGCAAGATTGGGTACGTCTGGGGCGGCAGCAATGCGGTCACCTTCAGTAAGTCTGGTCCCGATCTCACTAATGATCGGGCTAATCCTTGGGTCAGTCTTCCTCTGGTTTTTCCTACCAGAAATGCGGAACCGTACGCTCGAGGAGATCGATGAGCTGTTCCAGGAACGCGTGCCGACGCGCCAGTTCCACAAGTACCAGTGTGTGTCGTCCGAAAGGGCAAGGGAACAAGCGATCAAGGTCGTGGGCATCGAGGCCGATGTTGACGGTGATGAGAAGACGATGGAAGTTGAGCACCGAGAAGTCAAGGCCTGATCACAGTCCATGAATGGATCCGGCATTTCGGGAGGCAACCTGTAAGCCACGTCGCTTCGCATTGTACGGCCGGTCCTCGGATCCGGGAGCGTCATGTCAGCCCTCGAAGATTGAAAAAGTGGAGGATGCGAAGCCCCTGAGGGATGGCTCGTAATCGAGCATGTAAAGTAGCAGGGGCTTCACAATCATCGGAAGGCTCGGCATCGCTACCGTTGAGCAGATTTGCGGATTGTGCATGCACTTCACCTAGAATATGCTGTTCGCCAAGGACATCACTGCTCGTCCAAAGCCAGGTGACACGAACGTGTGATCTTAGCCGGGTATACACTCAAGTTAGTATTACCAACAGCAGAGATGGTGAATCGTGTTAATGAGCAGCTGAGGTTCAAGTTCGAGTTCAGGTTCGAGTTCACGTGATATCCGGAGATTTGATGGTGATGGAGCATCTAATTGGTCTGAACGGCAGGGGACAGAAAGAAGCACCAGCAATCGCGTTCAAGCTTAATTCAAACATGTTTGCGTGGCCCTCTCGTCGCTCCGACATGAAGCGTTTGATGATGGCCCACTCCTGCCGCGTATGGAGCGGAATGAGCGGCAAGGGGTCTCGCATTTCGAGCGCACGACACCTGCAATGTATACGTATGATTGTAAAGGACGAGGTCGTTAGCTTAGACAGTGGTCCTTGGGCAGATGGCAGTCGCGTCAAGCTTCCAAGGGGAGAGGCGATCATCACCTTTGAGCCATGGTGCCCTTCCCGTTTAACTCAAGTCTCACACAATTCAAGCATGTCTCAAGCTTGTGCAACCGAAGCTTGGTTGGACAGGGGTCACCGGTAGGAAGAATACCGCTTAACACAGGTCCAAGGCAGGTAGGTCATGTGGAGAGAGTGCGAATGATCGTCCAGAGCATTATTAAATTGTACGCGCACTCACCGGATAGGACGGCGACTTGGATGAGACTGCCTTCTTTGCGACCGACCATGGAGATCCATGCCTCTATGATGGACTCACAAGTGGGCCACCAAGATGGTTGCACGAGGCAATCTCGACTCAGAGATGGCGCTGGCGTCGCCTCACGACACAACAGTTGATAGGGTGTCAAAAACGATACCGGATGGCCGAACTGAGCGGTCTCCCGCTCAAGGTCCCCAACGGCAAGCCGCATGACGCGCTGCAGCGCCAGGATTCGCGGCGTCCTCAGTACTAAAATCAGGCACTACTCGAAGCACCGGGACACAATTCACACCTTCTGCAAACATATGTGTATAACTTGAATACGCACCAAGGTCTGTCGATGCAATGTGCTCACTGCTAGAGTCAACGCCGATGACCGCGCATTAGGTAATCAAAGCCAAGCAGCCCGACATTCTCAAAGTCCCGTGCCCGGCAACAAGAAAGTGCATACGTGCCGTAGGTATGGATGATTTCTCCGAGCGCGCTATCCATGGCCAGATTCTGCAGCTTGGCCTACGCATGGCGAGACTCTGTTGTACCTGTGCCTCTCTAGCCGGGCCATCATGCGTATCCATGTCTACAACAACCGGGCATGCAAGAGGACCAAGATGGAAGCTTCCAAGCGTGACAGGTCCTGCAGCGGCCGACTTCAATCACCTAGCCGAAGCGAGGCATTCGACGACGGAAGCAGCAAACAGAACAAAGGAGCAACACTGCGCGGCTACGTCGAGGGCTTCGTCGCTCGAGAGGTCGCTCGAGAGGTCGCTCGAGACGCACGCCACGGCTTTGTTTAGGTTGTGCCCAAGCATTGGCTAGTGATGGCGCTAAAGTCTCGGTTGGTTAGGCGCGGATCGTGGCTGCTCCAGCTAAGATTGCGGTGGGCCCGGCGCTAGGATAGCCCTTTGATCTCCTCGTCCCCCTGCCACTGTCTCTTTATCATCGTCGTCCATTGTACTTGTAGCCTTATCCTGCTATTGCTTTGTACCTGCTACCGTTGGCTCATACACTCGTTTCAAGAGGGATTCCCCTCGTTCCACTCCTTTTAGCTTCGCTCCTTTCGGGCCAACCAGTGCTTCACCGGCCAAATACTTCATTCCAACGCGAGCAACCACCCAGCATTCCTCAGTGTGGTCATATGAGTCTCCAAACAGGTCAGTCGCACGCACGCACCCCCTCCCTTGCCTCCTGTGGTGGGAAGACCTACCTTTTGCGCTGCTTCCCACATCGTTCGCTCTCACGGTTTGGCCCCATCACTATCGGCTGCTGGACAACGCCATAGACTGACATGCTGGCCGTGTGTATAGAACCTGCCATTGTCGACACACTCATAGCTCGATAGCTTACCACGTTCATTACCACAACAATCAACAACAAACCTCCGATGAAACGCTACCTCATCGCCGCAGCTGCGGTCGCCGCCGCCGCGAGTCCTCACCTCCACAAGCACCGTCACCTGCACGATCTCAATGAGCGCGATCTTCCAACCGTAACCGACGCGGTCGCCACAGCCACCGTTTACGAGATCACCGGTACTCAAATCGCTAAAGATGCTGCGTGCGCCGGCGTAGCCTCGGGCAAGTTCACGTGGAAGAATCCAGCCGATGCCGCCATTTGTGCCGCTGCTGCGTCGAGTGCAGCTCCCACTGCCCCTGCTCCTCCGGCCTCCGCTAGCCCATCTGCAAGTCCCGGCGCCGAAGCTGGCCAGTTCTACGGCGGCCCTGCTGGTGGCGGCCATGGAGGCGCTGCTGGCTCTGGTGGCTCTGGCGGCTCTGGGTGGACCGACTCCGGTGCTACTGGCATCGATGCCGACTTCCCAGATGGACAGCTTGATTGTGGCACGTTCCCATCGCAATATGGCGCCCTTCCTGTGAGCTACCTTGGGATGAATGGGTGGATCGGCCTGCAGGATGTCGGTAGTAACAATGGTGGCCCCATCCATACCATTCATACGCTACTCTCTGGCGACAACTGTCGCGAGGGCGTCATGTGCTCCTATGCTTGCCCTGCCGGCTACACCAAGACTCAATGGCCTCAGACGCAAGGTGCAACTGGCCAATCTGTTGGCGGTCTTTCGTGCTCGGGAGGCAAGCTCAGGCTCACCAATCCCGGTCTATCATCCAAGCTCTGTATGGCTGGTCAGGGCGGTGTCCAGGCCCAGAACAATGCCGGCCAAGTTGTGTCCATCTGCCGTACGGACTACCCCGGTACCGAAGCCGAGACTGTCCCCGTCGCTCTTCAGCCCGGTCAGAGCCAGCCGCTCAACAACCCTAATGCCGACACTGGCTATAAGTGGCAGGGTAAGGACACCTCAGCTCAATACTACCTCAACCCGATCGGCGTTGGCCCCGAGAAGGCTTGCCAGTGGGGAGATGGCAGCCAACCGATTGGCAACTGGGCTCCAATCAATTTTGGGGTTGGCTACAAAGGAGGGAAGACATGGCTGTCCATCTTCCAGAACAAGCCTACCACTCTGCAGAAGTACCAAGGTCGCGTTGAGCTCAAGGGCGATCTTTCCGACAAGTGCTACTACGAGAATGGCAAATTCTACGGCGCCACTGGCCCTAACGACGACGGTTGCACAGTAAGTATTCCCGTTCGCGTTGCATTGCCTCGGTACTAATCCTTCGCAGGTCGCTGTCAATTCTGGCACTGCAACCTACATCATCTCTTCATAGATGTCTCTGATATATGCAAGCTTCCAGATCGATCAGAGATTCGAGAAGTTGGAAATCCGAAACGAAGCGATCTATCTCCTATCATAAACGACCTATGACTCTCTATTCAGTATTTTCTTATTCTATTGTGACCGGAATCGCTTGAGCGTTCATACACCGATTCTCGTTCACATTTTTCTTTTCCTCTTTTACTTCTGGACGGCGGACCCTTTCGCAGGGCGGGTTTTGGTACGTCGGTACAATGATGGCCGGAACGGAGTGTATTCCACGTTACATTTGGATCAGGATCTTAGGACTCTGAACCACGCCACGCGTCAGGAGGTCGTGCCATTCGGAATGCTAGGCTACTCAGGAGCCGACCCAGATGATTCTGACGCCCTGCTTTTTGGTCTGGACAACGACGACGATGACGAAGAAGAGGATTGACGGATAGGCACCCCGGCACATCCTGAGAATTGGGTTCCAGTACGCCGGGACAGGTCCGATCTTGATTTTTCGTGGGGGACTATCGAGCATACGATGTACATAGTCTAGGGTGAAGATGTGCTGTGCTGTATGGAGACGTCGAATCGATTCCTAGTTTCGCATTGATTATTATGAAATAACTTACGTTTTCATTGCCTCTGGCCTCTGCCTCTGTCTGGTCTCACTCACAGTGTAACAGTCGCAACCACGCGATACGCAGAAACAAACACTGCTGCAGTGCTGTGGCCGTGCATTGACGTCGTTCGTGCTTTCGTGCCTTTTGTGGTTTTTCGTGTCCGTGGGCGACGTTTTTCGTCCTTTTTTTTTTCTTTCTGGGGATCGGAAACACCCGCGGAAGAAACCTGTCGCGTTAGCCGCGTCGCGCTGTGCAGTTCAGTTCTCCATCTGCGTGGCTGGACAATGCCCCCCCCCCCCCCCCTATATATGTGTTTGGGGGTTATCTGCAGGTGTGAACTCAGTACTACGCAACCCCCCGAAATCATGCCCAGAATTATTCACTGCCTGGGATTTTTGACGCGCACCGAGCCTGACTGGAAAAACCCCGCCAGATCAGCGCCTCTGGACGACGTAGATCGCTGATACCAGCCCCTCACTGGGGATCGCCGGGGGGCCAGGCGGAGTTTGCACTTTGCACCCCTGAGGGGGAAAAGGCTTGGTATGGAAGCCAAGACGTGATAGACGCTCGGCTATCTCGTACCTAGCTGCCTAGCTGGGTTGAGTGGGAAGTGCGAGTGGGTTCTCTAGGCGCGGACCCTATATACTGTATCTGTCAGCTTTGAGATATGGCGAGGCCAAGGTGTGGGTCGTGGATGGGCGCGTTGATGGTTCTTGCTGAGCTGCGCGATAGAGAGCGAGGTGTTGAGAGGCCGGGCGGGACATGATGTGACGCCAAGGTGGCCTTCGCAATTACCCCCAAATGGATTAGGCTGTATCGACGACTGCGTCAGTACCCTCCCCATAATACAACCTTCGTGCCAGGTACTGATTCTTGCCAGGACTGCCTGAGCGGCTTCTGCATCGTCCGAGACACAGGCAATGGAGCTGGCTTTGCGCTGTGTTGCCAACCCTAATAAGTGAGCTTGGGGATGTCAATGGTCAATGAAAGGATGGGAGTATGATCGAGGACCATTGTCTTCAGTTTTTCTTCGACTCGTCCAGTCACTTCGGGCTTTACTGTCTCATGAGACCTATACCGACCCTACAAGGTTTGCCGTGGACCCGACAGCCATGTCTCCAGGTCAAACTTTCGGGAAGCAACATACAGGCACTTACCGAGTGCCGATGGTGGCGGCGCTGTTGGCGTATCAACGAAGTGCGGCCTTAAACACCAACATCGACGCGATGCCATTGTTTGAGAGCTGGTCGAAGTTGGCCGATGAGCTGCAATCCGGCTGAGATAGACAGGTCAAAAGCACATTTCGAATAGCAAGTCCAGCCTGGCTCCGTCAAGGGGGCCAGTAAGGCAACTGCAGTAACAGGAACTACTTCGTCAGCGCAAGGCGATCAGGCAGCATCAGTTCAGCCACATTCCCGCTTCGGGAAAGACGCAGAACTTTGGAGCGTCAATGCCGGGGTTTCGCCGTGGCTCTGCGACCTGTGGTGTTGGAATCGCTCCACCGCCCGCGGACTATGTCTCGACATGTCGTGCAAAGCATCTCCGTAACCGTGGCGAGTTCTTGAGCACAATGTCTGCGAGGTCTCGATGTGATCTGGGGGTGCCTGCACGCCTTGCACATTCGCTTCGTGCAAATTGGTCATCAAAGGTTGGTACACCGTGTTAGCGCTCAGCTTTACTTCCAGGGTCCTGAATGTGAGAAGTATTGTAGCTGATGCAAGGTTGTTTGGGTCACGTTGATTTTCGGACGCGTGGATATGTGCTTCATACGTGCTGGCCGTGTGTTTCTCGTGCAAGCTAGTCTTGGCAAATAGGATAAATGCTTGTTGAGTCTGGTCTTTTCATGGCGATGATTCGAGTCACAAATGTCGTCGTGTGAAACAGGACAAAATACTAAATAAATGAGGTCGGAGCTCATCGAAAGAATCGATGGGATCTGAGGTCGACTGTCTCATGAGTCTGTGTGTTCGGCCGTGTGAGGACTGCCTCTGTTCACTGTGACATGATAGTGGCAGTGAGGTACGGATCACTCCACGTTCGGAAAGACGACTTTGCGAAGTTCAGGGGACACGATAAGAGGCATGTCGCAGCAGGAGCGGCACTTTGATATCAGCTACTACTCCACGGCAGGTCTCCAAGTACTCTCTATTTGTCCATGCCTATGCCCGTCCACTCATAGCCCTCGATTCCCTTCTTGGCACCGCTTTCGCCTCGTAGTGCAGCCTTTGAGCACATGTGCCGATCGTGCGTTCCCGTTGGCTCGACTCTCCCCCCGTCTTGCCGCAATGCTTGATATGCCCAGACTGGCACCTATGGCACCCAAGCCGGGCATCCGGTGAGACCCAAGACTAACTAATCCTCTCATTTTTACAGGCGGCCCTCCTCATAGGGTACGACGACAAGCGGTTGATTTGCGTTACACTCGCTTTTTAGCGATGGGGATTCTCGTGGCACTCGCCTACTTCGGCCGGCAGCCGATGGGCGTGGCGATGCGAGGTGGTTTCCGAATTGGTGGCGAGTGATCTCGTGTGGGACATACAGTAGTTTCTCGCTTGTGGAGTGGCATTGGACACACGAATGTGAGGGGGGCCTTCGGGTGGTGGATCGGCGTGGGCGAGGTGGTACGATGGCTGTCGGCTGCATATGCAGACTCGCTTCTGTTGGTACGGATTCGTGGCTCGTGATCCCGGCCACCAAATTCATTTATGACAGGCGAAGTCAAAGCCTGGCGTTGGCGGGAGTTCCGAGGAATTAGTTGTCGTGCTCTATCGTTGCTAGTCGCATATCCCGCATCTCGATCTGACTGTCATGAACAAGATAACATCCAAGAATGTCCGCTCAACGAAAGATTTTGTAATTGGGGCATTACATGACAACTACGCAGATATGCTTCCCTTTCTGCACACGCTGAAACGTACAAAGTCCGCCCGTCGTAACGTGGCAGAAGCGCCGTCTATGAGAGATACGTAGACATCTGACCGTTTCCGTGTCGTGAGACATTTACTGGCCAGGCTGCAGGCCCCATCTCGGGGCGTTGATGATGATGGCCATGGTGCAGCCGGAGATGATACCGGTGACTGGGAGGGTGATGAACCAGCCCATGTAGATCCAGGTAATCATTCTCCACTAGAGAAATGTTAGTTATGTCTCGAGCAGCAGTGAAAGGGAGACATACGTTGACAGCTTTGATGGTTCCAGCGCAGAGGGCGACACCGACGGTGGCACCAGTGATGCACTGAGTGGTGGAGGTGGGCAGGGCAAGACGGGTAGCCAGAACGACGGTAAGAGCAGCACCCAACTCCATGGAGAAACCACGGGAAGGAGAGTGCAGGGTGAGGCGGTTACCCAGGTTACGCATCATGTTGTAACCGTAAGTCCAGAGACCGATAGAGATAGCAGCACCTCCATAGACCAGGACCCAGATGGGGACTTCAGATCGGGAAGAAGCTTCGTTAGTCCTCCAGATCTGGTAGATGGCAGCGAGGGGACCGACACCGTTCGAGACATCGTTGGCACCGTGACCGAATGAAGCGACGGCGGCGGTCATGACCTGAAGGAAGGAGTACAGATGCTCGGTCTTGTTGTCGTAGGCGGGAACGTGGCAGTGCACCTTGGAGAGATCCTTTGCGAGAATCTTAGCAGCGAAACCCTTGGGCTCATGGCCAGCCATGCCCTGCTCCTCGACAATGTCACGGTTGACACCGCGGAAGAAGAAGTACTTGGCACGAGCGAAGAAGCCGCCGGCGGTAGTCCAGGGTTGAGCGTACGCCTTGGACCTGGCGAGTTCCTGGCCGGTGAGGGGAGCAGTACCGTTGGCATGCTCGGGGGCGACAATATCACTGTCCGACGAGGCGTTGATAGCAGCGTTCTTCTCGATGTCTTCGGGGTTGCTAGTGGCAGGGACGTTGTTGGTGATGGCAGGGTGACCGTTCTTGACGGTGTGGCCACGGTAGTAGTCCTGGACGATTTGCTTCTCCATACCTTCAGGCATGGGAGGAACGTCGCCACGGAACCACAGCATAGGACCCTTGATGACCTCCCATGACTTGATAGTCCAGTCATCCAGGTAGAGCTTCCGGTAAAGATAGGGCAGAAGAAAGAGAGCGTACAGCAGGATGACACCACCAGCAGTACCGAAGATGGTACCAACAGTGGGGGCTGTGCCCCAGTCATCAAGGTTGAGAGAGGCAGCGCCCTTCCAGACAATGCTCATGGTGAGGACGGCCGAGGTGACACCGAAGTAGAAAGGAATCATCCAGAAACCACAGATCAGAGGGTTCTTGCGCTCGAGCACACCATACTTGGTGATGAGGAAGACAATGGCACCGAAAGCACCAGCAATGCAGGGAGCAATGCCCCAGGCAGCGAAGACTTGCGAGACACCTTCCCAAGACCAGTCCACGCCATTTGCACCAATGGTGGCGAAAGCCACACCGATGATACCACCGACAATGGAGTGGGTCGTCGACACGGGCAGACCAATCTTGGTGGCGAGAGTAAGCCAGAGCGAGGAACCGACCAGGGCGCAAAGCATGGCCAGCATGAGCACCGAGGGGTTGCTTTCGTACTCGGAGGTAGAGATGATACCGTTTTTGATTGTGCCAGAGACACGAGCTCCGGCAAGGACAGCACCACCAAACTCGCAGACGGTGGCAATGGCCATGGCTTGCAACATGGTCAGGGACCTGGAGGAGACGGAGGTCGCGAAGGAGTTGGCGACATCATTGGCACCGATGTTCCAGGCGTCAAGGAAGGCAAAGATCAAGCCAAAGGCAAAGATGTAGTCGTACTCGGGCAGGGCGCGTTCGACCATGATGGCGGTTGATGGAAGGTCAACACTTGAAGTGAATGAAAGGGGGCCTCTAAGGCTGTGGTTGGTGTAGTGAAGGTGATGAAGGGAGGGAGATTTAGATCCAGGGCGCAGGTGTACTACTTTATACGGGACATGGCTCACGGTTCGTTCGAGCTCCAACAGCAGAATTTAGGATACACTAAGCGATGGGCGAATCGCGACGGGTGATACCCTGAGCGTGACATCGCTAGTACAAAGCAGTGGGCAGACATGGACCCAGTTGCGGCGTCTCCAAGAGGCAAAGAAATTCGAGAAGGACGCAAGACAAGGGCTCGCCTGAGATAGTGGATGGCAAGGGATCTGAGGAGTCAAGGAATGCCGCCGAGTCTCTTTGGAGTCCGCCGCGCGCTTGGGAAAGACCGGGCCTGGCGGTCTTAGCGCTCTGGGCAAGCAGGAAAGGCGGACCGCAACATGCTATGAGAGGTGAGCGCGACAGAGAAGCTCAGGGTCAGCGCAGCTCGGCGCCAAGTCTTCCGCCCGTAGTACGGGCTGGGCGGGAACCTAGACGATTTTTGGGCTACCTCTTGGGGGCCGTTCATACTGCCACGTGCCCCCCATGATTGGCTATAAGTCAACCTCACCTCAGGCCATTCTCACGTCGACACTGAATTGACATGAGCTGTATCATCGTCCCACGCACTCAAGCTCAAGTTGGTCCTTCCTCCCGATGCCAAGATGTCCGCAGTTCAGATTTTTTTTCTTTTGGCCGCTGGGCAACTGATCTCTCAGTGCCTCGAAGCCTTCGCGTTAAGGTGAGCCACAATGGACAACTGGCTGAGCTTGGCTTCGCCGACCAATAGGAATGCCAGCATGCGTGCTGCGCTACATATACGGGAGCGCTCCTCGATACCGGCTCCCTGGGCATCTCGGATGGTCGACACGAACCCACCTTTGAACGCCAATGTACCTCGACTCCGACTCTCATTCCACATGCATCATTTCGCCTCAAGTGATCGAGATGCATTCGATTCGGTGGGGCATCATTCGGTATGAGAGTGCAAGCGGGCATCATGCGGGCACTTCTACGTATGAACGCACTCCGGGGACCAAGATCTACTACAGTCCTGGTCGTCGACACTTGATCTCGTGCAGACTCCAGATCCACCCTCATTTGGGTGCAACTGGGCCCGTTTGCCTCGTTTTACGCTGACGAGACACGCGAGAGACTCCCGGCCTCTCATGCAGACCACCAAGACGCCATCAGCTTTGTTCTGCGTTTCACCCTCGTGAGCACTATTTGCGATGCCGCAGAAGCAACATGCTGACCAGCCCGTTCAACCGGCCGCAGGTGAAAACCATGCCGAGATCCGTAATCAGCAAGGGTCTGACTACCTCTCGAAGAACCATTACTGCAAGTGGGTATGTGACAAAGGGTATGAAATCTCGACCTCAAAACCAGTGAGCTAACGAATCCGCGCCCGTAAGTTTAGGGCATTATTGAATGGGACAAGAGTCGTGTGTTCTTGGTAATAATCATGTTCGTCGTTTTTCAACGTATAGAAGCAGCTGCCTCCACCCACGTGTTGCCTTACCTCCGGCACAATCTTGGCGCTGCTATACTCTAACACCATCTTGCAGATTGCACGCGGCTCGGTTGTCAGCCGATGGTTGCAGGTGTGCACCAGCAGAGGCTTGGCGAGCAAAAGTCTAAGCTGTCCTCACAGGGCATCGGTCCTCTCCGATCATCCAGATCTATCTTCCAAATTGCCGCCAACATACGCTATACAGCAACTTTCTTGTGTAGCCGGAACCGCTTTCCGTCGAGAAGAGGCAGCACTGCCGGCATTGATACTCATATCAACCGTGAACATGTAGCTCTTCAATCCCCCTCGCAGCACGTCAGAGGCTGGCTCTTAGCCATATGTTGATCCTAACTGCTGTCGTTACCACACAAAGTTAATGGATCTGCCGACTTTCAACCCCGCCAAATGCTTCTCAGGCAGTCTAGACGATGTCGAGAGGAGGTGCTATGCGTCACGGCTGACTTCCAGCCCATCCGATGTGCAGATCCGCCTTCGATGGCCAGGCAAGACCTAGCGACCGGATCGCGTATCGACGAACGATGACGTGCCATGGATCTAACCCTGCAGATGTGATCTACGCTCGCTATCAGGAGTGGCAATGTTGAACAGGTCGCTGAAAGCCGCATATACACCCAACATGAGCAAATAGCTAAATGCCAAGCAAGAAGTTGCATTGTGGCTGCACCCCCATCATGGAAGTGTCCTCTATCAGACTGTAGATGGTCATCGCCTACGTCAGACGATAAAGAAGCACCGAGAGGTGGGTGAAAACATGTCCAGACCTCACAGAAAGCCATTCAGCCCGCGAAATTGATAGCCACTGCTACGTCAATCCTCCATTCGACAGACGCTGCCGATCCTGGAAGGTCACGACACGCTGAGCCACGATACCTGAACACATGACCTTTTGAGAAGCACAAAGACGAAAAAAAAAACCAAAAACAGCCGGGGTGAGAAGATCTAGTAATAATATGGGTATAGGTCAAACGAAATGCTCGCTCCCGAATGACAGCAGCATGGCAGTTGCACTCTGAGGATACCGAGTAATCACACATCGTCACATACCGTACAAGGCCATCGAATCTCTGACACGAGAATTTCCCAACAGTTCGGCTCCCAGTCCGCCGAGAAGGAATGCAATATACCAGCACAAGCGTCGACAGCAGACCGTTGCGCCGTTCGACTGAGAGTACATTTCGTGAAAGCTCACTAGAGTTGGACAAAAGTGACGAGTCGGGCTTCCCCACCTCCTCACAGCAGAGGCTTTTTGGTGTGATACGAGGTGTAGTGAATTTGGAGCGCCCGCCTGTCAGTTTCGTCGAATTCTAGTGGATGAGCACCCTACATACACGCCTCCTGGCCCTGCTAAGCTCAAGTACTACGAGCAACACCATTCGTACCCACTCCGGCTTCTTCTTTACCACCAACGCGGATCATATTCTTCACCCCTTCTCCTCGTTTGGTCGCCTCCCATGCCTCGGTCGTGTTCTCAAACTCCCAAACCTTGGTGATCAATTTCGCCACCTCCCACCTCCCACTCCGCAACACATCCAACGCCACAGCAAAGTCCTCGGGACCATACCTGAAAGCGCCGTGAAAGTGCAACTCCTTCTCGCTGACATCCACGATCGGGAACTGGATCATGACCTTGCCCAGCCCCGTCTGGATATACTGACCCCCCTTCCTCAACACATACACTCCCGTCTGCACACAGCTCTCGGCGCCCGTCGCCTCGACCACGGCGTCCGCGCCCTCGCCCAGCCCGCACTCCCGCACGATCCTCGCCGCCAGCTCCATCGGCGCCTCGCCTTGCCGTGGCATGAGCGTCTCAAACCCGTCCGCACCACCAAGCACCGCCCTCGCGCCCTCCAGCTTCCCCGCCTGCAGATCCATGCACACGACGTTCGTGGCGCCGAACCAGCGCGCCACCACCGCGGCGCACACGCCCACCGTGCCCGCGCCCATGACCACCACGCTCTGGCCCGGCCGGACGTTCACGCCACGCACCGCGTGTGCGCCGACGGCCAGCGGTTCTGTGAGGGCGCCCTCGCGCAGCGAGATAGAGGGCGGCAGCGGGTAGGCGAAGTCGGCGGGCATCTTGTAGAAGTGGGTGAGACAGCCGGGGGTGTCGGGCGGGCAGGCGCCGAACTTCATGTGCGGACAGAGGTGGTACGCTCCGCGCTTGCAGTGGGGGCAGGAGCGGCAGGGGTCCTGATGGAGGGTGAGGTTGTTAGCAATGGTCGTTGAGCGTAGGTCAGATGAGTGGGTGGGAAAGGAGGGGAAAGTGCCACGTTGGCTATGCTCATAGGGCTCTGAGCTGATGGTTTTTATGGGGCCAACATGCTGCTGCTCGACATGGCGCTGGGGATGGCGGTGTCCTTTTCGATGGCGTTGCATGCTCTCCCCACACGCGTTGCTCGTGGCAGCCACCACACCGCAAAGGTCTCAACTTACACTCGGTTCAATCGCAACCTCATCGCCCACCTTCAGATCCTGCACAGCAGAGCCAACGGCATGCACCGTGCCCGACGCCTCGTGTCCCATGATGAGAGGTTGCGACTCCGACACATTCTTGCCGTTGATCCCACCGTGGTTCCAGAAGTGGACGTCACTGCCGCAGACGCCGACGAAGGCGACGCGGACGATGATGCGGCCGGCATCTTCCGGTGCGTCTAGAGTCGGAGTCGGGTGGTCCACGATCTTGGCCTTGCCGGGCCCGTAGAGGTATATGGATGGGTTCTGCGCGGGTCAGTCTTCTGTTGTGGGATGGTGAGAAGGGGGGGACTTGCCTTCATTTCGGCAGTGGCCATCTTGGGGTTGGCCGAGGAGCCTCTGCGGCTGGAAGGGCGTTGGCTACGTGTAGACTGTGAATGCTCCTCCAGGCAGTGAACGGTCCGCCAGCCGTTCTGGGCAATCCGAAAGTGCAAACAACAGGCTTTGGGCACGTCGTACAGCTGCCCCTCGAATACTCATTGGAGTGAGTGATGGAAGACTTTTATAACAGTAGTATTCGAAGGTGACATGGCACTCGAGCATGTATTTCCATTCTGCTTGGAGAACTAGCAGCGTCATCTGCGGAGATGCATTGCGCTGGCCGCCTGTCTGCACCGCGCAGCTTTGCCTGAAAGAGTCGTTATAATTCGGCGAAGCTTGCCCCGCGACGGCCCATGTCTCGCCGGCTCACTGCCGAGGGGATTTATGAGGTTTACCTTTTCTTGCTGTCTTGATTTTTCTCTGCTACACCCAAGCATCTCGTGAATCTGTCAGTGTATTCTCCATGACACGCCGACATATGGACGACGATTCCTCGGAAGAGTCTGGTGGCGATGGGAGAAGCGCGACCGTCTGCTTTCTTTGCCGACAACGCAAGACCAAGTGCGACCGGACCCTGCCGAGTTGTGGATTCTGTCTGAAGGCCAAGGTAGACTGTCAGTATGTCCCTAAGCCGAACAAGCGTGGCTTGAGGGCGGGGTACGTCTCGCAGCTAGAGAACAGGCTTGGTGAGTGTTTCTGGCGTGATCTACAACGAGCACTTGCATGGTAATACGACCGCGGTGGGGGCACAGTCACTGACAACTCCTGGTCGATAGAACACTTAGAAAGTGAGATCGAGTCCTTGAAGCGCGAGGAGACTTCGAGACCTTCTTCTCAGGCGTTGCAGTCACCACTGTCCACTGTACATGCTGCCCCTGCGGGAGATACGCCTGCCTCGTTTTCACCACCACAGCGCCCGGCAGTATGGACAGCTCCGACCCCAGCAAAGCGGCAACGCTTAAATCCAGAAACCGATGCGGCCGTCAGAGACCTCATGACTCTTCCTAACGCCTATTTGTACACGCTGGCTGAAACATGGTTCAAGGAGAACCAGCCTTGGTGCCCGATCCTGAGCCACGAACACATCATGGACGCCGCCGCGTCGTTGCCCACTCCTGTCGAATATATCGAGGACATCGAGCTGCGTGCCGTGCTCGCCCTGGAGCTCTCGTATTCCACACAGGCCATCTGCTTGGGTTACCATGGGCGACGTCGGCTCTCGCAGTACCTTCGGTCGCAGGTGCTGACCGAGGCCCTCTCCGATGCTTCACTTGGCTCAGTGAGAGCGCTTGTCATCGTGGGTCTCATGGACTACGGCGCGGACAACATCGCGAGCACGTTCAGCCTCCTTTCGGTCTGCCGGCGAACCTGTGAGCACCTGGGCCTGTTCAAGAAACTCCTCAGCCAGATTCAAGGCGAGAGCCCAAGCCAGGTGGGACCTCCACCGGTGAACACGTCCGGTGGGGGACACGCACATATGATTTCCGTCGCATGGGCTACGCTCGGGCTTGACGCCGTATCAACGCTCGGGGTTTCGTGGCGAGATGCCTCAGCTGCTCTGGTCGATCACCTGTCTAGTATTGCCTATGTCAGTACGCCCTACCTTCGAGACTCGTACCGGGCGCATGTGCACCTGGCGGCCATCGGCCTACAGCCCGTTCACCAATTCCTCTATGAGCGAAGTCAGATGCAAGTCCAGACGGTGGATGAGAACACGCTTATCAAGTGCGATGAGATGTATCAGAATCTCATGAGCTATGTCCACGGCCAACCGCGGACGCGCTACACCATCCTTGAGAATGGTCTCGTAGATTTCGATCCGAATCTTGTGCACACCGAGACACTGGTCTATGCCACAACAGTGATGATATATCAAGGTCTGGTCGATTTCCATGCCACAACGCCGGATGTCCCATTGCAGCGGTGCGTAAAGGTCTGCAACGAGAACATGGTCACACTCGTTCGCAGTATAAGCGACGCCGATGCGGAGCTCAATACACCACTACTCGCTCATTTTTTCTTTGTGGCAGCCCGCTTCAAGCTTGTCATGTGCATGCAACTGTCTGAACCGACAGACATAGCGTTCGACACAATCATGCACACCATTAATATGTGCGCGCGGCGATGGGGTTTTGCGCGACGGCTCGACATTGTCCTGCGCGGAGCCGTGGTGGAGCTTAATGGTGGTCCGCCGGTCCCTCCAGATTTCTGGGACCTGAAACGCAGTCATCTCGACATTTCCGAGGAGCTAAAGCAGTGGTCTTCACTGCACAAGGGATTGCATCTCGACGGGTCGACCAGTGGGCCATACTCATGGCTTTCAAGAAAATGAGGCCAGTGGGAAAAAGTGGACAACTGGCCACACCAAACCTCTGCCACGTTGCCTTCCCAGCTTTTGACTCACCGGAAAGAAGTTGCTGGAACGCCGAAAGAATCTTTAAGCAGAAATGGTATTGCAATGGGTGTGCGTGCATGTAACCATGCGCATCCAGACACAGCAGCTATCGGCTCAGCCCTGGACACTTCGGTCTCGATGAATAGCATCGCACTGCTCATGCCTCCAGCATGTCAAACAATCGCCAAAGTCGTCGCGCCGAGGAGCGAAGAGCCCTCCACAGTCACAGCCAGCGTATTGACGCGCGAGCCGCCACCAAAAGACGCAACCTGCGGATTGACACCAAGAGAGACGCGCAAGAGATCAACCGGATGAAGGTTCGAAAGAAGTTTGGCATTCCGGATGACCCAACCACTCTAGAGCAAGTGGTCGAAAGCATGCATTTGGCGGTACGGTCTCTGTATTGCTTCGGCGGGAAGAAAGGATTGAAGACGGTCATTGCTCTGGCGCTCACACTGGTCGCTTTTGCGGCTGCTCTCTACCGGGCATGGCTAGCTTCCGCTCACGTCAAGACAGATGTACTCAAGCACCTTGACTTGCTAAATGCCAGTCTAGATAAGGTCACATGGGCTACCGTGTCGCTTGGGGAGTAGAATGAGTCTACTTGTACGCGGGCACAAGAATGATGAATGGAGGGGTCATTGATGCCGTAGATCGGCAGGGGTAGCTGGATGCGGACATGCCGCGCGGGTGAGCGCGGGCCTCGGGTGAACGCTTGGAAATCCGGCTTCAAAAAGCCCGCGCATGGCAGCAATACGATGGCATTGCATCCTCCTCATCCGCACGCGCGCGCTCGTGATCTCGTGCACTGTCAGAGTCTGCCTCAATTAATAAGGCGCCAAAGTCGTGGCTAACAAGATTAACCCATTGATAACCACACACTTTTACGTGCACTTCAACCACCTTCTGCACCGTGCTCATTGAGAAAAAAAGTACTTTGCTCCAATTTCGTGACTACCCCCCCTGTGGCGTCTGGCTCTCGAAGAAAATTCTCCTGCGCTCCGGCTCTTTCATACTTTCCTCTTCCCCATACTGATCGACAGCGCCTGCACCCTGTCGCCGGAAGGCAAGAGTTTTGACGTTGACGTGACCGGCCTTCAGTGGCAACCTCCCGCTCCGCCGCGAGCATCCGTTATTTCTAGCCACGATCACCTTTGGTCCCCTTGACCTACGCCTCATATAGACCTTTTCCCTGGCCTCGGATCGGACGTAGCCCCCGCCATACACGACAATGCTGCCACCAGTCCCCAAGCCGGAGGACTATGGTGTCTCACCACAGACCGGTTTCCTACCCTCAACGCTACCCCTCCAATGCCTGCCCCACCCTGTCTACGATCGATGGGAAAGAATAATCAACAACTTCCAGTCACTGTTACTTTCTAAGAGACTACGAACCGTGGTCGACAAGCTCCCAATCATCCCCGCTGTTCACCTCGAGACCGAGCCTGAATGGCGGAGGGCATATTCCATCCTCGGCTTCCTTGCGAATGGCTACATCTGGGGCGGCGACAAGCCTGCAGAGGTAAGTCTGGCCGCCCGGCTCAATCGGAAACAGTACTGATACATCATAGCGTCTCCCTCCTGCCATCACCTATCCCTTCTTGCAAGTCTGCGAGCACTTGGAACTTCCACCGGTCCCGACATACGCCGGATTAGTCCTCTGGAACTACAAACCCATCTTCCTCCGAGATGCTCTGATACTTGACAACCTCTCCACACTCACAACATTCACTGGCTCAACAGACGAACAATGGTTTTACCTCGTGAGTGCTGCCATGGAGGCAAAGGGCGGCCCATCGATACCAATCATGTTGAAGGCCATCGAAGCCGCAAGAGATAACGACCCAGACACCGTCACAGCGTGCTTGCAAGCATTCGCTCAGACGATAGATGAGATTGGAACTCTGCTGTTGAGGATGTACGAGAATTGCGACCCACACGTCTTCTACCACCGCATTCGGCCGTTTCTCGCCGGCAGCAAGAACATGACGGACGCAGGATTGCCTCGGGGCGTGCTATATGATGACGGCACCAAAAATGCTCGGTACAGACAGTACGGTGGTGGGTCGAATGCGCAGAGCAGCATGATTCAATTCTTTGACGTGGTTCTCGGTATCGAGCACCGACCTACAGGCGCCAAGATGAACGAGAGCTCAGAGTCGGAAGCAGAACCAGGTGTGGCCCCGAAGCCAAGGCACAACTTCATCCACGAGATGCGGCAGTATATGCCTGGTCCTCATCGACGATTCCTACAGGCGGTGGAGAACGTGGCCAACATTCGCGAATTTGTGGAGCTGAACCGATCAAATCGAACCTTATGTGTGGCGTACGATGCTTGTTTGGCCATGCTGAGATCACTGCGTGATAAGCACATCCAGATGGTTTCAAGGTACATTATCGTTAAGAGCCGAGAATCACGGAGCAAGAGTCGAAGCAGAGCCGACCATGAGGACGTGAGCTCGACGACTGGGCGTGGGTTGGCATCCATCCGGTACAAGACAGGCGCAGGCGAGAAGCCAAGGACGAAGCGAGGCACCGGCGGCACAGCTCTTATCCCTTTCCTAAAGCAAGCCAGAGATGAGACCGGAGAGCCAGCTATTGACGACTGGGCCAGAACTCTGCTCATGGGCGGAAGAAGGACAGAAGCTGACACCGAGATCGCGTATCAAAGCAGATTGACAGCCCAGGAGCTCGATGCCGAGGAACCTGCCATTGTTGGCTTGGCCGGCTCGTGGGATATGGAGGATGCGGGCGGCGGCCTGTGTGCATATTGATGCCCATTATTACAGCGAAGCAATGGTCCATTGGGTTCGACGCTGGCTGTATCAGTGATAGACACCTGTATATATATTACACGCAGCAATGCAATCAACCTCCTTCTCAGACCTACCAACGGGCTGGTGTGATCGCAAGCACGCACACGTGGCCGACTCTGAGCTTTCTGCCGCAGAGTCGTCATAAGTAAGTCAAAATCTTGTCGAGCCGCAATGGTGCTACGGCCCCGGGACGATTGGAAGTTTGATGCGGTTGATGTGGTTGAAGGGGAAGATAGGCGCACGAGTGCCAAGCCTGACTCCTCGACATCATGTCGTCGTCCCTAGATAAACACATTTCCTTCCTTGTCGGCTCTGGCCAAAGTAGAGCCTCTAGCAGCAACATCCACCTGACCAGGCTATGTAGCAGCGTGTTGACTTCATTACAGCACCTTCCCCATGCTCTGAGCTACCTCGTATGTCCAGGCTGTCAATCAGATGTCGTGGTGGTCGACCTTGCCTTGCTGCCCGCCGTAACTAGCATGCACAACTCGTCATCTCTAGGTTGTTTAGGTGAGCTACATGGTGAACGTCGCCATAACGGAACCCCTCAGAGTAGCTCACAGGCGCTCCACTGACTCCGCGGCTTCTGTCTTGTTGCTGGAATCTAGGTACAGTATGATGAACCGTCCAGCTTGATATGCGGCATCACCTCGACATCTTCATAAGCTCAACTCTCTGACACTTTCGCCTGAGCGCTGCTTGCAGCTTCGGTCAAGAACTCATTGAAGCCAGATCATCTTCATCCATTGCACCGCTCAGAAAGGTCATTGTATTTCTTCCTTCAGGCAAGTCCACTGCTGCTTCCGGAGCAGGGCTATTCTGATTGACACCAGGACTTCCAGCCTCCTCCGCTCCACCATCAATAGTCAATAATGCTCTCCCCTAAGTATTCACTGCGCCCAGCCCTGTCCTCCCCACCCCTTCAATGGCCCAAGTTTCCATGCTTCTATCCAGGAGTATCGGAGGGGGTTGGGAGATACAAACGCCATGAACGCTGCTGGGAACTCCGAGTACAACGTTTCGTTGCTCTACATGTTCCGTCTTCGAGCCTTCCATCCCTTTCAAGCAGTTCGAACACGTCTCGCTGTGCAAGGTCGCTGTTCTCTACGTGCAGGCCACGCTAGTATCCATTGACAAATTTTGTACCCTTGACCTAGTGTCCGTACTTCCTTTGCCTGCGTTAGTCGTATTTCACCATGCCTATCAGAGGCCGGACCCTTGGTATGTCCATCCACGATGCTGGCTCATCGATGGAGGACGATATCAACGCATTTCTCAACCGTGAGTACTCCCTTTTCACAATCTGGCCTTCCTAAAAGTCCACAGACGCTCTCAACAGCTCTATCCCGGATGGAGACTGCCTCATCGATGAGGCCAAGACTCGAGCTGCTGGCCTCGAGCATTCGCTGCAAGACGGCGATGCTGGAAACAACCAATACTTTGCTCCTATCCAAGTCCCCAATCAATGCCCGCAAATCAACAACTTCGATGGCAACAACAGCCCGCGAGACGCTACCTTCACTAGGTCTATTGCTCGAGATTTCCAGTCTCCCTCCGCAGGCCCCTACGACCGCATCCCTTTCGTCAGACCTGTGCCTGTGCCGGCCACCGAGTTCTCCACTGATCAAGACCATGATCACAACGAGGCTTTTCAGCAGCTGCAACGGCAGCCACAGCACAATGGCCCGCTCAATAGGCCTCTGACTACAAAGAGCTCCAAGCTCTCAAGTGCCTCGAGGGTCCCCCACCTGGTATGCCTGCATGCTTCATGACTCCAGAAGACCGCTCCAAATACTGCCAGTCCAGCACATCAGAGCATCATGTTGGAGCTTCCTCCAGCAATTTGGTGACTCTCAAGCCTAATCAAAACGACCGTAGCAACGAGCGGGAGTTGAGCCGGCCAGCCGGGATCAGGAAGCCGTTGAGGTTTGATGGCAATGTCCAGCAGCGTGCTGGTCAACATCTTGCTCGTGCCAATGGGGTCAATGGCGTGTTGGATCATGGTATGGTGTCTACTGGGACCAGTAACCGTGCCAGGATCCCTCAAGCTAACGGCATCCTTCCCAATGGCCACGCCCGTCTTCCACCGCTTCGACTGTCCCGCGCCCAATATCGCGCCCTCGGTACATATGCGATGACCCATGGCATGCGCGTACCGTTCAAGAAAGGGCTTGGTCTGCCCAAGTATGGTAGGCTGGCCTACATGGGACCCGGTCGGTTGGTGATCACGGCGTCCAAGGACGACAAGAACATCGGAGTCACTGCTGCAGGTGACGGTAACAAAATCGAAAATGTCAGCAGCCATGCTTATCAGCACGAGATGGTAAGTGTGAGCGAGCTGAACACTCCGCGGATGCATACGATGCCACAGCTGCCGGCTGCTGCCCCTATCCTCTCCTCCAGAGCAGATTATGAGCACCTAAACTCTGCTTATGCTTATGCTACTCCCGACGGCTATTATGGGCAGCCTTCCAAGGCGATAGGCTCTCAGCAGACCTCTGCCAACACGGACACCGGGCCAACTATCGCGGGTAGCAACAAAGCTGGATCCAACCTCCTGGACCTTACGCCCCTTGAGCCCACAGACCTAGACGCCTTCGATCTCGAGCTCGCTGCCATTCTCACCGGCGCCGGCTTCTCCGATCTCACGTCCTCTGTCCCTGCTCACGCCGGCGATGAGAACACCAGAACGGATAATGGCTTCAGTGTGGCACCTTCGGCTACCCAGCACATCCAGCACTCCAACCTATCAAACTTTGATGCAGCTCATATCAGCGCTGCAACACCCATCAACTTTTCCCCTCCTCAGACATTTTCGCAGCTCGATCAGCGCCTCGACTCCAACCACTTCTATCCTCGATTGCAACCACAGCTCTCAACCCCTACCGACTTTGGCCCCGACACCGGCTTCGACATCATCGACGATCTGTCAGACAGCGACGATTACGAGGCCAGCTTCGTCGACAATTCCGGTAGCGAGGCTGCACTGCCGCAGTGGCACGCATCATATCCCCATCCGCTACCACCCCAGCCCAACGCCAGTGCTTCCTTCGAGCCGCAGACTCAACAAGGCGTAGAGGTCGTGCAAGGTTCCGACTCTCAAAAGACAGCCGCTGGCACCCCAGCCATGCCCCTCGAGCAGGTCGCTTTTCCTGTCCAGGCTCCCGAGCACGAGTCGCTGGCCACCCAAACCGAGTCTATGCTTGTGCCGGCGCTCAATTTAGACCACCAACGTGCGGCGCAAGCCCCTGTCCTGCCGGCCTCCCACCAGGCCGAGATGACCCAAGACCCAGACCTAGAGCTGCAGCTGCAGCCTGGGCAAGAACCACAACCACCACAGCAAGGGCAGAGCTACGAAGAGCTAACGGCCGAGTTCCTCGCGCAGTACGGCGGCTTTGGCGCCACCGAGATCGAGGCTGAGGATGAGCCCTTCTGATTTGGCGGTGCCGATGCAACTCATCCCAAGAAGGAGGAAGTTACCGGTCAGCTGCATTTGAGCAGGTGGTTGAGCGCGGGATCATGACGTGGTGCGAGTGGGGTTGAGGGCGATGTGAGAGGGAGGAAATTGGGCGCTGGCGCCCGAACAAAGACGAAATTCATGGAGGATGGAGGAGTGGAAAAGCGTTCTTTTTCATGGATCACACAGGCCGGTCTTTTGGTTGCAGTGTACTTACTGCTCAGCAGTCAAGAAAACGGGGCCGGGCTTTTCGAAGCAGGCAGACGACGTCTAACATAGTTAGTGACGTCCCGAATGAAAGCCAGAGAGGCGTCCTCATAGAGGTCAGTAGGTATCAACACCACAAAAATCCGCATCGGTCCTTGAGCATACTCATATGAACTCACGGCAGACCTTCTAGCGTTTGGAAGCGGTGGTGACTGGTCTGACTACATTGCTCGACATCTCCCGCCACCGTTGACGCTCTCGCTGCAACTGAGCCCACTGAGGTGGAACAGAAGAGCGGCTCCAGAGCAAGAGCACGGAGGAGCTAGCCAGCCAGCCAGCCAGCCAGCCAGCCAGTAAGATCGCCGTTTCCCATGTTTTAGAATATGGCTTCCTTTGTTGGGTTGTTGATGCAGCGATGTTCCATTGGCCGCTGAATGAGCCACGGACTCGGCTAGCAGTAGACGGGTATGAATTGGACACAGATCAGATGCAGAACCATACATCTGACACTCGGAACCTCACGAAGATACGATTTCATCAGACTCAGATTGCTTCATTGTAGTCGTAACGTAACTCTATCTACACTCGATCTGCCACTCCAACCCCACTTCATCTTCACCTCCTCTCCCTCTACGGTTCTACGGTTCTACCTCTACATCCCCGGCTCACGCACCATCCAAGCCCATCCCCCTCCCCACCTTCCTCGCGACCCACCTCCTCCGAAACCCGTCCCTCGCCAACTCCCTCGTCTTCCTCCCCCACACCTCGCTCCCGACCCTCCCGCGCGTAAAGGCGTCCTGCAGCGCCAGGATGGCCGCCTCGATGCCCCGCTCCTCCGCCACGACGTTGTACAGCTGGGTGCTCACGACGTGCGGCGTGATGAGCATGCCGTCGACCGGAGGGATGTCGCCTTTGCCGCTGCGGGATTGGGCGTCGGAGATGGTGTGGTCGGCTTTCGCGAGTGAGGACTGGAGGTCGGTGATGTTGGAGGTTAGGGCGGCGTGGAGGGTCTGCAGTTGGGAGAGCTCGGACTGGAGCTGGTGCTGGGATTGTTGGATGGCGGAGTGTTGGGACTGTAGGGGTGCGATTTGGGATTGGTTCTGGGAGATGAGGTTGTGCAGGTTGGTGGTGATGCTGGCGGAGAGGTGGGAGAGGAGGGCGTCTTTCTCGGGGTTACGGGGGATGGGTGGCGCGGGGAGATTTGCTGGCGTGGAGCTGGGAAGGGCGAGGTCAAAGGGCGAGTCCAATAAATCCGGCGGTGGCTGTTTGGGTTGTGGCAGTGGCTGCTGAGGGGTGATCTGGTGTTGAGGCGGGTATGGCCCCAGCGGTGGTTGTTGATGAGGCGGTGATGATGTTTGGTAGTTGTTCGGCTGTGTTTGCTGGTTTGGCGGGTATGGGGGCTGTTGCTGTGGCTGTGACTGTTGCTGCCAATTCTGCGGAGGATGTGACTGTCTCAGACTGCTAGCTCGCTGTGGCATGTACTGTGACTGCGGCCTCGATTGCGGCATCGCTTGTGGCGACTGCTGATACATGGACGTTGGCCTAGGCGATCTTGTCTGACTAGGAAGAGGTAGAGGGGCGTCATAACGACTTGGCTTCGGTTGCGCCGGACTCGACGCGCTTCCATATGCGCCAGCAGGCTCTTTCGGTGGGGGCGGTGGGGGGGCATCCTGTGGCCGAGGGGAGGCAGGCGCTGGCGATTGAGCTTCATGGGGCAAAGGTGGTCGCGGTGGTGGCGGTGGTTGATGCTGCTGTTGCTGTTGCTGTTGCCGTGCTGGTGGTCGTCCGGACCTCGCTCTGACTGGTGGCTCTTTGGCAAATACATCTGACAGTATTGACAGGAAGTCCACTACATTCGACCTCTCCCACGTATCCCTCCAATGTGCCAGGTACGAGTGATACACCCTCCCGTCCGGTGCTACATGCTGGCCGGGGTTGACCACAATGTCGTCTTTAGGATCCACATATATCATCGGCGCATCGTAAGGGTAGGCGTAGGGGATCCATATCAAGATGGGAAAGTGGTAAAGGGTGCCTCGAAATGAGACCGGCAATACTCCGCCGAGGTGGAGGAGAAGTTCTGGACGACCATTGTCGTACACTAAAGCTCTTTAGCCATGCAATCGCGAGATGCGCGACGGGCGTACCATATTCTTTTGTACCCTTGACTGCGATGGCCGGATATTTCTGCAGGGTGGACACCAGATCGGAATAGGTGCGGTTGGGGTCGCGGTATGGCTGCCATTGTCAATCGCCGGTCGCGGGGACGGACTGGTGAGATTACCTGCACTTTTAGCACATCATAGTAGAGGTACCTTAGGGTAGACTGCGGCACCTGTGCCATTGATCAGACAAGTCGATGGCTATGCTGAGTTCGAGACTGAGCCGCATCGTGCAGTTGGAGGTCGGGTGCCCGCGTTCTGGGCACGCTGCCAATGCCGAAGAACAGCCGCGAAATATAAATCACTGCCTGGCTGGAGCTAGTCGCTCTTCTACTCCTTACACAGTCAACGATACAAGGAAGCCACCGAAATCTCTGGAATGAACATGTCTACAGCCGTAGCATGATAGGAGACTGACTTGAATTTATAGCATAGATTTATCACAGACTGGTACGGGTATCTCAATTTTAAAGCTAATCATAGAGTCGTTGAGCCCATGAGCTCTGGGTCGTTCTCACATGCATCCTTCAACGGTAGTGTACCTAGTACTCGCGTGACCGTCACTTGTGAGCCTGTTGCTGCTGCTTCTCCTGCGCAGCAGCCATCTTGTCCAAGTCTGCTTCAACGCCCCTCTGCCTAGACTTGCCCTCATCATGAATGTCAGCATACTTCTGTTGCGACTCGCGATCGTTCGTGAGGCCGGCCACAGCACCTCCGAGTGTGCCCTGGACACGATCACTGATGCCCTGACCCAGGTCACTGAGCTGGCCCTTGGCCTCCTGGCCCTGACCTTGCAAGTTCTGTTCGCGTCCCTGCTGCTTCAGGCTCTCGTTGCCGGTGAGATTGCCTGCAGTTTCCTTGAGCGAGCCCATAGTCTGGTCCCATTGGCCCTGAGTTCGCTCCGAGCTGTCCTTGGCGACGGCGCCAGAAGATGAGAGAGTGAAAGGGCCGGCCTTGACTGCTGCCTCGCTGGCATTGGCTTCGGCGGCGGCCTTGTTGTGAGTTTGCTCGGCCTTCGCTTTGTCAGACTGGTTGCCAGTGACGGCGGCGATGCCGGACTGCACGTAAGAGGTGGCGGTGTCGATGATGGATTGGCCAGAGGAGGGTTGCGCAGTGGTGTTGTCGGTAGAAGACATGGTGGACTGTGGGATTGGTTTTGGATTTGATTTGGTCTTGATCTCAAGGGATATTCAAGAGTACGATGATCGATTGGTACCGGGAGGTGTTGTTGCAGCAGGAAGCTGGGGTGATATTTATCTTTGCCTTCGCCAGGTCAAACAACGAAAAGAATGACATGTGGCAAGCGCATGTGCAAGTGCAAGTGCAAGCGATCGCGCCTGCCCGATGACGAAATGGCTATGACGTAGCCGTACATTTTCACTGCCTGAAGCCACACGGTCACCCACGGCCTGGGTCATCCAAGGTCTGGAACACAATATCCCCAGCACCCACTGGAAAGGCGATTAGAGTACGCGTGGCCTCAATGCAACGCTTCAACAGGATGCTGATCCGCGCGTGAAGCGAAGTCATGCCGACGTAGATGGTCAGCTGGACAACATATGCAACACTGATGCAAGCAGATCGGGGCTGCCACAAAGGCGATCGTCAGGCACGAACTCTGTGGGTTGTGCAAAAGGTGCACTGAATCGAGATGCGATGTGGCTGTGCAATGCGTTGTCGACGTGGTGTCTTGCTTTTTTTTCTCTTTAGAATTCTTCTAGTATTTTCACTTGGGTTCTCGTCGAAATTACCGACTCCTCCCCAATGCTCCTCCCCATGAACTAAACACGCACCAACGCCTCCATGCTTTGCCTGACCCATATTGAGTCCGTTCCTAGAACATAGATCCCTCGAAACCATCCCGAGCATTACCGCATTTCTTAACGCCCTTCTGCAGACTCCTTTTGCATCCTTATGACTTCGAACCGTTCGCGGCAAAGCGCCCTCGTCCCTCGTTAACCCATTCCTATACCTTCATCACCCCCTTCTACCACCCCGCACCCGGCCCTCCTTGATCTCTTCATCTCCCGCCCCAGGTCCCTGCACCCTCCGCCGCCTCGCCATCAGGAAGGCAAACACGACTAAACTCACCACCAAAACGCCCAAGATACACGACAACGCGATGACCGCTGGAGGCAACGTTAGTCCAAGTTCGCCAGTACCACAATAAGCCACTCCAAACACTCCATCCCAAGAGTTGTTCAGAACTTACCGTAGCGTAACGACGTGCAGTCGCAAGAAGATGGCGTTTGCGCTTGTAGTGTCAGCGCGGAGGTGGAAGGGACTGGCGATGCGCCTGTGCCTGTACCTGTGTTCATGGCGGCGTTGATGGCATTGCCTGTCGGCGACGCGGGCACGGTGACGACCGTCAACGTTGCCGCCATATCGTTCTTCTTTGGACTAAGCGGGAGGGGGTTTCTGGCGCTCAGTTCTGCTACCGAATGTACGACGCAATAGGAAATGCAGTACAATACTACCTACCCTCTTGGGGGGCAACGGTATGATGAAGAGGACGTTTTCCTTACTCCCTCCTCCAGCAATCCTGTCTGCGGCGAGGAAGTTACATGTAGTTATTATAGCAAATCACCCCACCGTGTATACCGCCTTTTGCTAAACTTTTGTTGACCCTGTCGCCCGCCCGCCCGCCCGTTAGCAGTCGGGTGTTTGACACCCCTTCACCGCCCCCCGCCCATCAGACCATGCAAATACAGAGTTTGCGCTACTTCGGCAACAAGGCAAACGCGAGGCGGTCAAGCACAAGCACAAACCGAGAAATGTCGGCCGAAGACAAAGGCCCGATCCGTGTTTTGTTAGCGCGATATGAGCGCTAGCCTGGCCGGGCCGTCGTTGGAGAGGTGGACTAAGGGTCATGCTCGTTGACGGTTCAGATATAGCGGATGTGGGGGACATGGAGGTTGAAAAGGATCCACTCTCGAAGAACGCGGTGGCGTGTGTGTGTGTTTGTATGCCGTTGGGAGTTACGAGGGGCTGCTCTGGTGCCACCAAGTCACTTTCAGTATGTTTGAGCGCTTTCGGACAGCAATATGGGAGCAGAGCTGTGAGTGACAACGGGAATGTGATCCTCCAGATATCATTTGTTCACAAACAAGTATCTCTATACAATTTGCGACCTTTGCCGGTAGCACACGACAGTGCACTCCACTCGCCGCCAGCCTCGCTCGATTCGCCCCGTTCAGAACCTCAGCTTCGGCATGACAAAGACCAGTAGTATCGCCACAACCCATAGCCCGAAAATGATTGCGTACAGCTTCATCCGGCCCCACCAGCCCTCACCCTCGCTCATCCTCTTCAAGAATTGCATATTCCTGCTCGCCGCATCCAGCCCGGTAATGTTCCCTTCTAACCCTTCTATTGCCCGGTTCAGCAGTCCCTTGTCCTGGTCCAAGCTAAACTGAAAGGCGCGCGTCTGCTGCTTCAGCTGCGCCGCCAGGGACACCAGTGAGGTGGTCAGCGCCTCCTGATCGGCGGCGGAGCTGTGCATGGATTTCTCGTGCGAGGAAACGCCCGTGGACTTGCCCATGGAGGAATGGGATGTTGGGGAAGTCGCGGCCCTGGTCTGCTTGTCGCGTCGACGGATGGTGGAAGAGGTATTGCCGGAGTTGAATAGATCATCCCTCGCTTCCTGTGCAGATTTCTCTTGGTCCTCCGGCAGCTCCTCGCCCTCGTCCTGCACAGGCCGACCTTCAAGCAACCTCTCGTCGCCCTTTGCCGCCCCACCTTCCGATGCCCTCATCGCTGCCCGCTGCTGCACTACATCCCACAGTGTCTCCCCTCTTGTAGTCTCAGGAGGAGTCTGCCACTTTGCGTCTCCCATGCTCTCTACCTCCCGGCCAATTTCTTCAACCCGCTCCCTCAACCGCCGTACCACTTTTCTCTTCGCAGCCAGATCGCGAAGCGCTGCCGTTCGCGTTTTCTGCACTTTGATTCCTTGTGCTTCTCGCTCCAATTGCAGGAGCAGGTTGCGAGCACCCTCGATCTGATGTAGCCATTTCGTGCGCTGGAAGGCTACTGGAGAATAGAGGTCGGATTGAATCTTGCGCTGCAGTGGTGAGAGGTCGGTTATGGACAATTCTGTCTCCGACGTGGGTGATGAGTACGACGAGGGCTGAGGCGACGGGGTTAATAGGACGAGGTTCGAGAAATGTGCGAGCTGGCGCGAAAGATTGATGTAGGCGGAGGAGTGCTGAAGGGAGCGCGTGCTGGAGTCGTTGGAGGTGGGCGCGCCAGATCGACTCGTGGAGGATTGCGTGAGTGCGAAACTGGCAGGCCGAAGACTGGTCAGCGACATTGTGACTGCATAAATGTAACGGCAGATAGGAATGCGCGATAGGTTGTTCTTCTATTGAGGTGCGGAAAAGGTGGCTTCAGGTGGTAGAAAGCCACACGGTCGGGCAGGCCACAGCGGCCGGCTGTGACGTTCCGAAGCCTTGGAACCACTTGAGATGTTCACCACCATTCCTTGCATATGACATTAACCATTTCTTGTCCGACACTATGTCCGGTCTTTGCATCGCATCCCAACGTCGCGGACTACACAGTGTTGATGCTGTTTCAAGAACCTAATGCTGTGTCGCTTGTATACCACAGTCGATGGACTTACGGTCAAGCAATGGGAGCGTCTAAGATGTGCTGGGCGCGATGCCCGGTTATACGAGTGCCATGAAGCAAAGACATATGCGAGCATTGCGGATCGTCTGAAGGTCATGAATTAGGCTGCCTATCCTCATCTGAAGCAATGTCAACCGCCACAACGCGAGTGATTTACATAAAGGCAACTTGTGCAAACCTCTAATAGTGTAGCGCGCTGTTTTCCACCCATCCGATAGCCTGGAGTCCCCGTCTTGGTCTCTCACTTGATTTCCTGTTCATGCCGTCTCTCTTCAACACTTGCTCAATAGGATAAGTCACCCTTTCGTCCCCGATGCAAAAGCGCATAGCGTACACTGGAACAAAAGTGCAAGAAGTAGGGTATTCGACAGCGGTCTCGACTCTCTCCAACTTGATCCAAACTCTCGAGTGCTCTGCCACCCGATCCACACACATCTCAGAAGGAACAACACCAGTTTGCCATGGTCATGGTAGTTGACTGGACTTCATGGTTTCTTCTGGCGACCCTGGGTAGGCAGTAGGCTGGATCGATCGAGCGACACCAGCTGAAAAAAGATATAGCTCTGAACGCCATGAAAATGCGGTCATTGAGAAAGTACAAAAAGAGAAGCGTGGCTGCAGATCGTCGAGGTCATCTAGATAAGACCACACATGCGCAGATTCTCCTGTATGATGATATCTAGAGGGGTCAGCGAACGAAGCGCATATCAGAGGTTTGTACTCACCATTGACAGCACCCATGACGAATCGGATTTGCGTGGTATCGGTAGCGCATGTGAAGTGGGTGTAGATCTGCTTGGTCTCTGCCTGGTTCAGAGAAACGAATCGATTCAGGATGTAATCGCAAGCCGCAGCGTAGTCGGGACCGCCTAGAACGGGTTAGTGTACCATAACATACGAAGGTAGAAGATACTGACCCTCGTAGTCGGGGAAGTAATTCTGCATGGGAGATAGGGGTAGCTTCTCCTTGAAACGATCGATCTTGTTCAGGAACAGGATTATGCTTGTCTTGATGAACCACCGCGAGTTGCAGATACTGTCGAAAAGAGTAAGAGCTTCTTGCATACGATTGACTGTCTCATCTTCAAAAAGTAGCTGGTCGTATTCGGAGATGGCGACAAGGAAGAGGATGGTGGTAACGTTCTCAAAGCAGTGAATCCACTTCTTTCGTTCAGATCGTTGGCCGCCGACGTCAAACATGCGGTAGGTCAAGTCCTGGATGATGAAAGTAGTCTCGGTAATTCCAGTGGTCTTGACACGTGAGCGCAAGACATCCTGGTCGTTGGGCAAATAGTCGTGAGCCGCGATTCTGTCGATGGAATCAAAATAGCTAGCCAAGTTAGTACGAATCGATTGTTCAGTGTTGATGCAACTTACTATCGAGCAGAGTCGTTGAGCTGATATTCTCGCGATCTTCGGAAGCACTCCTGCACACCGACGTCTTGCCAAAGGGCCTTGATGGCGGCGCCGACTTCGGTGGGAAGACTATCGCCCTCAATCTGAGGTGGCTGCATGAAAATGGTCTGCACGTGGTACTCGGCGCGCTGATCGTCGAGAGGGAGTTCGAGGGACTCCATAGCCTCGAGGATAACACGCATTGACTGGACAGTGTTGGAGAAGATGATTTCTTTGAAAGACTCGCGCTCGTCTCTCGAGTAGCCGCCCTCATGAATCAGCTTCATTTGCTTGAGAATAGTCGACTTCCCGGATTCACCGGCACCTGTAAATATCAGTACTGCATTCATGTCTAACGTGCGGGTATCATACCAAGCAGCAGCATCTTGATCTCATTCCGCTGCGCCATCTTGTCGCGCTTGAGCTGATTCTCAATCTCATCATTCCTCGCCTTGCCGGCATTGTCTTCTTTGGAAGCTCCGCAACCCATGGTGGTTGTTTGTGTAGAGAGAGTGGGAGAGGTCGAGTAATGTACAAGTCCGAAGGATTTCGAGTTGTGAGACTGTTGATGTTAGAAATTGGCGATTTTCTGACGCAGGGAAGCTAGGTGGATGCGCCGATCCACAGATTGTCAAGGGTACACGGATCGACTCACCTCGCAAGCAAACGCGGATTATTAGGCGAAGAACGCAGCGGTAGCTGTGGAAGGCGTGCGCATAAAATGAAGGAGGATCCCGAGGTCGTTGAAAGGGAATGTACAGAAGTACGATCGACAGGCCAAACAGGGTCAGGGCCGAGTTCGTGGGTCGTCACTCTGGGCGGCTGGGTATTGGCCGAAAGGAGACGATAACAGCAGCTGCGACAATTGCAGTGGTCAACCAGTGGAGGTGCGGGCGTCGATGGAAGGTGAGATGGAAGTTGGGAGACGAATGACAAGGAGGCAGCGACAACGAGTTACGCAAGATGGAAAATCAGATTGAGGTGGTCGGCTGGGACACGAGTGGAAGATGAGGAGGTGGTGCAAGAAAGAGTCGAGGGCCACTTGACGGAAGGTGGAGAGGCCCTGGAAGCTAGGTCGAGCTAAGGCCCGGACGACCTGGAGCTAGTAAATTGCAGCTAAACTGTTTGGGGCGCCCAGCTGCTGGAAAAGAATTGCTGCCGCGGCCATATCAGCCTGTGAGAGGGGGCGGCTGGGAGGAAAAGGTCAACGATCGGATGCAGCGGTCTTGCGCTACTCGGGGCGTAGAAGATCGCGCTGTATGTTCGGCGGGTGGCTGCGTGGCTGCTGCCACCGGAGCAGTACATGCACTGCGGAACACAGGAGTACCACCTTTTCCCCTGATCCTCAGAACAGCAACTAGTGTCGCAAAAGACCACCCCGGCAATCCTCGGTGTGCTTGTTTCAAGTCAAGCCCACTCTTCGCTGCTCCAGGAATTCCTCGCGGTGTAGACTATCCGTTGAACACTATCGGCCCCCTGCTCCACGGCACTAGCTATTTGATTGCGCACAATCATACGGCAATCATCTGACCCTCTGTACGCAATCTGTTCTGCCCACTCTTCTAGAAGCCTGGTGATAATCAATTCAAGCTCCGTCTTATTACTGGTCTGGAAACTGGCAGTTGTATTCGCCTTTTCAGCGTCGTAGGCTATAGCATTTCGAGCGCAATAGTGTATTTATAATGTGCAATGCAAGAGGATCGACAGTCAGGGCAAAATCCGTGCCTAGCCACCCTGGTCCAAAACGTCCAGCGACGGACGGTTGTTGATCCTCTCCGGTACCCCCTGAAGAGGCTGAAAGCTGCGGCACAGATAGCCATTGTCGCGCCTTCCCTGACTGCAGCCTATGGATACATTAAAGGCGAACTGCAGCATGTTGCAGATATCCGCCGTCAGAGTCGTACTCGTTTGCATACAGCTTTCGCTTTCGAGACTCAGCATGTTGGTTCTTGATCAACGGTATGCGCCGAGACCGAGTCTTGATGTCCCATGCAGCCACCTTGCTGGGCCTGACCGCGCCACTGACGCCGGAAGACGCGCTCCTGTCTTAATACGTTCATACACACCGCATGTGCTCGGAAATAGGACTACTACATATGCCATAAAACAACGCAAGCGTAGCCGATGACTTGTCCATCCTGCATAATCTAGAATTGTTGCATCCAAGGCATCACCCAAGTTTCTGGTAGCTACCGATTGCCAGGGTATCCCTGATGGGATGCCACACCCGTGAAGGACCTCGGTGGCTCACAAAGAGCTGTCAGTGGCATCGATTCGTCATGGCGGCTGATGCAGAAGGTTGTGACAGCCTTTCATGTGCTCAGCCCCACAGCTTTGTATGAACCGCAGAACAGCACTTCAACCCTGTATGATGACCCCCAGCTCCCACGCCAAGTCAGGGTTTCTGGCCGGAACGGGCGAGCTCCAACCCTTCTGGAAAAGCTTAAGTGGACACGGGGCGATCTGGAACTCCGAGATCAGATCGATGGTGCGCGTCAGGCCCATAGCGCTTCGCCCAAGCTTCAGCCTCACTCATTCCAACCTTGACGCAATTGCCGTGCGAGATCGCCCTCCACACCACATTCTTTTGTAGCCTGGCCAGCACCTGATCCCACTCACACCATTGCCGCGCTTCTTCCGTCTCATTCTCGTTGACCAATCGCCATCATGTCTTACGAAATGAGCGGCATGAAACACGTCGGCTCGCGGCGTAAGTGCCTCGTCTTACTTTCCTGATCGCGACCTCTAACGTCCCTTAGCCTTCAACCACGACCAGAGCCGCGACGCCGAGCAAGAGTACGATCGCCTACGCGATCTCGCGAGGCAAGAGGCTCGCAAACGAGGCGATTGTTTCGAGCGCAGCAAAGAAGCCTACAACCGCGGCGATGGGGCCGCGGCAAAACAGCTGTCTAACCAGGGCAAGGCCCACGGCGAGAAAATGGCGCAGTACAACAAGCAAGCCTCTGATTTCATCTTCCGGGAGAATAACGAACAAGGCCGCGTTGCCGAAGACACCATCGATCTGCACGGCCAGTTCGTCGAAGAAGCTGAGGACATTCTGGAAGAGCGCATCAGATATGCGCGCAGCACCGGGCAGACGCATCTGCATGTTATCGTTGGCAAGGGCAATCATTCCGTTGGCCACGTGCAGAAGATCAAGCCGCGAGTGGAGCAGGTCTGTCGAGAGCTAGGCCTGCAGTATCAAACCGAGCCAAATGAGGGCAGGATGTACATCAACCTGCAAGGCGGTGCCGCCCAACCGCCTCAGCACGGTGGTGGATACGGTGGTCCTGGCTACCAGCAGCCACCGCCACATGGTGGTCAACAGCCACACCATGGCGGCCAGCAGCAGCAGCAAGACGATGGCATGAAGCTGCTGAAGCTGATTTTCAGGAAGTTGCGGAAGCTGTTGTGCTCATAACAGGCTTGACTGCTAGATACCCCTTCATGGCGTGAATATTATGTGTCTTGGACATTGACATAGGGCAGTTGACTCATCGAGTTCGTACCGACTGCAAGCGCGTAAACCTTGTGTGTTGATATGCGCCATACCATTGCGCAGCTCCCAGTATCGTACTCAAACATAGACGTATAGTCTGACCAAGCAGCAGAACATGCGTGTGTTTGATTCCCGAGCTCGAGCTGTGGAGGAAACCTCTATGGGGGTGGTTGCCTTACAAGGGTGCCCAATGACGCCAGAATGCTCGGCACAGGTAACTCAAAACTCGCCTCCTATTCGAACTTCTCTGCGTTCCTTGCGACCTGTAGTCCACCCCTGTATTCGTTACAATGGGTTGCAATTCATCGGGGACGTTTTTGAGTCTGTCGTAAGAGCACGAACGTAGGATCGTTCCGGGGCGTGGCTGGGCCTGCCGGCTCAACAGGCAGTGGCCGACAAGGAGCCCGATCTCAGCTTTGTCGCGGATAGCTCCGTACAGGTCGAACGGTCATCTTTGGAGCTCATTCGATCCCTTTACGTGCATCCGTGCATCCAAACTGCTCATCTGACAACCCTAGGCAGGAGATGTCGCCACGAGACCAGGTGACTTATAGGATTCGCGAGCTCCTGCCTCGCCGTTTACCTAAGGTCTTGGCATTGATCTCCCTTTCACCTCATCTTCACTCGCTACGCAACCAGGTCCGCACCAGGCGCACGCATTCGGAAAGTGCAAAAAGAAAATCCCAGGCGCGGCTCAGGACTTGAACGTCATTCACACTCACGTAGAACAACAAAAAAGAATCAAACTCCTCGGTCTTTCGGGGCGGTGGTTGATTCTCAGGAGCTACCGCCGATCTTAGCCTGGGAGGACTGCAGACTAGTACACCCTGGGTGTTTATAGAAGTGGCAGTCCAATTTCACCTCACGGTCGACTCGTCTTATGAGGGCGAGTAGTTTCAACTCTTAACATTTGACCAGACACCGAACAAGCCCGAAGGCAAGTCAGTTGAATCAGCAGGACCTTTGACCCGATTGTCGAACAAAATTCCACCACTCTGATAACTAGTCATAAAAACAGTGACTGGCGAGGCTGTTGGAGCCTTGTCCATGGCTCTACGCCCATGCCAATCTTGTGGCTACGGGGGCCTCCTGATACTACTGATATGCGGCTGCAGATCTTGCCGCACGCGTTCCGCATAGGCAGGTGAGTCTACGGTAGAGTCATAGGAGCATGGAGGAGCAAATGTCTGCTGTGCTTCAGCACAAAGTGGCGCTGGTATCGTCCGGCTTTGGTAGTCAACATCATCTGGAGGCTCGTCTCACAAGAAGAGACGGCCTCGTCTCTACACCAGCTGCGACTCAAGTGAACGTCTCTTGGGCTTGATCTCAAGTTGGTCAGAGATTTGCTGGAAGATCAGAAGTCCTCGACTGCTCTCTGGAAATTAGGTGAGTAAGCCTGAGCGCGCATGACACTATGGGATTGGTGTCGCCAAGACCTGGTTGCCTTGTGGTTGCCCGGCGCCAGCCTTGTAAGTACAGTCCAGAGGGCTCCGTCTGTTTACTTGTGCCTGCGGCTTGTTCAAGTTGTGATGCTGGGGTTCTCAGATTCCATCTTCTTCACCGCTAACACCATACACATCGTCGCCTCGTTCTTTAGCCGCGAGCATGACGACCAACTCCTCCCCCGGCAAGCGCAAGCGAGCTGCCGGCCCTTCTGGCAGCGAGGTGCCTTCCGGCAGCAAGGAAGAGAAGCTACAGCTCGCCGCCACCTGCCGTTCCGCCGCGCGCGCAAAGCGCAAGATCACCCGCGCTACGGCGCAACTCAATCAACCTCTCCTCCGGCGACGAGGTAGATGATGACGCAAACGTCGATGACGGCGAAGAAGACTGGGAGGATGAGGGCGACAAACTTCAGTCCTCGCCTCCCCCCACCACCACTGTCGCTCCCACCGCTGTCGTCCCTGCGCCTGCTCCGCCCATCGAGGGCAAGAAACTGCCGTCCTCCTGTCTCTCGTAAGCTATCTGTTCAAACATATCATTCTAGTAAATGCTAATCCGCCCCAGTTCTGCGGTCCTCGGGCCGTCACCAACGAATCGATTTTCCGGCTCGAGCAAATCGGCTCGCTGGCCGAAGTCCGGTCCTGCCTCGGCCACTTCTTCACCGAGGAGACGAAGCGATTCGATGTTCCCGCCGACCTCAACTTCATGATGGTCAATTGCTGGGGTCCCGACCGGGACGGACCTGTGCGAGGTGCCTGGCCGATTGCAACGGCCGAGGCATACCAAGACTGGGCGGAAGGCCTGAAGGCCCGGAGTTGGTCGCAGGGAAAGTCTGCGCGTGTCCAGGTGGTGGCTTTGACGAACCACCAACTTCAGAGTGACCGCGACGCCTACAAGGACTTCTTTGCCCTCAATACCAGTCCGGTGCCATTCTGGTTTTCGCCAATGGTGGAGGAGATGGACGGCATCAAGTGGATATTTGATGGCCAGGTGCGTCCTGATGACGAAGATTAAAGGGGGCATACGAGGCGGCCCGTCAAGCATTAAGTCCTCACGCAGCAGAGTCGGGGGACTTGCTAGCCTGTATCCATTGGTAGAAGGGGGTAAAGGGAGAGACACGTGGCGGCCTCGCAAGCACTAAGTCCACTCGCGGCAGTGTCGGTGGACATGTCGGCTACGTCTATGGGGTAGATGGAGAGGAGGAACACCGGGCTGGCAGTACGGTCTGCTCGCGGACGGGTACATAGCCCGATATCCGCAAAGGTAAAATGGCATAATACCCGAGGGAAAAAGAAACGTCTCCTCTTGAGTGTTCGTCTGATGCTCAGCTATACGGTGGCTTGGTCTTCGTAGGGCGCACAGAAGGCTGATCACTGTTCATCGTAAGCCACAAACATCGTCGGGTCATCTATCGCTCTGGTGAAGATGCGACAGTAGTAGATATCGGGTAGAATCTTGTACATCGAAGCAAGCGTCTATATTTCTTCAAATGGGTAGCACATGCTTGTAGAGACCGACAGCTCCTGATCTTCATCCTCGGCATTCAACATCACCCCATTGTGGCCGGAGGACTAATAACTGTTAAGAGAACGGTCTGGTCTTGCGGGGCCACTGATTGACTTCCACCGGATCACCACGAATAGCTCGAGGTGCATGACATACTGCAGCTGCAGGAAGCACCGGCCTTGACAGCCTATACTACTTGACGCAATGCCGGAAAGGGAATCATGTGACCAACACCCAACGCCGAAGCGGGCAACAAAGAGTTTGAAAAGCTGAGGTTACGAGAAGGTTGCATGCTGACTACTGCAAGCCGCTGTTCGCTGTGAAGCCCAAGGTTTAGATCTACGCAGGGGTGGGCCCTCGAGGCTCTGCGTGGTGCTGTTGTGTTTCTTTACCAACTGTCCATCGTCAATCCTGCTTTTTCACTCGACTGCCCGGCCGCAAGCGACGGCCTGACATAGAGCGTGATGAAGGCCAAGTGCGGCAGTTGCGAAGCTCGCCTACACCAGTGCCGATCTCTAACATCTTGGTGCGTCACTTCCTATGTTTGGGCGCCAGCAGCATTGAATCAGAGCGCGCTGGATGCCAGCATGCAGAGGCCGAAACACCAGCAATCGAGCTATGCATCTATTGGCCAAGTGTCTCGTACGCTTAAGGGGATCGGCCAAGTCAACTGCCGACCACCCAGCCATGGCGATGTTTCCGAGCTCGCTTGACCAAGTTCCAGGCGTGCCCAGGCCGCACGCTGCCACGCTGTGCCAGCCAAACGATGCCCCGGCCATGCGTTCATCGCGGGTGCCCGGCGTTTCCTTTACATCCGTTGACGACGCCGGCTCATGGCTTGCAACACATGAGCGGTTGGCCTGGGCAGTACGTTTCACCAACAGAACCCCAAGCCTACGGCAGCCGTAACTCGCACCGCACAAGAGATCCGAGCTCCATGTTTTAGCACTCCTTCTCGGGCACCGGCACGATGGCCATCCAGCGGGCATGGAAGACTGCGAAAAAGCTGTGTGGCCCCCGTGTTAGCTTACCCGAAAGCCGTCAAGCTAGGCGACATCAGGTAAGACACACGGCTTAATGCACCCCTGCGACAGGAGCCGCCTGCCAGGCCTGCAGCCCAGCCATCGTCATTGCCACTGTCATGTCTCAAACTTTCTCACCATCTGCTCCAGCAGCTACTGCGTCGGTTCTTCTGGAAGAGAACCGTCAAGCATGTATCCCGCATGCACGCTTGTTGGTGTGAACAAAACCTTTCTCTCCGCCCCCTCCCAACCACCTGTCTTCCTCTTCCTACCTATCATTGCAGCTGTGCTACTTTTCTTTGAACCCTCCGGTCTCTATCTGCCACTCGCTGCGGACTGTCGATCACTACATCGCATTGCATCTCCGGTCAGTTGCCGAGCATAACGCCCAGTGTACCGAGTTCGGAGTACATACACTCGCTCCACGCAGTACATCCTCTGCCATCACCGCCTCTTCGCCCGCGGGCCGTTCCTCTATCCAAGACACCACATACCACACACCAACATGCGTCCCTCTACCTTCCTCCTCCCGCTCCTTCCCTTCGCATCTCTCGTAGCCGCCACTCCAGCTCCCACCCCCACGCCCAACTGGGAAGCCCTCTCCTCTCTCCTCTCTCGTGTCTCTTCCAACTCTTTACATGACATACTCCACCTTCTTTCGCCAAAGTTTCAAGATGGTGTCTTCCCTCTCGATGCTGCCGCCATCGAGCATGTGCACTCCGAGAATCACATCATGGCCACAAAGCTCGTGCACATGGCCCTGAAGCGGCAATCAAACGGAACAGCGACCACTACGTCCGAGCCTCCCCCAGATCCAACCCAAGAGGAAAGCATATCAAGTGAGCTATCCGACGTTATCACAGCCACCACAACCCCAGACCCAACATCCGTGGAGGTTGCGCCTACTACGCCCGCGGGTGCTACTCCGGTTGAGACAGTTGATGGTGCGGTGGTTTTCAGCACCGTTGGTGGCGGTGTCGTTACTGAGACATCCCGGAATGTTGATGTCAGCTTCACGCGCAGCAGCTCCACACGCCTGATCTACAGCACGGCGGCTAATGGCGACGTTGAGACGCTTACAAGTGTGGTCGTCGTCAACGCACCGGTGACGGGCAGTCCAGACAGCGATGCAGCCGGTGCTGCGGCCACCTCAAATCCGGGACTGCAAGATAGTGCTATCGCTGCAAAGGTGTCCGGCTTAATGCTTGCAGCTGCGGGCTTGGGAGCTATGGCGTTTGTACTGTAAATGAAGGAAATCGCCCCGGACTTTCGCATGGAATGCGGGGAGAGAAGCAGGAACTGCGGAGAAAGCACCAGCATCGAAGAATGACAGGACGATGCTACGAAATCACTCACGAATGTACACAAAATCCAACGACCAATAGAGCTGCAATAACGCAATAACGCAGAACATTTACTACCACAGCAAAACCAAGTCTTTCTTTTTGGATGTTAGGTGAAACGTATAGTTCTTTTGTCATTGTCGACACCTATGGCTGGGATGGAATCAATTCCTCGATCGCAGGGTTGCCACAATCATCAGCATCGGCATTGGCAAAGCATAGGCGCACTCGCACACCGATCACCAATCCTGTCCTCGCCTCGATCACGAGTTCGATGATTGCGCACAACCCCCCGGAAAGACCCGCAGCTGTGGAGGGATGTGTACGCGGAATGAACTTATGAAGCACGCCTCGAAAAGCAGGGTTTGGAGATGTGCAGCAACCAAACTGGCTGGCTAGGCGGCCGACACGACAGAATGAGACTGTGTCCCATCCTTTCACGGCATGATGGAATCATGCAACGGAGCGGGGCGAGAGGGAGAGAGGCGAAGCTGAAGCTATGGAACTATGGAGACGAAGGGGGGAACATCCGACCGCTGTACCCGGAGGCATTGTACATTGTACATAGTGTACATATTGTACGATAAGACCACTCAAAACCAACATACTGGCCAACGCAGCATGACAGCAGCGGGTACGACTTGAAAGGTGCTTCACGAGCGGGCATGTGTGCGATCAGGGGGGAAGAGATGGTCGGAGAGAGGGGAAGGGAGAGGGAGAGGGTCGAAACACAACACGACGCAGTACAATGGCATATGGCGATGATACGGATTTTCTTCAGATACCTACCTACCTACCTACCTCACTTATATGTTGCCAATGGCGTCGGTTTGAAATTCTTCTTCGAGTTGCTTCGTTTACGTGTATATCTGTAACTGTATCTGTCCTCCTAACAAGCCAGGACGATGCGTGTGACTGCGCCACGCGCGATGCTGGCACTTGCGCCGCCGAAAAGAGCGGTTTCTGTTTTTGCCTCGTAAGATGCCATTGATTGATTCTCGCTAGAGACATAATGCTGACCGAGTCGGTCGTTGAGCCAGCCCACCCGCGTTGTCTATCTCTTAGCTCATACTGGTACTTCGTATGCCATAGTCTGCATGGGCATCGTTAGCCTATTATACTTGTCCTAATGCTGGCAGCCATCGCTGCTAGTCTTTTCAGCGCCTGCTAAACCACTAAACCCATACTAACTACCAGACTCATCCTTTCTGTCCCATTTGCATACACACTCGCGAGACTCACCTGTTTGAGTAGTGGTACGCATTCGAATTGACAGCGCCGAGACCGTAGTCTCGATTATCGTAGCGATTGCCATGATATAGAAACATATCAGGTCCGTTTTGCAAATGGCCAGGTAGGTCCTTCAAGGAGATGAGAAGGTCTTAGCTGGTCGTTCACGCCTCTGCTGCGGACCGTGTATGGCCCATGAACGGGGTTGTCGTAGACACGGCCATTGCTGTTGCTGTTTGAAGTCATGATTGCGTTGTCGCGAGGCTCAGGAATGTCGGAGAGGAATTGGAAAGAGTTGAGCGCGAACGAGGTGGTGCTGTCGGTGCTGTCGGTGCCGTTGAAAGGAGGCTCAGAACGTGAGGGAAGTGAGAGTAAATGTTCGTGAGGACGTCGTTTGCTACCTGCGGTAGTGACTGCCCGTACCCATCCACCTCACAGCAAGTGCCATGCAGAGACGTAAGTGATTCGAGCCGGACTTGTTCTGCTCGGTCCGTCAGAAGCCCGCAGCCAACTCGTTATTCATTCATTCTTCTTGTCTTGAATTGGTACATCTATCATATCCCTGGGAATCTCTTCGTGTTCCGATAAATCAATTCTCTTGCCGAGGCCAACGCGCACGCCTGCCGTCAGTAGGCTGCCCAGTACCCACCCCATCACGCATCCCCAAACAACCGTGCAGGGCCATTTCTGCCACTCCCTGTCCCAATCCAGCGCGATGGGGATCGCACCGAACCAGCCGCCCAGTATCGTCCCCACGGTGCCGCCCCAAACACCCGCTTCGTCGAATGGCAGCCACGCAGCCGCAATGTCCCTCCAGGCTGAGCTGGAAACGCCATGAGTGTAGAACAGCGGGAAGAATGCCAGCAGCGAGATATGCGTAGCCAGAGCAAGTGTGTGTGGCAACTGATCGTATGGGAAGAGAGGAGCACCCAGTGCGTGCAGGAGGACCTGTATGGGTACAGGAGGAATTAGGAGGGCTAGAAGCAGGGCAAAGATGCACGGCTGGAGAGCTTTGGTTAGCTTTCTGAATGAGCGAGTGTCTCGAGTCCGAGGGAACATACCATGATTCTTGCACTAAAGCCCCCAACTGTAGGATCATGCAAGTGTGCCGCCGTCTTCGCGCCTTTCCTGCGCCCAATGCTCCCTTTCCCTCCTTTGATCGGCGTGTTCGTCGCAGATGCGGTGCCTTCTACAATTCCCCGGCCTGCATCCTTGGTACCATTATTCCATGTCCCAGCCGCAGGCAGGCAAAGCACACAGAATGCTGCTTGCGCGGTCGCGAGGGGTATAAGATCATAGGTGAGAGTTGGAAGAGGGTCCGCAACCAAGGGACCGGAGCGGAGCAGGTACAGAGACGGAATGAGGCCGGTGTGCAGGAGTGCATATAAGCGAGCGGAGGAACTGGCAAGGAGAGGTATCGGATTGGTAGTCGGCGTTATGAGACGGGAGGAGGGCCGGTGTTTCGAGGTGGGAGGTTGAGGAACAATGTGGGCGAGAGAGGGGGGCGCCATGGTGGCACACTAGCACTGGAATGCCCGCTTCGAGCCTGTATACGGAAGACACAGGGGAAGGAGTACGACGGGTCCGGGAGCGGACGCTTATAAGCAAGTTGCTGGGGTACGAGTGTTCATGGAAAAAGGTGAGAGATGCGCGGACTTGGAGAAGCTGCGGACGGGTTTGGCTTGGCGATGCTTTACCCCTTTCCACCAGGCAGCCTCGCGGCTTCGTTCGCCTTTTGCGAGGGGGGCGTCGACGACGGCGCCGATTCCAATGCAGATAAAGCGGACTTGCACGTGGTCTGATTGGAAAAATTCTTATTACGAATACCTGTCGCAGTATGCTCAGGTCATCAATGCTATCGCTTGAAACAACCTTCACTTCGTATCCTGTACATCGCGATCATGTATGTCGGCGCCTCGAGCGCCGATGTAGCATGCAGTGGGTATCTCAAATGAGGTGTACTGCCCTCTCCGTGTCTGTAGAAAACAACCCTAGGAACGCCTTGTTCGTTTCGACGTGAACGCCTGAATCTCGTCAGATAATCAAAGATGGATCAAAGGCCTGGTATTGACGGGCCGAAGAATGACGGTCACTCTCAGCTCACGCCAATCATGGGCGAGCTACGCGGATGTTCAAACATAAAAGTGTTGTCTTGTGGTGTCTCGAACGCCTCATCGAAGCCACCATCGGTGTCAGAATCAACTTCGCTCATGCTGAACCTTGACTGCTCCGCTGCTTTCTTCCCAGTCGAGAAGGGCGGTGAGCGTTTCAAGGTTTTGTTGAGGGCGGGTGTGCCTTGCTTTGAATTCGGAGTAGGATAATCGGTGCGCTCTCTGATCTCGGCATAGACTGGTGATCGCAGAGCGTCAAGTTGAGACTGTAATTCATTGACTTGTGCCTCGAGCTGCCGTCGCGAATTCTGCTCTCTCCGAATGATGTCCATTATTCTGTCAAACTGATCGACGGTGATACGCACAGGTGAAGGCGATTGGGCATCGGACGTGCGTTGAGTGTTGAGAGGGCGTATAGTGGCTTTGCTAGACCGGTCGGGTCGGAAAGGCTCCTCTAGAGGCAGGGGTGAATTGTCTGGCGAAGTGAGGAATGAGGTAGGTTCAGGGGTAGAAGATGAGGATTCGGCACCCGAGTCCATCTCAGGTGGAAACAGGCCATGAATCGACCTTCGCTTAGGTAGCTTCTGAGGAAGAGCCGGTTTAGGAATGTCGTGACCTTGGAGGTTCGCGATAGCAAATTCAAAGTCGAACAACTTGACCTCCAGCGTGTTGACCCTGTCCTCAAGAGTGGCCTCCCGACCTTGCTCACGGTCGAGACCGAAATCGAAATTGTGCAAAGGCACAGACTCCTGGGACACTTCTTCGGCTCGTGTTGAGGGAGCCACACGGTCGGTCGGCTGTTGCCAAGGAGGCCAGGCGGGAGGTGGGTTTTCAACGATACTCTTTCGCCAGTATGCGATGTCCGATTGCCGATCGCGGTTGACAGCGTTGCGGAGAGTGATGTCGGATATCATCCTGTTGAGCGCGTCAGCACTCCGCGAGCGCCGCTTGAGCATCGGCTCCGGTAGCGTGTCCGGCCCCCGAGTTCGAGATGTCAGATCCTGGTCATCTGGCCCAGCCAATATTTGCGCCATCGAGTCGCTAATCACAAGACTAGGTAGGGTGTTTCGACGCCGATGGCCTGGAGACGGAAGATTAGTGTGGTCGGCATTGTCAGATTCGAGGGTGAAATCTAGATTGAGGCCATGTGAAGCCAATGCGCTTGCACGTGTCACAGTGCCTCCAGCCTGGGATGGTGCTCGTGCAATGTTGATATCCGTCGATCGTTCTGTGATGGCGGTCAAATTTCCGGGGTCCTAGATGTCAGGTCAGCATTAATTTCGACCGTGAGCAATCCCGGGTGGGAGCATACGCTGCGGTGATAGTCCTTCCTTGGGTCGTCCAAGGGAGGAGGATGGCCCTTCTTGCTACCGAACATTCGTCGCAAGGTCGCACGGAAGCCATTCTGCTTCTTCTGACGAATGGAACCTTTCGAAGCGCCGGTAGATATCGAGCTAGGGATTAACGAAGGTCCGACCGAGGCACGACCAGCGCCCATCGGTTCAAGGTTGCCTGTGCTGAAATGTCGACCGCGCTGCATATCAGGTGCCGAATTCTTCATTGGCCAGTCGCTATTGTGTCGAGTGGCAACGTTTCGTGAATGATCATACGGAATGGGGTCGGATATCTTTATATCGCCACGGCGGACGGCGGCGCCGGTGGATGATCGTAGTAGAGAGCCATTCGAGTACCGGCTTTGGCTCTTGGGCGACGGCATAGCTGCAATGTGATGAAAAAGAATTGAGGCGAAGCGGGATCCCTCAGCCGAAGATTAACACTGTCAAGTACAGCAGGGCATGTTGGGAACAGCGCGCATCCAGCTGCACGCGCTTGGAATGTGGGTTCCACGACGGTACTCGGGCGTGAGGCAAGCCGGAGTTTGCCAAAGAGGCGATTTGACACAACGACGCAGACCTGGGAACGGTGGTTAGTGATATACTGCCGTTAGGCTTCCGGAGATTGCCTACCGTGAGCCTGGGCAGTTGTCTCAACGTCGCAAGTTAGTACAATGGAATGTATTAAAAATATGCGTCGGCTGCTTGCTAGTCGCTGAGATCATCGACTTTGGAGTCTGGGCGAATAAGCAGCTGAGGTTAAGATATAAAGAAAGGATCGAGAAGCTAGCCCTGGACGCCTGAGGGGGAAGGCGGGAGATCCAAGGCTTCCCGGCACAGAAGCAACGGCAATGAGCAGAAAGTGCCAGAGTAAGACTGGCTATCAGAGGCGGCGACAATCAACAATGATATTGTCGTGGTGCGGGTCAGGTGGATGGTCGCACGTTGGAATCCGGCGTGTCTGCTTCGAGGCGACCGGGATCAGGGGGGGAGCGTCCAGGGTAAAACTGGAGCATAGTACGCCATCGGCAGCAAGGGCCGGCCAGGAACAGAAGGTGAGTTGCCAGGATGTCTAAGATGGTCAAGGATTTTTGCGCAAGCGAGAGGTAGCGTATGCATCAATGGGGAGGTGTAGTGTTTCATGTCAAGATGGGCTCGGCCCGGCTGGGAGCAGCGAGTGATGCCACGTCCCAGGCGCATTAAACGAGCCGTTAGGCGAAGCAATGGTGTGGCTCGGAAGGGGAGATGAGAGTTGCAGGAGACAGGACGAGTCCAGACGGAAAATCACAAGTACACGATGCCCAAGAAAATGCCCGACTCGCCCAGGCGACTTCTGTGTAGGGTCAGCGTGTCGCAGCGCTGCAGAAGCGTCGCGGGCGTGCACAAATCAGCGCCGGGAAGTGCTCTCAAGTAGCGGCCCCGGGTGCTGCTAGGGCCCGCCACTCAGGGTATCCGCCCTTCTTAGGCCTTCTATCGAAGACGCTACGAACCACCGAATGGCCATTGCCGCCGCTCACTGGCTGACCGTGTTGCTCACCGGTCCTTTCTAAAGGTTGCCCAGCTGGCAGAGATGGGCATTCTCGTCGACGTTCAGGCTCTCGCAAGCTTTAGTCCTTGCTTCTTCATCGCGTTAGCACCCTCCGACCACAGAAGAAAAGCAAAGTTACCGATTCAAAAAGGACCACGATCTCGTACTCCGGACACTATCTAGACCCCCTGGCTGCGTGCGTCATGCGACCCTCGATAGGGAGTAGGGAGCGTGGAAACTGCAAGTCATCGCCGCAACGGCTTATCCGAAAACACCACAGTTTCAACATCGAACAAGTGCGGAACGGCCAAGCTGATGCTCTTCCTCCGGTTCCTCGAGCATAATTCGCCGTGTTATCGTACATACAGATCATGGATGTAAAAGGATGCACGAATCCGCACAGTCGGGCACAGCGGGTTTGACATACAACCACTCCATCCTCCCTCGGTTTTCGCGTACTCCGGTGAGCAGTCACCCCCACAAGTCAGCATCGCAGGCTAGGCGCCACGCGCCACGCGCCTAGAGATCCTGGAATGGGGTTGCGTCAATCTTTTGCTGCATACATCCACACACCCTCTTTGTCCACTACGCTCCCAGTGTCTGACCATTCATGCACGCTGGCGGGAACAGATCCTTGGGCATCTGCCACCATTCATGTCAAGTAGGCAATTCCGGCCCGTGAGTGGCTCGATGCGAGCCTCTTGCCTATCACAGCCTCTCCAACTCAGTCGCGCTGCCTTGATCTGCTGATCTGTTCGAGGGCCTGCTTCTCTATCGTGATTCGATCATGCCAGTACAGCCTAACTTTCAGCCTCCCAAGAAAAGTTCGATAATGCCATGCGCAGTTCGCAGATCGTCTCGCTTCGGTCTGGAGGTCTGGATGCATGCACTCGGCGACTCAACCCAGCTCGAGCTCATCCAAACTCGGGTATCTCAGGTCAGCTTCGTCTTCCAGGAATTTCATCCATCGTTTGAGGAACGAGCTGCCCCTGTGGAGAGAGATCAGTATCATGCAAGCACGGAGATTGCCCGCGGAGCCCACCTCGACACCGTTTCCGAATCCCCAATAACACACAGATGCCGCTTCGGTCGTGTCATCGCAACTGCACGCCTGTCAGTCAAAGGGAACGTGGTACGGGCATCGTCTTTTTGATGGCGGGTCCCCGCTGGTTCCAGCTGTCAACGGACACGCATTGGTCAAGCTTCTCGTTCTCGCCAGAGCCCGGTATCCGGAACGGGGGGGCACTTACCATTCAGGCGACGTTTCTCGCCCAAGAACCCGACCTCCCGCTCTGGATTGCTTCTAACCAAGCTCACGATCACCGCCTCCTTCTCGCGACCCTGGAAGCCATCCACGCTCCCCATCTCGAGGCCAGGATACTTCTCCCGCAGCATGCCACTCAAGATCGCTAGCTGCGCATTGTACGGTGTGACGACTGCAATGTCTTCAGCCTTGACTCCCGCCGCCGTCAGAGCCTCCACGTGCATTCGGACCACTGCAGCCTCCATGTCGTTACTCTTGCTATCCCCCAGCAACACACTCTTCTTGACCTTACCGTCTTCTAGGCCTTCCTCCGTCCTCTCCGGGAAATCACCGCCTTGCGTATCGTAGAACACCAGCGGCTCCCTCGTGTCGTCCGTATCCTCGACCTCATAATTCAGGTCCTTGAGCAATCGCGCCTCGACGCCGTCCGCGGCCACGAGCTTTCCATCGTACAATTCGTCACTCGGAAACCGCATAATGCGTTCGTGCATACGGTACTGTACCTTCAGCAGCCGCTTGATGTCGCCGCCGTACAACTCAAGTAATCGATCGAACATGGTCCTCTCGAGGCTCCAGCCCTTAGCCTTCTTCGCGACACCATCGTCCAGACTCAGTTTCCCCAGCGCTTCCTCAAGGGTCTTCACCCGCTTCTTCTCTTCCGCCTTGTCGACCTCTGCGTCCTTTCCCTTCACCGTCGGCGGTAATTGCATGTGATCCCCCGCGAGTACAACCTTGCGCACCTCGCCCGCCATGACGATCGGGACCCAGCACTGCGGCTCCACGGCCTGCGCGGCCTCATCCACCACGAGCACATCGTAGCCGCCCTGCCCGTCCTGCCGCTTCGCGTCCCTCCCGCCAGCCCCATGCAACGTGCTCAACACCACCTTCGCCCCACCCACCAGCTCCCGCGTGACCCTCCCCTCCCTCTCCCGATACTCCTTCCTCAATTCCCTCACCTCACGCCACACCTCCCCCTTAGCCGCCCGCCCCTTGACCTTCCTCACACTAGCCATCTTCTCATCGATCTCGCGCCGCACGTCCCCAATCAGCTGCGCCTGCTCGCTCGTCTTGGTCAGCACCTCCAGACTATGGCCCAGCACGCCCGGCAGCAGGCGCGCAGGGTGGCCCAGGCGCACGATAGGCGTGCCCGGCGCTGTGGCCGCGAGGCGCTCCACGATATTGTCCACGCTGATGTTGGACGGGCCGCACACCAGCACCCGTTGGCCCCGCTGCACGAGCTGCAGGATCAGCTCGATCAGAGTGTACGTCTTGCCCGTGCCGGGAGGGCCGTGGATGAGTGCCAGGTCCGGGGACGCGAGGGCGAAGCGGACGGCGTCGCGTTGCGAGGCATTGAGCGTCGGGTCGAGGAAGCTGAGGTCGGCGACGGAGACGGAGGCGAGGTCCGGCGCGCTGGGTTGGGAGAGGCCGAATAGGACGCGCTGCAATGTCGTGTACTGCTCCTCGGGGGTTTTGGTGAGCTTGCTGAGCGCCTGATCCATGCGCCGGTAGGTCACGTCGTTGGCGAGCTTGACTCTGCGTGCGTAATCGTCAGTTATTGCGCATCTCTAGACTCAGCGGGCTCTCCCAAAATGCCGCCAACTTGTAGAACTCAACGAATAGCACCGACTTACAGCCACAACTTGCCATCACCAAGCTGCTCAATCCCACCCCCCTCCTCGTCCCTATCCCTCCCCTCCCTCCCCACAGCAACCCACACGCCCCTCTCCCCCACCCTCACCACCACCCCCTCCACCCCCCCTTTTTCCACCTCCCTAACCTCCCGCTTCCGCGCCGCCTCCCTCGGCCGCTCTCCCACCCTAACAATATCCCCCGTGCGGATCCCATGGTGCTCTGGTAACTCCCCGCGCGAGTCCTTGGGTACCACCGCGGCGTCGAGCACTAGTTCCAGCACGGTGCGGCCACCCAGTCCAGTGCGGTAGCTGGCGATGCTGAGGTTGAGGAGGGCGAGGCCCGCGCGCGCGAGGAGCGTGGGGGGCGCGGACGAGAGGAGGAGCGCGTTTTGCGTCGTTTCGGCGTGGAGCTCCAGGGCGAGGAGGGAGGAGAGGGTGGTGAGGAGGGCGGCCGGGGGGAGGGAAGTGGAGGGGGAGGGGGAGGTTTTCGCTGGCATCGTGTTGGGGGCGGGGGAGGGTTTGAAGGCCCGTGTGCAGGCGGGTCGTAGTGTTATTGGGAGACAGTTGGATGGCTGCCAGTATCTGGGGGTGGTCGGTCTATGGCTGTTGCTAGAGGTGAATTGGATTGTCGTGGCGGCGGGGCAGATGCTTAGATTGCAAGCAGTTCTGCTTGTTCGCTCGCTTTCGTGTCCAGGATAGCCACAGAGATACTAATATTTGATGAGTCAAGGTGGTGGGCTCTTCGTCGCCATGGCTTGCTCACAGCCAGTTCCAAGATCAAAACGTTCAAGATGTCAATCACGGTGGAGCCTTGTGGACGAGTCATGATTGCCTTGTGACTGCCTTGTTTACTGCCTGAGGAATGGTACACTACAGTACGTGATCGTCGCCGACCGTCGTTGCTTTTCCAAACGCCTTGTCCCGCTACATATTGTCTCTCTCTTCTCGAGTGGGAGTACTGGCCCAATCTCGCTGTGGTTGCTACAGTTCTAGATGGCCGCCAGTGCCTGGTGCTCTCTCGCTGATCCACCCCGCCTTTCCCTCCCCATGCCATCTCTTTTCCACCGTCCAAAACCGGACCAGCCCCTCAGCGGCTATCTCGTCTCCCTCCCTATATAGATTCGCCACGTCGACATTCAGTGGACTGTCCAATCCTGGATCTGACAGCAGCTGCTGAATTGCCTCCATGGTGCTTGCGAGCGTGTATGTAGGCGCCCAGTGTTCACTCGTCAGCAGCGTGAGACAGATTTCGCCTGTCTGGAAGTGCACGTTCGGGTGGCATATGGGTGTTTTGAAGTGTACTTTGGGCGGGTGGTTGGGGTAGTTGGACGGTACGGAGATCTCGAGTAGCCAGAGACCACCGAAATAGGGTGACGCTGGATCACGGGGACCCTTTAGCACGGCTTCCCAGGAGAAGATATCTTCATCGGTCGCAGGGCCAAGGTGGACATAGGTGTCGGATGGGAGAGCAGGTAGATCGGATATCTCGCGTGTTAGGCGCTTGAGCGCAGAGTTGGAAGAGGTCTTCGATTTCGATTTGGACACGCGTGACGAGTCACGGGACATGGTGATGTTGGTAAATAAGATACGGAGAAGAGGAGAGGTTCTGGTTGAGCACAAGTTGAGCTAGGTTGTGTAGATGAGAGGCTGGTGAAGCTGCGCTGTCCTAGGGCCTGGTGGGCGAAGCTCAGCCTTGCCATACCTCGGCTTCGCCTAAAGCTTAACTAAAATTGACCCCTGGGTGTCAAAATCCGGGGCAGGGGTCCACAGCCAAAAAGTCGCGGATCGACGCGTCAATTGCGATACGCCTCTGTCCCAAGTTGTCACATTGCTATGTGAGCAAGCAGAGAAGAGCTCCTACGATGCGCACTTCGAAGGTTTCTCAAGATACCACGCGAATCTTTAGCGCTCTCTCGACCAATGCTCGCTCAGCAACAAGGCGCTCGACGCGCAGTTCGAAGCTGATCTCGACGTTCTCTCTCGGTCATGATGGCACCGTCGAAATCAAAGAACAAGACGAGCCTCACTCAGAAACTCCTCCGAGTCCCGCAGCTGACATTGAAGACGCGTTTGAGCCCTCTCCACAGCTCTCCCGGAAACGGAAGCGGCGTAGTGACTCTCCTCATCCCTCAACGCCGCCATCGAAACTCAGCAGTACCCGCATCAAGGCTGAAATTACCTCTCCAACCCTGGAGCCCATATTAGCTACGGCTTCCCCACGTCAAAAAGCCCTGCCCAAAATTCCTGCTCGCCGCAAACCCCTTCCGAATGGCACCTATGCCTATACACCACCCTCCAACTGGACTACCATGTACAACATTGTCAAAGACCAACGCGAGCGCAATCCCACCGCACCCGTCGATACGATGGGCTGTGAGGACCTTTTCTGGCAGTCTGCGTCTCCCAAGGAGCAACGCTATCACACCCTCGTCGCCCTGATGCTCTCCAGCCAGACCAAAGACACTGTCACGGCCGCGGCAATGTACAGACTGCACACAGAGCTAGCGCCATTGGCATCACTCGATGATGACGGGAAGGCCATATCCAGCAGTCTGACAGTGCAAAACATCGTTTCATGCGACGCGAAGCACTTGGACAGCTTGATTGGGAAAGTGGGTTTCCACAACAACAAGACCAAGTACCTTAAGTCGACGGCACAAATTCTACTTGACGAACACGATGGTGACGTGCCCAGTACGCTCGAAGGTCTTGTAGCGCTTCCTGGTGTCGGACCGAAGATGGCGTTCCTATGTCTGTCTGGTGCGTGGGGTCTGGATCATGGGATCGGCGTGGATGTACATGTGCATCGGATCACCAATTTGTGGGGCTGGCACGCCACCAAGAACCCAGAAGAAACGAGAATGTGGCTCGAGGGCTGGCTGCCACGAGAGAAGTGGCATGAGATCAATAAGCTGTTGGTCGGGTTGGGGCAGACGGTATGCTTGCCCGTTGGACGGCGGTGCGGAGAGTGCGACTTGCAAGGTACCGGTTTGTGCAAAGGAGAGGTCAGGGGTTGGAAAGCAAGTCCACGAAAGATCAAGGTCGAGGAGAAGAAAGTCGTTGGAGTGAAATACGAGGGAATGGGCGGGGAAAGGAACATTGAGAAGCTGGAGATCAAGTGTGAAGGCTGAGGCACGCAAGGCAACAAAGCCCTTGGCATTGGTGTATACCACGTCCAGTACGCCTGTGACAGCTGCTGCGTGAACAGCCAGGCAGTCAATGTGATTTGCCCAGCATGTGCACCACCGAAACGACCTACCTACAACACCACGCTCGCGACGCACCACACGAGAACTGTTGAAGCCCGACGAGATGAATGCAGATCAGACGGTACCCACAACGACCATCCAGACGAATGTCGTTCTCCCGTATACGCTGAACAACGTGACGGAAATTAGTGAGCTAGCTCCTCCTTTTGTCCCGTTCAAACTACTCCGGGCGATTTGCTAACCACCTTCCAGACGAGCGACTTACCGAGCATTGCAAAACCCTCAACAACGACCGCGACAGCTGCCTGCACACAGCCGCCGCGTATACGAAGATGCTGATCGCCTTCGACAGCGTGCTTGCACATGGCATCCTCACACAGCCCCTTCAAACCCGCTTCGAGGACGCCGGCACCGTTCTCGTCAAAGCCAGTCGCCGCATGCGAGCAAGCCTCTCCAGCGCCGAGCAACACGTCCAGGCTGCACATGAGCGGCTTGCTATCGCGATGTACACGCCGGCAGGCGGTAAAGAAGATGCCGAGACGGCTTTCCAGATATTCAGGCTCTGCCAGGTTAGAGTTAAATAGCAGCCGAGAGTGCTTGCAGACGGCGTGGACATGTCTGGACGTTGGAGCAGCCGAGGTGCTCCTAGCTATTGATGAAGTGCGGTGTTTGATGGTACGGCTTGAGTGGTCTGGGGCTTCTGAGGGAATTTAGGTGAGCTTCCGGGGACGAGATTGTATAGACGATGTCCTACTTTATAGGACTACAAGCACTCGGGCTGGTATATTCCCCCTTTCCTCAGTTGAATGATCTACTGGCGATACATCAACAATGCCGTCCCAATTCTCGTTCATCGCGATCTTTCATTTCGAACGCGATGATCGAATCGAAGTCCCCGCCATCCCGCCCAATGCCAAGCCATGACGTTGTCACAAGCTCCCCTCGGCGGGCTTGTTTCTCCTTGTCTTTCGCTTGTGACGGCAGCCACACACCTCCTTCGCCCGCTCAAGCATTCGCTTGATTCGTGGGGATTGCTTGCCCTCCGCACGTACCCCTGCTTGCCCTCCAAAGCCCTCGGCAGATCCTCGTCCATTCATGCCAGATCGAACAACTGGGCCCGCTTCCCACGCGCCAGCCGCGTGCTATGACGATGACATATCGGTTCCGAGGTCGCTGTCTCTCAAGTGCCGAAAATGAATCTGTTGATGACATACCTTGATGGGTCTCGGATTTTCTCACTTCATATCTGTTTGTGCATATTAGTACTACTGACCCTGTACTCTCACACCCACCCTCATCATAGAAAATGGCCGAGAAAAGAGCCCAACCGCGCAGCTCGGCATCATCTTCGACTGACGTGAACTCAGATCACCAACGCCAGGATGTCCAACACGTCGAAAAAGATGCCACGCAAACCGAAGGACAATACGAACTAGATCCGGTCATGAACAAACGTGTTGTCCGCAAATGCGACCGCCACATCATTCCCTGGCTGTTCGGAATTTGGCTGTGGGCTTTCATCGATCGGTCAAACATCGGCAATGCCCGCATCGATGGACTCACAGAAGATCTCGGTATGAAAGGAACGCAGTTCAATGTCGCCCTAGTCGTTTTCTATATTCCATACATTTTAGTCGATGTGCCTTCCAACTGGGTCGTCAAATATTTCAAGGCCGGCCGCTACTTGCCCTTCCTGATCACAGGATGGGGCCTTGTTAGGTTTGTATTCCCTTCCTCCGGGTGTGACGCCGGCCTGCTGACTGTGCAAGTACGTTCCTCGGCTTCACTAAGAGCTATGGCGGCCTCGTGGCGGCCAGGGCTATTCTTGGACTGTTTGAAGGAGGCCTGCTCGGTGGTATGATTGTCTACCTCGCCATGTTCTACCGGCGACACGAGATGCTGTACCGCATCGGACTCTTTTACTGTGCCGCACCTCTGAGCGGAGCTTTTGGCGGTCTACTGGCCAGCGGGCTTGCACAGATCAGTTCTGGTGGCTACAACGGTATGTAGCAGCCGAAAGGCTCTGGCCGCAACTGACACTAACACTTACTAGGCTGGCCGTGGATCTTCTTCATCGAAGGTACCATTACAGTTTGCTTCGGCATCCTCTCCTTCATTTTCATGCCCAACACGCCCGCCGATGCAAAGTTCTTCACCGAAGAGGAGCGATCCGTTGCGCAAGCACGTCTGATGCTGGACGCGCATGGCTCCACCACCAAGTCCGATGTCAACGACGAGAAATTCGATTGGCACTGGGTCAAGATGGCTCTGCTAAGCCCGAACACGATCTTTTGCTCGCTCGCGTGGTTCTTCCTGCTCGTACCACTCTACAGCTTCTCCCTTTTCCTTCCGACCATCATCCATGCTCTGGGCTACAGTGCCCTGAAGGCTCAACTATTCACCGTTCCGCCAAATATGGCCGCTTTTTGCATCGTTCTGATCACGGCTGGCCTGTCCGACCGATTCAAGGCTCGGGGTCCTTTCATGATCGGGGGCTGTCTTCTGGCAATGATTGGTTACATCATGCTACTTGCAGCGAGCCAGCCAACGGTAAGGTATGGGGGCACGTTTTTCGTCGCGTCAGGAGTATTCATGGGTTCTCCAATGGTAAAACACTTGCCTTTGACGGCTGCAAACGGCTAACGCAGGCCAGGTGATGGGTTGGCTATCGAACAACACAGCCCCGCATTTCGCAAGGGTAAGCAAACACAGTGCACTTCCAGCTACCTCGCCAACTGACATCTCTTTAGGCAACAGCTAGCGGCTTTCAAATCGCGTTTGCAAATTGTGCGGCTTTCATCGCCACTTTCACGTATCTGCAGCAGGATGCGCCCGACTACAAGCTCGGCCACAGCCTGAACCTTGGGGCCCTGGTCCTTTGCATTTTGACTGTCGCGAGTGGAATCTTCTACTGCAAATGGGAGAACGCGAAGCGAGACCGTGGAGACAGAGATCACCGTCTCCACGACCAGGAGGAGTCTCGACTGGGACAGTAAGTCAATATTTCCCTCCATCACCCTTGTTGTACTTGTCTCGCAATATCACCCTTGCGGTTGACGAGTGTCAACATAAACACGTGTCCCACCTATCAATAGCAAGCAGTTAGGGAGACTGCCGCTAACTCGTAGTAGCCGACACCCGCGTTTTCGCTACACCATCTAATCCCAGCAATGTGCGGAAGAAGCTGGGCTCCCATAACGGGCACGATCTTGAGCAAGAGCGACGCATCGCTAATTCATATACGCTGGGCCTTTGTATACTATTCTCACAATATACGAGCTCTACTGGAGTTGCCCTGGAGACTTCTCTGTGCCTTCGGACCCTATTCAATTCTGGGCGGATCCGGGAGGCAGGATCACGAACGAGTGCTATACGGGAAGCTAAGACCAAAGCCGTAGCTTCTGTCAAAATCACAGCTGTATACTGCGACTTCTATGCGTTGTTCTTTGGAGTCCAGGTGGCACAACAATGAGGTACACCTGCGCTTGATAGGCGAGTGGCTGGTTCGTGACACCTGTTTCGGTACATTGCATGGGTCGGCCTCAAACCCAACAAATGAGACGATCCTTCACACTCAAGCACGTCACCGCTGTACAGCCTAAAGCAACGCTCAGCGACCTCCGCATTCAGGCTCGATGTTCTCACCGCACCGTTGCTCCTGATCGGCTGTCGATCAACAACGATCATTCGCGTGCCTGGCTCGCAATTCCAACTTCGCACCCTGGTTTGACCTACGAAGGATGCACTTCCACACACATTGACTGCAGGATAGGACTACTGTGTATGCATGTTCCAGCCTCCTGACCAGCATTGGAGGTAATAGTTCCGCTTCAGCAATGTTGCTTCGAAGCAGAGACCCGAGTGAAGCTTTGGATAAGCCGGAATCGACTTCCAGCCTGCGCAAAGTGCCTCTGCTGGCGTTGGACAGATCGAGGCTGGAGAACGACTTTCTAGCCTATCTTCGAAGACTCCCAGCCTAAGCTGCAGGAACGAAGGCGAGAGCATTGCTCAGTCGAGCCGTTGTGCAACAGTGCTACGCATGCAGCATGAACTCTGCCCAGCCATGCCAGACACTGGGACTGGTTCTGGCTACTGTTTTCAACCAGCCCTTGATCCCAGAATCCTTTCTAAACTTTGCCGGCGTTGATGACCAGGATGCGGTGAATATTGGTTGACTTGGCAATGATGAGCAACCAAAGATCTCAAAGTCAAGGTTCCGTGCCTGGCCGGGAGCAGTACAGGCACAGGAACAAGTTTGTCGTTACGTTACTGTCTCTCATGCTGTGCAAGCGAGTAACGTGCTCGCAAGAGATGGATGTGGCCGGGAACTTGGTATAAAGTGATGGTAGACTAACATTCTACAGGCTCGCTCAGCAGCTCTCTGCACAACTTCCTACACTCGTTTGCATTCTGGACTCGGTCTCATCGTCACCTCAACATGCTCATTACCTTGTCCACTCTGCTTGCCAGCTCGGGCTTTAGCCTCCTCGCCGGGGCTAATCCTCTGGCCGCTCGCGGCACCTGGTCTGACTGGCATACGACTACCGGTACTGATGTAAGCCCCGCGACATGCCCGTCTCCGCCTCAACCTGTGACTCTTACCGTCACCGACACAATTCCCGGGCCACCTCCCCCACCAGTGACGGTCACAACCACACGAGACGGACCGCCTCCACCGCCGCCAGTGACGATTACAGACACCCGCCCAGGACCTCCCTCGCCACCAAACACGGTAACGTGAGTGTCCAGCAGAGGCAGGCCTGTGACCAAGATTTCGAGCTGACACAAATAATATTAGTATCTCGACATGCGGAACACCGGTACTGCCATGCACAAGAGAGTAAGTAATACAGATCGTTTGTGCCGACTTTTGATGCTGATGGGAGCAGCACTTCGACAGTTGTGGTTACAGCGACTGAGACCAGACCTGGAGGCGTATCTACCGTGTAAGTTCAGTTACGGCAGTTGTCTGAAGGTGGCTGTTGACTGTTGACGCAGAACCGTCACGGCGCCTGGAGGACCTCCCAGGTAATGCTTTTTCCTTTGGCAACTGAGCAAAGTATTGATTGTCATGCAGCACGGCGTACATCACGATTACGGTACCCGGGGGTGAGTTCTGAATCTCGTCCTAAGTGCTTTAAAATATACTAATGTATATCGCAGGACCCTCAACTGTGACTCAGACCGTCACCCGTCCAGGAGGTATGTAGTTTCCTTGCAGTTCATGGCTGAGCCAGGCTAATTCCGTGGAGGCACCGAGACCGAAACCGAGACCGAGACTGAAACCGAGTAAGTTCGCTCACCCTATACCCATATTCCTTCACAATTCTGACCGCCTGCAGAACTGTAACCTCGCGCTTACCTGGCGGCGCCACCACCGTCACCCAAGTCGTCACATCTCCAGGTGGCACCGCGACAGTAACATCTACCGTTCTTGGCGGAACGTCCACCGTCACTCGGACTGTTACCTTAACTGCACCTGGCGGGGCCACGGCAACTACTGTCACAGTCACTGCCCCAGGCGGTACCGCCACTGCCACCGTTACCAGTGTTGTCACCTCGCGGGTGCCCGGCGGCGTCACAACGGTCACCGCTCCAGGTGGAACTGTCACCATCCCAGGTGGAACTGCCACTGTGACTGTTCCTGGCGGCACTATAACTGTTCCAGGTGGTACCACAACCATCACTGCCCCGGGTGGGACTACAACAGCCACAGTCACTATTCCAGGCGGCACTGTGACTGTGCCGGGCGGCACCACAACAATAACTGCTCCAGGAGGGACTGCTACTGCTACTGTGACTGTACCTGGTGGCACTGTGACTGTTCCAGGCGGCTCCACAACTATCACCGCTCCTGGGGGAACAGCTACAGCTACAGCTACTGTGACCGTACCAGGCGGCACTGTGACAGTCCCAGCAGGCACCGCCACTACCACGGTTACCGTTTCCGGTGGTGCGACGACAATCACTGCCCCAGGAGGAACTGCCACAGCCACGATTACTGTCACAGGCGGCGGCACGACAGTCACCGCTCCGGGAGGAACCGACACTGCCACTGCCACCGTCACCAGCATCAGCGTCAGCACCGCACCCTGTGGAAGTGCCAGCGGCTGGCAAGACTCACCGGCGCCCACCACCTCCAAGAGCAGCTACCGCTGGAAGTACGCCCGACTCTGAGCCTCTTGTGGGATGCGCGAGTTAAGCAAACGTGCAATGGAGATGGTGCGACGAGGCTGGCTGATCACTCCTTTTCAGCCAGTCTTAGGATTGATTTGATTACTCCATTCGCGGCTGCGCCTCAACGAAACGTTGGAAAAAAGAGGGAGGAAGGCGAGGCAGAATTAATGACGGAAACGCTTGCTTTCATAACAGGGCATGATGACGATGACGATGACGACGACGACTCCGAAAAAACGACTATGCAGTGGAAATGAGCACAACAAAGGGGCATGTGAAGTGCTCTAAGTATATCTTCGCTTCTTTACCGCCGTCGAAATGCACATTTTGCAAAGAGACAACGAGACTTTTAGGGTTGAATGATACAGAGAACTATTTCGATCCGACGTCTTGGTGTATGCTTTTGATTGACATTCTCTTTGGTCTTTGCTTGACATTGATTCTTCATCTTGATTCTTCAACTTGATATTGATATTGATCTTAGTTTTGATCTTGACGATCCTGTGGTGTAGACCCTGTGGTCGTCTAGAAAGAAGCATCGGCATTTGAGGTTGAGCTGAATGACTTGCCTGCTTCTGCTATGATACTCTGCTAAAAATGGTTGCATTTCGGGGGACCCGGGGGTGGTCAAGCCACACTCACCGACAAGAATGGTGATGAATGCTTTCTTCGATTGCCAAACTCGTCTCTAGTTCAGGGTTGATCTCACTCCTCCACGTGAAAATAGCTCATGTCGATGGTCACAACAGGCTTTGGTATGGGTCAGGAGTCCAGGTCTTTCAAGGGGGTTTGCTTAGCCTGTTCGTGAACCCATTTCCGCTTCGCCGATTCCCTCTTCACAGCCTCAAGTTGCCGCATTTCTTCAAAGCTGTACAGGGGATTGGGCGGTGGAGGCTTGACAGGCAGGTTGTTTTGCAAGTTCTGACGGGCCAAGTCACGCTGGTCATCGCGCCAGAACAGAACCTTGATGCCAATCTCGCCGTCGTCCCCGATCCCTGCCGTGCCACCCGCAAGGACTCGCTCCTGCTGAGCCAGGAGGTAAGTCGTCAGGGTCGAGGCATTGGCTTCGCGCCATAAGTGGTATCCGTCTTTCTCCTGCCAGATCAGAATCTTGCTCTCGACCTCCTGGTCGGACGTCAGACCGACGTAGACATGTTCGAGAGCAAGGTCAGACAGTCGGTCCATAGTGATAGCCTCGGGCTGGTCAATGGTCACAACCACGTCGTTGAAGTGCTGGAACCCTGGTGGGAGATTCTTGGCTAGGCGCCAACGATTGTTGTAGACGTAGACCTCGAGAGTCAGTCCAAAGGATGCAAGTCGTCGTTGAAGCTCGGTGATGGTCTGTGCTTGAATATCGATGGTCTGCTCTTGGCGTCGGAGTAAATCTTGCTGGTCACTGATGGTCTTCTCGTGCGCTTCAGTGATTTGCTTCAAGTCGCGAACTTCCGTCGTGCCTTGAATATTAGTGTTGACATCGGTTGGCCCATTGCTTGCCTTCGCATTCTGCGGCTCTCTAGGTGAGGCTTTACTTGGCTGGAGGGGTGGTATTCGAAAGGCGGTGGCCTTGAATGCTCCAGAACGAGTTTGCACCATCTTGTCTTGGGAAATATGCTTCAGGCCGAAAGAAGAGACTTGAGCAATGTCGGGCTCTGAGACAACAAGTTTAGGTAGCCAATTAATTAACGTTGCTTCGGAGGTAGGTGGAGAGTAGAATCGGAGAAGTCAATATTTGAGTTACAGTAATGACATATAGCTACAGTGACAGGCAGATGTAGTGACAAGATGAGCCCATTTCTGAAGGCAGCTAGTGCTACATTGCCGGAGACTGCCCTCAATAGGCGCCCAAAGTGACAAAGGTCGGCTATAGCAATTGGCCACTTGCCGTGAGGCGGGTATGGATTGCCTGCAATCACGCCGCGATTAGCCACACACATCTAGTCAGTGAGGAAGATTTTCTAGAGTAGTGATAAAAACCCTCGTGGCGTAACTTGTGTAGGTTGTCGAGACCGTCTGATGCCAAGGCAGGCAAACAAGGCGTCAGGCTTGGCAAGTTTGTACCTATTTTGCCTGGCTGCCCCATCTACAAGACCCCGAACAACGTCGCCGATCGCTCGATCTCTACAATCAGACCTAAAACACCCATTCTTTGCGAGAACCGATTGAGCGTCCAGAGCGCACTGGGACGCAGCGACTGTGACGTGAACCCTGACCCTCCACCTGTGCAGGCATCCGATTTGTAGAGTTGGAAGGGTCCCAGTTCTGCAATCTAGCAGGATGCTGCCTTGCGCTGATACATCAGTCCCCGAGGTCCAGCAATGATGAAGTGGACGGATGGGTATCTCAGCTCACAAAGTCAAAGAAATTGGGAAGAAAGCCAACTTCAAGGAGTTGAGTGGGCGGAAGGCGCTCGATTAGTTTGCTTAGCTTTACTCTAATTTGGTGTGCCCCTACCTCCGCTCCTCCTCGGCAGCATGCCGAAGCACATGACCGTGAGCTGGCGATGTTGATCTTTGGCCATTCCGTCAAGTGAGCCACTTCTCGAAGTCTTCACAACTTCACATCCCTCTGCTCCACGCTATGTGCAGAATGTCCAAAAATGCAAGAGTCTCTACGTTACGTTGTAATGGGGATGGACAGATGTCAGTTCACTCGCACATAGTTTCCTACCGGCATGTCAGAACAGAGCATTGCCAACAAGGCAGACTTACCAGGGAATTGTCCTTGACGCCCATTGACTTTTCCGGTCCACCACTCGTTTTCGTTCTGAGTTCGTGTCACAATTTCAATTACGTCGCCGGTCATAAAACTCAGATCGCCCTCAGCCTGCGCTTCGTAATCGTACAGCGCGGTCACTGTTTCGACGTTCGGCGCGCCGCTGAGTCTGCTGGGCTTCGGCTTTGGTGGCGGAGGCTTTGGCTTGCCTATTGCAGAGAAGGCGGGAGAAGTTGGTGTAGATCCAGAAGAGGGAGGCGAGTAGGGAGGTGGTGGATTTGCGATACCGGCCTCGGGGTCGGCGGAAGCGGATCCAGTACGACCACCGTACTTGTACTTGTTCGCCTCAGCTTCCTTGGCCTTGAGAGCGTACTTGGACTGGTATTGTGATGTGCCGCGAGGACCCTTGACACCGCCGGTGGTCTTGAAATGAACAATGGACAGCTCTTCGGCGCGTTCCTTGACATCACCTCGCTTGGCCTCAAAGGCCTCTTCAATATCAAGGGCGAGATCGAAGTATCCGATGTTGATGCCTTGCATTTTCTCGTGTAGGGTGTAAAAGACGTTGAGTTGCATGTAGTAAAAGGACTGGAAGAGTGGCTGAATAAACTCGGACTCCAGCGCAAAGAGTTTGGGTAGCTCGTCCTTGAGAAGGTTGTTAAAATACTCGTAGTCCTGGGTTGCCTGCTCAACGTCGTTCTCCGCCTTGAAGAGGGCCTTCTCGTCTTTGAGTGTCTTGTCCTTTTTGTCTTGCAGCTTCTTGAGGGCCGCTCGGTGACGATCGTAGTCGAGCTGCTTATGATCGCGTTTGAGGTTGACCTTGCGAACGACTTTAATGACTTCGAGGAGTTGGTCGGCAGGGGCAATAACTCGCTGCTCGATCATCTCCAGCTCGGGTTGCAGGGTAGCTTGCAAATCGGCGACTATTGACTCGTACTCTTCGCATGCCTGGATGCCTTCTGGGTTACCCTCTGGTATTGTGGAGTTGGGATCTGACATGCGGCCCGATATAGGCTTGTAGATCTCGCCGATAGCTTTGGAGAACTCGATCTGGTGGGTGAGCATGCCTGCCGGTTATCAGATTATGTTTTGCGCGGTTTGGTCGCTGCACCTACCGTTGATAGCGTCAAAGTATTTCTTGGACTCATCATGCAGCTTTTTGGTCTCTTTCTCGAGTTCTTCAAACCGCCTTTCGGCGTCAATATAGACGGCATCCTTGGTAATATCGCCGATATTGAAGCGCTGTTTGAACTGCTGCGGCGCGCGCGTTATGCTCTTTCCCACGCCCTTGAAACTCATCTTGGGCAGCCGTCTTCGAGCCCCTCTGCGAGCTGTGGCTGCGAAAAGGTGCGGATGATCGGCAACGCGATAGGATGCTGGCTACGGAGTGTCACTGATACACAATGTGCGCGGGCGTCGAGAGATGAGGTGCGAGGCGAGATGCAGTTGTCAGAGGTACGGCTGAAGGATCGTGCAGTGTAATAGGCGTATTGGAGGGGGCCTTGAACGGGTGCGTGGAGGCTACAAGACCTTGCCGATGACGCAGCGCTTGGTGTGGCTGAGCTTGGCCGCCGGCGAATGTGAGTGCGAGTGCGTTTGCGCAGCCTGAGCTTGACACCGCCGAGCGGGATGATCGACTGTTGTTGGTGCCTGAATGGAAGAAGGTGACTATTGTGTGCTTTGCTGAATCTGCCACAAGACCTTAGAGGGCTTGGATCGCAAGAGAATTGTCTAATGCAAGTTGTGCATTGGGGGGTAATTCATGCGGGTAATCGGCAGCAGCGGCGTACGGTACCGCATACGGTACAGCGGCGCTGCGGGCTTCGGGGCTAACTGGTTTGGTCCCGTGGATTTTATCAGATCCGAGCATGCGTCTTCGCAGTCAGTATCGCCATCACAACTATCGACTTCTTCCATTCAACAAGCCTCGATCCTTCCATTCATCCTTCGATTCATTCCCGCAAACTCACAGAATGTCCGGTACAGCAAGCGCCGCTGTGCGGTCAGCTTCTCGCAACTGCACTCGTCGTTTCTCGTCATCAACATTTTCGCATTCATCATTGCGCCCCGCCACCTCGGCTCTCAATCGATCAACACATCAGAGGACATATGTATCGCAGTCAAAGCCAGCCCAGGCCCAAGTCAGTGATGTGGAGAGCGCCATCAAAGCAGATCAACGCAAATATGTTGAACAGAGTGGTAATATGCCTGGCAAGGTCAATCTCCCGGGCACCGGACTCTCCGGCGACACCGCCATGAGCTCTTCTGCTGGTATCCTAGGGCAAGCCACTGTTATGGATCAAGGTACTAGGCCAATCTACCTAGATGCACAAGCCACTACACCCACCGATCCTCGAGTTCTCGACGCCATGTTGCCGTTCCTCACTGGCCTGTACGGCAACCCGCATTCAAGAACCCACGCTTACGGCTGGGAGACGGAGAAAGCTGTCGACCAAGCCAGAGAACACATAGCGAACGTCATTGGAGCAGACGCTAAAGAGATCATCTTCACCAGCGGTGCGACCGAGAGTAATAACATGAGTATCAAAGGTGTGGCCAGATTCTTCGGAAGAGCTGGAAAGAAGAAGCACATTATCACAACGCAAACGGAGCACAAGTGCGTTCTCGACAGTTGCAGACATCTTCAGGACGAGGGCTACGAAGTCACTTATCTTCCCGTAAACAACAATGGTTTGATCGACCTCAAGGAACTGGAGGCTGCCATCAGACCCGAGACTTGCCTCGTCAGCATTATGACAGTCAACAACGAAATTGGTGTTATCCAGCCCATGAAAGAGATTGGACAGCTGTGCCGATCCAAAAAAGTCTACTTTCACACTGATGCCGCCCAAGCTGTCGGCAAGATCCCTATCAAAGTCAACGAATGGAACGTTGACCTCATGTCGATTTCTGGCCACAAGATCTACGGGCCTAATGGCATTGGAGCTTGCTACGTCCGGAGACGGCCGCGCGTGAGGCTCGACCCTATCATCAGCGGAGGTGGCCAGGAAAGAGGTCTTCGCAGTGGCACCCTTGCGCCGCATCTTGTGGTTGGGCTGGGAGAGGCGTGCCGCATCGCCAAAGAGGATATGGAGGTAAGTCGTTCACCCTTTCCTTGGTCTTTGAGTGATGATACGCTTCAATGCAACATGTATACCGTTCCGAGCGGCCGACTCAAGCTTCTTGTCGGTTGCTGTGACGCACAAAGCAGGGGTTCTGATACCCAACCTCGACGCTTGGCGGCTTCCGTTGTACCTGCTTGAACAAATGCTAACAGCAGCCTAGTATGATTCCCAATATATCAACCGACTTTCGAAACGCCTTCTGGACGGTCTTCTCTCGATGGAACACACATCCCTCAATGGCGATCCGACACGCCATTACCCGGGCTGCGTCAACGTCTCGTTCGCCTACGTCGAGGGCGAATCCCTCCTCATGGCACTCAAGGACATTGCTCTGTCCTCGGGCAGCGCGTGTACCTCTGCCTCGCTAGAGCCCAGCTACGTCTTGCGCGCGCTTGGCAACAGCGACGAGAGCGCCCACAGCAGTATCCGATTCGGTATCGGCCGATTCACGACCGAGGCCGAGATCGATTACGTGCTCAAGGCGGTCAAGGAGCGAGTCACCTTCCTGCGCGAGCTGTCCCCGCTGTGGGAGCTTGTGCAAGAGGGAATCGACCTCAATACCATTGAATGGAGCCAGCACTGATGGAATCAACAGCAGCGTGGCTTGCCTGTGATATATAGTTGGCGAACATGTACTACTCTAGCAGCGAACGTCAAGTATGGAATTCGGCTGAGCTTGGCCATTCATTCTGTCTTCTGCACGCCGTTGGCCCGTTGCCCCATTCAATCTCTCAAAGTCCGATTCCTTCATCCTCCCATGGCCCATGCTCGATGAACGCATCCAGCCGTCGAGCGTCGAAGCTTCCCCCCTTCCTCATTGTGCACCTTACATGACGCTCATAGTTGCCTTCGCGGAACCCGTGGTAGCGGCGGCCGTTTTCATACTGCTGGTTGAGCACGGTGGAGCTCAGAGAGGCAGTGCTACTGGAGGTGTCGCTGCCGATAGCGGAATTGGCGTCGTCCAAATGTTACCTGAGCGCAGTGAAAGGCTCTGGTTCTCTCATCTCACAGACACTTTCTGAAGAACATCAGAGGCATGCCTTTGCGTGACAGTGAAGGTACGGTGGTATGGTCTACAGGTTGCCATCCGCTGGGACGAGGCGGTCCATTATCCCGGGCGGGGGGAAAGACTCCAGGGGCCTCTACAAGCGAGGCAGTGTCTGCGGTTTTGTTGGATTCGCCAGGTACATGTCAGGACGTGCCTGGGCCGAGTAGTGTTGGTGCTTTTGCTTAATTTGACTTCGGCAAGCAGCAAGATGCCTCCATTATGCATCAAGAATACCAATTTCCATGCACGGGCATATCGCGAGTCCTGGGCACCACTCGTTCCCCTCTCCGCGTACAATGTGCTAGCTACTTGTCGCCTGCTCCGAAGCGAGCGGGAAGACGGACCGCCCCCAAGGAACAGGGAACATGAGGGGCCGACTCAACGACACCCCACCACGATCTGGTGCAACCAAACTTGGATAGGCTCCATGGCTGATATAGCCAGACGTTGACTTTGGAGAGATCCTCCTGCTGGTCGGCCGAGACAACCGAATTGCTAGCGACGATGGCATTAACAGATCTGATACCATGGTCATTGCTACCAACACTAACGGTCCTGGCCACCGCGTGGTTTGTATATATCCTCGCTTACCGCCTCTACCTTCACCCGCTAGCCAAAGTTCCCGGCCCCAAGTTGGCGGCAGTGACCCATCTCTACGAATTCTATTATGATGGCTTGAAGAAGGGCAAGTTCATTTTCAAGGTGGACGAGCTGCACGAACGATATGGTAAGCAACGCCCAATGCATATACTCTGAGCCATGCCTTATCAGGTTTCAGGGCCCGTCGTGCGTATTAATCCACGAGAAGTCCATATCTCCGACCCGGACTTCTTCGATGAGCTATATAGCGGCTCCAGGAAGCTGAACAAAGACTGGTACTACTATCGCTTCGTCGGAACATTGGATTCCTCCTTTGGAAGCACTTCGTTTGCTGTGCACCGTCAGCGAAGGAAAGCTTTCAACCGATTCTTCTCTCCTGCCGCCCTGCAGAACCTCGAAACCAGTGTCTGCAACTGTGTCGTCCGGCTGTGTGAGCGGCTTGAGGCGTTTCGGGGCACGGGTAAGCCGGTGATACTAGGGACTTGCTTCCGCGCCCTTGCCACAGACGTGATCAGCCAGTATGCCTTGCCACAAGGCTTTGACCTGATCAATTCGAAGGATTTTGGCGAGGACTACAACAACGTCAACCGCAAGTTCTCGGGTCTCACTTCATACAACCGCCATTTCCCCTTCATCCTGCCGACGGTCATGGCGACGCCCACATGGCTGCTGCGGATGACGGCTTCCCCGGGGATGCTGCAGATGCTTGATTTTCAAGGCGTGAGTGCTCTTTCATTTCCTCTTTCGACAATCGCTGATGATTATTCCAGCACAACATAGCACAGTCTAAAGCCATTGCCGAGTCCTCCAAGGTCAAGGCGAGCGACGATTCGGTCCTCCACGGCATCTGCAATTCCGACCTACCTGCCTCAGACAAGACTGCCACCAGGATCTACCAAGAAGCTGTCACGCTTGTAGGAGCTGGCTCTGAGACTACTGGCAGTGGTCTCGAGCACGTGGTGTACCACGTACTGGCCAACCCAGCGATATACACGCGCCTTCGCAACGAGATCGCCTCAGCGGCCTCTCAAGGCGACCTGACTTCGTACGAGACGCTGCGGCAGCTACCGTATCTAGACGCCGTCATTAAAGAAGGCCTGCGATTAGGCAACGAAGTCTGCGGCCGTCTCGCGCGCTTCGACCCCACCGACGCCATTCGTTACGGCAGCTACGCCTTTGCGCCGGGGGTGGTTGTCAGCATGAGCCCACGCGACATGCATCTCGATGGCCGTGTGCACGACGCACCACACACGTTCGACCCGCAGCGGTGGCTCGATCCAGCCCGACGAGAACGCAGCGAGCGTTTCTTCGCCCCCTTTGGCCGTGGCTCGCGGTCATGCGTTGGGCGTGATTTGGCGATGCTGGAGATGAAGATGATGATTGCTTATCTTTTGCAGCGGTTTGAGCTGAAGATCTTTGACACCCAGTATGCGGACGTCAGAATGGAGCACGATTTCTTCTCACCGTTTCATCGTGATAATAGTAAGGGGCTGCAGGCGACGTTAAGCTAGGGAGGTAAAAGGGAGTGGTCTATGGAGGCTGTCGAATACAGAAGAGAGGCCGGCTTCCCACTCACAGGACTGACAGTCGTTGTAAGAGGCGCAAGCGAGTCTGTTGAGGACTTGCGAGGATCCCTCGTGGAAGAAGGGCAACGTCCAGAGACACAAACCAACGATAGTGTAGTACGACAATGACGATCCTGACTGCGAGCATCGACTTCCTGTTTTCACAGCCTCTTCCAAACGAATCCGCCAAATCCTACAGCCCAATTTCGGCGTAGATAGTCACTGTCCCCGCTCCGCTGCACTCTGCACCCCCGCAAGGCGTACATCTTCCTCCTACCCGTTGACTCGTCCGCACCGCAACACGCTCGGCATACGGCACAGTGGCCATACAGACCAGAAAGGGACAAGTGCCTTAGCAACCTGAACTTGGCGGCTGCATTGTTTTCCACCCGGAGACTTCTTCAGGATACGCGGACACGATACGAGCGGTGGAGATGTTCCCAGGGGGTTGTGCACTGCCACGTTGACCACCATCACCACCACCATGGACCCTCCGCGGGTGCCAGCCGCGCCGTACCGCGCTGTGCTCAAACAAATGCACTCCTAATTCCTCGTTTCGTCCCCTTCATAACCCGCCAAGGTCGTGATGCTCGCCGATATCAGCCCTTGGCTCGCGGTATAACACCCAAGTTCAAGGCCCCCATGCCCAGCAATCTCATTGATCTTCTGGCTGGCACACGTCACAGCCCTCAACTTGTCCAGACGTTTCGCAGCTCTCCTGCAGAATGTCATTGAGATCTTCCTCCAGCACTCAAGCGCTTCGCCTGCTATTTTCAGACAAGATGGTCTCAAGGCTGAACGAAGCGCTCGTTGCTGCTGGCAGACAACTGGACAGCAGCATACCGACCCCTTCTTTTGGTCGTGAACATTACCTCTTTAAGACAGAGGGTGGATACCGTTGTCTTGACTCAGCCTCCGAAGTTATCTCGCTAGCAACGATGAACCCACCCCCCTGACAGTCAAAACAGGATGCGCAGGCCATGAGGCGTCGACGTCTCGGAGGCCAGGGTGAGGTACAAGTCCGAGGTCAAATACATATACGCACACACGGTCCGCCTTGAAAACCCATTCCCCCCAAAGCCCTTGAAATCAACAAACCCAGACACACGTCTACCGCCACCATGTCCGACGTCGACACCTGCAGCGAAGTCAGCGACCGCTGCCCCGTCAGCGAAAGCCTGTACGGCTACCGGCCCAACCTCCCCGTCAACGCCACGCTCGGCGTTGGCTTCGCCATCTTCGCGGTCCTGCAGCTCGCCTCGCTCTGCTGCTTCCGCGTGCGCACCTGGTCCTTCAGCATCACGCTCGCCATCGGCACCATACTCGAAGTCCTCGGGTACGGGGGGCGCGTCATCATGAACGACAATCCCTTTAGCACGGTGGGCGTGTCGGCGCAGCTGATCGCGCTCATCGTGGCGCCCTCGTTTGTCGCCGCCGCCATCTCCGTCACCTTCAAGCACATCATCGTCTACTGCGGCGCGCAGTACTCGTGGATCCGCCCGCGGTTTATTCCCTGGGTCATGATCGGGACGGACTTCTTGGGTATTGTCATCCAGTTCCTCGGCGCGTCAATGCTGGCGATGGAGGTCACCAAGGACGAGCCGGACCCGGATAAGGTTGACCTGGGCAATAATGTCATCATCTTTGGTGTCGTCTTCCAGGCCGTCATCATGTGAGTTTCCTTCCCCCAACCCCCCTCTTGCTCTTCGCGCCGAATCAGACACCTCTACCCCCCCTCACCCCAGATCAATCCTTTCAACAACATGATGACTTGGTCCCCCTTCTGCAATCAACCCATCCTCACCCTCCGTCCAACATCACAACACTGAACCAACCCCGACTAACCAACTGTCCAGGGCACTCTGCGGTTCCTACATGCTCCACTTCTGGCACCGCATCCGCCGTGCCCACCACCACTCCTCCCCCTCCTCTACCTCTACCACCCGCATATCCAGCAGCAGCACCCCGCACCTCGCCCGCAAATTCCGCACCTTCCTCTACGCCCTCAGCGCCTCCTTCCTCGCCATCCTCATCCGCTGCATCTACCGCTGCGTCGAGATGATCTCGGGTTGGGGATCGGAGCTTATGCGCGAAGAAGTCGCGTTCTTGGTGCTTGATGGCGCTATGGTTTTCGTGGCGGTGGTGCTGTTGACGGTGTGGCAGCCTGGGGTGTGGTTCGAGGGGATGATGCGGAAGGGGAAGAAGGGGGCAAGAGATGGGAAGCGAGAGGAAGTAGGGGGGGAGGAGGAGGGCATGGAGGTGCCGCTGTATCAACAACCGCAACAACAGCAGCCGCCGCCGCGGTATAACCCGCAGCAGGCGTATCAGGGGGGCCAGTGGTCGGGTGTGGCGCCGGCGTCGGCGTCGGCTCCGGGCGAGGGAGAGGGGGAGGCCCAGGCGTATTATGACCCGCCAGTAGTGCAGCGGCTGGGTCAGGGCGGCTATTCGAGGGTTTGATCATGACACCCTTACTATATACTGTATAGATTATCTCCTCTACACCCAAGGGGAGGGGGAAGAGCGCGGCGTCAATCAGTCAGGTCTGCGTTCGGGGAGGGTAAGGAAGAATGAATCAAGAGAGAGGGGGGGGGGTAGCCATGCCCGGAACCCCCCTTCCTCCCTACTTCACGGTCGAAATGCATCATGAGCCTCCAAAGTCATTCCTCAGATAATCGTAGGCACAGACTTTTGTGTTTTCGGCAAGAGTCCATTTCTCCGGCACCCGTCGCGTCTCTTCTCAACCCCCTACCCGCGATAACGCCAATATGGACCACCCTTCTTAGGCACGACAGCACAGCAGCACACAAGCTCAACTCCAACACTCTGCCTACGGACTCAGCGGCCGTTCTCAAAGGCTAATACCAACTAGTATGGACTGGTCAAACTACCAACGCACCCACCACCCGCGGTTAAGCCGCAGATACATGGCCTCCTCGCGCCAGAGCAGGGGGTTTACAGCTGCCGGTTGAAGAGTCGCTGCTGTCGCTGTACTCGGCGCGGCCTCACCCTCACGCTCGTCTGTATCTTCAGCTTCATTGTTGGGACATAATGCCAGCTCATGGTCGTTGTCATGCCCATGATCGCCATTGGCGTCAATGTCCCAGAGCACGACGCCGCTGTCATGCTGGTCGTCGGCAACAGCAACGGGTTCCGAAGTGCTTTCAGCACCAGCACCAGCGGCAGCGGTAGCATCCTCAACTACTGCGTCACGGCTCTGACTCTCGTGCCGCTTGGTGCTTCTCCCGGTCACGGCACTTTCCACGCCTCTTTCATGTTCATCCCGTTTCCGCTTGCCACTCCCGCCCGAAATATCGTCTACAGCAGGAGCTGCTGCTGCTGCCGCCGCCTCCGCCTCCGTCCGCACCCTTGGCTTGACCACCTCTCCATCCAGTCCCCTCATCCCTTCAAATCCCCACGCCGGATCAAAGCACACCAAAACTAGCTGCCGCTCTCCCCCCGTCCCGGGCGATCCAATGGCATAGACCAGGCCCTCCTCGCCGAGCATGCCTTCAACCTGCCCCGCCTTCCCACCCGGACACATCAGGTCTGCAATCTCATCAGGCAGCGGCGGCTTGGGGTCCTCCCCCTCCCTTACCTCCTCCTCGTCTCTCGGCCATAGATGAATCTCACTGTCGTGATAGCTTCGTTCCGAATCGAGAATGTCCAGCCCTGTCTTGCGATCGCGCACCTTGGGACGAAGCATGACGTGCGATTCCAGATTGGCATTGTGGGAGTCGGCAGCCGCAAGTGGCGACTTTTCGAGACGGCTCACAACTCTCAATCTGAGACGCTCTTTGGTCCGCCAGCCGTCTCCGGGCACATCGTCGACCACGAGCTCGACGCTGCAGCCACGGTTGAGGTCGTAGGCGCCGAACTTGGTCTTGGCGCGGATGTAGTCCTTGGTGGCACTAACGCATTGGTCTTTGCCTTTTCCTTTGCTGAGTGCATCGCCGTCGCTATCTCCATCTAGGGTATTGGTCGTGGGCGCACGCTCGCAGTGCGCGTAGCGCTGGGGTCGATAGCTGTCGCGGTCCTCGTAGCGGGTGAAGATCTCATCGCCGTCGTCGGCCTTGCCATGCTCGTCCGCGTGCACGAGCGTGCTGAGGCGGTCGTCCGGGTTGATGGATACATTGTCAGCCCAGACGCCGTGAGCGGCCGCTTCCCAGGGCACGCCGTACCAGGTACGTGTCCAGCCATCAGCACCCTCGAGGAACTCCTTGCGGCCTTCAACGAGCACTAGGCCGCCAGTCGTCTCGTCAACGGAGAATTTGAGTTCGGTCCAAGTGTCGTTAATGGGACCCTCGTGGTCTTGGCGACGGAAAATGGTTTTGATGCTGAGATCCGGATTCGGGTCACTGATGCCGAAGGCAATGTAGCGATAGTACGAGGTCCAATTGACCTCCTCGGCTTCGTGTCCGGTTTGGTTTGTCAGCGCGATGAAGTAGCCGGCATGGATGGTGAAGGCGACAGTGGACGATGGGTCGAGGCCGGAGATGCGGGAAAGCTGCAACGGGAATGGAGTCGTGGGCTGACAGCTGCAGGAGGTCGTTGTGCCTGAAGTTCTCGCGAGACTGAAGCCTTGCACGAGCCATTCAGGGTAACCGGAGCTTGATGATGCGGACTGTGTGCCGTAGAAGAGGTGTTCGGGACCCAGGAGGGCGAAGAGCTTGTTGGTGCTGCGGAGTCGTTCAATGAGAAGGCACCGTTGGGGGACGTCGCCAGATGTGACGTTAAGAACAAAGAGGTAGTCGCCGGAGTTGAAGCAGGCGAGAACTGCAAGGAGGTTGTTATCAAAGGCGAGGATCGAGGTGCTGTAGGGTAGCAGAGAGTTGGCACGCTCGCCAGCACCAGGGAGCTTGCTGGCGAGGAAGCGATTACTGATGACTCTCTCGGTGGTACTGGGATTGGAGAGGTCCAAAAGGCGGATATCATGGGTGGTGGAGTAGCAAAGGATGCTGTCAGCATAGACGAAGCTGGTGGCATTGGCTATGTGGCAAACGGAGTATGGTCGGGCCATTCTCAGGGCCTCTCGTCGCCAGTAGATGCGGGAGAGTTGTTTCCGGGAATGGAATCCTGCCGCTAAAGCTTGCTTGCCTGCCAGAGAATGGCTTAGGTTCGACTAGTTAACATCAGCACGACTGTTTGCCAGACGATGCCTGATTCACTGACCTTTATGACCTTTCTGGCGGTGCCATGATCCTCGAGGTGGTTGGCGAAGTCCTTGCTGGCGATTCGGAGGTGGGCATAGTCTCGGATGCCAAGGTAGAGGGCTGTCTGGTGCACCACATCGTTGGGCAACTGGGAGAGGCATGTTGGCATCGCAAAGCATGATCACCAAGGCTGCTGATGGCAACGATGAGACTGTATCGAGCTATCAGACATAAGCCAATGAGCTGCAAGGTGTATTTTGACACCATGCACGCTAGGAGCGACGCAGCATTGCGTCTTAAAGGGAATGAGGCTCTGCTACGGTGTGGGACTTTCGCCGCGGCGGATTGCGGGGTCGTGGTGAAACCATCAGATTTCCCATCAGGCTGAGAACTGTTACACGATGTGGCGTGTGTCGGCGCAAGATGGAGGCTTAGACTGCACCATCTCGCAGCAATAGTTGGTCACCGGATGGATCGCAAGGTCAGGCTGATTTGAAGACGGCACACCCTTGGATCGCTCTGGCCATCCGAAGGGCGTGTGACGGACGCCCGACCGCGGAGCGTCATGGTGCGGCAGACCCTCATCATGGTCGATGGGTGGAGGACGATGTAACTTGAAAGGGAGAGAGAAGAGAGGTGTGGTGCTGACCTGAGCTGACCGGAGCTTGTTGATTGGAGGATCGGGCACACTTGGCAAGAATGTCTCCACCGCAATGCCGCAGAGCCTCAACACCCGTCAACGGGGCACTGCTGTTGTCCGGTACAGGGCGTGCCCCAGCCTCATTCAGTATTTTCTTTTTATCTTCTTATATTTCTTTTTCTCTTCTTCTCTTACCGTGCTCGATCGTGTCCTCAGACATGCAACAGCTTGACTTTGGGCTTCAGACTGGTGGCCCATGGGTATATGACACCATATCCTTTTGAGAGCCGCGACCAGACTGTCTCTGGCAAGGTGGTGGCTTGTGGGGCTCCACTGCTGAGAGACTTTCTCTCTGAGAGCAAAGAATACTTTCGTAGTTGGACAGCGTCTCTGCTGCAGACTCGAGCACCACTTCACCGGACGCCAGTCGAGCCATCTGGTGTGGATCGCATGGATTCCTTTATGCTTGATGCATCCCCGTTGGACGCTTCGTGGTGGTAAGGCTTCGTAGCGCTCTGTTGGCGTGGGAGGTGCTTGATGAAAGGAAAAACAACGTCACATGAGCCTAACGCAGGTCAAATCACAAAGGCAAGAGCTCCGGGCGTGCTGGCAGTCGCCATGTTTCTTCTCCCGTCTTCTTACTCTGGTGTGCAGATGGCGTCGAGATCGGGCGTAGGACCAAGGCGGGGATGTAGAATCTTATACTCCCAATCGCAGGTATCTGAGAATGAGGCCGACGGGTGAACCAATGGCGACTCTTGTGGGCGGCGCCTGATTATATACATCATAGCCATGTCTGAGGTCCCACGTATCAGAGGACACCGAATCTGCATCACGGGCGGAGGCGAGCGGTTGTGGAAGCATACTAGCGATCAGTCTGGCGCACGTGGGTACAAGTCAGAAAGGCAATTGTACTGGTCAGATTGTCTTAGCCGCACGAAACCTGGTTAGCCTGCGTATATACATGTCCCGATTCCCAAAGCCGATATGCGAGTGTACACGTGATGGCTCGAGCATGACCCGATCACTGCGCCTTCAACTTCTCGGTCAGTTCGGGCACTTTCTCGAACAAGTCGCCCACCAATCCCACATCTGCCACCTGGAAGATGGGGGCATCGGCATCCTTGTTGATGCAAGCAATAACTTTGCTGTCCTTCATACCAGCCAAATGCTGGATAGCACCGGAAATGCCAGCACACAGATACAGCTGCGGGGCCACGTTCTTGCCGGTCTGGCCCACCTGGAGTGAGTTGTCGGCAAAGCCACTGTCCACGGCGGCACGTGAAGCGCCAATAGCCGCACCTAGAGCGTCGGCCAGAGGCGGCATCAGACGATCAAACTCTTCCTTAGACTTTAGGCCACGGCCGCCCGACACAACCTTGGCTGCCGTTGCTAATTCGGGGCGGTCGGATTTGGTCAGGTTTTCCGACACCCATGAGGTCGGTTGCTCAGCCTTGGGGTCAGTGCCCTCTTCAATCGAGGCAGAACCGCCCTCGACTGCCGCGGGAGGGAAAGACGTTTGCCGCACCGTGAGCAGCTTTAATGAATCTGACGACTGGACGGTGAGGATGGCGTTGCCGGCATAAATTGGTCGAACAAAGGCTGTGTCATGTTAGCTGGTTCCGCGAAGGAGGATAAGCGTCGCGTACTGTCCTCACTCTCCACCGACATGACGTCGGAGATCTGCTGTACATCGAGCAAGGCCGCAACCCGCGGAAGCAGATTCTTGCCAAAGGCGCTGTGGCCGACGATGACATGAGTGTAGCCGCCCTTCTTGATGTTCTCGACGAGTAGAGGCGCCCAGTTCTCGGCCAAACCGCGCTGGTAGGCTTCGTTTTCCACCATTATGACCTTTTCGAGTCCATCGACCTTGGCAGCTTCTTCGGCCACGCCCTTGACATTCTTGCCAGCTATGAAGCCATGAACGCTGCCGCCGATCTTCTTACCAGCAGTGACGGCGCCCAAAGAGCTTGTGTTGAGGGCGCCTTCGCGCTGCTCGAGGATGGCGAGGGTGGAGGCGAGCCGCGCGAGGGCTGCGGATTGGAGGGGCGATCGAGCTGCGATTGACGACGGCAGGAACTGGGTGCGCATACCCCGCAGGGCTGTTGGTCGTGCTAGTGAGAACATCTTGTCGCATCCACCACCGCCTGACGCCCTGGACAAGTAAGCGGAGAGAGGAGGGTTGATGTCGAAGCTCGCAGTTCAGCACGAAATCATGTCGGCGAGATCGGACCTCGACGATGATGCGTGCCCCTACAACATCCGAGGTCTTGGCGTCGGCTATCTTCGCGCAGAGTCAAGTCAAACGTTCACCACTTCAACTGCGAGTCTCCTTCAGGCTGATCCCATCTTCGTCCACCCGCGAATATCATCAACTGGCGACTCAAGTCAATTCTGCCCTCCTTTTGAAGCTCAGATGTGGTCTTCAAGCCATGCTAACGCACTGTCCAAGTCACCTTCGCACAATCTCAAGTCGGCCAGCACCGGAAGGCTACAGCACTTCACGGTACATCATGGTAAGTATAGTGCATCGACTACGGTGAGTCAAGAAACCATTCTTGGTCCTTCTTCCTCCCCAGTGAAGGGTATAACGGTAGGGCTGCTGGTGACAGCGCAGGCAGCCACAGCCTTGCTATATCCTACATGCCCGCCATCTCTTGAAGCCTCGCTCTATTGCTACCAAGCAATCTAGCTGCTCGAAGGTTCTCCGCCTTCACCATCAAGCATCCGCAAGCGATGGATTTGGTTGCTTGTTGAACGACATGCCTGACATGCTGGAAGAGATATCCCTCCGTTATATCTACCTGTCATTATTCACCTCCTGGTTGGACATCTTTGTCCATATTCGATCTTCGACCCCGGACCTTGTTGTGTTCGATGTCTCTGGCCGCCTGGATGAAGACGGAGAAAACGCTTGGTGGGAGTTTGATGCATCCAAACACTCGGTGAAGACTATCCTGTATTCGCGGTTGGTAGATTATCTCACTAGGAAGACTGACACAATGCCTGTCCGAACGGTGGATGAAGGAGGTGACGAGGCAGAATGGAAGCGAAATTCCGATGAATCTATGTCTTGGGGATGTTATGACGAGGCGACGTAGTAGCTGCGTGGAGCAACCTTGCATCTCCAGTCCAACGACTTACGCTCGAGAGACTTCTGTAATCACTTGAACGAAAATAGCTCTTGACAATCCTCCGTACCCCACGGTGCGGATCGCAGCGGCGGTACATAGGGCTTGAACGGGTCTAGCGTGCCAGGAACAAGAAGTCCCTTTGCGATACCTTTCTCTCTTCTTCTCTGCTACCCGCACCGGCGACATCATAGTTGTCGCATCACTTAGTGCGCATGCTCAGCGTCATTACGAGCTATACTGAGAGTGTAATTGCACCATACCCGATGTCGGTTGTGCCTTTGCGATCATTACGGGCATGGCTCCCCAAATAGCCGCCACTAACTGCTTCGGCACCCCAATGATGAAAGGTATCTGTATCTGAGTTGCCTGGAACGAGGACCGATACAGTCAATACGAAGTACCCCCTGCGCCTCTCTGATTGATATGGCATGTAGTGGCCTAAGTAGTTCACTAGTAACAACAGTTTCGACGCAAAATACATATATATTAGACTACTGACCAACACTGAACAACGACACCTCAAACAGTCGCAACTAGCCTAGCCACGATATACCTCAGGATGAGAATCACTCTTGCAAGCGTACTGACTACCCTTTCACTTACCCTCGCGAACACCTTCCAGCCCACCTCCGAATGCCCCCTTCTCGGACCCAGCTTCTCCTCCGACTTCGACCTCACCAAGACCGATGCATTCTCCGAAGCCGTCGCCGCCTTTCCAGAAGTCATCGAAGCACTATTTGAGACAGGCAGCGCCAATGCCAGCACATCGTCTTTTGTCATCGACGTCTACTCCGCCGTAACCAATACCTCCATCTACAGCTACTCCCACGAGGCTACAGCGCCAGCCTTGAATGAATCCTTTCCATCAGAGCTGAACGACGAAACCATCTTCCGCATTGGCAGCGTCTCCAAGCTCTATACTGTATACGCCATTCTCGCCCATGCAGGAAGCCTGGAGGTGTTCAACCACCCCATCACGCAATACCTCCCCGAGCTAGCCGGCAACGCTGGCAAAGACCCCCTGAACCGGATCGTTTGGGAGGATGTAACTGTTGGTGCACTTGCCTCTCACCAGGCCGGCGTCGGGGAGTTCCCACTGAACTACCTCGGCTGTTTCTACACCGGTGAGCCCTGCGACACGGACAAGTTCCTAGACTGGATGCGCGACCGCAAGCGCGCAAGCCAACCCATCTCCCAATCCTCCCTCTACGCAGATGGCGGCTTCGGCATCCTCGGCCTCGCACTGGCGCGCATGACCAACCAGACCTACAACGACGCGCTGCAAACCCTCCTCGCCGCGCCCCTGCACCTCAACCACACGGGCTCCTTGATCCCCACGGACCCCGACGTTAACGGTATCATCATCCCCAACTGGGAAACCGGCGCCTCCGCCTGGGGTCACGACAACCAAGTCATCGCCCCCTCCGGCGGCCTATACTCCAACCTCGCCGACTTGCGCGCCACGGGCCTCTCCATTCTACACTCCCACCTCCTCTCACCACACGACACCCGCGCCTGGCTGAAGCCGCACGCCCACACCGCCTCACTGACCACCAGCGCGGGCGCCCCCTGGGAGATCAACCGCCTGACCCTCCCCGTATCCGCCGCAAACGCAACAAACACGACGACGCGCTACCGCCTCTCCGACCTCTACACCAAAGCCGGCGGCCAGCCAGGCTACACGGCCGTCTTCATGCTCTCGCCCGACCACCAGCTCGGCCTCTCCGTGCTCGTCGCAGGCACATCCGCCACCACCGACCGCTGGACGCTGCGCGCCGCGGCGGCCGAAACCTTCGTCACGGCAGCCGAGCACGCGGCGATGGAGAACGCGCGAAGCCAGTTCGCCGGCGTCTTTGTTGACGACGAGGCGCACGACGGGTCGAACGTCACGCTGACGGTCGAGGAGGGCCGGCCTGGGTTGGGCATAAAGTCGCTGTACGTCGACGGCGTGGACTCCCTAGCAAACATCTCCTCGCCATACGCGCCGCTTCCGGAGGGGGTGGGCGTCGTGGCGCGCCTGTACCCGACGGGGTTGGAGGAGCGACTGGCCGAAGACGGTAGCGTAAGGGCCAAGTACCGCGCTGTGGCTGAAGTGACGCCGTTCCCACCGGAAGCGAGGGCGAGGATTGAGGGCGGGAAGGGCCTGTTCGACGATGGATGCGTGTCGTGGCTCAACACAGCCTTTTGGGAGACGGAGGATGGGCAGGTCCTGGATGAATTCGTGCTGCAGAGTGATGGGAAGGGGAGGCTGGTGAGCGTGAGGAGCGGGAGTGCGGATGGGATGATGGTGAGGAGTGGGTAGTCAAACCTCTTGTCTTCTTTCGCCACGTATATTCTACAGAGAAAATGCGTGCAGTGTTTAATATACAGTTTTCCACAGAGTCTTCTAATGTATCAGATAGTCAGAGCTGTTGTAGTTAGTCGACACCTCTCCGTGACAGACAGACAGTTGAGGGTTGACTCTTTAGATTTCAGACTTCAGACTTCAGCCTACCCAGGTTCCAAACAAGTCCCTCAAGCGCCAACAACGAGTCGATGCTGTAGACTGTAGCCTGTAGCCTACCTACCTACCTACCTCGTACCTACAACGAGTAAAAGATATCTCCCGTCTCAACCACGGTCCACAAGCCTTCCCAGTTTTGGCCATTATTCTCAGCCTCTCTACGGTCTTACCACTAACTCGAGTCTTAATCAAAGATAAGCCAAATGAAATCTTAGGGGGAATGCATGCTCATTAAGGGGGTGCATGCATGCACTGATGCAGTAATCAAAGCTGAATTCCCAATCTCTGCATCTCTGCAAGCCGACTCGCCCTGCAGATCTCTCTCAAGTGAGCCCTTCAACCTCTTCCATCAAGGACCAATCTCTCGAAACGGGAGGACGTCGAGAGAGGCAAAAAGGCCGTACGTAGTTCGCCCCGTAAAAGCCACAGATTTCCAGACTCCCCACCCACGTTGCGCGCGCGTGCACACACACACACACACACACTGCCAGGCTTTCAATAGTCGCGAATCACATATCGAGAAGTTTTCGTTCTCTCACCGCCACAACTTATAAGAGATGTAGCTGGGTTTGTGGACTGGAACTCATCTACAGGTCACAGATGATGCTTCAGCAGAGCTTGACTGCCGCTGCAGAACTAGTTCAGAAAGACCATGACTTCGACGTCAAGGAAATACTAAATGGGACTCAACACGGCAGCAGCATTGTCGTTTATTGGATATCAAGCCAACTTCCATTTGACCTCAAGCCTGGGTAGATGTGGGATCTCGCATAGCAGCGCAGGCCTTCAAGCTAGCCTCGCTTCGATCTGAATCTCAATCTGAATCTCATTCCCAATTTGAACATTTCGCATAGGAGCCCTTCAGTCGAAATCTGGTAGTCTCCCAGCCTTTCCATGTCTGGTGTGACGCGACAACTCTGTCTGTGTGTGCATCACAATATCGTCCACGTCTCATACTTGCTGAGTAAACAGCTAGTCATGTCGGACCTGTACACATCCACACTATGCGTCCTGCCAGGAACACATTCATTGAACCTGACGAACGAATCCTTCAATTTCCGTCAGTCCCTCAATCCGATGATTCACTTTACTCCGACGCTTGCCTCAATCCAAATCATCCCCTCAATAATAACCATCCCACTCAAAGCGCATATTCACCGACGATCGCAAGCTCGACTCCCCGGAGCCATCGACCGGGTCTGACACCACCGGGTGCCCATTAGAAGCAACTGTGTGGACGACTGGAGCGCGGCTCAAGGCGATCAAGGCCGAGACAGCGGCAAACTCATCACTACTGATGGAGGTTGCCTGCTCGTTGTCGTCGAGAATGTCAGCGTAGCCAGCACGGGCGTACTGGCGGTCCAGAGCCATGCTCACGACAGCGCTGCGGCAGGTTTCTAGCTGCTGTTCGAGGGTGAGGATCTTAGCCTGGGCATCAGCGTCCAGGTCGAGATTGGCGAGTCTCGCCTCAAGGACAGAGATCTTCTTCTCCTGGGCCGCATTCTTCTTCTTGAGTTCTTCATTCTCGGCCTGGCTCTTCTTTTGCTCCTCGGTGAGAGTCATGATCTGACCGGCGAACTTCCGAGCGCGTTCGATGCTGGCGTCGTAGTCATCAAGCTTGGCCTTCATGAGATCGTGGTCGTCCATGTTCATCTTCTTGCCATCCACCACAACCTTGGTCTCTCGGCTCTCCGTCCGGCCCATGTAGTCAGCGTCCGTCTTGCCGTCGGCGCGCTTGCCTTTGTGGCCACGCTTGCCGATGATGAGACCATTCGGCAGGGAGACATTGTCGGACTGAAGGAATCGACGGCGTCCGAGTAGGTAATCTTCGGTATCTTCGGCGAGAGGGTCGTGCTCATCTAGAATGAGAACCTGAATGCGTGGAAGGACGCCTTGAACGTGGCCAGTCTTTGCATCTTCAATCCATCTTCTGAAGACTTCGGTAGAGCTACGGCCGAGATTGTCCCAGATCTCATCATCTTGCTTGGTGCCTTTACCTTGGGTGTCGACAATGTCCATCAACTTCTCGACACGATAAGACAGAATCTTAGCCTTTCCCTTGAAGCCTTGAGCTACGATCTCGTTACCGAAGTCGGCAGCAAGAGCGGCTCGGCATTTGGCGATCGTGTCGACTTCCGAAATAGGATACTTCTTGGCCAGTGTCAGGTCCTTGGGTGGGTAGCCCGTAGCTACTGAAAGTCGAACGTGAACGTCGTTGAAGCTTGAAATGTGCCAGCCGGAAGCACCAGCTGTAGCGCCCTTGCGCGCATCAGCACGGAGCTTCTTGCTCGCAGGGCGTGACGCTGGTGAGATTGAGCTGCCGTCAATCCCGCACGCCTTCTGCGAAGACTTGCGCTTGTTGTCAGCGGGAGCCCGTGAGACTTCTTCGGAATCCTCTTGACTGTGACCGCCGTTGTCCTCTCCAACGTCTGTATCATGGCTAGCAACAGCAGTCACACGTGTATTGCGAGACTTGCGAGAAGCAAGACGAGTTCGACGAGTCTTGACAGGGTTCGCGACAGCGACGTTGAATTCGCTCCCCGAATCATCATCGATTGCAGGGCCTTTGTCGTTGCGTAGTTCGTGTCCGGGCTGATCATCTGCACCATAGTATTCATCAGTGCTAGCTTCATCGGTGTCGCGGTCAACAGGACGAGCGACCTTCTTCGAATCCGATTCGCCATAGTCCTCATTGATGTTGGCATTGTCTTGCTCAGGAGCTTGCGCAATATAGCCTGATTGTGGAGGGCTAGTCGACTCAGAGGGAGAGGTAATGGGTGAAATCGTGGGGCGTTCGGGTGTGGATGGGTTGTGAGGAATGGTGGAGGGGCCGCGTGGCTTGTAGTATGGCTTCGTGCGTCGAGGGACCCTGGCGGGCTGATGATCAATTTGATCAACGAGCCGTCCAAGAGCATTGGCTTGAGTAGAGACTGGAGGCAAGCCTCTTTCAATACGGCGCCTAGACATCGCCGGTCGCGTGCTGCTAGCTTGCGATCGTCTGAGTATTGTTGTTGCACTGGCCTGTAGTTGCGTTCCCAAAATGGACCCGGTCTCTGAGGGGTGCCTGCCCGCAGCAGATAGTGCTCGTGTCTGCAACGACTGGTGAATTGGATATCTTGGAGGCTGCGGATGTTGAGAACGACAAAATAAATCAGAAGTGGCGGAGCTATTGAATGGTCCATGCCTCGTGACAAAGCTCTGTCACCAAGCTCGCCTGACGACCGCGGTCTCGCAAGACTGTGGACAGGCAGGAGGTGAAGGCAATGAGATCCACCGAGATCACCATCAGCACGGCAGCTGCTCCTTGCACGTTTCATCTCTAGGCAGACTGTCAACTCAAGAAATAGACATTATATATTGGTTCAGCCAAAAAGTGCTCCGAACAAACTCCGGAATATTAGCATGCGATATGAGGGTCTTTGGATGTAGTATGGTGCTTGGCATTGGGGTGTGTAAACATACTCCGGGGGTCTGTGAGTACAGCTTTATTATCAACTGCTTTGGGAGCCGGGCATTGTTTGTTTTTGATGCTCAAGTGTGTTCGAGTCCAACCGTTTTTGGCGATTCTGGCAACTTGTGGCTGTTGTACCTCTAGACAGCCAGCCTTACACTAAGCAGGGCGTCAAGCAGGCAGGTGAAGATAGGCCACTGCCGCCTTGGCGGCACTGGTGTCACTCTCAATTTAGCACTCAATACATACCGCTTCAAGCGAAAACTGCTTAACAAACCCCGGAGTAGCAGCATGCGATATGAGGGCCTTCGGATGTAAAATGATACTTGGCACCCCGATGAAGAAACACAACGGGGGTCTGTGAGTACAGCTTCGTTACCAACTGCTGATGGGGCCCGGGCATGTTTGTTCTTGCCGCCCTAACATGTCTGTTGCCACTCAGGACCGCAAACCTGCTTTAGGCGCAGAAGCGAGGTCGTTCTGGTTTGCTCCATGTAGGTAGGGTTCGAGTCTGAGCAGCGGCAGCGTTTTTAGAAACTCGGGGACAGAGCCGGCGTACGGACCCTTAGAAAACTCAAGGTAAGCTGCGCTTGGCGGCCGACTTCGCGCTCCCAGTCCAACGCCCGCTCTAAGTAGCGAAACTATTTCTGGGCTCCAGTTATTTTGATATTCGTTCGTTGTGTCCGGGCTACTGTATGGCTGGCACGACCTCAGCCAGCTCGAGGCAGGTGAGCCTCGGGCGACACCAAGGTGTTCCATTACATGCCGCTTCGTTCTTGTCTTCCCTTTGCCTCGAACTTGAGTCGATGCAAGGCATTCTCGTGGTAGGTAGATGTGACCATCCAATTTTGTGCGGCTGGACGCGGGGCAGGCTTGTAGCTCTTCAGCTTATAGAGCCCGACCAGAGCGTCATGTCATCGAAGTTCGGATCAGGACCATACCTGTGGCAACGGGACCAGTACTGGGAAATCTGTGGTACGCCCAATGACAGAAAGAGATGAAAAGTGACAATGTTTGTCGCTGACAAGAGACCGAGACAAGAAGAAGGAAGGTGGAAACAAAGATGAGGTGGGCAGTCGGGCAGCCACGTTTCTTGGCAAGGCAAAAATGAGTGGGGCCTGACTAGCCGAGGCTGCAACCCCCCTGTACCCCTGCAGTATTCGACACCTCTTCATTGCTGTGCAGCCATCGTCAAGCACATCGCTGCTAGAGAGGCAGTTGTGTAGTCCGACGATGACATGTTCGTTTATTATCTACATATTTTAGATACAGACTTGGTTGCTACCTGTCGAATACATTTGTCTCGAAAAGACTAATTCATTGGCTTTTGACACTTGTCGATAACACTTACACCGTATCTCTCTGCTGAATGAAGGCCGCCATACATTCCAAGCTGTCGAGCCACAATGCATGTCCGATCAACCTAGTCAACCAGTTCAGCGCAGTGTCCGAACTGCTTAAACATCCAGTCAGGAAACTCCGCCCACCTACGCTTCTGGTCAGCCTCCCAGAGGCGCTTCTCACGCTGCTCTTCTGTCTCTTCCGGGAACAGCTCAATTGTTGACTGATACACCTGTTCTTGCGGCGCAGCTTCGCACACTGTCTTGTCGGGCGAGCTGTGATCAGGCTCAGCGGGTCTGGTGGACAAACGAGCAGAGCCAGCATCTTGACCAGTGATGGGCTCATCATCTTTACCAAAGCTCGGCTCGTCAGCAAACATGTCTGCCAAGAACTGAGAGTCATCCATGTGATCAAGCCCAGGACCGGCTGGTGTAGCATTTTTGGCTGGGCTGCTGCTTTGGCCTGTAACAAAGAATGGCCGATCTGGCTGCCTCTGTACATCTTGCATCGACACGTGCGGTATTGGAGCCTCTAGACTGTGAGTAGTGCGAAGAGCGTCGTCGATCTTCAGAGCCAGCGCCTGGGCCTCTCTTGATTCGGCATCGTCAAAATTACCAGTAGAGCCGCTCGGACCCCAATCACACTCCATGGGATCACAAAAGTCCTCCTCGATATCGAGGGCGTCCTCGTGATGCGCTCGGTGTGGCATTCCGTTAGACGCTTCGCCAGATGCCCCGAGTTGGTGACGTCTTCCGCCTCCAACAAGTGCTTTCCTTGCCATCTGGCCCTCCGTACTTGTCCCGCAATTGATTCTCCTTGCCTGTTTTGGTGCTGGAACAGCCGGTTCCTGTGTGGCATCCGCGGGCGCTGGTTGAGAGTCTGAGCCCTTCCTGACAGCACTGGTCATAGATGTTATCTTCTGCTGTTTGTCGGTAGCGTCCACGATTTTGGCGGTTTTACCGGTTTTGTTCTTCGGCTTGGCGACACCCTCGAGGCAGCATTTGTGCTTGCATTCGACGCCCTTCTCTTTGCAGGAATGTCGGCATGTCCAACGACCATTTGGTAGCTGCGTCGACTCACGCCACTCTGACTGTTCTCCCGTAGCGCTTCTCATCGAGGTCTTTCGACCGACCTTCGTCCCTTCCGCGGCCTGCGTGCTCTTCTCAGCGGCGAGGAGCAAGTCGTCAATATCGTCGACAACGTCAATGTCGCCATGGGCAGGGATAGCAAGCAGATCTTCGTCACCAATGCCATCATCTTCAAAGCCAGCCTTGTGTTCGGTCGTCAGCAGATTTTGGGAAACCGGTCGTTTTGGTTGGGTGCTCAAAGGTTTGGTGCCGGCCGGAAAAGTACTGTGAGGGATGTCCCTGACCACAAACTCAGCGTATCTGCGGGTGCCAACAATCTCGTCACACACAACATAGCACCGGATGTAAGTGATAGGCCTGTCTAGATGGGCCGTGAAGAATATCTCCTCTCCGGTGCCCAGCTTCTGGGCCCCAAAGCGTCGGAACTCAATCACAGTCCCTTCGGAGTCTTCGGCCAGAAAGCAGACATAGATGGGAGATCTGTTGAACTCCGTTGGAAGCTTCTCGTTCAAGAAACCGATCTCCGACTTTAGCTTGAGGTTGGCACCCTTGCCTGGCTTGGTATCTCTGCCCATCTCTTTGACAGAGACGCGCAATTGCGGATAATTGGCTAGCTTGTTCAACAGCTTGTTGCCAAAGAATTGTGCACGACCAAGGGCCAGTTCAATCTGATGAGGCTCGCTGTTAAGCAGTTTTTCGATGCTATTGATACCGCGAGATGCTAGCTTGCGGCAAGAGACATCGCCAATGTCGGGCAGCTGCTTCAACTGACGAGGAGTACTGTCCCAGGCTTTGGCTGCGAGACTTTGAGCTAGCTCCAGGACATTGCGAACCGATACCGCGTCTTTGAGATGGAGTTGACAGTCAATCATGCACCGAATAAGGCGACCGACATGACCGAAGATGATGGATTTGTCTGTGGTGTACTGCTGATAATGCTTCCTATGGTTATCGCCGTCCGGCAATGAGGCGCCTCCAAGCTCACATTGAATTATGGTCGAGACTTTATGACTTGGGAGCGCAATATCGACATTGACCGGAAACATAATCTCAGCCCTCTTGTTGAGTTCTTTGTAGAAAGCCTTTTCGCCGCTGCGGACGCGTATTCCTTCGAATTCCGCTGCTCGTGTCAAGATGGACAGGATCTCGGACAACTTCGCCCGCGGCGGTATCGCGACGAAGGTCTTCATCGTTTCGAACCTGACGCAGTACCTTGCCATGGCCTCGCCAAGTTCGGTACATTTGATACTGCCTATGTCTTCGATGAGGTTAACTCCTAGCAGTAGCTTGATCTCTTTTTCGCAGAGGTGTTGCATGAGACTTTCGACATCTAAGCTCTCACCGCTACCTTCTAACTGGTAGTGAGCCGGATTGCGGCGGACACGGACTTTCAGGAAAGTACTGGACAGCCAACGTTTGGCGGAATCCATGTCGCAAATAGTACCGAGGCCGATCTCTGCATTGAGGTGCTCAATCAGGTTGCGGTGGAGCGTACTCTCTAGTAGCTCTTGACCAGAAACCATCTTTTTGTAGTGTTCCACTTGATAGTCACGCGTTAGTATTACCGCACAGGCTGAATTCTCAAACTGCGGTCGACCAGCACGCCCAAGCATCTGCATGACTTCAAGGTCTGAATAGCTTTGCAGGCCATTTGCGCCACTCCAAGTCATTGTTCCCTGCAACACGACTAGATAGCAGGGCAAATTGACGCCCACTGCCAAAGTCGACGTACTGCAAATGACGCTAATGTTGCCCTGCAAAAAGCCTTGCTCAACAGCATTTCGGTCCGCTGGACACAATCCGCCATGGTGAAAAGCAACGCCGGTGGCCACAACCTTGCGCAAGTCCCCGTCCTGTACCAATATTGGTCTGTTGGGAGCAGGCCAGGGACGTTGGTTGGGGGAAGCGGTGGTCCAGAATGCGGCTAGATCATTTGCTGTTTGCCCAGAGGATCTCCGTGTCACGCAGAAGACCATTGTGGGCTTGCTTTTGCTGTGAGCGACGATCATGTCTGATACATGTTTCCTGAGAACGCCGTCAAATGCAAAGTCATTTGCCCCGTACTGATATCCGTATACGTGCTTTTGAAGCTTGACTGGCCGAAAGCTTTCGTCGAAAACCTCACGCATCGCAGGAACTTCAGGCGTGGCGGAGTTCTTGCCTAGCCAGGTAGCAATGTCGTCGGAGTTGGGCACTGTTGCGGACAAGGCAATGAAGCGTACCGAGGTGCCAAAAGACTTCATTCTCGAGATGACCGCCTCCAAAGTGGCACCCCGTTGATCCTTGAGCATGTGGACCTCATCAACGAGGAACAGCTTGATCATCTGCACAAGCTTCTTATTGTCTCGCCATTTCCTGGTGATGCTATCCCACTTCTCAGGGGTCGTGATTATGATGCTGGCCTGCTGAACCTTCCTGAGACGGCCTCCCTCTGTGTCTCCGGTCAGCTCAGCACAGTCAAGACCAAGGAGCCTGAACTTCTGGTCCCAGTCCTGATACCTCTCGCTGCAGAGAGACTTGGTAGGGGCTTGATAGACGATCTTGAAGTCTTGATTGTTGGAGGCCAGAATGACACGACATATGGCGAGCTCCATGATTGCTGTTTTACCACTGCCTGTGGGGGCAGAAACGACAAGGTTATCATCTGATTCAAATGCTGCTGGGTAGCACTTGGATTGCACAGCGTTCAGCACATCATATGGGAAGACAGTTCTTATCTTGCCGGGAAGGTCCACGGTACAAACTAGTTGAATCCCACGCATGACTGGCGGAGGGTGGCCCAACGGTAGCATTGAGTCATCACCCTGGGTCGAGGATCTGGTATTGCGTCTCTTACTATGGCCCTGACCCTGAGCTGGCGGCGAGTATTGTCGCTTCGTACTTTGGGCAGAGGCTGTTACTGGACCTTGGTAAGCGTTGAACTGATTCACATCCTGAGAAGGCTCGGTCGTCCGTCTGCTGCCGTGCGAAGCTGACTGATAGAACCGCCGCTGCTGGAGAGCTGCCACTATCGGACTGGAGGCGACATCGTTGACAGACGACCCGTGACCATCGATGGGCAATGAAACATCATGCAAGTCGTCTGTGCTGATTAGTTCATATGGCACAAGCTTTTGACGCTCATACCCATGAAGGCTTGTTCGAACTGATACCTACTCCTTCCACCATCGAGCCGACGAGGTGTAGGCAATGAAGTTCGTGAACGGTCGTAGCGCGCTACTGAATTGTCTTGCGGAATCTCGGCGAGAAGCTGCTTGTCTACACTTCTGTTATGGTACCATTCGCTATGATGGGGCACTCGTCTCACCGAAATCATCGAGCATCACATCAGTCTCACGACCAAGTGGGGGATGTGAGTGGACCTGTACAGATGGAGCGACATGTGAGTTAGGCTGGTAACGAGAGGGCGAGGAGAAGTAATTGCTGCTTTCGACGACGCCATGGGACTCTGGTAAGCGAGGGCGGTAATGAGCCTTGAATGGTTGGGAGGGACCACGATCGTACACGTGTTGGTGCATCACGAGGCTGAGCAGGTAGCACCCTGGCTACCTCGTCTTCTGCGGGATTAGATCGGGTTAGGGACGCTGAGGTAGGTTGACACGCGGGACTGACGCGTCTTGGGTTGAAATCGGGATGGGTCAGGGAAGGAAGATGCAGTATCGATGCCAAGCTTCGTTCTTGCTTCAGTCCACTTCGAATTCGCCCGACCTCTTCGCTCCCCTGCTCCCCTGGCGGCCTGCTACCCTACTTGGCTACCTACCTGTGCCGACTCGAGCGGCGCAAACACGTTACTTCTGCGTCCTCGCGACGCCAGACCCGCTTATCCACCTCTTGACGCCGTTTACAGCTCGCAACCGATGGTGAGTGCGATGGGGACGCTTTCCAAGCCCCAGCCGGCTCCACGAATGGTCCGTGACAAGCATCACTTGCAAGACCGTGGACTATACCGGCAGCTTATGGCCAAGGCGGTGTGCACAGCTCATCTGATCATCTATCCAACAATGCCAGTTGACTGCCCGTTCAATCATGTGCCTTCGTGAAGTAACCCACCTCATTCTTCCTCTTCTTATAGGAAGGCGATCCGGGCCGAGAGGTTGCGAGTGCCTTCTCTTCTGAGCTGAGCGGGGTTTTGGGAATTTGAATAGACATATCGCCAGCCTCTGTGGGACTAGAGATTGTGGGTTTCTCGAACTCCTGAATCCTAATCTGAGGAGGTTTCCCATTTCCTGTATCATGCGTCGAGTACAGCCACGTAGCCAACAGAACTATTGTGGTACCGATAATAAACTGTAGACATTAGTAAAACGCTCACAGTTTCTGTAGAGGGGAACGCACATTCATGGAAGCAATAAAGTCGAAAAATATGAAGCTTGCAAAGCTGCTCAAGATCATGCTGATGCTCACAGCAAAGTTCTTGGAGATGTTGTCGGCATAGTAGATCGCAAACGCTGCCACGATGCCGCCAAAGGACTGAATCGCAATAGACAAGACCACGACCCAGTTATAACCAGCGAAGAAGCCGTTCTTGGCCACATGTTCGCCGTCAAGAAATATGATTCCGATGAAGAAGGCCGGAAAGAGGGAGTATAGCGATAGCTGAACGTTACGGATCCACATTGACGTGGAATGCGTCGAGTCTTTAATGGTACGCTCAAAGTAAACACCTGCCCATCCAGAACAGACACACACCGACAGGAGGGCAAGCAGGCCGACGGATGCGTCTGCGCCAGGGCTATTGAGCGCGAGTTCATCTTCCTCAATGCCTTCGTAGGTCGCAGATCGCTTCCGCATGTTTGCGCCGCTCGGCGAAAGACCGAGGTGCTGTAGGAGGGGGTTGATCGACCGCGGAACGTAGATACGTGTATGGTGGCTCGATGCCAGGGAATGCCTTTCTTCGTGTGGTAAGGAGACGAGAGCGACTCCGATCATGAGCATCAGTAGAGCCAGCCATTGCCGAGGCGTCAAACTCCTTCGCAGCATCACCACACTGAAGACTGCGGTGACGATGATCTTGAACTGGTAGACAACGTGAAAGGTGGCTGCGTCGAGGTTGGAGATGGCAACGTATTGCAGGCTGTTTGCCAAAGTGTAGACGCTTGCAGGTATGGCCATCTTCCAGCTGTCACCCGCGATTATGGCATTTGTGAATCCGCCTATTAGATGCGTCAGGGTCACGGTGCCCGGCGCGTTCAGCGCAAATTCGTGGAAGGCGATGGTCAGACATATGACCAGCTTAAGAGCTTCGACGAGGAAGACGGCGGTAGAAGGCAGATAGCGATGGCCATCAGGTGTTGGCATAACCCTGGAATAATGTAAAATCTGGGCTGCTGTCAGTCATGGCTCGTGACACAATGCTGCAGGGCGCATACGAGAACGAAGGCCGAAAACTGAAAGCAAAGGAGCACCAGCGTGACGCGCCGCAAGAACTGGAGCCCCATCTTCCGGGTATCGATATATTGTTAAGGAGAGGAGGATACGGATGGCGCGTGCTGCGATGGAATGGTCGTCTCCGACATGGACGAGTTGGCAGGACGGGGGTCAGGACGTTCAAGGAGTGTGACAGGGCTTTAGAATGCAGCCGTGAATGAATGGATTGAATGAGCGAGTCTAATTAAACTTGAACATGCGGAACCAAAAGGCGGTCGCCGCAACGGATGGATGTTGGTGTTCAGGTGATTTGGTCACTGGGCCATGAATGGTGCATGCTGGGATGTCATGGCATTACTCTTCGATTGGGGAAAAAAAGCATGAGTTCCACGAGATGCGGTGCTGCTTCGGACGGGGGAGCGGTAGCCACAAACGATTGGCGCATCGCTGTCCACGGGTTGTCGAGGCTTGGCTACCTCTTGTTTGCCGGGTTGGCCCCTATAACGAGAAAAGGGGGAAGCCCGGATCTTCGGACCACAAGGGCGATGCACTATTCGGCACGACTCCCCAGACTCCGACTCTCTGTTTGAATAGGCATATGAATACTACTATAGTATGCGAACACGTCTGGCTGATGCTATCGTGCCCTTCCGAAAGGGACTAATGGTACAAAGCAAGTCTTCCGCCCCCTATTTCCAGCTGCTGACCTGGCAATGTCGTGCCCCCTTTCATCACTGACGTAGACTGTGGGTATCCAATATCAAAGAAAATCAATGTCCAAACCCGTCCGCTCAAATGGGAAATGACGTGTGTTGCTTGTAGCTCGCCCGCTTCTCCCCTGCTGTTGGGTCTGTAAAAAATTACACTAGTGTCGCTGAGTAGTGTCAGAAGGATCGTGTCGTCTGGGTCTGGTTCTGGTGAGGAAAGATTCTAGAGGAAACAGCCTAGTGCGCGACGCCTTGGGGGGCGCCCATCCTCGCGTTCCAGCCGCGATATGGCCAATCAATAAATTCTTGAGATGGGATCTCTTCCCGGGACGCAGGAGCCTTCTCAAGCTCATCCAGCGAGACTATGTTGCTGAAGTGGCTTGACTCGGTGCGGTTGCGCGAGTGGCCCGGGGCAGCCAATTGAGGATCCGGTGGCGAATAGTACGTGTCGCGGCTCTGGCGCCGGTCGGGCGTGTTGAGCGACAGCAAGGACGGCGATACCGAGTGATCCAAGCTGTTGTCAGATGACAATGACAACCTATTGACCTGGGTTGGTGCTTCGTACGTCAACTGTGACTGTCGCGCTGTGGTGCTGGTCTGAATCGTCGTGGCCGAGTTCCGCGACATGGACCCATCACTATCTATGTACCTGCTGTACAGCTGCTGCACCGGCTGTCGGGGATGAAAGCTCGACATCGAGTCGGCACTGGGTTCGCGCCGCGGCGGCGTCCGCACCTGTCCTCGTTCCAGGTTTCGAAGGGCATGCAGCCGTCGGTCTCGGGTTACCGTCTGCTTCATGGTGGCCTTCTTGAGCCGCATGGCCGCCAGCAATGACTCCTCTTGTTTGGTTACGCTCATCATCCTCCTGCTCTCGACGCTCGCGCTGTCGGAGAAAACGCTGATCGACATGCGATAGGCTGAGTTGTCGCTCTCCACCGGCGTGCTTGGGAAAGAAGGGATGAGGTCTGACTCTTGTGCCACCCCGGCGCTCTGCCTCTCGGCTTCATCGTACAGCTGAGACAAGGCGAGACTGCTGCCACGTTTGGGTACCGGCATCTGAATGTGGTCGGGTCGGCTGCTTCGATTGACTACTTTGAGTGTACGTACCCGGGGCTGTTGTGCGCCCACGGCAGCAGGTTTGGCTTTCAATTCATGGGCGGTGCCGACTTCCACCTCTGAATCGTTGTTGAATGCCATCGCCACACTGTCCCGGATGGCAGGTTGCGGTGGCTGTGGAGATCGAACCGGCACAGCGTACTTAGCTGCACTTATCTCGTCCTCGCTTTCGGAACCAGACAGGTCCAGATAGCTGTTCTTGGTCAGATCCGTTCCCTGGATCGCCTTCCGCTTGCTAGCCGAGGTGTGTTGCGACCTGGTGCTCTGTTGCGCGAGGCTGCTTGTCGAAGCTTTGGCATTCAGTATCGCGACTCGTGGACTAGGTCGAGCCACACTAGATGTGCTCTGCAGAAACTGCTTGGGTGTGGTGACGCTGCTGCTACTGGTCTTGAAACCTTGCACGTCCGTCTGGATCGACGACTGGTCCGAAGGAGGCTTGATTCTTTCGTCCCGGAAGGCAGATTCCAGGCCTGAAACAAACTGTTCTTCGAATTCAGGCTCATTAAGGATTTCATCCTCGCTGGTCTCGCCCTCCAAACCATCAAACCAATGCTTCGCACCGATCCTTGGTCGTCTAACGTTGACTTTGAGACAAGCGGGGTCCATTGGCTCAAGCAGCGCCTTGTTGGTGGTTCCCATAGTTCGCCGTGATAAGCTACTAGGCTTTGGTGGGGTAAAATGTGAGCCACGAGGTGTTCTTGACACATCATTCATCGACTTGATGGACGGGACGCTCTCGTAACCTGATTCCGGCCGCCAATTTGGCGGATCCGGTGTCGGGGTAGGAGTTTCGCTTGTCCGTGGTCGCTGCTTGCTCAACTTGCGGCCTTCTGGGCCAGGACGAGGCTTGGGCGATTTACTGGGCTTTGGCGAATTCCTTTCGCCAAATGGAAAGAACAAGACTCGTGGGCTACCCTTGTGCAATGCCATGTCACGTCGCGATGACTCGGATGTCTGCTGTGATACACGCATTGGCACTTTTTGGGGGTCGTAGTGCGAGTTCAGCGTCGACGAGGATGCAAAGTTCTTGATGGACATTTTCGGAGTTGGGTCGTCGTCTACAGCACTGCGCAGATATTCCTCATGGAGTAAGACTGACGACGGCCGGAGTTCGAGGTCAGGCGGCGGTCGTCCTCCTACTCCTCCTCGCCCATCTCGCCGCAGCCCGCGTGCTTCCGCCTGCATTTCTGGCTGTGGTGGTCTATTGTGACTCCTGCTGGAGGTTGTTGAGGTAATGCTTTGGTTTCTCGCTATTCGCATGTCTGTCTCCGTTATTCCCAGCAGATTCTGCGCTTTAGTTTCTTGGTCGTTCCGTTTCGACGACATCTTGCTGGTCATTTCTCCTGCATTGGTGCGATTTCGCCTGAGGACCGACGGTAAATGGAAGAGAGGTGAGGGCGCCATGGTTTGGACGAGCCTTTAGGCCCGGTGATTGGTCGGAGAGTGGCGGCGTCCTTGAGAGGGAGGGGAAGAGATCTTGTCAATGAGGTCGAAGCGACAGACTAACATTGCTCTCAATGATTTCGAACTCTGGCCATTAGGGGGCCGGCGTACAGGTAGTACAAAATAATTCGCACAGAAATCGTGCTGTGTAGCTGTCACTGTGCTACCGAAGTTTTGGCTGAGCCAGTCACTGTTGTAGTAGCGGTCGGGGCAATCTATGCGATGATCCTGAGATCCGAAAAAGCAGAGTCTCCGCTGTCAACCGGCGGCCTCGGTATGCAGGTACAGAGTTCTGGCAGCACGTTGGAGTAAGGGAGACACGAGGGAAGCGTCGGATAGATGAGGGCATGCAGCAGGTCCCGTAGAGAAGGTTCGGTGGCTCTGGGAAGCTTCGGGGATGGAGGAGTCAGACGAACTGAGATTGGCACCGCTACAGGGCACTATGACGAGAAGAGAGTCGCTCACTGCAGCGACGACCCCGGTCGGCGATCAGCCAAACCTCGTCTGTGCAGTGGGCAGCCAGCAACATGGGGGCTAGGAGATACCCTCCACTTGGTGTGGGGATTGATCGATGGCGACCATTGATCGTAGATAGTTTTCCTGGCTCAGGCTTCCCAAGGAAGTATCCTCTTTCTCCAAGACAGCGGCTCTGGCGCCGAACTGTGGGACGAGGGTGGTGCCTGAAGGCTGACCACCGCGGTGATCTTTCGGGTAAACCTCTTGTCTTTGCCAGATTAGACAGAAGTTCGGCAGACCTGCCCGCTCCCAATTGTCCACACACTCTTGGTCTTAGGGCAAACCGCTGCGGCTTGAAGAATGCCTCTATCAATCTCACCGGCTGCGTGAAGCGACCGACAGAGGCGAGAATGGCGCACCACTGCACCACGCGCACAACGGGAATATCACAAGCCGGGCAAGCGGCCACAGAAGGCAGCTGATCACTAGCAAGCCCAGCTAGCGAAAGCCTTCGACGCCATTTTCTGTTCTGTTAGGCTTGTGTAGCGTGGATTAGCCTGATAGGGGCCCGTCACTTTCCAACAGTAAGCGTGCGACTGGGGGCTTTCAGGGGTGCATGGCGCGGCCCTAAGAGACTTGTCGGCGTGGTGGGGCACAGTAGAAATCTGGTATCGCATTGTCAAATTGTACTCCGTAAGTACATGCATACCGGTCGCAAGCTTGCTGCAGGATTATCTGCCAGGAGCTGCAACAATCAGGAGACTTTCCCCTGAACACCAGAAATCCATCCATAACGAGTGAGTGACCCGTTAGTTATGGGCGTGGGTGAAACACTTTAAAGCTATCCCAGACCGTCGCACCTGCTGGCGGGGTTCTTGTTAGTACTAGTAATTGATCGTCGGAGCCGTCTCCTGCAAAGGAACGAGCTTGGATTCAGAGAATTGTCCAGAGGGGTAAGAATAGCGCCTATCCGAGGAATAACCACAATCTTTGTGGTTCGACCACCCTAAGCATGCCCCCAGCATGGCTTTCATGGGCACATGGTACGGAGTAGTGGCATGCAGGGACAGGGACAAGGGTGCTGCGGCTATGCTCCTCATCTCGTCAGGCGAGCAAACGGACTCAAGACGCAAGCAAGTCCGTCTTTCTCCCCAACCGAGAAAGATGTCTGTTTGTCAGTTCACCAGGTCATCGTCAGGTCGACGACGGGTTCCGCAACTATCGCTCCTGGGACCCGCTGCTAGATCTCGGTACACAAGCCCCAATCAAGCCGAAGTGGATAGCGACGGCCCCGACAGCAGCATTTTGGGCGTCGGTGGCTTGACGGATCAATCCGTGAACCCTTTTCGAGGCAATTGGGCGGCGCACGGGTAGCCTTCTATTAACTTTGGGCATATTTGACATGTCGACAACAAGTATGATTAACACCTCTCGTAGTAAGCTTCGTCGGGACACACAGAGCGCACCTACTATCTGTAATCACCCACGTTGTTTCGTTCGAATTACATTCATTGTCCATTGTGACTTTTCCGGCAAAGTAGAAATCGAGCCATTTCTCGTGGGAACTTCCCGGGCCCATCGCCATCACTGTTTTTCGTCTCGATAATCAATCTGCACCAGGCCGCGTGTTTTGGCCCACTGCGCTATTCTCCGTACATCTGAAGACAGTCGAGAAGATCGACATGGCGCCGAACACGTGTACGCTCGGCTGATTGCAATCCTCAAAGGTCGGTGACGGTGGATATGCTAGCCGGGCTTCTCGTATCGTGAATCGGAGTGACCGCTTCATGAGTTACCCGAGCCGTTCCATTATCTTCGAGCGACGGACTGGTTGGGGTCGATCTGTCTAGACTGATGAAAGCTTTGGAGACGCTGATCCTGCGCCGGCGTGGAGACGGTTCTTCTTGTGTCTCCATGACCGCCTTACGTTTCAGGCTATCATCGGTATAGTAACCCCATCGCACTACTGGATGACCGAATGAGTCGATTACAACCACATCTTCAGCTCCTTGACCGATTGTATAGTCTTGATGTCGGGAATAGTTGCTCAGGCTCTCGCCCAACTCAGCAAGTCTAGCTTCGTCGCTGTCGCCGTCGCGAACCGTGCGATAAAGATGCGATATGGCCGCGAGTGGATCGAGGTATTCCGTCTGCATTCTTCGCAGCTGCTCTGCAGTCACAGGGAGAATGCTAGCAAACCCATTTTGGGGCGGAGAGATGATTCCTTCTTGAACCAATCGTTCGAACAGCCTTGCTTGTTTGAACTCGTCGTCAACCTCTGCAGTACCGAAGACTTGGACAGAGAGTCCTCCTACAAGGTCAATGGCGGATCCCTTCAAGCCAGAGATATGCATCAAAGCAAGACGCATATGCACCAACCCAGCCATGTCTTTGAGCAATTCACTTGCTCTCGGCAGCAGCAAGCATGAGTAGCAGAGATGCTGATTTGGCATAGATCCCTGGCGTGTGATGAGCGTCAGGCCATAGCACTCTGAGTGTTGCCAGGAGTTACAGAGATGGCAGAACACCATATGTTCGCAACCAGTCTGATATCCGCATTCGCAGTGGACGACATCTGACTGTTCTAGACGAGTCAAGATACCTTGGTCAAGGTCATCTCTATCGAAGAATGTCGTACCGTTCGGAGCCTCGAAGTCAAGGCAATAGGCTTGGACTACCGCCTCGGCCATCTTCTCCAGGACGATGTCGCGTCTTCGTCTGCTTCTTGCCAGCACCGCCAGTCCCTGCAATGGGTTCTTGATATGTTCCACCAGACCCTCGTTATCGATAGGAGTCTTGACGGACTTTGATCTTACGCTCTTTCTGGTTCTGGGAGGCCTCGTCTTGCTCATGGAGGTCGAACCATTTCCGTCCCTCTTTGGAGAAGAAGATTCGCTTCGAGGTGTTTGTCTCGAGGAGCCTGTGGTAGGTAACGCAGATCGAATGGGTGAGATTGGTGGGCCAGGTAGTGTCGAAACTAATCCATCATGTCGGCCCGAAGACGTCTTCTGCAAATTCTGGAGCTGGTTGCTGATGACAGTGTCTTGTATCTGCGAAGCAGTCTGGTATCCGAAGGTTGAATTCCTTGCTGTGAGGTCGACAGTGTGGTGCGAAGAGTCGAGCTTGCCAATAACCGGGCCGGATCCATCCCAGAGCTTCGCCCAGTCTTCGCCTACGATCTTGTGGTTCGCCGCATCGGTGAAACCCACGGGCTCATAGCCGTTGGGACAGTCAGACTTGTACGCAGTACTCATTCCCAGGGAGCGCTTGCCTGTACTCGATCAGTCGGTATCGAGATGCATATGTGAGTACTTACCAGGCAGCCGTGGCAGATCCTTGATCGACCGCAGAAGGCATCTAATGGCAGACTTGAAACTGCGTTGGGCGTCTGGTAGCGACAGGTGTTGCTGCTGTTCTTTTAACTCGATGCTTGATACACTTTTTCCGTAGTAGTTGAAGCTGTAAGTGTATGTTTCACGAATGGTCTTGTGGTCACCAGAGTCGGTGGTGACGAAGACTTGAAGGACGTCTAGGTAGCCCGCTTCAACTGCCTCAAAAACTCCGTGCTCCTGAAATGAGGTCAGTCTTGGAAATCTTACCGCTCCGAGACTTACAATCAGGTCGAGCAGCTGATTTGCGGCTTGGTCGTTACTACGCACAAGAATGCGAATCTCTTGAGAGTGTCCTGGGGCGGCTGGATCAAAGTGGCAAAAGTTGTCATAGCTATTCTCATCTTCTAGGGAGATCTGGTTGATGTACCTCTTTCTGAAGCAGGTTGATTGCCAATCCAGCAGCTCGCGGGTGTGGCAGATACAGGCGAGAGATGCGTTGAGGAAGATCTTTACCAGAGCCAGACTCTGTGCCTCTGTCAGCTCGACCTGCGACTTGTGATGGGCCAAGGGCGCGAGCATCAAGTGCGAAGCCATGCTGGAGATGCCTGACCAAGAAAAGGAAACAAAAAGTGGTTGGCAGAAGGTAGTGAAACGGGAGACGAAGACGGCGGATGAGATTGATGACCGCCGGAAAATGTAGCAGGCGCATTTGAGAATCTCAGATTCCTTTGACAAACCTCCAACAAACCTCAAGCAAACACTCTGCATAAGGTGATGCTTGGATGTCCATCGCCGGTCATAATGAAGCAACGTATCTCCCTCATTCTCCGGCAGTGTTCATATCCTGCCCGTGTCTGGTTGCTGTTCACGATGCCCCAAGCCAACGGATCTAATAGCCAGCACCCCCTTCCTCTCGTCACGGATCCTCGCAGTCATGCCAACTCCGAGACTTAGACTTGACCTTAGCATGAGTCTCATTATGCGTTACGCAGTGAGCAAGCCTCCCCACCATGATCGTGCTGCTCCTTTCGTAGACAGCGAAACAATTCATCACCATTCCCAACAGGTTTGTAATCACTCAGGACCGTCTTCAACGAAGCCTCGCCGTTTTGATCTTCTGCCGTTGAAGAAGCATCCAGTAAGGCAGTTGTAAGTAATGTAGTCAGCAGATACGACGAGGCTGTCCTCAGCACGGTGAGCATGCGAGCGTCTAGGCACAGGAGGTGGCGGAAATGACGAGTTTTTTCGAACGGCCAAGCCGAGGGCTCGGTCACTCCCGCGCCGAGCCTGCTGCCAATCAGCGGCTGCCGCTATGGCTCACGCCGTCGGGCTTCAACTCAGCGCTTTCCGATTCACTCTTGCAAAGTGCTATTCTTGCACCGTGTAGTAATCTGCACCTTCGCCTGCACTCCTCATCGCAGGCTCTCTTCGCATACTTTGCCAGATACAACATCGCTCTGAATTTAGGCCCGACCAAGAGTCTTCCCAGCTGCTTCGTTGCAGCCAATAACAAAGCCCTGTCTCCAGGCCTTCCCCTCGATACGCGCTTCCCCCTCCCACCAACCGCACACGTACCGAGGCCACAGCCTGTGCGATCCTGACTGCCGCGTAGGCTGTCTGGTGCCCTTTCTTGATATCTACTTGTCGGTTCGCTGTGGTCACAAAACGTTGTTATCCATTCGTGGCCTCCTTTCGGCTCCAAGAGATCGATACTGACGGCCTAACGCGACCCTTGCCGAGGACATCCACATTGATCTCCTTCCATGCCCAACCGTTGCCCGAGTTAGACTCTTTATCACTATGGACGACGTCGACGACTCAAGTCTACCATCTCCCTCGGGGCCCGTCCATTCTACACAAGAGCGCGTTTTCAGGATGCGGAGGCCCAGCGGCAAAGCCCGCCCTGGGGGCTCGAACTTGGAATACGGGTCACCAGCTACCCTGGCCCAATTCTCCTTTGCTCCAGCCACGCAAACTACCGTGGTGACGACAACCACAACCACAACCACTCGGTTCCCTCCCTTGATCATGCGGCCACCAAATCGTAACCATCAGCTCGACCCCAAGCTGTTCCCTTTGGCCGCCACCCCGACCCCGGATCGACTAAAGAATATTTCCTTTCGAGTTGGAGACAAGCCCACAATCTTCCGCGAGGCTGCGGATGCGTCTATTGCACTCGAGCAATTGCAAGAGGAGCAGAAGGTCCTGGCTGAAAAGAACGGCACTGTCCAAACGGTGCAGAACCATGGGCCATGGGATCAAACCGACCCCCAATTAGCTTCTCATCCACTTGCCGTTCCCCGTGAGGATCATTCGGCTCGCCTTGCTTCTCCCGACTCTTTCACGGAAAACGACATGCAGTTGTCGGGCATGGATGCGCTATCCACCCATCGTACCAAGAGAAGACGGGTATCAGCTAATGCAACAAGCAGCAGAGCCCGGCCATCCTTACAATCACATCCCAGAATACGAGGTATGCGTTCTGCAAACCCAATCACCCCGGAGAGTCAGCCTCGACAGCATCGGGACCTGCGAAGATCGACTCGGTCTAATGCTCGGCCCTCGCATCCGGGCGACGCACCTCTACCATCCCCTGGTCTAGAGCAACGTGAATCTTTCGAAGAAACGTCGACCGCTCCTGCAGCTACAACGCTGGACGACCAGAATGATGAAGAGTCGGATTCTCCCGCCCAAAGAACCAGTCATCGGGGCATGTCCCACGATACCGCAGTCCCTACGCCACCAGTTGAGACAGACACGATAGATGGCTCGGGACGACCACTGAGTCGAAGAGCGCTCTCGTCGATACCAGCACGACTGCATGTTGCTGAAAGCCCTTCGGGCGTGGACGGCAGCTTACCCAGCCCAAGTTTATCCCCTGTCACCGCGGCTGCTAACCTCCAAAATACTGGTTACTTTGCCGATATTGATTCCGCCTCGGAATTCGCGTCTCAGTACGAAGTACCTGGTGATGAGGAAGTCGACCCGACGCCCACTAAATCGCTCTCCCGGCCCATGTCCGCAGCTGGGCCAAACGCCAACGGCAGTTTATCCAGGTTTTCTGATTTCTCGATCACGGAGATTCCAGCCATGCTTGATTTCTTTGAGGCTATCCCTGACGAGCTCAAGGGCTACGTAATGCACCAGCTGTTGAGACGCTGTCCTAAAGAGACACTACATGTGGTAGCCGATGTTGTCAATCCTGCCCTCAAGTGTGACTTTTTGGCGCTGCTACCTGCCGAATTAGCATGCAACATAGTTCGGTACCTAGATCTGAAGAGCTTGTGTCGGGCGTCACAGGTGTCGAAAAAATGGCGACAGCTGATCAATCAGGAGGAAAAGGTGTGGAAAGAAATGTTCGACGTGGATGGTTTCCAGCTCGCCGAAGGTGAAATGCAGATCGCCATTGCGGAGGGCTGGGGTTGGCAAGATCCCAGTGGAGGCAACGGGTACGAACGAGACATCAGCATGCTCTCAGGCATGAAGTCTGAGACAGAAGGTAATGCTTCCTCTCCGCAGTCTTCCAATGCACAGGGAGGTATCACGGGGCTACTACGTCGCTCCAAGCGAAAAGCCGCGACTATGCTTTCTAATCGCAACAAGCCTGCTAAGAAGCGGCGCATTTCGTCTCGAGAGACATCGGTTGACATCAGTTCGATCAACTGGATGGAGCAGATGACCACGGCCGAGGGTCCATACAATGCCGCAAAAGCAGCAGCACTAGCTGTCTCATACCCGCAGGTTGGGATACCCTCTCTCGACTCGATGCATCTGTACAAGTCTCTTTATCGACGGCACTACCTAATCCGCAAAAACTGGATGTGCGAGGACACAAAGCCACGCCACATAGCCTTTCGTGCACATGATACGCACGTCGTAACATGTCTACAATTCGATACCGAGAAGATACTGACAGGTAGCGACGACAACAACATCAATGTTTACGATACCCAGACCGGAGCATTGAGAGCAAAATTGATCGGCCATGAAGGGGGCGTCTGGGCGCTGCAATATGAAGGAAACACGCTTGTTTCCGGCTCGACTGACAGATCAGTACGTGTCTGGGACATCAAGAAAGGCGAACAGCGACAAGTCTTCCGAGGCCACACATCGACCGTGCGGTGTCTGCAAGTTGTGACGCCTGTGGAGACGGGCAAGAATGCAGAAGGGAAGCCTATCATGACCCCCCGTCAACCACTGATCATCACTGGTTCGCGCGACTCTACTCTACGGGTATGGAAGCTGCCACGACCGGAGGATCCTCTGTTCATCCAGGATGAGAACGACAACGACGTTGACGACTGTCCGTATTTCGTCCGGACCCTCACTGGTCACCAACACTCGGTACGAGCAATTGCAGCATATGCGGACACTCTGGTCAGCGGAAGTTATGACTGTACGGTTCGTGTTTGGAAAATCTCCACTGGGGAGACGGTTCACCGCCTGCAAGGTCACACGCAGAAGGTGTACAGCGTGGTCCTTGACCACGAGCGTAACAGGTGCATTAGTGGATCTATGGACAACATGGTACGAATCTGGTCGCTCGATACTGGCACTCCGATCTACGCACTCGAGGGACATACATCGTTAGTTGGGTTACTTGACCTCAGCTGTGATCGTCTCGTGTCTGCGGCTGCGGATTCAACACTGCGAATCTGGGACCCCGACAACGGTCAGTGCAAGGCTACCTTAAGTGCTCACACGGGCGCCATTACCTGTTTTCAGCACGATGACCAGAAGGTGATCTCTGGCAGTGACCGAACGCTCAAGCTGTGGAACATCAAGACCGGTGATTGTGTCAAAGACCTGTTGAGTGACCTTAGTGGAGTTTGGCAAGTCAAGTTCAATGAGCGCAGATGCGTTGCAGCTGTGCAACGCGACGGGGTGACCTTTATCGAGGTGAGTTTAGCTGTTCTCCTCGACCGTTTCTTACTGACGCAGTCCAGATTCTCGATTTTGGTGCAGCACGAGATGGAATCCCGGAAACTAAACGAGGGCGCCGCATAGTTGTCGATTTCAAGGGCAACGAAATGAATGATGATGAGGAACGATTTCTCGAATTGGACGGCGCGAACGAGACTTGAGACTCGGCATGATGGGCATAATCAAATGAAGAAGGGGATTCTTGGGTGCATGACTTCGAAACACGATGAACGCCGGGCAAGTCGGCGCAGGTAAAGGATAAACATGAGCATGGTCGATGCATTGTCGGAGTTGACCTTGTTGGGATTACACCTGATTGCATATCATAGCGATACACAGATACTACAGCGGTACCGTGTTGGATCATCTTTGGGTCTGCCTGAATAGCATAGCCACATTGCAGAGCGTCTACATCAGCCTCCAGCTCCGTCTCCGACTCCAACATGTGGCTTGGGCAGTATGCCAGTGAGTTCGTGACTGTAGTGTACAGCCAGCCCCGTCTCGTCTCCCATAGTTAGGGTGCAATGATAATCCACAGCAGATATCCGTCGAATAGATCTAAAAGAGGACTAGTCGACAGGAAGCCCTTGCTTTGTGCCCTTCGCACCAAGCTTCTCCGGGAAAACGAGAGCACCGCCTACTGCCGTATTCGTATACCAGCCGTCGATCAGGCTGATTTCGCACCGCACCTCGCCAATCGCTCCACAGCCAGCTGCTGCGGAGAGCGTACAACCATTCGCAGCACGAGACTGCAAGCGGCACTGTTGGACGACCGAATGATCAATAGCTGAGGCTGAAATCTGGTCAAACCCGATACGAGAGGTGGAGAAGTTGCAATCCTGCATATATACTGTGGCAGTTGCCCATGAACACGTAGCCTACCTCAACAGTGAAACCGATTCCCATCACCCTGGTCAACGAACACTGTGCATACCTAGACAGTCGCTATACAAATACGTAATCGACAACTACGATCGCTTCTGAGTGGGTAATTACTATAGGTATCCGCTCGATACAGCGTCCCGTCGGAAGGTACTTAACATACACTCATACTCCTCAGCACCATGCCGCGAGCCAGGTTTCGCAACGCCGACGGGCTCGACGTCACCTTCGCACCAGGCACCCCTACGGTTCTCTACCCCGGCGAAACGCTCTCCGGCAGCATCAGTCTCTCTAGTATCGACGACTCGGTCTCCATCGGTTCCGTTGTAGTGACCTTCTACGGCCGCGCAAAGTGTAAGATCTATCAAAGCTACGGCCAGTCCTCAGCCTGGTACCGATCCCGCGCAACGTTCTTCAACATCGAACAAGAACTCTTCAAGAGCGACTACACCTACGGGCCCGGCGAACGCTCTTGGCCCTTTAGCATCCAGCTGCCCTTCGTGGCCGATGAGACGCAACTGACAGGCAAAAAGAAGGACCGCTTCAAGCCGCATAGCAGCTACCTGAGTACCGATGATATCGATGTGGTGGAGCAGGAGATGCCGCCGCCTATGTATCATTATCACGGCATGTTTGGCCGTGCCTGCTGGGCGTATGTCGAGTATGTACTAGAAGCGACGGTGACGGAAGCCAAAGGCACTCACACATTTCGAGGGCCCAAGTCCAGAACTTCGGTCCGCCCGATCAACTTCCAGCCAGCACGGCGAGAGGAGGTGCTGACCGACTGGGCCATGGATGCCTGGAAGAAGCAGCTCGTCCTGAAATCTTCCAGACTGTCAGATGCTGGAGATAGTCTGGCGCCAACGACCTCCACTGGAGCAGACGGAGCCCGACTCTCCCCACAGCCTAGCAATGACCCCGTGGCGAGGACGACGTCGCGCGGCAACAGTCCACTACGCAGCTTGTTCTCCGGCCTGTCGGTGTCCTCGTCGTCTACACCGCGCCTGACCCTCAACTGCACGGTGTCCTTCCCAACCGCACTACAGGTCTACCACCCGGATCCAATCCCATTCCACCTCACGGTCACGCCAGACTTCAACTCCCAGTCCACCACGCTCGACCCTGCAGCCCTTCCAACCATCAGGATCAAATCCTTCGATTTTCGCGTCATGTGCACCACCATGACGCGCGCCCAGCACCTTGTCCTCCCACAAGAAGACCAAAAGACTGTCGCTATCATCCTCGCCAAAGACGTCGGACTAAACCAGACCATCCAGCTCACCGCACCCACCACCCTCGGCACCAGCGATAAAGACAAACCCGCTTTCACCACGACGGCTGGCTCCGACTCCAACGCCATCAACCTCTCCACCCTACACCCCCTCCACCTGACCTCCGCCAAGCTCGGTCGCCTACACGAACCCATCCTCAACCCCACCTTCACGACCTACAACGTCGCGCGCCAGTTCGGTCTGCGCTGGAGCATCGAGCTTGAGATCGTCACGCCGCAGAAAACCTTCACCGAGAAGCTCAGGGGTGAGGTGCCACGTGGCGGAGTCACAGTGCGCGGCATCCCAGACTCGTTGCGAACTCAAGTTGTGGCTAACGTGGATGGGGCCGGGGATCTGGTGGACTATGAGGAGCTGGAGCAGGGGATTCGGCATCCGAGAGACGATGATGACGAGGATGACGATGAGGGGTCAGAGGGAAGGGGAGTGGATGAGAAGAAGGGCCTCAAGGGTCTGTTGCGGCGCCCTCATGACGGGGGAAGGGTCAAGAAGGAGAAGGGAAAAGACAAAGAGAAGGAGGAGTACGCCCGTGAGGACCGTGTGAGGGCTGAAGGCCAGGATGGAGGCGGGGGCGAGCAGCTGCCGAAGTACGAAGCCTAGAAGGCTGGGGGTCGAGAAGATGCTTACGGTCTGCCTCTTGAGGGGCGAGTGGAGGAGACGGCATGAACTGTGTATGACCTGGGTCGATGAATGTGCCACGTTCAGTGGAGTCTGGAATTACGACTGTACGACCGTATGCATTCACGAGAGTATAACGAACAGGCACGAGGGTACAAAGAAGGGAGGGGCGTTGGGATTCCCTTGCTGCCAGAACACGCCGCTTCACAAAGACCAAAGTGCGAAGTACTTCAAAACTGAACTGAACAGAACGGGAAAGGATGGTATGACCGTATCGGATCAGATCGATAGACTCATTCTTAAGACAAAAAATCTCAACCATTCGTGAATGTGCAATTCTTCTCAGCTGTTAGACTATGCTGGTACTGTGCATTGCTGATTCTAATCTGATCTGACCTGCTCACCATGTGTGGTAACTGATGCCCTTTGGCCGTCTCTCCGGCCGGATCGTCCTTGGAATAGTGTACCTAATCCCGTTTGTGCTTCTCTTGCCTCCCGTCGTTCGAGACCGGTAGATCCATGCTGTTGTGCAGATGCCGCTTGGATGTGTGTGTGCTCTGGCAGGCCGTGCCGTACGCCTATGATACATCTGAACGTTTCTCCTTCACGTTGGAGAGGAGTGAGATTCCATGCTGCGGACTCTGTGCTCATGCCCCTCCCTGGCTGGCACAGCCTTGCCTGGTCTCGCCTCGTTTGGGCAACGCAGGTCTGTGGCTGCAGACCATGTCAGCGGCGTGCCTACCGTCCACGTCCTCTACCTCTACCTCTCCCCGCTGCGCCGCCGCCACGCCCCTTCTTCGCGGGCTTAACGTCTTCGTCGTCGACGTCATCATCTTCATCCGCAGCAGCGGCCTTCTTCCTCTTCGCACCACCCTTGGCAGCGCCCTTCTTCTTGGGGGCTTTAATGTACTTGTCCTTCTTGAGATCGATCTCGGCGTCGTCCTCGTCTGCATCATCGACGACCTCCTCCAGAGCCTCGTCCTCATCCTCAATCGCCTCTTCAAGATCGGGCTTCTCACGCTTCATACCAGCGGCTTTGCTCACGCCTCCCACGGTGCTCGCTTTCACAAAGGGCATCGGATGGCTCTGTTGGTTGTACATGCGGGTGAAGGTAGCTTTTGTCGCGGATTCCATGTTCTTGAGGACGGATTCGTCGCCCTCACCTTGCATAGGCCCAACGCCGAGCTCGATGATGGCATCGTAGTCATCCTTGGTGAGGTAGTAGGAATCCATGAAGTCGATCATGTCAGGCACCGCATCTTTGCCGACTTTGAGTAGTCTGCCAACGGTAGAGTGCCAAAGGGCTGGTAAGTACTGCTGACGAATCTCATTGCGGTCAGCCGCAGTTCTGAGGCGCATATGACCCTGAATTTCCTTGACGAAGCGGGACAGCTTGCCTTGCTTGCTGTTCTGGCCCAACCAGCCCGCAAAGCCAACCTGCGTGTTGAAGTTGCCGTACACATAGGAAGCTGGACGGACGAAGCTAAAGATGGCGTGCAGGGGCATGAGTGACCATTGCTGTTGAGAGCCGTGAATCATGCGGTCGACAAGGTCTCCGTCGCTGATGCTAGAAGCGGCGTTGTCTGCGAGCTCAAGCCATTTGAGGTTGCGTTCTTTACCACCGTAGTTGCCAATGCGGGAGGGTTGAGATTTGAGGTAGTTCTCCTGCAGCATCAACGAGCTGAATTCGTGGTCGTTGAAATAGAGCTCGGTCTTTTCGTTAAGAGTTGCACCTCCACTCTCAGCAAACATCTGAGGGCGCATAATCTTGCTGACAATGTCCCAGGGCTTCAAGATGACATGTTTTTCCCACGCTTTGTGCATAGCCTTGGTGTCGTCATATGTGAGGTCTTTGTCGTGGGCATCAACTTTGATGGTGGAGAGCATGTTGATGATTCGCCGGATGTCTGCATTAGCGCCTTCAATAATGGCATTGAGGACAGGAGCTGGCAGCTTGAATCCTTCACGGAAGCAGATGCTCATGATTCGGCTGCGAATTTGATCAGTAGTCGGACGCCGAAACCCTATCTCAGCGACAACATTGTCGAATGGCTTCATCTTGGGGAGCTTGCGTTCGTTGCAGATGAGGATGAGTGGAATGTTGGTTTTCTTCGCAACAGCAGCAAGTGCGCCAACGCCACCACGGTCACCGGCCGACATACCATCAACCTCGTCCATAATCATAACCAGATTCTGCTTCTTCTCGTCGACCTCCTTGCCTTCCCCAGCGAAGTACCCCATGATTGATTTGGTGTCGAGAACGCCTTTCAAAGCCGCTTCCATCAACTTCTTGCTTCGTGTATCGCTTGCATTGGTCTCGACAACGTCGTAGCCTTCAAGCTTGGCGATGAGGTGAGCAGCAGTTGTTTTACCAACACCTGGTGGGCCGAACAGCATGGCAGCCCGTCTGATACCATCACCGTCTGGACCAGCCTTCTTGAAATTGAACTTCGCATTCCGGCGCCACCCTTGAAGCCATTTCTGTAGCCTTTCAACCGTAGCCTTATTACCACAGATATGCTGGAGCGTGTCTGGGGCGTACTTGTCCACCCAGAGGCGGTCGTCAATCTTGGGACCATCCTGCTTCGCAGGAGCACCGGTGCGCTGGGCTTTGATCTTGGCGACTCTGGCTTCTTCCTTCTCGCGCTCCTTTTCTCTGCGCTCTATCTCCTCGGCATCTTTCTTGACTTTGGCGTCCTGCTCGGCACGTTTCTTCTGAGCAGCCTCGGCACCAGAGGCAGTCCCGCCACCTGCAGGTCGGCGTCTAATCAATTCGAACAAACCGTCTTCATTGATGGTCTTGATGCCGAACTTCTGAATAGTTTCCAGTTTTTTGGGCCCAGCATCACTACCGAGCACCACGAAGCTCGTCTTGGAGGAAGGACCGCTGGTGACTTTGCCGCCGTAGCGTTTGACAAGACTTTGACCTTCTTCGCGACCTAAGGTTTCCAAAACACCAGTAAAGACGAACGTCAAGCCGATGAGGCAATCATCAGCGCCTTCAGGAATCTCTTTCATGCCAGCACCAGCCGGTTGAACATTAGCGTTGCCACCGCCCTGCGCAAAGGTCCATTTACTATCTGGATCGCGCGGAGGGGGTGTCGGCGCTCGGATAGTCGGGATGGAGTCCATTAGTTCCTGAACTTCTTTGTCTTCTTCCTGTGGCTCTTTCTTCGCTCTCGGCTTCCTCGGCGCAGCTTTCGCAGTCGACTTCTTAGCTTTCTTCCTGGGCGTCTGATCTTCTTCGAAGTCTTCCCCGTCTTCAGTGGCTTCTTTCGATTTGCGCTTGCGTGCATTGGTGGTCTTGCGCTTCGTATCGCTGCCGCCATCGGTGCCGTTGATCTCAGCCATCTCAAGATCGTCATCATCAGATTCATCCTTTACGCCGTTGCGCTTGCTGCCATTACGCTTGCCGATGGATTTTACGACATTCTCTTCATCTGAGCCTTCATCGTAATCGTCATTGGCTTTCCTGCCCTTGAAGTTCTCAGCGAAGATGTCATCGTCGCCAGTCTTGTCATCGAGCACCATGGCGGCGTCATCGTCGTACTCGGTATAGCTTTTCTTGCCGGTCGTCCTCGCAGATCTCCGGCCGCTAGATGGGGTGGCACCGTTGGTGGCTTTGCCTGGGGTGGTCTTCGTGGAAGAAGTGGACTTCTTTACGGGAGTTGACTGGCTTGTCGACTTGGACTTGTTGGAGGCGAAATAGGCGGAGCTTGTAGTCTCTTCAACCTTGGGCTTCGCAGTGGCCTTTTTGGCAGGTGTGGATGCTTTCTTGGGTTTGATCACTTCCTCCTCTTCATCGTCTGAGATGACCTTTCGACCTCGTGCCTTCTTCTCGGGCTCTGTAGGAGCCTACAGAGTATTATGTTAGACCAGATAGACATGGATCTTAAGAATGGTCACGCACCTTGGGAGCGGCAGGCTTCGCCCCTCCTGCGCCGCCGCCGAAGAAGCTGCGGATGTCGGCTGGCATGACTACGGTGCAGAGAGCGTGCAGAGCCAGTCTAGAGCAATCACTTAGTGAGCAGGTGCCATGTTCTGCCAGAGGCAAGAGGAAATGGGTTTTTTGTTTAGAAGTAGAACGAATTCAGTTGATGACAATTGCTTCAGACATTCTGGCGTACCTTCCGCAAGTCGCGTCATGAAGATACGCGTTTAAGGCTAAAGTGGTCCACTCATTTGCTTGGCACTTATACGGCGGACTGCAGCGCAGGTTAGAGGTTCGCTGTTCAACTTTTGGGAGCTTGTGCACTGACAGATCCGCAGACCGTCGTGCGCATCTTGATCATCCGCTCAGGGCGTGCTGTTGTGCAGATACTCTTTGCCGGCACCTCAAGCGCTCCTCCCTTCAACTATGGCGCTCCAACGAAGTGGGCGCGAAAGCTACGCGAACCTTCTGTCCTCCTTCTCGAACCTTCAGATCACCTCACAGCGGTCAATCCCCCATCAGCGATTGCGGCCAATATGTGCGCGGAGCTTCACGACGACATCCGTCCGGCGGAATTGGCTCCTACCGAAGCAGGCCGAAAAACGAAAGTCCATGGTCGGCCGGCCTCGCATGCCAACGGGCGGATCTATGCGAGGTACCACTGTATGCTGGGGTGAATGGGGACTGCGGATGAAGGATCACGATCGAAGAGTGTCAGCAAAACAGCTCAAGCTCGGCGAAGATACGATACGACAGAAGCTGAGAGGAATGCACTACAAGCTTTATACTCGGGTTAGTGCGAACATCGGCGTCTACACGAAAGGCAACGAGGTCCGTATGGGCAAAGGAAAAGGCAAGTTCGACTACTGGGCTGCTCGCGTGGCGGTTAGCCGTATAATATTCGAATTGAAGGGCAATATGCATGAACAGGTCGCTATGGAGGCCTTCCGACTTGCAGGAAACAAGATGCCGGGACAGTATGAGTTCGTGCGAAGAGGTGACCCGGCAGTTGTGGGCGTAACGAAGCTCAAGGACGGTGTCACATTACAGTCGCTCAAAGAAGCTCGAAGACCGGTCGAATCTGAGAACGATCCGCAAGCGCAGGCTGTCATTCCTCCTACCATGACCGAGGGTGACCCGACTAGCATATCGCCAACTGCCGCTGTACCATCATAAGAAGAATCATGTATCATGCTCCGACACCAGAACCTGGGCCATGTCCTTGCGCAGTCCGTGCACTATTCTGCTGTTCCTGCTTGAGGTCTCGGTCCGTTCCACCATATCCTCCACCTTGATTGGCTTCGCCCGTGGAAGTGGTGGTCATACCTCCCATTCCAGACTCAGAGATGTTCTGGCCGTACCGAATGTTCTCAGCTGTTTTCTCGCCGCCGGTTGAAGACGGAGCGCCCTCGACTGTGTTTGATCCAGCTGCGCAACGTGAGTGTGGGAACACAGCAGAGAGGAACGATACATACTGCCTAGCTGGCCACTCTGTTTGGCCACAGGCACAGTTTGGGTCTTGATCGACTCGTATCTGACGAGACAAGCGTTAGTAATGTATACAATGGACAAGACATTCATGGTGAATTTTACTGGGTGCTTTCGCCCCCCGGCTCAGTGGCCATAGTCTTGTCGCCGCCCATTTTGAATGATCTGAAGTCGGTGAGCCAGTTACAAGTCAATACTTGCTCGATGTTCTGGGTCACTGCATGAAATAAATCCATCTAGGAGTGCTCAACCCATGGTTTAATTTGTTGAGCTGGTCATGCTCCGCCCGCATGAGACTGTGATGTCAATGCTCGTAAATTGCACACATGGTCTCAACGAGCAGATGTACCGCTATTTCCCGTCCCAATCAGCGGCTCCACGTCCTGAATGTCGCCTCAACCCGTCGTGCTGACCGTATCAAGCGGTCTCAACGTTGCGAGGGGCCCTGGCTACTTTTCCGAAGTCGTCTCCTTTGTATGAGTGTGCGGTCAGCGACGTCTGCAGTTGCGGCGAGACTCACTGAAGACTCATTTGCAAATTGACCTAGGTACCTGATCCTTGGACCAGTGATGACGAGTTGGAAAACTGAGTCCGGACTGTGTCAGCTTGCGACTGTCTCCTCCGTGAAACACAGCTGTCGCTAGTTCTCGAGTGAAGAAAGTTCCCCGTTGACCATCGAGGTCTGTGGTGCTGACAAACCTCGCAAATACTTGCATCTCTCGTGACTTTCGCAATGGAAATTAAAACCCGTGCACAGACAGGAGCGCAATCGCCACAAGGTAAGACTATTGATGCGTGAACTCCGCGCTTCTGCGGCGAGCTCTCTGGTACATTCTCAATGCCGTGCCGACAAGACCTTTCGCTGCGGAGAATGTCCATACAGATCACTAACATTCACTTGATGGAATTTGCTTTTGGACTGGGATACCATCGGGCCATTTGATCGCATGATCACGCTGGAACAAAAACCATGACCATGTCCATGCCTCGGAGTTGCCTGTGCTCTTCTCGATGCTAAAAGGTCCTCCCGCGGCCCCTTGCCTTGCGCCCCTCCTGAACTCGACGATCTCAATCCGACATCATGCGAACTTGCCTGGCACGAAGAACACGCGCGAACCGAGGAAGAGTTAATGCCAGAAGAGGCGAGTCCTGATGGGATGGAGTGAGCCGTGCTGCAGTACTGCAGTAGGAACTCTAGCTTGAAGTTTCACTGAATGCACTACGCCTCATGACTACGAGCACGCCAGGAACCTCGCAGTCCTGCTGTTCGTGCAGCCGGCACGGAGCCTCCTGGCCACGAAGCTCCAGTATTGGCTGTTTTCAGGGGAGATACGTTGCAGATCATACATTTTCCCCACTATTCCACCAAGACTCAGACTAAGCAATCATCTAGGAGACAAGTCTTTGAATGTTGATACAGCTCACTCAGGCACAGTCGTAAGACTTGCGTCCCATTGCTTGTCCATTCGCAGGCGACCACTGCTTGCAAGCCAACGGAATCAGTGTCAGCTGTTTAGGGTGCCACAGATTTACCGGCGGCCGGGTTTTTTTGATGTTGATTTCTCTTGTTTCGAAGTTCACCGGTGTACGGTTTTATCTGGTAAATCGATCTCCGAAACACTATGTGGGCGAACAAAAGGAACGAAGGCCAGTTCGAGCCTTGGCATTTGACGAAGTCCTGACCAGGCAACTGCTGTTATTGACATGCCAAGACCAGGTAAACCTGTCACGCAACGATTCGGCTTGCACAGAGGCAACCGCACAGCTCCTGCCTCCCATTCTTTGGCCTCGCGATTCGATATGAGCAGATATCACGTCTAAGCTTTGCTTTAGTCATATTATTTGCTCTTGTACGGAGATTGTACGCATCAAACAACACCTGAAGCAGCAAACACGGCAAGCCAGCATCGTTGTAGCGTTGAGAGGGGAAATGTGGCATCGGCCCAAATCTTTTGATTCTGCGATACGCTCGAGCTCGAGCTCGAGCTCGAGCTCCTGACGCCTCCAGGAGTACAGCAGCTGCTGACCTCAAACACTCACGCACAATTACCAAAATGGTAGGCAATATGCCCAGCATGAACTCCGACCGTTTCTACCAGCTCGAAGAAAATGACAGGATGCTCAACCGTCACGCTGTCATCGAACCTAGCACCCATCCACAATCTACCATCGGTGCAGATCCTTTTAGCAGGCAAGATTTCGAACAAAAGCTGCTACCGAAGCCCCGAGGTGCTGCCTTGATCCAATTTGAACGCGAGATTGCTGCGCTTGCACCAGAACCACTCCCTGACTTGAGCTATCTCCCAGCCTTCCGAACTCAGATGGGTCCACAGCTACTCGAAGCCACCACTAAGCAGAACCTTCCGGCGAAGGGAGTCGAAGGTGTGCAGTCAATATCTGTGTCAGTGGGTCAGGATTATGACCATGATAAAGAAAATGCAGATGAGGATTATGAGGACGATGACGCAGGATCCCGCGCGAGGCGCAAGATCCCGTTCAAGAGAAAACGAGCGCCTTCTCGAGGGTCGACTCCAAAGTCCAGGTTGAAGCCACTGGTGGACGCGTCCCTACTCGCCGGTAAGCAGCTTGAGGCCGAAGTCTACAGATTCAATACCACCATCTACGACACCTCTGCCGACCCTCCTTGGGAATTTCTGGGCACCAATTACTTAGACGTGGCCAATGCCAGAGGGCCCATGGACCTCATCAAACGTGTCACGAGGAAGTCTAGTGGAGACGCGGAATTAGAGGCAGCTGAAGAGGACGCGCAGAACATCAAGGGCAACGTTGTGATCTGGGGACCATATGCAGAGTCTGGCCGAAAGGTGACGGAGGCGTGGCATCTTGCGACGGCGCCAATGTTAAGGGCCTTCTTGGGTGATTGGCTCGCTCGCGGCGCGACGCAGAATGTGGACCGTGCGGACATCAAGGTGCTCATCTGGCAGGCGAACGAAGCTGGCAAGGCGCGCATTGCGAGACGGAATCATATCCCGATGCAACCATTGGTTCATGCGGGCGAGAACTCATAGATCGGAGTCGGGGCAGGACTTGTCTGTGTGTGGCGACGATGATGGAAGGCGTGTGTAGACAGTTGTTCGTTGAGCCATACTGCCGCCGAAGAGGCTTCTTGTTGGCTCAGGAATTACTTGGCTTGGACATCAGCCTTGGGTCAAATACCAAGACAGTATGAACATCGATTGCTTAAACCATTTTCCAAGGTTATCTCAACACCGGCTGTCTCTCCACGTAGAAGACATTTCACCGCTTTCGATCCCCAGCTCCTCGGTATCTCAGATGTATCTCAGCCGCAGCATATGTTTAGCTGTGCTATGGCAAATGGAATGAAGAGCTGACCACACATCCATAGATGAGCACGAGGCTGGAGACGAAGTTGTTGCCTTATTTCCCTTTTTGTTTAGTTCCGTTGGCTAGCGGCTTGGCAGGTCCACCACTTGTTTTGACCTTAAGAACACGGCGGGCGTAGAACGATATGCAACGATTCGAAAGCTATACTAGAATGAGAGGCATGATTGATGACCATAGAGTTGGAGGTCTTCGCAAAGTGGGTCGGGTCTGCACGAAGGGTTTTGATTGAATCACAGCTTCTGATGGAAGGGCTGGCACGTTTTTGAGCTCGAAATAGCAAGCTAGTCCTTCATCGGATACCTGCATGATGGCACTACTCTTTCAGCGTCCAAGATTGCATCATGCCCAACTAACAGGCGCCATCTCAATCCTGAGCACCCTCAATTGCTCGATGTACCTCCCAACTCCTGTATTGTCTTGCGCTCAGCGTATGGTGCGTTAGACGACTGGGAAACTTCCTCCACGAGATAGCCGCATGTCAATACCGGTATTGAAGCCAGATCACAGACTCTTACTAACGGCTGTTGTCCGGCTCCGGTCCCCGAGATAGATTATTGGGTTCACTATCGCGCGAGCCATCAATTGCTTCTGGAATTAGGTCAAAGTCCTCGGGGGTCATGGGAAAGGGGTCGCTCATATCATGGTCTCGATGTGATGATGCATCAATTTGCGCATCATATGTACCGGATGAAGCGACGCTAGGGAGGTCCAAAAAGTCGCCGGGATGGAAGTGATTCGAAGGTTGGGTGTGCCAACGGTACTCGACACGAGTCAATTGAGAACGCTGGCCATCAGCTGGCACCCAATAGAGGTCGGCTGCCCGATGCGTATGTGGTCGTCCTGTAGGGAACACGGTCGGTGCGTTAAAGCCCCGGGAGCTCTGCTGGCTGCGGGCGAGGTGTCGCTGCCATTCTGCTTCCTGTTCTGCAAGCTGCGGGTAGCGAGGGTAAGCATATGGACTTCCAGGATAGCCGTGCCGCTCGGGTTGTGTAGAAGGATTTGCAGGAAATACTGGATCCCAGCTGGGGTGGGCAAAAGCATAGGGTCTAGAACGATAGAAGATAGAACGTGGTTCAGTTTCGAGGTATGAAGGGAGTTCGTAAGGGGGCCAGCCAGGATCATGGCGCGGAACGTATCCGTTGGTCGGGATAGGAGGTTCAGGGGCTGGAAGAGGAAGAGTGGACGCCTGATCAGCAAGATATCTTGCAGGTCGCGTGCGCTCGATGCTGTTGGGACCCAAGCTATTCAGAGAAGGTGGATCCAGCTCGATTGGCTGCCATGGTTGCATTGATGCAGGAGAATTGAACTGCTGGACACCATCGCTTCCGCCATGGTTCCTCGTATCGGCAGTCGTGCTGTCTCCATTGAAGGAGATGTTGTCATTGATATCGGGGAGATTGGCTGGAGGCACATCGTTCTCGGCGCGGTCGCTGCTCCAATGCGAGCTATCGTCATCTTCGAAGTATTCGATGGGTCTTCCCATCATGTTAGTTCTGAGGATGTTCTCGGGCGTAGTGATCAGGCTTGGCAAAGCAGCAATGTCTCACGAATGCCAGGTTGCAGCTCAAGCTCTGTGAGGATGACTGTACACAACTGCAGAAAGTGATGGGTAGAGAATGGAGACGGACTACAATGTAGAGAAGACACGAGTCTATGCAATTTATTTGTATATGTGTGCAAAAGCAGGCTATCTGCGGATGTCACTGGAGGCAGATTACACGTCACTGTAGGGCTGTGATACATTCACTGCTATAGTGGACCCCGACAAGGGAGTTTATTATCACATATCATAGCCGTACCGCCTTATATGCAAACAGCGATAGAAGTACTTTCCAGGTTGGTCAGTTCCACAGTGGCCGTGCGTAAAGCCACCGGACTGGAACTTGAGAGCAAAAGAATGCGGTTCCATGATGTAACCTGTGAGCATACTGGTAGCAGAAGTGCTACTAGTCAAGGGCATGAAAGACATAGACATAAACCTCATTATGGGTTCACTTCAATTTCAATCTGGGACAACCCACTTTATTGTCACTGATTGTGTCCGCGGATGTGGCCAAGAGGCGTACCACCCACAATAGCCGCAAGTCTCTGCCGTTTCCTACTTCATCCTCAGTCTATCGCTGTGAACCCACTGCAGAACGTCCTCACCAGTCCGAGTTAAACTGGTCCGCTCATACCTCTGTTAAGCTGTACATGTCAATATTCAGACTCAACATGTCCAGCTCCGAAGATGTCGACAGTCCGCGGCGACCCGCTACCCGTCGACAGACAGGCCTTGCCGCCACGAAGCGTCAGGCTGAGCTCTTGACAACCAAGAACACTGTCAAGGCTCCTGTCAATAAGAGTATGGAGAGTGTTGAGGTTGCAGTCGCGAAAGACGTTGAAGTCGACCCTTCCGAGAAGCAGCAACCCATGAAGCGCAAGAAGGCTCCTCCTGTCAACGCCTCTCCTACTGCGCCAGGACAAGTCCGCTTCCCCGCCGAGCTACCAGCCAACATCTCCCTGATGTTCCGCCAGTACTTCGTGGCCAAAGGCAACAACATTGTCCCGCAGGACATCTACTTCATGCAAGTTCCCTGGATCTTCAAGTTGCACGACGCCAAAAACAAGAAAGACGCCACCGATGCTGGTTACTTCTACGGTGCCAGCGGCCAAGCTGTCCATGTGCGCCCCTTTTCTCTGCCATGGATGCTTAACGAGCCCAGTGGTCGCAACTCACAGCGTCTGCTCGTCGCGTATGACCATCCCTTCCCGGAGCCGGCAGTTCTTTGCCGCATCAAGAAGCACAGCAGCGAGTTCCGCATCTGGCGCGGTGCGGATGATGACCCATACGAGCAAGCTGTCGTGGTCAAGAAGCCTCTCGTCCAGACTGCTGGCAAGAAGATCAACTACCCTGCTCCGGTTCCTACAAGCGTTCTTCCGGCCAGCGCTTTTCCGATAACCCCAAGCCCTACCCCTCAAACCAACCTGCCGGTTTTGCCCGCCACCGCCGCCGCGAACGTTATTGGGAAACGCAAGCGAAACTACATTGAGTATCCTGATATTGAAGAAGATGGAAACGCATATGCCGACGGGGAGATCTACCACAATAATCCTACTCCAGCCGACTCGTCCTTCTCAGGCAACGTCAGCTCTCGCACTTCTTCGCCTGAAGCTGATGACCTCGCTCGCAACATCATCTTCCGCTTCCATGGCATAATCGATCTCGAACGCTCGCGCACTCTGCTTCAATGCCGTACCTACATCAAGTTCCTCACCCATGCCATCGCTGCTGGTGTGCTGTCTGAGAGCACCCAGATCATCCTCCTCAATTGTGTTGTTCGCGGCCGCAATGGCGGTGTCAAACGTATGAGTATTGTGGATGATGAGGACTTCGGTAACATGGTGGGTGACATCATGGATGATCGAGGTTGGTACGTCGCGGGCGAGAAGTACTACGTGGATGTGTCCAGGTGAGTCGGGAGGTTGAGATCAGTGGGATTGGATGAGTTTGATTACATTGCTTGGAAGGCAATTGGTGTGTTGCCAAGGATACCTTGACTTGAAGCTCTGGATGGTTGCATAAGTGTTACCGGTTGGAATAGTAGAGCGCCTTTGAGACTGGATCAGACACACAAGACTGAGTATGGGAACCAGTCAAAGCGAGAATAGTCTGGGACTAAACAGGCAGAGCGATACAGCTCTTGATGATGGCGTTGTTTGTAAAGGTCTAGCAAACAATGACACAAACCACACTCGCCTTGTACCTCTGCATTTCGCACCAACGATGTAGCTATCCAAAATCCCGTGCCTACGTAGATGCCCCTCTCCCTTCTGTACTAATCAGAAAGACTTGTTGCTGACGGTGTCAAGCGACCTGTATCTCGATTGCGACGAAGCACAAAGGTTTGCTACTTGCGATTACTACATCCTCGTCGTCTGAGTGCTCTCCCATGAACATAGCCTTCATTCTAAGATACCAGCCGACACATTGCTCCCAGATGCCGAATCCTACCGACATTGACTCACAGTTTGGCGCGCTTTGAATGTACACAAAGATGAGCCAGCCCACACTCCACTACTGTGCGCGTATACGCAACTGGCAGCTGGGCTCCCGTTGTAAGCCGGCTCGTGGAGAATTACAAAGCCTGCGCCCAGTTCAGAGACCTACGCTCATACAACAGGTCCCAGGCATAGCGTAGTGGGCTACTTGGCTCCGCCGTTTGGGGGCTGGTAACAACGCGCTTAGTTTTCAGAAGCATGCGGAACGGAAGAAGAAGTAATTACGGAGTCTAGGGATGTACGTCGAACGCTTGATGCACCGGTTGTTCATTGGTGTATCGAACACAGACTAGAAACACTGAAGATTCTATCCTCGCTTTCACCGGGTCCCCGGGATAGTCTCTGGAACGACTGGACATATGCACGAACGACCTCCTTATGGGCACGTAGGGAGCTTTCATTTCAACAATTGAATAAGCCTGACCTTGCCCCTGGCCGCTGTCATGCAGCGAAGCCCTCCCCATAGCCACGTTATGCGCCTCTTAAGCAGTGAATGAAAGATGTTGGTGCCCTCCCAGAGAGCCTATCAGCGACCCTATCTTCGTAGCCGACGAGCAGTCGTTTGTTGGCTAGTTCTCCTCACTGTCAAAGAAACTGTATGCTATGTCTTCTGGAATAGAGGTGCTCGTCTTCACAGTCGCCGCCCAAGACGTTGCTGGCTCTTTCAGCGTCATCTGGGTCTTCGCGTTTCATATCGCTTGTCCAGACGAGGCGTCCCGCATCAATATCGTCTTCCAGCACCTTGAGTTGAGACTTGACGAGCGACAACTGCTTCTTCATGTTCTCGGTCTGGGTAAGATTCCCGTCTGTGGCTTCTTGTGCCGCCAGTATCTCTGCCGCCTCCTGGGCAGTCTGACTGTTTCCAAGTGGTCCCACAAAGGTTTAGGCACCGAAACGAGATCCGACCCATTTCGAGGACCGGAGTTTACGGGCAGACCGTCCTGCGGGGTCACGTCGTGAGGTCTGATTCGCAGTGTGAGGTCATTGTCAAGGAGTTGAGGTTCGCGCGCGATGTGGACTTGAAACCTAGCTGGACCATGTCGACCTCGCATAGCTTTGACTTCCTCAACCCATAGGTGTTAGATCTTCCCGGTCAAAGTGGCAGTTCACTGATCGGCATTGGTGCTCTGCTTGTTGCGGCGAAGAGCGAGCAGGCGAAGACTTACTACTCTAATCTGAGTGGAACCGATATGCTGTAGCTCGAAAGCGAACTCGCTGGCTGCCAAACGTATGATCTTATGGATGCTGCGCACTTGTTCCAACGTGGGGACCTTGGGCTCGCTGATATTTTGATAGTCGTGTCCAGAGACGAGCGATACTTCGACCTCAATGATGGGACGATGGGCTCTACGCTCTTTCCTGGATACTCTGCCCGTGAGCACTCTGCCTGTGAGCACGCGATCTTGGCGTTCGGCCATGTTGCGATGAGTTTTTGAGATAGCCTTCTGGAGTGAAGATGATAGCGAAGAGGATGTAGATCTGGGAAGGTGTCCGGGCGTCGTGCCGGGCTGAAGGTTTCTTCGCAAGATCTCACTATTATTCAAGTCAGAATCCACCATGCTTAATTTCCAATTGAAATCAAAATCAGTCATACCTGATCACTGGTCGAATGGGATTAGTCGCGAGTCTAGGATGTCTGAAAAGGAATTCATGCACGGCTTGCGATTCTTTGGAATCAGGATGATCCATTGTGGGGCATAAGGCAAACTCGCAGCAAGGCGCCAAGACGCTAAGCCAGGCTGAAGACAATCAGGGTCAACTGCAGCAAGGCGCGGAAGCCTTTCTACCTAGCAACCATAAATATTAGAAGTTCGGAAATCTCTCCCAACAATCGCACAGACCAGCAGATGCTACAAACCAGGCAGGAGAAAACCACTAAGTCCTGGGGTCGAGTCGTTGCCACTGAGAACTCTCGCCGAGCAATTGGTGACTTATCCCAGGATTTGTCCCAACAGCAAGGTAGTTTTCGGGGAGGGATGCTCCATACAAACTAGAAAGATGCCATAGCAAGCCAAGGTCAAGATCTCTCAGTAGGAGTTGTACAATAAGTACATAGGTCCACGAGACCTCCTATTATGGGAGCACATTCCTCTGTTCTTTTTACTTTCTGGGTGAATTTTGGCGACTGCGCTCGCGAGATATTTTTGCCCACACAACTTGTTGTGTATTGATCGGACCGAGACTTGTCTCGTTGTTCAACAGATAATCATTCTCCAGTGGGCCTATTCTGGAATAATCTTGGCGATGGTTGTGCTCAATTCGGCTGCCATGCTTACAATGTATGCTTTGATCTGCCCGCCTAGGTTCACAAGCATGAGAATTTCAGGCATGCACGCCACCTCTCGACAATAAACGACTTATTCAACCGATGCAGCCCGAGAGACTGGCTCCTTCGATTCGGCGCATGTTCGATCCTCGCTTGTGCCCCTTCAGAGCTCACGTAACGATACCGTATCTTGCGTCCGATTTTAAGATCGACTCAGAGAACAAGACAGATTGAGTGTCTAGGTCAGCCATTACCGACCGACCAAGGACAAGGCAGCAAGATTAACTCAAATACAATAAAGGATGTCGCACTTGGCCATTGTATGTTCGGACCGAGACATGTAGCAAAGCCGGAATACGTGAGATTTGTCTGGCTTTGTACGGGCGAAGATGTCTGAGACAGGCAGCAACAGTCCCAGCTGGCCGTCTCGCAGATCTATAAGTCGTTATCCAGACTTCAGGACATCACTGATGTTCCATCAAACAACCTCTCCTCACAGTCATTCGTTGCTTCTGCGTTCCAACCATAATTCTACACGACTATCAAAGCACCACCAGAGCCATGGACTCTCTAAACGAGGGTGAACTCATGGAGGCGGCCTCGACCCTCGGAGCCACACACGTGGAGCAGCTTGCCACGCTACACAACGCTCTGCTCACCGAGACCGAAGCCGAACTCACGCGCTCTACTCATATCGAGACACAGCGCCATGCTAACCACGTCGTAGACGCATTCGTATGGCCCGAAGACGCCTGCAATTCCATGATCAACGAAACCATCTTCGACCTTCACGACTCATACGTCAAAATCCGCGACGAAGACGACCTGAGCTGCGCCATTTGCAGAGACGCTTACAGAGGAAATGATGAAATGGCCGTGTTGCCTTGCAAGCATCGCTTTCACATGAAATGCATCGACACGTGGTTTATCAGCAACCTCGACTGTCCGTGCTGTCGAATGAAATTCGGATGGCAAACCCTCGAATTGACGGAAGTGGAGAGTAGAGCTTGGACTGGCAATCGGCCTGTGATGAACGGCAACGGGTCGAATGTGCAGTTATGATGCAGTGGTCAGGAGCGCTAATGCTCGTGTCACTGTTCGGGGACCACCAGGGGGCGAAGAGCCGGAGGGGGTCGAGATCAGAGAGTGATAGATGCAGCACGGCATCTCGATTATCGGGCAAAGGCGCCTCGTGAAGGGAAACGAGGTGCTCATCAGCAGTGTCCTGCTTGTAAGCATGCCGTCGGTCTCCTTGGGTTAGAGTGAAAATGGATGGTTCTCCTGCTAAACCGCAATTTATGACAGTTACACACCTATCCACAGACGCAATGTGGTAGCAATAGCCTTTCGCATGCCAAGGATTTCACTGCCTGAGCCGCTGCCTCCTTCTTCCTTCTCCACCCGCTCCAATCTCCAATACCGCCACGCCCGTCCACGGCACGCCAGCCGAGCCCGGCCGCGCTTCTCCGTCCTATATCAATGTATCAGTCCTCCCCTGATTTCCAAGGATTCTCATCCGTACTCCAAGACTCCCTCCCTTTCAATAAAGCCACCGAACCTCAAGCTCAAGCTCCAGAACACAACCCAACCCGCCACAATGTCCACCCCCAAACCCACCCCCCTAAAACTCGGCATCCTCGTCCCCTCCTCCAACACCGCCCTCGAACCGCTCACCACATCCCTCCTCTCCTCCCACCCCCACATAACCGCCCATTTCTCCCGCTTCCCAGTCACCGAGATCTCATTATCCCCTCACGCCCTGGCACAATTCTCCTTAGTCAACGGGCCCATCATCGCCGCGGCGCGCCTCCTAGCCGACGCGCACGTCGACGCCATCCTCTGGAGCGGCACCTCGGGCGGCTGGCTGGGCTTCAACGTCGACGAGAACCTGTGCAAGGCCATCCAGGCGGCGACGGGCATCAAGGCGACGACGAGCACGCTGGCGCTGAATCGCGCGCTGCAGAAACTGGGGGTGAGCAGGTTGGGGCTGGTGACGCCGTACGTGGATGGGGTGCAGGAGGCGATTGTCAGGCGGTATGAGAGCGCCGGGTATGCGGTGGTGGAGAGCCATTTGGGCATCAGTGAGAATTGGCGGATTGCCGAGGTGGGGGAGGAGAGGATGGAGAGGCAGATGCGCGAGGTGGTGGTGGGGGAGGACGGGGAGGAGAAGAGGGTCCAGGCCGTCACGACGTTTTGTACGAATCTGAAGGCGGCGCATATGGCGGAGAAGTGGGAGGCGGAGTTTGGGGTGCCGGTGTTGGATACGGTGGCGACGGTGCTGTGGGATGCGTTCAGACTGGTGGGGAGGGAGGAGGATGCGAGGGCGATTAAGGGGTGGGGGAGGATGTTTCAGTTGTGAAGAGTTGGCCAGGTTGTGTGGGTGACTGGTACAAAGGAATGTTGAATAGATGGTGGTACGAGTTATCGCATTGATAGAAGGTACTGGATGCATCTATGGCTTGATCGTGCCTCCACAAGCCTCCCTCCGCTACCGTGAAGTGACCGCCATGTTTGAGCCTCAGCTCTTCTCGACCGGCCGCGCGCTCTCCACCGTCATCGGCTCTTCTCCCAGCATGATCTTCTCGCTCAAGTATTCAGGCATCGGGTCGTCATCGGGGAAGAAGCCCTCAGTAGGGACCATGCGCTCCCAACGCTTGCTCTCATGCTCACGGCCAGCGGGATAGACCTCGATGGGAAACAGCTTACAGAGAATAAAGTAGACCGTGCCACCAGCAGCAAAGGAGAGGAGAAAGCCCGTGTTGTATATATTGACTGCTGTTTGGCTGATGGAGCCCGGGTTGATCGCGCCGGAGATGCCAGAGATGACAAGGACGACGCCTGCCAGCCACGCGATGTAGATGCGGAAATTAAAGCCTTTGTAGTAGTGGTATGGAGAGCTGTCGTCGGGGCGGTACAGTGACGGCACGTGGATGTTACCACGGCGAGCGTACCAGTAATCGACGATCATCGACGCTAGAACCGGGCTGATAAAGCAGAGGTACGATCCCAGGAAGGTGAGAAAGTTTGCAGCCGAGTTGACGAGCAGCCAAGGCACCACAGCCCATATCAGGACGTTGCATAGGATCTGTCCGCGCACGATGGTGAAATACTTTGGAAACAAGCCCGTTAAATCGCAGCCGATGGGAATGGCGTTGCTGGACACATTGGTCACGATGGTCGCAAAACATTGGATGAACGACCCAAGGAAGACGAGGGTGCGTGTTCCAGGGCCCCAGTAGTTGTCGAGTACCAGGGAGTAGAAATCCCACTGATTCCAGTTTGCGACTCCGAATCGCTTCTTGCCAGCTGCTGTTGTAAAAAGACCAATTAGAATGACCAGCGGCTTGCTGATGAAGAGACCAAAGGTCAACGGCCAGACGTCACGAGGGTGATTTGCGTATCGGGCCAGATCAGCAATGTTCACCATCGGCGGCACGACTCCGCTGACGACGGTGTTGATGGCGCGCATGAATGACCAGCCCAGATTGGATGCTTCTGCGTCGGAAAGCTGCAGGTCAACGCCTCCGAATTTGACCAGAGCCCAGATCATGGTGACTAGGTAGGCTGTTGGGGAGAGCACAGACTTGACGGCGAAAAGGGGGCCTGCCTTGGAAGGATGCAGCCAGGCGAGGGGAAATTGGAGCAGCCACGTGAGGAAGAAAGCAATCATCTGCGATGAGGTGATGCCGGCGGACGCAGGCAGTCGATTGGGGATGTCTGTCCACTGATGGCCGAAGATGCACCGCAGAGCGACATCCAGCTGCCGTGAGGCGTAGTATGTTTGTGTGCCTTCGTAGAACATTGCCACAGCCATTCGGAGAAAGATGAACCAGAGCGAGCCATAGATTCCAGCTGCCACCCGCATGTAGACGGGATAACCAATGTGGTACCATGCCGGGCCCCTCGAATTGAGGAACAGGACAATGCAGCAAAGACCGGTTCCCACGAAGGCGGAGATGGTAATGAGCCACCAGTTCAGGCCGACGGCGTATAGAGACGAACCGATGTTGTAGGTCGTTGGCGAGAAGGCTACGCTGAATTGGAAAGCGAAGAAGTACCAGCCCGACCAGTTACGCTGAGTTGGCGGCGTAGGCTCGAGATCAACATTGGACCATTTGCCGTACGACTTGGTACCAGTCGTCTCGGTGGCACTTTCTTCGACCTTGAGGGCGCTGCTGACCCTTGATACCACTGAACGAGCCATGACTGCCCTCTCCTGCTGCAGTAGGGGCTTCTCGAGTTAGGAGGAGAAGATCCAGGCCTCAAAGAGCGAGGGCCGTGGGCTAAATCATGTCAGAAATGGGGGTGAGCTTATACCACATACCCAGAGCCACGGGCCATTCCCACCCGCCGCACGGCTTCGAGCTCCGTCCCGCGTGGTGAAATGCCATGCCCACGTTTCTCGCCCGTCCATCAATTCGTTCGACCCGTAACGAGATAGCCCATGCCTGCCATACCTGGATCATGAGTAGTGAATCTGCTCATTCGGGTATAGGTACTGGTCTATCAGCAAAATGGCCTCGCTTGGTGAGATGCGGACAAAAGCGACCCCTGCAGAAGATGATAAGAGACCCCATATCTTGGGTCCAAATCGCGGGCGTGAATGTACAGGAACAGAAATGACCGGCATGCATAGATAAGAGATCGGCTTGCTGACCACCCGCATGTCGTTCTGTGGGGAGATGCATCAACGTTATGCCCGGCCGGTGAGCCAGACGTTGCCGATTGTGAGCTTCACATTGCTTTCTTGGGAGGCTTGAAGCGTCTGAGGATTAGCACGAATGCGGACTGGGTGAACCACCTTAGATCAGCCGGAAGTGAGCAGCTTCTCACAGAGGATACGGGTGTTTGAGGACGACTCAGTGGAAGACCGAGGGCGGGCTGAAGGATCAAGCATATATCCTATGTCAGGACATGAACATCACCGGCATTGCAGCCGACCTGCCAAGACCGGCCCGTTGAGCTTGAACCGACGAATCCTGCCGACATACGCCGCTCTTGGGGTGCACGAACATGGCCAGCAGATACAGCTCAATGGGCGGGGAAGACTTCTGTGCTGGAGTGTAAGTATGCCGCCAGAAATTATCATCGCTACGTACGCTACGACGCTGCATGCTTATAAACATTACGGCACTGAACTCAGTTCGTGACCCGCGCATCGCCTCCATCGCCGAGGTCGTTGGCAGTCATCTCGACAATTCTCTCGATTTCTGCCGCAATGCTCAGCACCCAGTGGTCTCTTTCCGCCCGACTTCGGCATTGGAACACCATCCCGCGACCCGGAACGCCTAGCTGAGCAACACGCTTGATTCGAGATCGCTTCTCATCCTCCTGTCGTTCTCCCGCGTCTGACTGCTGTGTGCGGAACCAGCCGCGCCGATGGTTTCTCCACAACACAAAGCAAGTCATGAAGTCGACATCTTGGCTGGTCCATGCCTCGCCACTCGTACCCTCGAGGTAGACACGCGGAGTCCTCGCACCGCCAGCAGCCACGTTGTTTGCGTCGAATGTTTGGTTCTGATATAGTAGATCTTCTTCTACAAGCAGTCCACTGTACACGTAGCAGTCTTGCAGGTCTACTACCTCCTGCCGTTCCTGGTGCAAATGCCTAACCTGTTCACCAGTGCGCTTGCGGACGGTTGCTTGATGGATCAGAAGCTTGCCGGCGCTTAGAAGAACAGAGCATCTCTGAAATGCCGCCCGTCGACGAGGTTTGCGGAAAAGCACACCCGACATGCTGATGGCACGGCAACTGGCGATGCCGCACACATGGTAAAGCTCGGAGCTAGCCTCGGATCGGTTCACTTCCCACTTGCGCCCAAATTGGCCGAGTAGAGCTTCCATCTCCTCATCGATGTTCAACGTGGAGAGATTGGTTCGCCGCACAGCCTTGTAGATTTCCGTGTCTCCTGCAATGCGCAGCTTCCAGTATTTGGCAAGCTTCCGCAGACGCTTGACCCATTCATTGCGTGCCTGCTTGCTGTAGGCTTGTAGGCGGATCACGAGATCATTGTCATGCACCAACTCAAGCACGCGATCATCGTCAATCCGATCTGTCGCACCGTCCTCGTCGCTCGTATCTGAGACGTTATCGTGAAAGTCGACGTCAGAATCGTGTCCAGCGTCTCGGTTCTCGTCGCCCGGATAACTTCCCCATTTCATCTTGCGGACTTTTCTAATTCGGCACATGTCGATATAGCCTTCCGCGGATTCGACATTGGCTAGATTGCGGCGTGCCTCCTCGACCGCTTCACGATCATGTCGCTTGACAGATTCAGCCGAGTCAGACAGCCAGGCGATCGTACCATTGTCAACTTTAAATGGCTCGACATCAAATAACTCGGGTGTCTTTTCGATAATCTCTGTCGATGGCGGGATCTCAGATCCGCCGATAGTAGCAAGTCGCGGAGGATGCGGTGGCGTGGATTTGGCGGGCTGATTAAACATTAGAAACTGGTTTTGGGTATAGTAATACAGTCGTTTGTGAAAAGTCTTGCCCATCCGCTTGGAAACGCCCTTTTGGGAAGTGAGTCGGATCAAGAAGCCTTCAACCGGTGGAGGCTCTTCGTGTATGACGCCTTTATTACCCCTCGCAGTCGTATGATAATGCTCTTTCGGCCGCAGCTCAAGCTCATATGTTTTCTGCATGGCCATAGACCCGTACATTTTCTGCTCTGTAGCCCCATGCACCCATTCTAAACGATCATATCGTTTCCACGCCAAACCCATCTTCGCAGTTTCACGCCACATTTGGAGCACGTCTGTCCATTCCGGGTCTTTTTCAAGGATCTCGATGGATTGACCAATGATTCGACCAGCGACAGCCTGCTCGGCCTCCTGTGTCTTTGCAACTGCGGTGTCTTCGTCCTGAGCTGCACTGGCGGCTTCTCTGATGCCATCAAAGGGTTTGTCGAGCCTAACCGACACGCCGAGATCTGGTACACTGACTTGGAGAGCTCTTGGTCGTTTCCACCCCATCGCATCCCTAAGAAAGGTGTACCACTCCACGGAGTGCGCCGTAGAAGTCGGCCTCATGATGATGATACGAGTGCCTTTTCGATAGGGATGCCAAAGGACAACGGTCTTGTCCAAGGAGGAGTAAAGATTGACATGGGTGGTCTTGGGGTCGAGCCTGATCTCCCTTGCAGGCTTCTTCTTGGTGGACTCATTGTCAATTTCAGGTATGACGCGAGTCTTGTAGATCTGTAGTCGAAAGTCATCGGCATCCTGCTTCTTGCTCTTCCGAACAACTACCATGAACTCACGCCACTTCTCAATGACACGGGTGTCGATCTTGAGGCTTTCGTTCTCGTCGTACTCGTCGGGCACCTGCTGTCCACTGAAGTCCATTCGCACAAGCATTCTCTCCATCTTCACAATCATACCCTCTTGCATGGTGTTCCGCCGGAATTTCTTATTGAGAACCTTGTCTCGCGTGCTCCCGACTCTGCGCTGAATGCGGTGTTGTCTGTTGGCGACTCCCTCGGACACTTTGAATCTGACGCCAGTGTTTGTCCGTCCAAGATGGACATCCGCATCGTCGTCATCTATTGGAGCGGGTGCATGTTGTTGCATGGACTTCTTGTCCGTCTTTGGACTTACAGGTCGAAGAGCTGAGCTTAACAATTTTCCTTGTGGTCTAGTGTCCTGTGGCAGAAGACGAGTCTTGGAATTGTTGTCAACCTCTGGGGTCATGCCCCCATTGTGTGAAGAGTTTCTCACCGAAGTCGAGAGCCTCTGATCATCACTATCGTATCGTTGTGAGTCGGTCACAGTCAAGGAAAGTCCAGCTGGTTGCTCCTCGCTCTCTTCGTGGTGAATTTGTTGATGGGCAGTGTGAAAGCTGTCTGGAGGCGGAGAGGCAAGATCTTGTCGCCGCGTATCCTTGGATGAACCCACTCCCGGCTCACTCGGTCGATCACGAGGCGCAGGGATAGCCTTCGGAGATGCGGCACCAGACTCGCTGTTACCAAGCATCTGTTGTGCATCATGAGTTGCCACAGGTTCAACCACGGTGGTTTGCTTGTCCTCGTCTTCAGTATCTGTCTCTTCCGTTTCGCCCTGCGATGCCTCACTCCCGCTAGGTTCTTCGTCGACATCTTCAGGTTGCGGAAAGCTGAAATTGATTCTCGCTGTCGTAGATGGCCCTCCAAAGTCGGTCATCGTCCGATGACGTGCGCCTTGGTCTGCAGCAGCATTGAAGGAAGCTTTCCGCGAGCTGTAGGTGCTCAGCTCAACTCGTCGTTTATACCATGACTTCCTGTTGTCTCTTAGCCAGCCGTCTGGGATAGGCCCTATAAAGAAGCGTCGAGTTGTGAGGTGGAGGTGCTCCGGCGAAGCGTGCTTCAGACGATGAGCTGTGTACGAATCTCTATCGAGGCCTTCGATGTGATGATTCGTGGTGCGGCTGCCGACTGGCATGATGCGGGCGCTCTGGTCCGCCATGCCGTGATTCGTATTAGATCAGAGCCGGAGGCTCATAGGTTGTTTATAGATATCGTATAGTCCCACGGGAGGAAATGAAAAGTCTCAACGCAGCTGGCGGCCGTCAACGCATGTAGCACTTTCCTGTGCTGCACATCATTTCCTTGTGCTTGCCTTGGTTCGAAAGTCAAAATGACGTCGGCAGGCGCCATCCGCATGGGTATCCGATCGCAGCTCTTTGATTGGTCCCCAACCAACAACACGCAAAGGTCGATCCACCCCGCGGATCCTGCCCCCTCGACAACCGCACCTGCAGTGACAAACTGGAGCACAACCCCTTTGCACGAATCTGACCGTATCCGGCTTCTGTCCTCTCCTTGCACATGTCCTGGTGTTGAATACATATATCCAGAGACCTTCCTCCTGCTCTCGTCGGATTTCCATTCTCTCCAAGACAAGCCTCCCACCGCCCATCTAGAAGTAGTACCAGTCCCCAGCCCAAACATGGCCGCAATTATTGCTCCGGACAAGACGTGGTTCGGTACGCTCCAGAAGCATTTCTCAGACGTCCCTGTCGACGCCGACCAGGGAATCCCCACCGAAGATTTTCTCGCCGCAGCTGCGTCGACTACCACCCTCTTCGACCTTCTCGGCTCTGTAGCATTTACACCGGTCAAGAATGATATGAACGGCAACGTCAAGAAGATTCGTGACAGATACAATGCCAGCCCTTCAAACTCTGGCACGCTACAATCTTTGTGCAAGAACGAGTTGGCTTCGAAGTCGCACACTGCTACGGAGGGTCTACTCTGGCTTATCCGAGGCCTCGACTTTACCGCACAAGCCTTGCGTCATGATCTCACTTCTAATGCGGGTCTGTTAGGCACCGAGCCAAAGCCCAAGGCCGAATTAGCAGACTCGTTCAGAAGTGCATACAAAGGCACCCTCGCTCCTCATCACGGCTTCATGGTCAAGCCCATCTTCAGCGCAGCCATGTCCGCAACCCCTTACCGGAAGGACTTCTACAGCAAGCTTGCAGGTTCTCAAGTCAGCAGCGAAAAATTGACATCGGAAGTTGAGAGATGGGTTTCGGCGCTAGAAGAGCGGATCGCCATTCTGAAGACGTTCTTGGCCAGCAAGGAAGCAAAATGGTGAAAGGATCAAGAAGGATAGGGGATTCGGAGCATGTGTTCCAGTGCATCGATAGCAGCAATATTGGATGCAGCCGCTGGAATACGATACAGAGCACATTGCTTCAACTACTGCGCATTGTGCCACTCAGACGTTGGTGATCAAATCACTTCTGCGGATGGCTCAGAGCGAGATGAGCCGCCTGCAGTCTCTCCGACTCTCTCTCGGCAGCTTGCTGGCGCGCTTGCTCCAGCTCCAGCTCTCTCTGCTCCTTCTCGAACTGCGTTTTCCTCCTGTTCAACTTATTCTGCAGCACGGTCTTGGGCGTATACTTGTTAATCCAGGCCCACTCTTCGTAGTTGTTGAGCTTCTCCGCCTCCATCTTGAGCCGTGCCTCCGTGTACTCGCGCCGCCTCTGCAAGATCTCCTCCGGCGAGTAGACGTCCTCCGCGGGTTTCTTTCGGAGATATTCCCGGGCCATCTCCTCGCCCTCTTTGGTGGGCACAAGGCCAGCATTGTTCTGCTCATCCACTACCACGAGCAGGCCGGCCTTGGTGAAGACCGAGTCGAGCCGTTCGATCATCTGCTCCGTGAGTGCCTTGGTCTCGGGATCATTGCGCGTCCTTTCCTTCAAGGCTTCCACATAGTACTGCGCCGTGGCTTTTCGTTGGCCGGTAGACAGGACGAGATCGTTGATCAGCCTTTTCTCCTGCGTCTTCATCTGCTTCAGAATCTGCTCCGCGCTGCCATCCACCCATCCTTGTCTCCAGCCCCTCTTATTGGGATCCTCCTGTTCCTCCAGTACTGCATTCTCCGTGACCCTGCCTTGCTCGCGCGCGGGCCAGTGATGCTCTTCCAGTTTGATCCAGCGGGGACTCCACCAGGAATCAAAGACGGCGACGACTCTCCCGATGACCAAGTTTTGGCTGATCTGCCCATACCAGTTGCTGTCGCGGCTCTTTTCGCGATCGTCCGCGTCCCCTTCCACCCAGAGGTGATTGTGCTGGACTACCACTTCGTCTCCACCGTCAAACCCTTTCAGTGTCTTGACTTTATCTCCCGCCAGCCCCACAACACGCTTGACGGCGACCTTGTTGGGGTCGTGCGGTGTGTCAAACACGACAATGTCACCTCGCCGCAACGGCTGTTGCGTGGTCTGCCCCATGGCCCTCAACGACAAGCGTTGCAGCCAGTAGCCCCATAGATCATACGAGCCGAGTCTCTTGACCAATATCATATCCTTGGTTTCCGGTAGATGCGGTGCGTTGTTGGGATTGAGGAACGGCGCCATGGAGCTGCCACTGACGGGCATGCGCTGGTAGGGGAAGTGTAGCGCAAGGAGCACAAAAATGGGTGTCAGCTTGAGTGTGGTGCCGATGAAGCGTCTGTTCGGGCCGGGGACGCGTTGCAGGAGGCGGCGGAACGGAGCCAGCAAGAAAGAGGTGCGGATCGCGTGCAGGATTCTCGACGTTGGTCGCGATGCTTCGGGAGGGGTTTTGGGCTGAGGATCATGCCTGTTGCGTGTACGGAACGACTGTGTGGCATATCGGCGTCGTGCTGTTTTCAGGGATCGTAAGGACTGCTGCCAGAGCTGACATCGCCGGCAAATGGGTGGCATGCTGGTATAGGGTGATGTGAATGTCGATGTAGAGAGGGTGTATCAGCGTCGCATCGGTCGTCCGTGGTGCTTGCGCTGTCGACGAGTGCTCCAACAAGCCAGGACTCCCTTACCACCGTGTAGCCCCTCCGAAGCTCCACGAATTCGAATCTGCTGGTTCAGTTTATTGCGACCGTAGAGCAGCTTTACCGGAGACGTTTAGGAGATAAATTTGCAATCTCCGTGATTTCTCCAACACGTTGACGCCATTCGCAACTCCAACGATGCTCCCAGTCAGCAACGTCCAAGCGACACAACGATGCGATACACGTATGTCAGGTGAGTCAGCTAGCCAGAGTCTGGATCAGTCTGTCAGGTGCACTGCGGACTCCATAGCTATGTAAGTCTCGTATTCGCCATCGCTCGCGAGTCGGTAGCTAAATACATTACTGGACAACCGCGGCTAGAATACCCAAGCGGGGCATGATTTCAATCGATGTGGTAGATATGCTTGCTGAACAACACAATACGTCACACTGACATTTTCGCTTCCATTGGAAGCCGCCACAGCCGGTAGAGATCCAGCGCTCTTTTGGAGCTGTATATAACACATGCCGGCAGCAACAACACCCTCGGACCGATTACAGCAGCACATATCCCATCTCACCACTTCAACAGCAACGAACGACACCGCCGCCATGTCTGATCGACCTAATATTATCCTCTACACTGATGCCACTCCCAATGGAATAAAAATTACCATTGCACTGGAGGAGCTGGGTTTGCCGTACAAGACCGAGCACGTCGATATCTCCACCAACCGTCAGAAGGAGGATTGGTTCCTCGAGATCAATCCAAACGGCCGCATTCCCGCTTTGACGGACACCTTCACCGATGGCTCCCCCATCCGCCTCTTCGAAGGCGGCTCAATCTTGCAGTATCTTGCCGAACAGTACGACAAGGACCACAAAATCAGCTTCCCCAAAGGCAGCAGGGAGAGCTATGAGATGAATAATTGGCTGTATTGGCAGCATGGCGGTAAGAATCCATCACTCCACATCCGACACTGGTGGGAACCAAACTAATTCGGGAAACACAGGCCTGGGGCCCATGCAAGGCCAAGCCAACCACTTCTTCCGCTATGCTCCGGAGAAGATTAAGTACGGAATCGACAGGTACATCAACGAGTCTCGACGCTTGTACCGCGTGTTAGATACTCACCTGAGCAAGAGCAAGTCCGGATACATCGTGGGAGATCATGTATGTTACTGGCCCAGGTTCCATCTTCAATCGCTGACAATTTATAGGTCTCACTCGCCGACATCACCAGCTTTGGCTGGGTATACTGGGCCGGCTGGGCCGGCGTTGACATCGAGGAGTTCCCCAACGTGAAAGCATGGGAGGCCAAAATGACGGCCCGCAGCGCCGTCGACAAGGGCAAGGATATCCCGAAGAAGCTGAATGTCAAGGAGAAGCTGAAGGATCCCAACTTTGCCGAGAAGTATGCAAAGCAGGCGTCTGAATGGATCATGAAGGGTATGAAGGACGATTCCGGAACAAAGTGAGTTTGCCATTTAAGAGACCTGTGAACTTCTCAAGTGAGCATGTTGTATACAAAACATTCCTAGCTGAAATCCCATTGGTCACGCCCCTGAAGAAGCAAATATTCGTGATATCATTCCCTGAATTCAGTATCACCCGAGTTGAAAGAGGACTTTTCGGCGTCTGAGGCATCGGCGACACAGCCATTCCGACAGCCTCATCCTCAATTTGCGGGCAGAACCTGATACCAAGCTCGCGATCAACCACGGATGACACACAGTGACAGTATGCCAACCTCAACAGGCCGGCAGCTGAGTGTCTCCCGATGCGACCTTGTGAACTGGACCCAATACCGACTGTTGGCATTATGAGAGCGCCCAGGTCGATCCCTCCCCCTAGCCATGCCTGTGATTGTACTGGTAGCCATGTCGGTGGTAGTGCTGGTTGCCGATTCTGTGGTGTTCGACGTTGTGGCGGTCGACTTGTCGTGGCTTGCTCAGGCTATGGCTGTCAGAACGGTACCCGTTGTTCGTCGTCTGAGGATATAGTTGGATGTAACCTCTCCGGTCCAGCTCCACAAGTGCCTCTCGAAGCCTCAAGCTCGCACTCCTGATGGCTTCTGCGGCGGCATTGCCGGACCTGTGCGCTTGGCTCTCCCCAGCACCATTCCCACCGCGGTCCGCGTTGGGAGGAGACATGCCTGCGCCACCTCCTCCTCCCCCACCATCACCCTTCCTAGATCCCGTGTTATTGTTGTTATTGTGCCTGCCGCCTCTGTCGCTGCCATCGCGTCCGCCACCGCGTCCGCAATCTCCACGGTCGTTGTCGCCAGATCTTGTCTGCGGCTCGTAATCAGCATTCCCCTCGATGACTGGACCATCAGCAAGCCTGGCTTGAATTTGATTGGGTTCCGGCTCGTGATGAGTCAAATCTGCCATGCGATATATGCTAGCAGCAGATTGCAACTGGGACCTTGTTGCGGGAACATCGTCGACAGCCAGATTCTCAATATCTATTGGAGCCGCTGGCGCGTTCGGTCCCCGCCTGAAACGACCAAAGATGCGGTAACGCCGCCCTTTAATACAGTTATAGATCTCATATCCGACGAGAACCAGAGTTCCGACGGCGCCCATGCCTGCAAACACTGTTTGGAGGACAGACCTGATATCCATTGCCGGATAGATGTCTGGTATGAGCTGCTATCAGATAGAACTGCTCTTCAAAGAAACAGCCGACAAAGAAGCCTGTGTGATCAGTGCAAAGGGCTTACTGAATGACTGGCAGTTAGTCTTCTAGCGCTTTAAAACAAATCTACTAGCTTTAGCGGATTTGCAGGTTATATAGCCTGGCAAAGTTCTAGTGAATGGTGCCCGGTTTCTGTGCAACGCTCCGAAATAGACACGTCACAGACGAGTCTGTGTCAGCAGTATATGAGCCTTTCCCGATGCAAACAAAGAACAATGATAGTGTTCGTGTCAGATAAGTAGAACGAAACTATGCAGATGGGCGATGGTTCGAAGCGATTCGAGACATGGTTGGGCGTTGGTTGGGCGTACATACTGCGGCATGTAACAGGGAATCAGCCCAGTGCTCATACTTGGAGATACGAATACGTTTGCAAGGACTTACCAGGGTTTACTTACCTTTTAGCATAAGGCAGGTATGCTTTTTTGATGAGCTAGCCGTGCAGCGGAATCACGTGTGGCTTTGACGGAAGGATATAACGCAGAAACTGGGCGTAGCCGCACCGCCTTGACTCTGTGAGAGCACGATTGTCAATCAAGGATAGTACGAGACGGAGAAGAGCCTCGCTGGCGATTGCTTCGTGTAAAGTCTTTCGATAGGTGCCCGCTCGTGGCGCTTTGAGGTGCAGCGATGACAATGCATCTGCTTGCATCAGGTGTCAAAAGGGTTTGGAGTTTCCTAGAGCCATCCTCGGCAGCGATAATGGCTGTTCGCATGCATCTGCTTTGCCCTAATCTTCTGGACCAGCTGCTCGTCGGGGCTGCTATTCGCGCCAGCAGGCCGACTTCTGGGCAGCGAAGTGACCGGATCTGAGCACCTTGTCTGGGTTCCTGGTCTTGCCAGATCCATTTGGACTGGCCAAGGGCGGACAAAACAGCGATAGCATCGCAGGTATGCGCGACTGCAGCGATGACAGCGATGGCGGTATGAAGGGTGATGCGGTGCCATTGGAAGGTAGGCTTGCACTGCCAGGCTAACGGACATCCAGGTACGGTGGTAATCGAAGCCAGGTTGATGCGAGAGGCGACCATCTCTGGTGATAATTCCAAATAATAGCCTCGGATTTTCTGATGTTGGGAAATGACGGAGGCCATCACCTTTATCCAAAAGCACGTCTTTTTACATTCAATGTAGTTCTCGAAGAGCCTTCACGGCAGTATATACCTGCCGATGAATCCAGACATGAGGCTGAAGAGCCAGCATTTTTACAGCCTAACAACTCAACTACACCATAGCGAGCAGCGCCTGAAAAATGAAAGTGGACTTGACAAGCTGATCATATGTCTGTCCGCAGTAGGTGTGAGAATGGTCGGTCGACTGTGAACTGTGCCAACGACGCTCTGAAGTGGTCTGTCAGTTCCTTCAAGCATGCGTAAGCAAGTGCTGGCGCAGCATGGTTCGAGTGGTACATCTAGGTGTGCCGACGTTCTTGTGTCGTTTTCCAAGCCATATTGCTGGGCGGTCGAGCATGCTTGGCTCGATGTAGAAGCAACCGCAGTCACCGGTGATGTACTAGGCAGAGAAGAGCGACAAAGGCAGCTGCTGAAGCATTCAAATACTGTAAAGGCATACCTGTGGTAAGGCTGGGCCCATAGAGGGTCCAATCTTCAGTGGCGGATCTGCAGGAACAGCCTGGCACTCGCTTCAGTGCATACAAAAGACCAGGGGTCTGAGATATAGGCATTGCAGAAGCCTTTGCCACGCTTTCCAGGTAGACTTTGGCAACAGCCATCGGCAATCGTAGCCAGGAAGGCGCACAGTCGTGGTAGAAAAGGTATACCGGAAATAGCATTGGTGCAGTGTGTTCCGTGTATGAGCGAGAGCGTACGAGGAGATCATCGGTGAGTGGGCTCCATCTCAGAAGTGTCAATTTCGGAGTCAGGAACATTTGAGCTTGGGAAAGACCTCCAGGTCTTCCTGACTCGCCAGCTGCCGCGCCGAAAACTTGGCATCAAAATTCGTGGTGCGCCAAGCAAGCCTGCGTTTTCGCGGACCACCAGTTGTTGCAAAGCGGTGCATTGACAACTCCTCTGACATCTCTCCATCAACTTCCACACAATTACCTCGAGGCGCAGGATATCCAACTTCTTTGCGACCAAAAATCTTACAATGGCTCCCACTCAGGTAAGTCCGCGCACACCCTCCCTTCCCCACCAAACCGCTTTGCTTGCCAGGGACCGCTGTTCGCTCGGACGCCCATCCGCACTCTGCGCGCGTGCGGCAACGGCAGTCCCACTCCAGCAGCATAGGTCGAGAGCAGCAGGCTAAGGTGTTCTTTCTTTTGCGGTGATGTAGGCTCGCGCTGGCGCCAAGAAGGGTCAGAAGACCAAGGTTACGAACAAGGTACGTTATAGATGTTCCCCCAAGGGTCCCCTTCTGGCATAACGTTAACACTCCGTCTTCTCAGTACACCATCAACTGCAGCCAGCCTGTGTCAGACAAGATCTTCGACATCTCCGGCTTCGAGAAGTTCCTGCACGACCGCATCAAGGTCGAGGGCCGCACCGGCAACCTCGGCGAGAGCGTCGAGATCAAGCAGATCGGCGATGGCAAGATTGAGGTCGTCACGCACATCCCTTTCTCCGGCCGCTACCTGAAGTACCTGTGAGTTTTGGTCTACCTCTACCTTGCCCCATGAAGAGGAAAAGAAAGAAGAAGAATCGTGTATATGGGCCAGTGTACTGACGGGAGAACCAAAATAGGACAAAGAAGTACCTCAAGAAGCAGCAGCTGCGCGACTGGCTGCGTGTGGTCAGCACCAGCAAGGGTGTGTATGAGCTGCGCTTCTTCAACGTCGTCAACGATGACGCCGATGAGGATGACGAATAAGCTGATGCACCAGCGGCGCGACCTAGACTTAGAGACGAAGATATGGCCACATTTCTTGCACGTCAGCCTGTGACTGATGGACGCTCAGTCAGATTGCTGGCTGGGCGATATGTCGCCCTAGGCCTGAGACTTGAGGTAAAAAGAACAGTGGGCCCAGGCCAGATAGACAGCAAAAGATTCGTATCTGAGCTACTTTGTCTCTACCCTTCGGTACAGATGCACCTGCATCCGCATGTTCTCAAGCTCGATCGTGTACCGCGCTCCTACGCCTTGGCCCACTCTGAACCACCGACCTTCGTCTCCCAATACCTTCTCCCAGCTGCCTGCCGCCACCTCGCCCAGTGTATGGTCCAGCAACCACTGCATTGGATAACGCTTTGTCCTGCGCTCCGTGTCCTCACCTTCCGCCTGTTTCCCAAGCGTGATCTCCGAGTAGCTTCCTGGACTGTCCACGACCAGCAAGTGCGAGCCAATTCGCATATTCTCCGTAAGCTCGAGGAGCATCTTGGTGGTTCTAGGTATAGAGGCCGAGAAGAGCTCGTTGAGCGTGAACATGACTGTCACAAGCTCTGTAGAATGTACTGTCTCTCGCAGCGTCGCATCCCAGTCAGCCAGGATATCACGCTGCATAAATTTGAGCTGCAGAGTCTCACGCTCCACGAATGCTTTGTTGGCAGCTTTGGCCGCCTCACTCGCATACGCAGAAAGCGGCGGCGCAGTGGTCAAAGCAGTTTCGAGTTTCGAGAGCACGTGCGACCAGTCCGCCACGTCCACTGCGGTGATCTCTATGGGTATCCGAGACCTGCGTCCTATGACAGCTGTCAGGGCAGCGACCTCGGCGCCTGCCCCGCCGCCTATGCATATGACATTCACTGGTTTGCTTTCTTCCCTATTGGGCTCTGGCGAATCGAACACCAGCTGCGTTGCAGGTAGATCGAGCGTAACGAGAAGGTCTGCATAGCCTAGCGCCCGGCTGGCGCTCCATCGTACAGCATAGGCCTCGAGGTGTTCTGGCTTGCCAAACGCGTCAGCAAAGTTGCGGTTGTACAAATGTCCTTTGACGACTTGAACAACGTCCTTCAGGTCAGTGGCGTCGGCGAATGGGAAAGCAAGTGTGAATTGCTGCAACATCAGCTGTTGAAGTTCGAGGGGCAGGGATGGTTCTTCCTTTTTCCTTGCGACAGCAGTGGTGGACGGCACATTTTTTGAACGCTTGTCGCTGGCTGCGGCCTTGCGACGGGGCCCCATTTGGGGCAAGGCAGTTCGATGCCTGCTGTTGGACGAGGGAGCCCAATGATGAGTCCAATCACGATAAGAATTGGCGCGGAGGATTAAGCAAGGTGATGTGCAATCCGAGATTCGCGTCAAGAGAGTCTCACGGTGTCAGCGGAGGTCAAACAGACTGTAGATGGCAGCTGTCTGAAATTCCCGGGACCACGATGCACATGCAACAACTTCGTGGCTGCGATTTCGCGTACACGTCCCAAGAGATGATCCGTGCAGCGAACGCAACGCTGACCGGAAGGCACGATCTCGTATCGAATCCGAATGTAGGCGAGTGAGCGAGCCACGTAGCGATTGGATGATGGGAGGGGAATGGCGCAGAAGGCGGTGAGAGCGTTGACGTTGAAAAGTGTCAAAGTCTGGACTCTGGTCGAAAGTGAACGCCGCCGAAAAAGAGGCATCAAGCTGGCACAGCGTGTGGGCCACTGTGGAGGAGAAAGCGGAAAGCCAGGCTGTTAGTCACCCGAAGACCCTGAAAGACCTGCACAATTGGATGCCGCAGGTTTGGCGCTAGAGCGGCCTTGTCTGTAGGTTGTCTGGGAGACCCGCCGCCACCGAGAGACTCCAGGCGGGAACTCTCCCCAAGATCTCTTGCTGCCTTCGGACTCGGGCACGACGGTCGACATCGGCACTCTTGTCAACTTAAGAGGGCAGATGATGCTGTATGAACCAAAGACGAAGCGCAAATGAAGGAGTGGCACACGGTTGAGACGGAAAGGGATGGAATTCAGAGCACAGAGCGTATCTTGCAGCAGAGGCGACAGATCGCCAGGATCAGCAGTTCTTTCGGGACGACTGATGGGAAGTCTCAGGTCAGAGCAAGCTACTTTCCGGAGCAGGCTTTGAGTGTACCTGCATCGACTTCAGGCCGTTTCGGCTAGCGGAGTGTACCTGCAGATGCAGCCCGCGCTCACGACCCATTAGAGGACTTTGCATCACACCCTCACGCGCGTAATCTGCATCGTTAATGCAGTGACGACGGCGTGCCAACAAAAGCAGGAATTTTCACTTTGCAAGATAGCAACCACGTCGAACAAGCAGAGGCCATGATGTGGCCGTGATGGATACCATGGCAGTTTAGCAGTGCAAGATGGAGCTGAGATGATTTTAATCTCTTCCGAGATTGCCAGCATGGCGCTGCCACCCTCAGCAGCCTGGGCAGCAATATCGCTACCACTACCGCTCGCCGGGTGTCAGCACATCCCAGCTGCCAGAACGATTGATCTCGCTGAGTGTACAAGCTGGTAGCTTTGGCAACGACAAGCAGGCCTCAGGAGTGAAGCCCGATAAAGTTCGCTATCGCATGCCAGGTCAAGGCGACGTGACTGCAGTTGAGGGCTTCGCGATTCGCTGTGCCCGCCTGTCGCCTGCAGAGCTGAGCAGATTAGGGCTAGTGGACCGCCTAAAAAATGCCCGCCTGACTTGCGCTAGCTTTACGCTGTGCTGCTGCGCGCTGCGTGGCCCAGCTGACGCTTGTTCCAACCCGCACTTCCGTTGTCCACACTGCGGTACTCGTGTCCATCATCCTCTACCCTCTCTAGTTCCTCTGCTCGACTTGACCGTTTCTTCCTCTCGACCTACCCCTCCTCTGCCCTCTTCATCCCACACGACACCAGGCTCCTGTTCGCAGAAGGACCTCTCTACTGGGGGTCTTTCTGCCAGGTCGCCGTCCGCTCCTTAATCACCTACCCTGCTCGCCAATCGAACCAGATACGATCCATCACCCAGCGTCCACACACCATCCTATTCTACATATAACGCAACAACAATACTATCTCTAGGCATTAATGGTGGCTACTGTCCTTCTAAGAGTCGGAGGTTGAATAGACCATTCATGGTGCTGGCACACCCCGTCTCGACCTCGCTTGCGACGATCTAGTACTTTCCAATTCGCACGCAGCCCGTACTGAGTTGAATCTAAGTATCGAAGTACCGCACAGCATGGCTTCCGTATCCCTCCCTCCGCCTAGCATGGGAGCCTCCCCATTCGATGGGCCGAACGCTCCTTCTTCGCCGTCAAGGCACCGACGAGCACCATCAAGAACCCCAAAGCCCGAGCGTTTACCTGCCTTTTCGTTCAATCCTGGCGCCGACACCACACAAGAGTCTGTTGAAAGTGATGAGAATCTGTCAGTCGAGGACGATTCGCGTGACTGTCCTAAGCGAGGACTGCCACCTCCGTTGCCAGACTTCAGCTTCAACCCCGCTGCAAATCTTCCTTCGGCAGAGCGCGAGGTCAGCCCAACACATCCCGTCCTTCAAGAGATGGCCCTCAATCAGCAGCGCGTCAGCCGGTCCGCCAGGCCAGCACCACTTCCAGCGTTCACTTTTGGAAGCACTACATCCTCGGGGACACCCAGCCCAACACGCTCAACGTTTCCCGAGTTGCCAGGCTCTTCTGGCATGGGCCATCGACGACGAGGCAGCGAATTTGTCGGGGGCGGCAAAGAAGGATCACAACTTGTCGGCACAAGTCCAGGAAAGAGCGATTACCGTCCTCCACCAGTCAGTGGGCCACCGCGTGGTCATATGCATAGAAGATCCCAAGCAATCTCGGTTTCCGACATTGACACGTCGGACCTGATCAAGACTGCTGCCCTGTCCAAGGCTCGTGTCGGCTCTCAGCCAACCACGCCCTCTGAGCCGGGTTTCACCGTGCCCAAATACAGTCCTCCAAGACAATCATTCTCACAGAGCCAGTCGACACCATCGTCACCCCAGAGAAGAGAAAGCATGTCTGGTATTCGCCCACGTGTCGGCTTCGCTGATCGTGTGGATGTCATTCCGCAACCGCGGCCCCTCTCTCTGATCTCCTCCGAAACCGAGGGCAGTTGTTCAACGGTACGAGGCCACTCGCTTTCGGGAAGCATCAATTCGATCTATCCTACATCAGCAGTAAGCTCCCCAACAAATTCACGTGTCATGGACGATAGTCCACCAAAGCAGCGTCCACATACAGCCGATCCCGCGACCCTACTCTCACCCGTTCTATCGAGGGAAGAAAGGGAAGAATCGATGAGCATGCCCAAGCGACCACTCTCTGCGTCAGGCTCGCCAGCAGTGACGTTGTCCGGAAGCCCGCCAAACAAAAAGAAGCATTTCTGGTTCAGCCCTTCGGCACATTCCTCGCCATCGCCCACGCCAAAGAGTGAGAAAGAGGATCCACTAGCGGATATTCAGGCATTGCCCAATCTAGATCCTATTGATCCTCCAAGGCCTCGGACATCTCCAGAGCGGTGCTCGAGCATCAAGAAGAAGAAAAAGTATCACACATGGACATCCGGCATTTTTTCCAGAAAGTCCGCCAAACGCCATGCGAAGAACAGCAAGCGTGTAGCTACGCCACCTACTCTCGTGCGACGCCCTAGTGATCGAATCAACGAGATCTTCGATGCCGACGACACCGTTGTGCTTCGTGAGCCCTCGCCTGTTGTGCAACGAGCTCGCCCTAAATCCAACCCTCTTATGGGGACAGCACCTTCCTTCTCCGCCCACGTTCCAACGTCGCCTGTTGAAGCGTCGGGGCCGGTGCTTGACCTGGATGCCGCAATGACTGACGGGGCTTCCCCTGACACTCCAACCCGAGGGGCTGCATCACGGATTGCCAAACTCCATAGCAGCGAGCGTCGAGGTCAAATGGATCCTTTCGGAGCATTCCACAAGCGATCCGAGTCGGCTCCGGCGATGCAGCCCGTGAATCGGGCATCATTTGGTATGCAGAGAATGGGTAGTAATCAGTCTCTGTCGGAGGAAGTGTTCGATGAGGAAGAAGAGGACAATTTCCTTGCTGGAAAGACAGGCGACAACAGCAAGAACGAGAATGTTAGGAGTTCGAACCCGACGCGGCCTGCTGAGCAAGCTACCGCTCTCGATGGTCTAGGGTTGGCCGTCACAACCGACGATGTTGTTATTGTCGACCCGGAAGACGATGTTCCTGTCGACCCGCAGCGATCGTCCACCGCGACTATCGAAGCTCCTGTGATTTCTGTCGAGACAAAAAGACCGGTTTCTTCTCCGATGTTCTTTGCCTATTCGGCACCACATTCGCACTACGCCTCGTCGACGGAAGGCAGGACAACATCTGCGTCAATGATTTCCTCGCCAGATGCAGAGCATGTATCTTTCGAGAGCTTCCCGAGAAACGCGCGAAATTTTGGCGAGACGAGTTCGGAATTCGTGCTACGCGGGTCCAACGAAGACTTGCCATCGTTGTCAGACAGCATCTCGAGCAGCGCTCTCCCACGCATGTCGAGCAGTGCAAACACGCGGTCATCGATTGAGCAGCGTGCACACTCGGTATGCGTTCCGGTAACATCTCGGTCAAATCAGCCAGCGTGGAAGCGTGCCAGCCTCGCGAGCTTGAACCGGCTCATGCCGGGATCGGCCAATGGCAGCAATCTGAAATTCGAGACTGTGGCGCCTGAAACAACCCCGGCGGATGAGAAGGAGAAACGGAAATCGAACCGACTAAGCAAGCTGATGAAATTCTGGCGGATGAAAGAGAAGGGTACCGCTGGTGAATGATCCACACGCACCACTATCCTAAGAGCTCCCGAGGAGCTCCCTTGATGACTTGAACTTTACGACTTATGGAGGGATTATTCGTTATGGTTCACAACACTCATTACGACAAATCCGTTTTTATGCAATTGCACGGCATAGCGCATTAGCACACTCACTGAACATTATTTCTTATTCAACGGCGATCGTCCGTTTGGTGCCGGCAGGTTCCAACTCTTTTCGGTCGGCAGACCTCCTCCAGGCAACACAATCACATTACCCTCGTCGGCGCTTTCATTTTCTTCCAATCAAGCGCCCATCGAGATGCAAAACATTGGAGAAGGTTGTACTGGTATATGGCTTGGGAATCACATCGGGAATGGCATCTTTGACTTGTGCTTCCAGCAATCGACCGACAGAAACAGACTATCAAACTGGGATGGAATCTTTTCTCTTCGCTTTCGGGGCACGATGATGGACAGAGCGCGTGGTGTGTCTCACAACAGCCTGGAGATGTGATGATAGGCAGTGAATTTTAGGTAGCTTAAGCCGCTTCTACGGGGTGTCAATCAGCACCCTGGGCTTTCTCCTGTGGCCACACTGAAAGGTCGGGAGAGCAATGATAATCCATTGCTGTAATTTTCTTTCAGAAGAGTGTGCAACCTGAACGCGAGACGTGGACATAGTCGCTCACTCGTACTTTCACATGTCTTGGCAGTAAAGGGGCGGTGCCGAAGCTTCTTCCCACGTGAATATCTACATCATACCATCTTCGCACCCTATACATCAGAACAGGGCGCATTTGATGCCACCTACCTGCGCCGGCCGCAGTTCGCAGTCCGCAGCTACGGAATTGTATGCGCTTCATCATCGGGCGTGCTGCCGCAGGTGATCTGGCAGCCGGTGAGTCTCCTGACGCCCTGCTTGTGAGGCCTCTTTTCCAGAGGTGGGTATGAGCCACCTTACGGGAAAGCTCAGCCATGGATCACCAGGCAGCTTCGCTGCAGTCCTACACGCCACCAATCTCAACCATCGTCATTGATCCTAGTCTGCCTCGCGAGTTCCCTGACCTCTCATCTTCTCATCTCTTTCCTCTCACCGTTGCTGCAGACTCGTTTCCCGACACCAAGACCATCGTACATGACCCTATGCTGCCCGTCAGCCAATCGTGTGGTGCCTGCACACCGGTTCTGCCTCGACTGTGAAGGCACACCAATGGCCGAAACGCGATGGTTATTGGGGCTTGACACCCTTGTCGCTGGGCAGACACTTGTTTCCCAAATGGGAATCTACGCTTCATGGCCCGCCCGATGCCTTGTTGCCGGTTCGGGCTGGTTCGCGCTTTCCCTGAGGTACTCAACGCAGCTTCTCGCTGCGGTCGAACAATGTTCTGCCTTCTCATTAGGATGTTGACGAAGCCGGGGATCCTTCTGCCTTACGTTTTGTGTTCGCCTGCAACAGCCGCAGTAGTACGATGATCCCGCACCAGCTGCGCTTTCGAATTTAGGGAGCCATGGGTAATCATTGGTACTGCTGCAATTGTGGTGATGGACCACAAAGTGTGAAGTTGAACGCCGGATGTGCATCTTGTGGATGGCAAAGATGCGGAAGGTGCATACTACGGGGGACCTCTTCGGTATTCGCTCACAAGGACCGAGTCTCCAAAGGAGCATCTTCAATCAGACAAAACCCTCCCAGAGTGCTATCCACCATACTCGAGCCGAGCGTTATTACGACCTCTCCTACAAGCAAGCCTCCGGGCCTTGAGGGGAACGGAGGTCAGTCGGAAGAAGCCTCACCGGGTTTAAACAATACACTGAGCGTCGGAGGAGATTGCAGTCACGATATCGGACCATTCTGGCCTGACAAAGCCAAACAGCAGCATTTAGTGGCGAGACCCACCAGCAGCAGATTTCGTGCTGGTGTTGATGTGGCTCTGTTTGCATATACCTGTCGGTACTCAGTTTACCAGCGGTACGAGCTACAGTCTACCACATCAAGAGTAGCTGGGAAAGGTAGAAAACGCTTCGCATTACCACGGATCGAGTCGACATGCTGTGTCAACATAGCCACTGCTGCTGGATACGACATCTTAGGCACACGGCTGATATCAGGATATCGTGTTGCCGGTAGGACTGATGTCCGTCAGCATCCAAGTGGAGAATCATCCAATCGGTCCCGGCGAGTACAAGGCCAGGGCTCGAACAAGGCATTGACGACGTCCGAGCATTGCTTCAAGCCTCCCGATGGCCGAACCAAGAAAGACCAGAATTTTGGCACAAGCTGGGTAGGTATGTTCCGGACTAATGACAAGCCTTCTAGACGCCTTTCTTGCTACCTATTCAAATACTATAGACACATGTGTGCCTCTGACGAGTTTCGAACCGTCGAAGAGCTACACAACGTACGTTTAGTTCCTCCCCCCACCTCAAAATCCCAAATGTTAACCATGAGCAGGATCACTTGTTAGCTCACTTGGAGAACGGTGACATAGACGTTGGTCTTTTTACGTCCCTCCGTCGGAGCCGAGCAGTGACTGCTGCATTGCCGGGAAACAGCCAACCTTTGAATCAAGACGACATACAGAAAATTCTGTGGGCAGAGGGCTTCTCGAAGTTCTTTCCAGCTTTTAAGGTTGTGGAAGATCAGCTATGTCCTTGTACTCTGCTAGACACCCTCTTTGTGGTAGCCACTGACACGTGCAGATCACCCGGAAAACGTTCTCCCAGATGACCGGCTAGCTTTTGATACCCTTAAAGCAGCCCAAGAGCAGCTGTTCAATGACGCCCGAGATGTTCTGATCGACCAAATCAGCACCGGTTCTGACCAAGCTCGCCGTCTGCAGTCCGCGCGCGATATGCTGATCCCTGCCATGGTGAATCCGAGTAACATCACGACACTCTTACCCCCGCAACCGGCTGTTGATCTGACCCAGCCGGCCGTCGAGCCAGTAACGCCCCTGGGTGTTGAGCATATGCAGCCAATGTTCCGCGGATACAGAGTCTCACGATCGACCACTGAGCTTCCACCGTTTGACCAGTACGACCAGTCTCTGATGTTCGGAATGGATCTTTCTCAGTCGGATGATTTGGCACAGTCTTCAGCTTATATGGGCGCAGTGGAAGCCTCCCCTTCAGAGAATTGGTTCCTAGGTGATGTGCCTAGTAATGTTGAGCCGCAAACATATTCAGTTTCTGAACTGCCATCATATCCTGCACAAATGTGGACGGAACATGTCATCGACGAGCAAGCCTATGACTGGTGGGATGCCGCAAGCTTCACTAACATCAACGACCCAATAGGTATGGCGACTTACCAGCCAGCCGATGTCCTGTCCACTATTTTGCTCTCGGATGGTCATCTTGTGCCAGAAATCCCGCATGGCGATGAATCCGGACGGACTGATAAGGACAATTCCCTGCTCGAATCCACGCAGAACGATATGACGGCACTTTCAAATGTTCGCGACACAGATAGAAGCATCACAGGTGAGAAGCGGAAGCATGACGCATTTTCCGGCGACCATAACAACGTTGACCTTGCTACCGCCGACCTGTATCACATGCAAACTCCACCTAGCAGTTCACGCGCAACTCAACAATCTCACCAAGGTCCAATACAAGTACACGGACAGTCGTCGCAAGCTTTGCTGGCAACGTCATCAACGGCTTCCGACGGACGTTCTGAGCCAGACGGCGTGGACGAGAACGCGATAGGCCAGTACAGCCCTTCGGTTGACACGGACAAGCGGGGCAGTGCGAGAGGACCGGCAAAAGCCTCGCTCAGCAGTTCAAGTACAGAGAAGCGGCCACGCTACAGCTTTTGAGTTGGTAGTCAACTGAGCAGATGGGTGAAGGTACGTGCATATTTGGCCCGAATCAAGATGGAGTAGCCAAGACGTGTGCCAGGACATGGCGGCGAGGCAACGAGGCAACTCAGTCACTTGTCCGCTTTTCTCCGTGTAGAGTGCGCCCAATACTTGCAATGCTTGCCATGCCTCAGCGTCTGAGCTTTTGGAAGGCCTTATATGCATTGAGAGGCTAGCGTAATGAGATTTCGGCATAACTGCGTTTTCTCCCCGCACTAACGGTGGTGCGCAGCAACTATATCCTTAGAGTTGTGAAGCACATTTGACCGCGAATAGCCCGCGCCTCAGCAACTCGCTACTTGCCCACGATCGTCTGAGAGTCTCAAGACAAGTCCCAAGTCAGCTCCCCATCCGACAGATATCAGTCACATACATCACATACCTCATTTCACAGCACAGCACAGCCAAGAATGAAGTTACAAATCCCCCCCCCGTTCCAACGAACGACCCCATCGACAGTGAGAATACAATTTGGGCAACTACCCCCTGCAAATCTCAGACATCCGCACCAACCAATCCTCACCATCCGACCTCCACAGGACCCCCCACCCAACAGAACTCCCTCTCCTTATTTCTTCTCCCCAGAACCTCGATTCCACAATCCTCCAAAAAGCCCATTATTTCCACCGAAGCCGCCGAACCCACCACCCGCTCCCGCGGGCTTCATGTCCTCCCACACCTGTCGGCGCTGGGCGTGGTCCGGGTTGGAGAGGAGGTCGCTGTAGCGACGGCCGCCGCCCCCAGAGCTGGCGGTGGAGCTGGATTGGGAGGATGCGGAGGACTGTTGAGTGTGTTTGTGAGCGACCGGGTCAATAGGTTTGCGGGTTGCGTGGGTGGGTGTGGAACGGTGAGTAGGGGAACCGTGGGATGAGAGCGGCAGGTGGTGGGTGAAATTGGGATGATGTTGGATGTTGAATGCGGGAAGATGTTGGGGGCTTGGGGGAAGGAGGGATGGTGCATAGGCTCAGGGGTAGGGACAGAGGCATGGCATGGCATGGCATGTTCTGCACCAGAGCAGGGCGGTGACGAATCACGGAGGAAACGTCCGGTTGATTTCTGCGCCGGCAGGATGGCCAGAGGAAGCGTGATGCAGTTCGTACATCGTCCGAAATCAGAACACGACTCAGGAAGACAGAGCAAAGGGCAAGCAAGCCTGTAGATCAATCGAAACTTACCCGCCGTCCCCCAGCACCCGCCGAAGCCGGCGCCGTCGTCGTCACCGATGCGGCAGGCAGCGCCGGCGCCGTTGCCCCGGCCTTCTCCTCGGACGACAAGGACTTCTTCCTCGCGGGCTCATGCACCTCCTTTCCCCTTCGATAGATGAAGCGCGTGGCGCTCTCGGGACCCGCGGTTTGCCCCGTGGGAGGAATCAAGGTGGCGAGGCCGCCGGGTTTGGCGAGTTTGGATGTCAGAGAAGGGGACGAAGGGTCCTGGCTGGCGCTGGAGCGGCGGCGGGCGGGCTCGTGCACGGCTTTGCCGGTCTGGAACATGCCGCGGCGGTCTTGCCAGGGTGGGGAGGACATTGTGTGTGGATTTTGGTGGTGTTGGTGGTGGTGGTGACGGGTGGAGCGGAAGTCGGAAGGGGGATTGGCGAGATGGCTTTGATTCTGGGTAATGGTGAGCTGTCGGCTGGAGTCGAGGATAGTGCAAGTGTGGTGTAGCGTATCCGCTGTCGTCTTGCCACTTCGCGATTTCAATGTACCAAGGTGTCAGCAGTGAAGACAACTCCCCGCTGTTGCCCGCAATACTGTGCCCCTCCTCAAGGAGAAGCCGCTTATTCAAGCGTCCCTTATATATCCTGCGGCTGCGCTAGGGAGGGTGTGCTGGGTTCCCCTCTTTAGTTGCCTTTTGGGTAAAGCTCGGAACGTTCCTCGCGAACTCACCCATGACGTTCATGGGGTCACATGCAGATGGATCGGGTAGGTAGATGACCGAGCTATCACGTGCCAAAGGCTCTCCCTACTTTGCATATACTGTGTGGAGGGGAGAGATGGCGAAGGTGTTGAGAGACCCGGAGTGCTGAAGCGCAGGCGACAGAATCAACCACAGTCGAGTGTGCTTTCAGGAATGCTAGGTATCCCGTCAGATTGACCATTGGCGTTGCCTCTACCAGTCCCTTCTTGTTTGTCTCCCAATGAAGTGCTACCTCCCAAATCGCCAGTGAGTACACAAGATAAGCAGCTGCAGCGCCTGCTCCCGAGCCAAGTCACGCGGGGTGGCTCCACCCAAGGCTACGGACAAAACAAGGCAACGAGGCAACCGCCTCCATTTCAGTATGCAACCACAAGCGGAGCAAGCTCCAAGCCGGGCGGAAAAATCGTTCATTTCAAGTCAATTCAATTGAAATCGCTCTGTCTCACTGTAGAGAAAACCATAAATTCATGTCTCGCGTGCCCCTGTGGCGCGTGACCCCATGCAAAGTTCTTGTACACCGTGCACCCATGCTGAAACCCAAAGGTCCCGAATCCCACTCACGGTTGCAATGCAATGCAAAGCCCATCCTGAGCTTAATTGGACAAGCAAACTTCAATCGAGATTCCCCTTCAACGCCTTCGCATCATGTACTCATCAAGCAACAGCCCCGTCCGCCCACGAATAGGCATTTGAATCCGAGCAGGGACATAGGTATCACAGCTCCTGACCCCATGGTCGAAGACCTAGCAGCCACGCATTGACACTCTCCTCAGCCTTGGACACCTGCACGGCCCAGACGTGGTCTTCCGGAAACTCAAGTTTTATGTCGGCCTCGACAACACAGTCTTGGTCACCGCAGGCACATGCGCCTCTCTGCCTAGTTGCATTGCTACGGTCCTACCGCGTGCCGAGGATTTTGTGCGCGTGTCCATGGCCCTGGCTGCCCACACGCCCACTGGTCTTGCGCACGCGGCTCTTGCTCTCATCCGTGCTCCTCCTCATGGGAGACTCGCGCTCTCGGATCGACCGTGTCTTCGCAACACCGATGCCGCTGCCGTTGTTGTGCACGCCACTAGCACTTCGTCGTGGAGTCCGTGACCGAGTGCCCATGCCTAGACTAGGCGAGCGTGTGGGACTCTTGCCTGCGCCGTCACTCGCACCCAGGCTGGGCTTCTTGGGTGAAGCAGCGTTTTCGTTTTGGTGGTCGGCCCAAATAGCGTTTGAGTCCTCTACCTCGGTATCGCCAAACACTGCATCTCCATCATCTTCGAAAATGCCCATGTCGCCCATATCGATCGTCTTCGTGGTTGTGGTGGTGGTAGTGGTGTACGACACCGACCGCCCTTTACCCTTGGCCGATGTGGCGTTGGGAGATTTGCTCGCTGATCGTCTTGCAGCAAGGCGCTGCAGAATGAACTCTTCGTCAGAATCGGTCATGGCAGTTGCAGGGTCCGCTGCCTTCTCTTGCTGTGTAGAAGTGGTCATGCTGGAGCGGAAGCCAGCCGAGGTGCTGCGCTGATAGGTGTGGCCACGAGGGTCCATCCGCGCATACTTTCGGGGTTGGCCTGGTGTTGGTGCAGGGAGATTCTCGTCTTGGACGGGCTGGGTGCCAGCAGCGTCATTGCCATCGATCTCCCCGAGAGCGGCTCGCTGGACGGAGCTGCGTTGCGGGGTTGCCACTTGGGTGTTGGACAGTTGACGCATGGGAGTTTTGGAATGCTTGATAGGCGTGGAAGACTTGCTCTCCTTCTCATACTTGGCTTTGATGGTATCCTCAAACTGCCACTCGCGGAAGGTGTTCTGGTTCATGTGTAGCCAATGCTGTTGTGGTCCAACAACCATGCCAGGGCGCATGAAGCGCATGAAAGCGATGACCTCGTTGGCAGTGAATCCGTGGCGGTAGATGAGATACGCGCCAATGAGGCAGCCGGTGCGACCAAGACCAGCCTTGCAATGCACAGCGATAGCTTTGCGTTTAGAGATTTGTTCGTGCGCGAGCTTGATGAATTTGCGCACGATGGGGAGCTGAGGACATGTGCCGTCTTCAAAGATCATGTCAATATGCTGGATGCCAAGGGCGGTGAAGTATGACGGGCAGTAGAGCTCGCTATTGAGACGGACGACGAGGCCAACGTTGCGCTGAACAAAATGGGAAAGAACGTTCTTGAAAGGCTGATTGATGCGCGCGGAGGCGATTTCCGGTATACAGGATGGGAGAGTCGCATACGCAGGTGAGTTGACTGGTATTGGAGCCGTAGGCTCTGATTGAGGTGAGGCGAAGGCCACAAATTGAGGTGATACCCAATTGAAGTCACCCATATCAACGCGCTCGAAGCGTTCATATCTGGCAATGTTAGGAAGATTCATGCGTTGAGAATATGCGACTTACTCCTCGAGATTGAACTCCTTCAATTGGCACAAGTTCTCCTCCTTGGCCTTCCAAACACCATAGACGATATCTTGAATGTTCAAAACAAAGTCGGCCTGACTGTAGCCGGCATCTCTGAAGGGCATGTAGGGTGGGTCTGCTTGCGCGATCGGGGCGAGTGCCAAATGAGGTGGCCAAGCCTGGATGAGCACCATATAGCACGCTACCAGGCAGGCAGCATTGGCACGACTTCTTGCATCTGCTCTGCTCCAGAAAACAACCGATCTATCATTGTTTGCTGGATCACCAAGGATCTCGTGGAATTGCACCGCGAACCTGTAGAGATGGCCGATGTGCAGTGGGCCGAAGTCGTGGTGAAAGGCATTGTACAGGAGGGTATCATCGATGGTGAAGTAGACGGGAGCTGGGCGCACTTCGGCGGGTGTAGGTCCGTGTTGAGCTCGAGATGACTTCTTGTGCGGGGATCTTTTTGGGGCGGTGGGATATGGGAATGGAGTGTTCTCGTTGGGAGCTTGAGTGTAGGATGCGAGGTAGAGGCGATCTGGGAGGTGTTAGTGTTGGCAGCGAGGGGCAATGTTTTGATCCGTACCCTGGATGTATTCGATGACCTGGCCGTAGCTCACAGGCTGCACCGTAGTTGGTGCCATTGCTCACTAAGAGCACGCGACACTCTGCTGTGGTCTGATCTCACAGCGTCGGTTTGGTGATGGCAGCGAAGTGGTCTGAAACCTGCTGTCTCAGTCACACGAGCCGGCACTGTTGTCACAGCTACGCTATACTAGCATAAGCGATTTGTAAGGGTAGAGATGAAGTCTGAGCGACGATTGACTGGACTGTCGGGGGAGGAAGAGAGATGTGCGAGATGCAGAGTGTAATGATGGGAACGGTGGGATAAATTGTGGCCAGGACTGGATAATGTAGCGAGGAGGCATGCGACCTTGATGTTTTGTGGACCAGTCGAGCCGTTGTCTTGACAACCATTCAGCCTCGTTAGAAAGCAGATCCAAGGGCGAGGCTGCCAAGACACCTCCCGATTCGCGGCGCAATGATTTCAGCATCGTCCCCACTTAATTCCAAACATTCGCTCAAACCACCCTGGTAACCAGGCTACAAGCCTGAAACGTCAACTTGTGCCAGGCTTCGAGTATCTGGACTTGGTAGGTCGCTTAGGTGACGCGGTTCCTGGATTCCCGGCTACGAGGGAACGTCCCGTCCAGGCCCACGCCTTTACCATGCCAGCCGATGAATTTCCCTGCGCACTGTACGCCGGCCTTTCCATCCTCAAATGCGATGAGTCTGACCGTACTGCAGTACCATAGACATCCCACTGCCTACACACCGGCTTGCCTCGTCCGCTCTTCGCGCGCTCCAGGTCGATGCTGAGCTGTCGCCGCTCGTACGTCGCAACTTCTCGTTAGCGCGGCCTGACTCGCATGCTGTGGTGGACGGCACGAGCCTAGAGGAGGAGTCAAACACAATCCTGCGTACCGAGTATCGTGCCACGACCAATCGCATGCTACGGGTCGCGGTCAATGGCTTCATGGAATCACTCGGTGTTGTCTTGCAGGTCATGGAGGAACTAGATGTCGACGTGCTGGAGCCCACAACCCACACTTGACACCATGACTGTGTCTTGCAATGACGTCTTCGGACAGATATCATGGCAGGCCGTGGTCTCGCAGAGGCAGGCCAGCCGCCATATGAAAACTACTATCCGCTTTTCATAGATGTAGGAGAGGTACGTCGTCCCGACAAACACCAATGGTGACTTGGCCAATTCGAGAAACGCTCAAATCACCCTTTTATACACGGTAGACCCTCTCTACACAGGACTTCCACCCGACCACACCATTTTCAGACCTTTGTAGCATCGTCAGTACTGGCACCGGCGTCTATTCTATCCGTGACTGCCTTGACGTGAGAGTCTCTCATCTTCAGCTGCTCCGAATCTGACCTCTCCCCTACCATCATTTTCCGGACCAGGTTGCGGGGTCTCCTCCAGTGTGACTTTAATTTTCGGTCCGCCTGCGCACGGTCCTCAAGGTTCGACTTGGTGGAAGCTGTGGATGAAGCCGTTGTCCCTGACGTTGGAACGGCTGTGTCGATGAGAATTTTCCTAACCACGGTCGAGCGAGTCATGTCGTTCTTCCCCATAGGAGCTTCATGGCTTTGCTCTGTCTTTTCTGCAATAGAGCCCCTACCTTGTGGTGCCTCCTTCCTCGCCTTGCTCCTCGCTGGGCGCGACGAAGATGAATCGGCCGTCTCTCTCTTCGCCTTACGACCGGAGCCATCGACGGCTGTACTGAAATATGCGTTTGGCACCTCAAAATTAGACTGACTTGTGAACTCCTCGATCTCTGCCGGCTCGCTTCTGAGTGCAGCTGGTTGCTCCTCATTGTTACGGAGTAAGACCTGCCGCTTACCACTGAATTGCAGCGCAAAGGCGTGCTCTGACAGCAGACCGAAACAGTTACGCATAATCTTAACCTGAGGCGCATCATTCGATGATTGCCCTGCGGATGCACCAGGCACTTCCTCCTGTGGGTGAATCAAACCCATAAGGATTCGCGGTCGCCCGTCTTTCGAGGTCCAACCAGATTTTTGATATGAGCGGAGGAAGCTGCCGTTTTCTTGGATCTCAAGGTCTGTATTTGTTCGCCAGAATGTCACTCGATCACCAGGGCAGACAAGATCTGCCTCTCTCTGAAACACGGGGGGGAGGCTCCCTTCATGCGCGTCCACAGGCGCGGTAGATGCACCAGGTGTCGGCACATGTGTCGAGAGGGCGTGGAAGGGTTCGAGAGACAAAAGTCCTTGTTTCTGTCCCCAGCCGCCACCACCGCCCGTGACCCGGTGGAGACCTGTGCCTGACCAGAGGTGATAAAGTCCAGGGAAATCGCCCGATCGTTGCCGATTTGGAGATGCAATACTGGCAAATACTGGTGACCGCCCGCCGTCAGGTTGTGTCTGCAGAGGTGTTTTCATAACCACGTCCTCAAGTTCCTTCGATGCTGGTACTGTTACGCCGGCGATCTCAATTTCCCCTAAAATGTTGCCCATGGCAGACCTCACTTCGCGCGGAGAGGTCATCCTTTGAAGTGGGATGGAATTGATTATCGAATTCCCAGGGCAGCGATACATCGGAATAGCTAGTTCAATGATGTCCGACGTTTTGGTTGGCGAGAGCTGGGAAGCTGTCCTGGCCCAGAATGTCTCGATAAGAGTGCTTTTACGGCCATTTATGAACAGTGTGTTCGCTAACGGGACTGATATGCTACCATGTCCCCAGGCTACTTGTCGCTGTGTAGGAGACACAACCCCGTTGGCTACACGACCCTCGAAGAATGTAAAGCGCAGCGACGAAATCACGGAGTCGTCGTTATGGACGGGCGCCTGTACAGTATCATGCCCTTTACTGGGGCATAGGTAATATGCCAGGCCTTCGCATGGGGTTGGTCTGGAGGCATCGGTAGTAAAGGGGCCAGGAAGTTTGTCGACAATGCCCACCACCGACCTGAGGGGAGTATCTTCAGACGTGGCCGGTTTGTGATGGAATATAGCAGACATGGTAGCTGAAAGAAATTCCGAACCTTCTTCAATCAGATGAGCTAATTTAGGGGTAACGAGAAACACCGCTGTGTTTAAATGCGAGTACTCTACATCCCGCAAACATGGCAAGCTGTCAGAGATCCGAGAGGGATCCTGTTCACCCATATAAGCTTCTGTTGATGATGGAGTTCGTCGGGAAGGTATCATACCAGTGAGTTTGCATTCTCGGCCAACATCATCCCCATTATTCTGCGCGGCGGATTGCGCAAAAGGACGTCCTCGGATTCATCTCTGAAGCGGTATAACGATCGAGCGAAGCCTCGACGTTGCAAGTGAGTTGGAACATGGCGCGTCTGATGAGTTGGCCGGGCAAAGAATGGATGTCGAGCAGGGCGAACAAGCGAGCTTGACACCAAACAGAGCTGCATTGGAAGAAGCCGCAGTCTCCTACTGTTCTGCTAAGCCCGAGGTCTTAAGGGTATCTCGATACTTTCTTCCTCAAGCCAATGGCTCCAAGTTTTCGATGATTATGATAAGTCTCGAGATGGGTGTAGGCAGGTAGGGAGCCCAGGAAGGTTACAGGCGTTGGCACTTTGTCCGAAAGAAGTTAGATTGCAGAGCACGGTAGGCCGTCACTACATGGCAATTCCCACAAGACAGTCTCATGAGGCAGTCACTACCAGTCACTTGAACCATCCCCGATCAATACCATACGATATACAACAGCTTCATATGGAAAGTCTGAAATCCGCAATGCTAATTTCATTTCGCTTCGTGGTCCTCATTGGTTGTTCAACACAGTAAACTTGAAATTGAATATATGTACAGAAACAATACAACCGCTGTCCAACGTGAATGTTCTTCATGCTCAGCGCATCACTACTTTGAAAAACAAGTCGCCTGGTTTCGACCCTGGTGTGATGGTCGCCTGAGAACTAGGTGAAAGATGAGCTTCCGAGGCACGTTGGATGCTATATTGGGTCTCAACCGTCGCCCGATTCATGATCCTCGACAACGGCGAGAGGGGCCCCAGATCTTGTGGGCGATTGGTCGGTGGTACGGGCCATTCAATGGAGTAATCAGAATTGCGGCCTTCAGAAGAGACGCTATCAATGGTGATGAAGCTTTGGTCGTTACGAAAGAGTGTGTTTCTCCGCTGGCGGTCGCTGTTGGGGAGAGGGAATTGGGTAAGGGAAGGTGATCTGACTACCTGCTGTGGTTGCGCATGATTGCCTCGTGCTTGGGGGGATACCGCAGCCGATTCTGGAACGCTTGGATATCGTAAGTTGGAGATTGGACTCTGTGGGCTTTGCGGGATCACCGCCAGAGGACTGCTCGCTTTCGTCTCAAGACGCCTCTCATCTTCCCCTGGTGTAGTATCAGTGTCGAACTCTGTCGACATCGAATCTTGCCTTGTGGGATAGGACGCAGCGGTAGGAGGCGGCTTCTTAGGCGATGACTTCTTTTGTAGGCGATTGCGACGCGGCGAAGGTGTTGGCGAGACGTTGTCAGAACCACCTGGGGCCATCGAGGACACGGGAAGAGTGGCCGCCAGTGCTGCGTCGATGCTGTTTGGTGCGATCGACCTATTAGGGGTGGCGATGAAATTGCCGTTATCATACGTGGGCGTAAGAGGCAATGCGCTGGACGTTGCTGCAGAAAAAATCGGGGAAGGCACCGCCTGCTGATTGAGCTGAAGAGGTTGTGGCGTATTTCTGGCTCGGCTGGACTTGACAGGTTCAGCGAGGGCGAAGTTAACTCCTCCCACAGATACTCGGGGTGGACCATTCGGCTGTTGCTCTATGTCTTCATCGAAGATGGTTGCCACGCTGTCTCGTGGAGGCCGAGGGGGTGCAGCAGCATTCACCCGTGTCAGAGACGGCCAAGAGCTTCGCGGATCCGCGTACCTGGCTGGCATGGTCGGTGTTGGTTGCTTCGGCATGCTCACTTGCGACGAGCCGCTTTCACGTTTGCCCGGCCTCTCAGACACGGCGATTCCGATTTCTTCTGGCTTGATGCTGACTCGCCAAAAGCTGCGTCGTTTATCAACCGGTGGCTGTCTAGGTCTGGAAGCGCCCCAGCTGCTGATCTGAGAAGTATCTGTGTCGGGCGAGGAAATCTGTTTGGAAAATGCAGATTTGTCTTCCTTTGCCTGCTTACGCCGCCGGAAGAACAGGAAAAGCAAGGCGATCACGAGTAAGCCTGCGAGGCCAGCTCCGGCCCCAATGCCTGCAATTTGAACTGTTGACAGTCCCGTGTTCATTGGGGGCATTTCCTCTGGCATAAAGTTCGAGCGCATTTCGGTCATGGTTGGACTCGCCGCGCTATTGGAGGATGATGGAGACATCCTAATCTCCATGGTGACTGACATGCCGTCGCCAGAAATAATCCGAGAGCCGTCGCTCGACACAACCAGCCCTGTGACAGAAGGTATTGACGAGGTCGCGGTCGATGTGGTGGGAGGCGCTGTAGGAGTCACTGCTACAAGGGCATTCGTAGTTGAACCGGGGATAGATGTAGTTGTAGGGCGAATGGTTGCATTCAGCACGGTGGCAGTGTTTGGCACAGCATTGTCAATATCCACGCAGATATTGTAGGCGGCAAGTAAGAGCTCATTTGAGGCCTGATTGGCACAATTCGACGCAAGACATTGTAGGGAGGCCTCTCCAATCGTTGTCCCGGACCGTGTACGATTTGTGCAAAGCTGCTCAAAATCGGAGGTCGACGAGCAGTCGTTTTGCGCGTAGTTTTGGCGGGAGAAGTCGAGGATACATTGAAAAGCACAGCTGGGGAGCCGGCCTGTTATATTATCGGGGAGACATGTCTGGGTCTGGCGGCGTGGGAGGCCGCCAGCGGCCACGCTTTGGCGCTTTCTCCTCCGAGTGACCACGCTCATCTGTTAAGGACCGCGTTCATTGTTTGGGCTTCAAAAAGGAAGGACGTTGCGGTCGCTTTCGACTATGCAACAAGATCGCCGTTAAAGAAATGAAAGTCTAGGTCACGACAGAGGTTCGACCATGGAGCTGAAAGCAACAGCAGAGCGACATTATGCAGAATCTGGGGAATCAACGGGATAGGGGCAAATGATAGAAAGCGACTGTCGCCCAGGCGTGCAGGGTACTGGCACGCAGGGCATGATTGCGGATGCATGAGCGCCCATGCTAGTATGACGATGGCGACTACTCACTGTAGGGCCAGCGGCATTGAAACAGTGCGAGCGTCACAGATGTTGAGACGTCGAGGAGGCGAGAGGTGTGAAGAGTCTCAGGTGGTTTTGGGCGCCTGGCCGCGTCTTTCTCGGCGCTTCAGGCTGAGCGAGACGCCTTGGCGAGCCACAGTCACAGTCACGGCGCTCATACTGCAGTCTTTGTGTACGTTGTATAATATTGCGATATACATTGTAGTACATTGCTCTACTAGGACGAGATGTATTTCGTGAGCATCATCAGCTTGGAGTGTTATCGTCATCAGGTCCCCATTCCACCACCGGTCTGGTCCGACGGGCTACTTTGCACGGCTAGGGCGATCTGCATCTGACGTGCTAACCCTCGCTTAGACCCTTTGATCCCACCCCGAATACCGTGCGCAGCCGCGGCGCGATGCAAGGATGAATGGGCGACTCTGTCACCCGGAGCAAACACAAATAATGGAGACTAACACGTTACGCTCAGACCACTACGCAACAGCGAGGCGAATCATCCCACATGAACCATGTAGGCCGTTTAGGAGGGGTCTGCGGGAGCCCAGCAAACCGAGCTTCCGGGGGTGTTGTTTCACAGTGCGGAATGCCACAAAAAGAAAGACAAGGAGTTTCATTATGCTGGATTAGGATTTCAAGAGTAGTACCACGTGCTCTAGATGCCCGATTGCGCCCTGAAACCTGTACAAACCCATCATACCGGTCCTGCAATCAATGTGAAAGTCGACGGTCTGTGCAGCAACCGTGCTCGGCGCTGCCTCTCGCTTGGTTCATTCGCTTCCAATTCCAGGCCCGGGCCATGCGTATCATCATGGAGCGATCGGATATCGTAGAAGCCGGTCGACAAGGGGTATCAATGGGATCAGACCCATGGAAGAAAGCGCAGATGGGGATATCAAGGAGACGGAGGTGGGACGTTCTCCATCGGAAGGGTCATTGTCGGATAGTCCGGATCCCGCAGGAATCGCTTAGTACTTGAGAATGATGTACCTGGGGGTATTGTCAGCGGTGGTTTTGCGGCGGATCACGGCTTGAACTTACAGAGCGTGGATGATACCGGGAATGTAACCCAGAATGGTCAAGAGGATGTTGATGAAGAAATCGGCATTGCAACCGCGCTCAAGGAAGACACCGAGAGGAGGGAGGATGATGGCAAGGATGATCTTGCAGATGTCGCTGGCGGTCTGTTGCTGTCAGCGTCTGATCGACGTCGAACGCTCGGTAGATAAGACTTACGAAAGGCATAGTGACCGTGGGTTGCGAGTTTGCGCGGGAAACGGTTGGTTAGAGAATGTGGTTTTGGTGGGTTGGTAAGCCTCAAGAAGTGCTACAAGACAGTTTTGTTTGTTGATGATCAGGAAGACAGAGACTGGCTGGCGGATGCGAGCTTAATAACCTGCTGACGGGCTCGTCGCCCGAGTGACGTATAGCGTCCGCTAACCTCAAGTCACGTCCTGCCGCCACACCCGCCTTGACTTGTTGTCCAATGACCTCCCTGGATCCGATCCACCTGCCGGCTTGACCAAGGACAAGCAGGTGAGGGCTTCGTCAGCCTTTCGACCAGCCGAGATGAGCAGCCACAGTGATGAGCATTGTGTGGCGGTGCGGAATAGGGTTATTTGCCCCAGGCGAGCCCTGCTGCCATCCTGATCATTTCCCCTTCGCCATCCTGCGGCACAAGGGTTCCCAGGTCTGCCACCAATCCACTCCCACGGACAAGACTCGCCTTTTGACAATTCAATGCCTGGGTCGTATGACTACAAAGTCACAAGAACAATCAGTCCATCGGGTCATCTGACCTAAGATGAGCTGCACGATTGATGCACGTTGGCCCGGCCATGTCCGTGACTGTTCAGTGACAAAGTCGGACTCGTACTTGCAGCTGCAGGCTCAGCCTCATGCTGCCACCCGTGTTTGCTCACTGCGGCCACCATTATTCCTGCTGAAACCGATCTAGCTGATCCTGCCTCAGCCAACCTGCAGCCGCCTCTCGTCTGCCTTTCGCCCTCTTGGGCTCACCAACTCTCAAGCCTCTGCAAATGGCACTCGTCATCTGCCCTTGGCAGGTACCTGCCAAAATCCTGTCATCAAGAATAACATGCTCCACAACGTCATATAAGTTGCCCCATCTCCTTGGTCAACGTGTCCCAGGCATGGCTTATGCACGTCAACGAGGCAACTTCTATTCATGGTTCGAGACGAGCGAGCATCGCAGATCTACGTGCAAGTCGTCTACTGTATAAGCTGGGGCTAGCCCGGCAACCCCAGGGACCGCTTGTGACCTTCTGTTCCTGGACGATTTATCCGAGCATGGTCCCGACGCCCGCAGCGAGAAAGGTAATGCTCTTCTAGAACACCAATTCTCGTGCCTCAATTCATCGAGTCTGGAACCTGCGGCGGCAAAATTGTTGCAGCTTCTCGTGTTTGACCTCGAATTTCTCTATGATGCCTCTGCCAGAACCCGAACGGTAGGTCAATTGCTTCTTGTCCTCGTACCATCACATACCTTGCTACCACCATGTCGACTCGCAACAAACCCCGTCTCTACCTTGCCCTCTACCCCCGGGGCGCATGCACCCCACATTTCACTTCCTCTAGCAACTGCTCCTCCTACCATTTCAGCTTGCTCGTGGGCCCAGGCTCCTCCTTACGCTCCGATCCCGGCAAGCGCTACCACGTCGCACACACCGACGACATCCACCACCCATTCCTCTACGAAGAAACAGATATACAGGCCAGCGACGAATACGTGCCTCTGGTGCGTGTGACCCTGGCAAAGGTGCGGAATTCCGAACGCGTGACAGCCCTGCTGCGGACGGTCGAAGTCCCGTCAACGACGTCCTCCGCCCTTGAATGTACCTGCCTCGCCTGGACAGCAGCGGCTTTCCGTCTGCTTGTCGCAGATAAGGGCTCCGGCAACCGCTCTGCCTGTCTCTCGAGTTACCTGAAGCCTGCCGATTGGGACCATGTCGAGGGTCGCGCCAGGAAATACGTCAAACGCAAGCGCGATGTCAGGAGATGGGATAGTGAGCAGCCTGGTCCGTGGGATCGCAAGGCGGTGAGCACGTGGAATTATTGGGAGAACAGGGAGACGACGGTATAAGCGAAGATCAAGTCGGCACTCAAATCAATTGACCTTGGACGAGAAATTCTGAAGGCGCGATTCATCTGTCAACAAAATGCACCGCGCGCGTTGACGGTCAATATGCTGACAATCTCACAATCATCGCGGTCGAGCTACGACGAGGATGCTACAGCACTACTAGCTATTAGATGAGGGGAGACACCCCATCCCATGCAGGGAAACAGGTTCATAGTGCATCATGCTGTGTAAGCATGTATTTCCGCACACCAGCACCCGCATTGACAATGAACCCGAGCGAACGACCCGAGCTTCACCTCCTGTTCACCCACACAGTGTCTTCCCACGAGGCACGTACCCAGCCGCAAAGCACATCGCGTCGGGACACATGCAACCTCACAAGCCACATCCCTGCTGGCCACGTTGACCCAGCCAGCACACGGGTCAGTGCACCAGCATCAATATGCTGGCCACAATGGGCCCATCGGGAAATCGAAACAATCAGGGAACCCTGACCACGGCCACCGCATAAGCCACGAACCAGCCCACGCGCGCCCTCAGACCTCGCTCGGGAGAATTAAAGAGGCTAGCAGGGTACGATACGACCTCAAGCAGGCCATTTGCTGCTACTCTGACTCTGAGTCGTCCTTGCCTGCTTTTCGTTTTCGCTCTTACTTGGTATACCGCCGTGGTGGTCATGACGGCGTGGAAGATACCAGGTACTGGTATCTGTCGTATATGCTATATACTTATCAGACATGTATACACATACATACATCTATGTGTACATCTATTCGCCCGCTTGTGTGTACATCATGACCACAACATTTGAAAGAGTGACGGTAAAGATTAGAGAGCGAACTACGAAGTAGATGTGACAGGGCGTGTCCGTACAGTGAGTATTGAATATTGAGTAATGAGTAGGAATCAAATCTCCGTGCATCGTACTAGTACGCTCTACGGCTACAGACTATATCTGTCCCGTAGGTTTTACGCGATAGCGACTGCTACAGGCGAGAAGAACGAGAAGTAATTTCGATCGTCTTTATTGACATGTGTCTGTCTGCCTCCCTGCCTGGCTTTGACTTCTCGACCAGGAGCACAGCAGCACAACAGGCTGATGTGATCGCAGGAGAAAGAAAGCCGTGTATCGAGGTATCGACAGTGAGAAGTGAGGAATGTGCATCGCCCGCACAGTCGCGCACTCACTCATTAGCTGATGAAATCCTACTGCAAACCCGGAAAATGCGCCATTCGGTCCCTAATCACATCGTAGCCGATCATATCAATGCTAAGAGACCTTGCGGCATTAATCCTCTGATCCGTCGATCCATTCATCTAAGAAATGCCTGCAACGCCGAGCACCTTGTCCTAATTCAGTTGCCCATCCATACCGATGTCGTTCCGTAGTTGCAAATTGAGGGAATCCATAATATGTATGTACTTGGGGTGCGCTTTCAAGAAATTGCTCTTTAAGAAAGCCCCTTACAAACCTCTCAACATGACGGTTCGCTCGCCTTCTAGCTTTGCCGTGTTTCTGGCCTTGTCCGCTTGCCGCGCATCTTCGAGGCCCTCGCAGTTGTGACTTTCTAGCATGCGGTGCTTGCCACAGAAGCGCTTTTGACAGAAGCCACAGTCGCCCACGATAGGTTGCGCGAGTGCATTGCAGCCATTCTTGGTGCAGCGCGGCTTACGCGGCTTCTTCGCGGGTGTCGAAGAGCGCGGAGTCGAGGCGGTCGAGACAGGCGTTGATGAGGAGGGTGTCTCAGTGGCGGAAGATGCGGATATGGACTCCTCGGTTGGAGAACTAGACCGTCGGGTAGAAGGAGGATCTAGAGAGAGCGTAGCGCCAGAAGAGAGCTCGAGGGCTGCAACGGTGGATGAGGGATCTAGAGGTTGCGAATCTCGGAGCAGGCGGGCGTTGGTGTCAACAGTGGTGTCGGCTTTGAGGAAGTCGACGAGGTTGGAAACGGTGTGAGTAGGAAGGATGTTGAGCTTGATGGCTGCGAATACGTTAGCTAGCTATTCGGGGACACGTTGTCGGTGTTGACTCACTCTTTCCATCCGCGATGATGACACTGATAGCGATGCTATCGGCGGAAGGCTCAGGGTTGGCGGTACTGGATGAAACGGAGTTGGAGCGAGAAGGCATGATGGCGATTGCGGCGATGCAGGTGTAAAGCTGAGGTAGTAAGAGGCAGAGGACGATCAGTCAGACAAGATAGCTAGAGGTCCGAAAGTGGCTCGTGACTCGAATCGGAGGTTGTGCAGCGGAGTTGGAGGTAGGAAACGTCGGGGTGTGCAGATGATGGCTTGATGTAATCGTTTGATGGTGGTGAAGGTGACGAGCAGGTGGCGAGAAGATGATAAATGGTGATAGTGAGGAAGGAAAGGTACTTTGGACAAGGCAGGAGCAAAGCCAAAGCTAGCAGAGGTCACGCTGGCTGTGTAGAACGACAGGGAAGGGTCTGGTTGTCACGCCGTCTTCGTCATTAACGACCACCCCCGAGGCAACTCCAGTACGGAGTACTAACAGCGACGAGTGGCCCTGCAGGTGGCGGCAGTGGAGTCAGCACCCTCTGGGTCAAGACAAGAAAATGAGGCTTTTGATGTCCACCCTCTTTACGAAGCCGTGGGTCCTCACCGATATCGCGGTGTCCGGGTGCCTGGACGAAGGAATGGGCTGCCAACGCTGAATCACCGGCCGTCGGATCAGCCTCGAAGCGGTGGCCATGGGTGGCCAGTAGCTGCCAACAGTGGGACTGCAGTAGCTGCGGCCTTTCCGTGCTTACCGGCAAAGGGTGCTGATGCCCCGAGAGCGTACCTAGATCGGCGGAAGCTTAGGCACCATAGAGCACTCGAAGCGCAGTCTCACGCTGCACAACTGCCCAAAACAAAGCTGTAGTCTGCATTCGTTAGACCGTACTATCACATTGCATTGTTCGCTTCTTGCCCTGCCCACGGCTCAAAGCAGGACGGGCCCCTACCAAGTACTGGCTGGGCTAGTCTAGGCCTGTAATCACAGTGATGGTTCTCTCAGCTACAGGTGCTAGGTCCGGCCATGTCAATCGAAAGCTTCGCAGACACCCTCATTTCATCCGTGTCCCAGCTCCTTGGTCGATCCGAGGACAACATGATACACTCAATCCTGTCCTGCCAATCTCAAATGCCAGGTGGTCTCATCAGGTCAGTTTCAGCAGCCACCTGGCAACTGACCGCTGGTGGCCGAGCCATGCGACCGACAGGACCTTGCATGCGCTGAACCCCGTCCAATTCCAGTCAAATGCTTCGGCGCTCCTCTGGTCCAACAGCATCCCAACGACATGTGCACATTGTGGACCAAACAAAGTCATGTGCGCGCATGACCATTTGGAGATCCTCTGCATCCAATTCGGTAGGCCTATGCAGCCGTATCTTGCATCTGCATCCCGACTACTGCAGCTGCATGCAGTTGCCCGAATGGCGAGCCCTGGGGTCTTCGCACCCTGCCAACGCCTGGCTGGCAGCATTCCAGGTCGTAGCTCGTCGTCAGTCGTACACTTACACCCACAGGTGCTACTCACGCGCCATCGCCCTTCGCACCTGCATCTGGGTCCAGATAATCCTCTCGTTCTGCCGCCTCGTATTCCTGCACCGCACCCATCACCACCTCCTTCGCTTCATCAAACTCCCCAAGCCCTTCGGCAAAGGGCGCTTCCTTCTTGTACTGCTCCAGGTAAGCATTACGCTTGCGCATCTTCTCGTACTGCGACACCACCCTTCTGAACAGTGTCGCAACGCTCGTATGATTTGCGAGCATCAACCCACTCACACGGTGCGTATTCGGGAGGTAAGGCGACTTCTTGGTCAATGCCACCTGAATCGACGCTGGTCCCCAGGGTATGAATGTTGCCATTTTGCGCTCTCTGATACGTAGGAGTGACTTGTGCACGTCCGTGGGGTCTGCCTCGCCTTGTATGATGTTGAGAATAGACAGATAGCACGAACTCTTGCTAGGTACCACGCTGACCATGCGGTTTTTGGGCTGCAGCAACCGGCGCATAACGTCCAGCACCGTAGTCTTACGCACCGTTTTGCCCTGATCCAGATTGTCGCCGGAGAACGGAGTATAGGCCGTCATGAGAAAGTGGCATCGTGGTGTCGGGATCAGACTAGCCACAATTCCCACCAGATCGTTGTGCATGTATCCGGGATACCGCAGAGTAGTCGTGCTTGCGCTCATCACCGTACTGACCAGTTGATTTGTCTGCTGGAAACTCGGTTCCTGCACATGCAATCGCTCGCTCGCGATCCTTGACAACGCACCGTTGTCCAGAACCACCACACTATCCGCATTCTGCGTCAGTCGCCGTAGCGCCAGCAAACTGTTGTAGGGGTTGACCACCACGTCGCCGGTATTCGTGTCCGGAAACACCGAGTACGTCTGTATGATCTTCTTGGGAAATCGATCGTTCATCCGCTCGAGCAGGTAACTCCCCAATCCAGACCCGGTCCCGCCCGCGATAGAATGCAGTAGCATGAAGCCCTCGAGCGAGTCACTGCCATCTGCTTCACGATCAATCATATCAAAGATCTCCTCCTGCACGCGCTCGCCCGCCGCATATCCCGCGGCCCAATTGTTGCCGGCGCCACTTCCCTGCTCGCCGACGAAGAAGTTCTCCGGATTGTAGATGTTCTTGTATGGGCCAGTCTTGATCGCGCCCAGGACTCTGGGCTCCAGGTCAATCAGGATGGCGCGTGGAATGTAGCGCGTATCGTCGCTCTGGTAGAAAAAGACGTCTTTCCGATCGCCCGCGGCCGAAGCGTCGGAGGCGAAGTCCTCAAGGTCGCCGGAGCGTGAGATGCCATGCTCCTGGCAGAGCTGCTGCCAGAACTGCGCACCAATGTTGTTGCCGCATTGGCCGGCTTGGATGGTGATGATTTCACGGGGCATGGTGATGGCAAGAGACAATAAGCGCTTTCATGTCATTTCCGAGGCTCACTGATTACGCGAGCTCATGTCGTTCAAAAACGTGCGGGAGCGGTGAGGTGCGCGTGGAAGTGGGAGTGGAGGGGCACGCGTCCAAAATCCAGGCACTTGATGGACGGGCGCGTCGTTGCGGAGATAGTCGCGGCGCTAATTCCTGGTGGCAGCTTTTGCTCCTAGCCAGCAATTCATGTCTCGTATTCACATTAATGATGGTCTACAATACTCTTCTACCGAAGACTTTCTATGTATCTAGAGTCCTCGTTGTGCTGGCCTTCTCTTTCAGGTCCCGCAACTTGAGCATGTCTTGCACCGTCTCTGGCCATTTTCTCCTGAATGGGAAGCCAAATATCAGAATCATTATCCAGAAATACAAGGTCTGGAACAACTGCCGCCACGTCTGCTTTGCTGGAGGCTCCTTTGCACCATCCCAGTCTTCACATATTTTATTGAACTTCTTGGGATCGTCAGTAATCACACCATCCAGCTCCTTCTGGATGCACCATTTCATGAGGTTCTCGTCGTTGACTGTCCATGCGAAGAGCGGTCGCTTGGCTGCCTTGACGTCTCGCAGAAAGCGGTGGCCCGCCCAGCCGAAGAGCACCCTTTGTAGCATATTGAAGGACACGTTCGGTGCCTTGAGAAACTGCCGCGCGTACCAGGTACTGAAACCGATGTGACTGATAGGAAAATCCGGTAGATACTTATGGCATAGTGGCAAGTATTTCGCGGCCCATATACCCATGACCACGCGCTTATTCCACGGTCGCTTTGGCTGAGGCGCTGCTTTGATGGTCTCTGCAATGAGGCGCATGACATTGTCCGCGTCGTTGTCGAGCTTAATGTCTAGCAGCACCCATATGTGGTCGCGTTCCGGGTGTGAGAGGTATTCGAGGAGATCGGCCAGTCGTGGCATTGGCTCATGCGGTGACTTAACGGTTCGCAGCGTGGACAAATATGACCAGTCACAACTGACAATCTTGGTATCATCGATGCCAAAGCATCGTTTTAAATCCGGATCCTGTTTACGTTAGCCCATCGGCTTGCGAACCTGGCAGGGTCTGTTACGTGAGACAAAACGACAACGTTGTCTTTGGACAGATGAATGTCTGTCTCGATCGCGTGGGTTCCTGCCTGCACCGCTCCCTCGAATGCTTTCATCGTGTTCTCAGGATGTTCTGCCTTATACCCTCGATGGGCAATGGTTTGTGGGAATCGGCGGCCATGCTTGTCATTGCGTGCCCAGACCCAGTTTGCTGCCTGGTGTGAACTTGGCTTTCTTGTAAAAAGGCGATTCACTTACCCACGGGTATTTGATCGCCGCCCATAGAGCTTTCGGCCTCAAGTATCTTGGGCGTGGGCGGCAGAAGTGGTGCTCGCTCGGATTGTGCAGCGTGAGGATGCATTCTGATGTTGTTGAACGGTGAAGAGCGCCGTCGGATGAGCACGACCGCGCCTCGCCTCGGCGCAGTACTCAGAATGCCGAGCAAAGACAGAGTGCAGTAAGGTACCAGTACAGCTTCTTGAACAGCAACTGTAGAAGGGTTCAGGCCATCCGCGCGTCACAGTGCAGGAAGTGTCCAGTCGACCGCGAACTCATTCAAAGGTAAAAATGTAGAGCTTTGCTTCAAAGGGCCTCGGGTTAACTTAAGGTCCCGCATCCATTCAACTAGGGAGATACACGTGCCCCGGAGATATAGCGATGGTTCGCGAGGTACATATGTTTCGGACATAGGACATCTAGAACCCGGTGACTCGAGCTCTGGTCGCTGGCGAGGCGCTGAGGTGGTTTTATCTTAACCGGCCGGGCCGAAGAGCGGGAAGTGCATTGCAAATAGGGCTCAACCCAGCCTCTCCTGGCATGGTTCGCTGTAGACTCCATCAGTCCTGACGTCTCAAGAGGGCCCGTACCAGACTCAAAACTGAAGGTGGCTGCCGTTCCGCTGGCTGCTTTGGGAATGGAGTCCAATCGAACAGGAAGAGCTGACCTCGAAAAAGAAGCATGGCAGCTGTCCATTGCACGAGTTTGGCATGGTTGGCTGCCACGGAGCAGGGGTTGTTGCGGGCTCGAACTTCGGATGTTCCACGTTCCGTTTCAACCAGACCGCTTCTACACCACTTCGACAGCCATGCTGTTGGTGCACGTGGAGTGAGATCGATTAATCAAAATGGGTTATTTGCTTTTGCCATTTGGGTACGGCTATTGACCATTTGCCGGCGAGTATGCGATTTATTGCAACACATCACGAAAACACTGCCTGCTTGCGCCTTGATCGTCTCAACGCGTCTTACAATTTCGAGCCCTTGAGACCATGTAGTCACTTCTGCGCACCCATGTCCACCACACAGCGGATGCAGTCGCCTGCGTGCATATCGTGGAACGCATCGTTGATCTTGTCCAGTGGCTGCCGGTGAGTAATGAACTCGTCCACCTTCAGACGGCCCTCCTGCCAGTCCTTGACAAGGCCAGGAAGCTGAGTGCGGCCCTTGACGCCGCCGAACGCGCAGCCCTTCCATTGGCGACCCGTGACGAGCTGGAATGGTCTCGTGGAGATCTCTGTGGCTTTGTTAGGCTACATCCTATGCATGAGTCGGGACTAGGATCTGTCATACCTGCGCCTGCGGGAGCCACGCCAATGATGATGGACTGACCCCAGCCCTTGTGGCAGCTGCACCAACGTTAGCACGCATCTTCACAGCAGTTTTGGACACCCTTACGCCTCAAGAGCCGCTCGCATAACCTGGACGTTGCCCGTGCAGTCAAAGGTATAGTCACAGCCGCCATCAGTCATCTCAATGAGCTTTTCCTGAATAGTCTGCTTGCCGAGTTCGGTAGGGTTGACAAAGTCGGTGGCGCCGAACTTGGTGCCCCATTCCTTCTTCTTGTTATTGACGTCGACCACGATGATCTTGCCAGCTCCCTGTTTGACTGCGCCCTGAATGACTGACAGACCAACGCAGCCCGCGCCGAAAACAGCGACGTTGGAACCTTTCTCAACCTGCGCTGTAATGACCGCGGCGCCGTAGCCGGTAGTGATACCGCAGCCGAGCAAGCAGGTGCGGTCCATGGGGGCGGACTTGTCGATGGCGACAACGGAAATGTCAGCAACGACGGTATACTGGGAGAAGGTCGAGGTGCCCATGAAGTGCAGCAGGTCCTTGCCCTTGCACTTGAAGCGCGAAGTTCCATCGGGCATCTTGCCCTGACCTTGAGTCGCTCGAATCTTGCCGCACAGATTGGTCTTGCCAGACTTGCAGAACTTGCACTCTTTGCATTCGGGGGTGCTGATTTCGTTAGCTAGAGCTATCTCTAGGTTTCGGAGGGCGTACTAAAGGGCCACGACATAGTCGCCAGGCTTCACCGAGGTCACACCCTCGCCAACAGACTCGACGATACCTGCACCCTCATGTCCTAGAACGATGGGGAAAGCACCCTCGGGATCCTTGCCCGATAGAGTGTATGCATCTGTTGCTCCATCAGCTCTAAGCCCCGTAATCTTGCCGGGGTTATGTACCGGTATGGCAGACGCCAGTGTAATGAATCTGGATGCGGACCTCGTGGGCTCTAGGTGGGGCTACTTCGATGTCCTCGATCGAAAGGTCCTTGCCAGCCTCCCAGGCGACGGCGGCCTTGATACAATGAGCTCTTCATTATCAGAAGTAAATGCGCACAAACGTACCTTGCAAGTGATGGTCTATTGCGAGCATTGTCAGTCATACTCAGTCACTCGAGCGAGCGATGCTTACCTTTCCTACTGTGTCGGCGGACATGATGCAGGCTTTTGATGAGCTTAGAGTAGAAAATGTGCTTCAGACTAACAAATAGAGAGAAGCGTAGGCACGAGCAAGTCAGGAATATGAATGCGCGCTGAGAAAAGTGACGAGAAGTCAGTGGATGAGTATGTGGGGTGAATGTTTGGATGTGGTGCTCGCTCGTGAGGGGCTCTTCTTGTATTCAGACATTTTTATGATATCAGCCTCCAGATCGGCAGCCTTCGTTTTGTGCCGGCAGCTACTCCGATCCGCACTCGCACGCAACGCGCATTTCCTTCACGTCCCGCGGCAAAAGCGCCTATATTGTCGCTTTTGGAATAAGTGAGAGGGCATTCAGGAACGCGCCGGTGGTAAGTGGATACCGGTATCAAGGATTGCCTTTCTCGATTTGGAGATGCGTAGCGACCGACTGAGCAAGTCTTTCGCCGTCTGAAGGAGTCGTATCGTTGAGCTTCAGATGTCCTTCAACTCCATCGCCCTGGCTGTGGGTGTCATGCTATTGCTGTACATGGAGAGGATGTCGCCAGCTGTTGTACACTGTCCAGAGAGCAGGCCGCTCGAAATGGACGATTCTGTATCTACTTGGGCCCAAGGCCGCCGCCCTGCATCATGGTCGCATTCATCTCTTGGAAACGCTCCCCTAATCGTGTCTGCCCCTTCATGTATTTGTCGACACACCGGAAGACGCAACCCTCTTCTTTCGAGATGAGAGACTTGGTTGTGAAGTCGTTGACGCAGTCTTCGAAGCATCGCTGGACGAGGTTGGAATAGGTCTGAAGACAGTTATAAGCACGTGCCTCTGAAAGACAGCAACCAGTGGGAGCAAGCATACGTTCATAAACTCCTTCATTTGCTTCTGTTCCATGCGCTTTTGCAGCTCCTGCTGCTCCTTTGCATTGAGGCTATTCGGATGTCAATAAATGTGCCCGGATCGGAGTCTGCCATTGCATACCCTTCCATGTTGCTTTTAACTTAGTCTGAGGAAGATGGCAGACTTTCGAGATTCGCGGACAAGAAGTGGCGATGTTGTATAGATCTAGCCTCGAAACAAACCGGGAGGCAGAAATAGATGATGGGAAGCAGATCCAAGGCGCATGTCTGGCGGCCTCTGATCAAAAGTTTGGGAGCTGGCTCGCGTATCCTTCCTCTTGGGTTAACGAGGCTGAACTACAAGGCTGTGCGGGAGAATTGAACGAGTAGCTTCTTTTCCCTCCTCTCTGATATCTACATACTTCTTCTTCTCCTTACCCATGCATCTATTACTGATCCGCCATGGGGAGACGGAGCACAATGTTGCCGGTCTACTTGCTGGTGCTACTGACTCAAAGCTAACAAATCATGGTATTCTGCAGGCTCAGAGACTTGGTAAATTCATCGCCTCGACCAGGAAGCTCCAGCTCACCCAAATCTTCTCATCTGATCTACAGCGGGCTTGGATGACCGCAGCAGAAGTCTGCAAATCTCAGCTGGCCGAGCATGGACCAAACAGCGCCCTTGACGAAGTCATCAAGTTGCCCCTCTTGCGTGAACAGGATTTTGGCTCCCTCGAGCTGGTGCCCTGGGCCTCAAAACGTGCAGATGATGCCTTTACTACCAAGGTCCCAAGTGCTACTGACCCAGACTTCAAACCCAAGGAAACAGCTGAACAGATGCAAGTCAGGGCAGACCAATTTCTCACTGACTTTCTCCATCCTGTGCTGGCCCTGGGATCCAACGAGCAAGTTGCTATTGTTTCGCATGGTTTATTCCTCTCATCCCTCTGGCGAGCTCTGTTGCGCCGCTTCCCAAGCCACAACATAACGATTGGGCCAGATGTCGGTCCGCTCGGCCCAAGCCGGCCACTCGAATACATAGGCTCTTGGTCCAACACCGGCTACCTCGAGCTGGCGATTCATGATCGATGTCAGCAAGACGGTGACGAGCATAGCCAGCTCCACCCGTCCTCACCCGCGACCTTCACTGGTTTCGGACTCAACGTTCTTGCCATCAATCGAAAAGACCATCTCGAGAACTTGAAGCGTACGCGTGGGGTAGGCTCCGCCGCCTACGACGCTCGGCAGCAGCAGATTGACGGGTTTTTCAAACGGCCGACTACGTGAAGAAGAAGCAAGGCGCGGGCAGATGCCAGCATCCACAGGTAAGCAGGCCCTTTTCTCTGTCGAACACTCCCGCATTTCATGATGAAGCACAATTTCACACAGACCTGTTCTGATTATCCCCTGAGGAACACTAAATTGTACCAACTGCTGTCTGACATCGACCCCATCTTCCGACGTCTCGTCCTCCTTCCAACTCAGCTGAAGCAGTATCTCACTGACTGGTTATCTTAAGACAGGCACTCATCGTCTCGCACGTTCAGTCCATAGAAATACATACACGTGCGTACACATGAACATCGTAACACATGACTCTTGGGAAGCGGATGGGATCGATTTCAAAAACAAAAAAAAGGGGGAATTAGTACCCCTCCCCAACCCTCATATTCCCCTCGACCCTCTTCTCACGGTCGACCTTCATCTCCGCCTCCCCATTCTGCACCTTCCAGGCCTCCAGCTTCCGCAGCAGGCTCCCATCCGCAAACTCGCTCTGCCCACTAAGATCCACCAGTGGCTGGCCCTTTTTCAAGCCCGACACCGACACGCCTCTGCCCGTACCGCGACCGCCCTGCGACCGCTGAGTCGCGCTCCGGGCCAGCAAGCCTTTACCCGTAAAGCCGAGGCTCGTGTCTTCAATGGGCCCTCCTGTCGCTGTTGAGTGCAGGTTCTGCGCCAAGAGGCCTTTGCCTGTGAAGCCGGAGCTCGAGTCTTGGGATGACGAGTTACCGTCAATGCTGTCCACGATGAAGCGGCCGGGGAACGCCGTCGGAGGCGCAGCCCTCGCCGTGTGCGGGCGCTTGGGACTCCCGCCGGCCTTGAAATCGATGCTTCTCCTGCTGAGCCGGTGACTGCCTCCGTCCACGCTGCGCCGCACCGGCCCCACGCTCTCCTCCGTCCCCATCTTGCTGAAGTCCATCTCCAGCAGCGACTTGAAGCTCCCGAGCTGATACGGGACTGTCTCGGCGCTTGCGCTCGTGCCAGGCCTGCCGTCATGACCGTTGCCAGCAGCTCCGTCTCGGTCTCTCCGAGTGAGCTCCTGCCTAACCTCGCCGAGAACCTCGCCCGTGCCACTAGCGGGCACGCGGCCTTCACCGAGCACATTGACCAGATACCAGCTCCGCCAACCATGCACAGCCGCGTACCAGCGGTCCGCCACGCCCTTGTCACCCGCGGCGAAGAAGTGCGCGAAATTCACCTTGGCTCCACCGCCGCCGCCTTCCGAGTCGTCGTCCAGGAACATGGCGCTCTTCTGCAGCGATTTCACAGCGAAAATGCTCTTCTGCCCGCGCGGCGGCCGCAGGCGCTTCAAAAGACTGCGGCCAGGCGCATACAGATCGAAGTCGCTGAGGTGGCAGATGTTGGTGCTGTCGACGCCGCTCTCGTGCTTGGAGATGCTGATCTGCCCGTTCGGCTGCAGGCGCACCCAGCGCTTGTGCCAGCTGGAGGTTCCGCGCGTCGAGGACGTCGCTGCGGCATGGTACATCTGCAGCGTGATGTCGACGCCCGCAGATGCCGGCACGGACTGCAGGTCCAGGCCGGAAGCATTGCTCTCCTCGGCGGGCACGATGAGGAGATGCTGTTGCGTGTCGGCGTCCCAGGAGTTGAGCACGTCGCGGATGCGCTCATAGCGCCGGAGTGGTCGGTCGAGTTCGAGGGTGGGAGTCGTGTAGCTCTCGACGAGGGTGGCAGTGCGAGGGTCCGGGGGTTTGGAAAGCACAATGGAGGCTGAATTGAGGAGGTCCTTGGTGGTTGTGGCGGGGGTGACGGGAAGGGTGATTTCGGAGGTGAGGTAACGGACCGTCACGCAGCGGTCGGGTGCATTGGAAGCCGAGATGGGTGCGTCAAAGTGCTGAACATGTGCGTGAGGAGCGGATGGCGGATCTATATGGCCGAATCGTGGCGGGGAAGAGTGAGTCGCGATGGGTGAGGTGATGGTGGCGGGAGGGGCGTTGGCTTGCAGCGGTGACGTGGGCGTCTCCTGGCGAGGAGAGCCGATGATGAACCTCTTGAGCCCACGCTTTGGCGACATTGGTGGCGAGACAGGCATCTGTGTCACTGGCTCGGGCGCCTGTGATTGCTGCTGTATAGGCTCGGCCTCACTCAGTCCGTCACTGGTCTTCGCTGCCCGGCGCTCGGGTCCTCTATCTAACCTTGGCGACCTCTGCTCCCTGTGCTTGACTGTATCTTTCCGTCGACTCATGTCCGGTGCATGATTCCCAATAGCATGCCCCGCCATATGTCTCTGCTTCTCAGCCCCGGCCCTCATCTTCTGCAGCCTGTCGTACTCGCCCTCGAGGATCATGCGCGCCTCTTCTCGCGCGGCATCGTACCTCTCCTCTGGCCCAAGGCCTGTGCTGGGGCCCGATGTCGCAGCAGCAGTTGTGGGCGGCGTCAAGGGCGGGCCGCGCTGCGCACTGATGTCGTCGCCATCTTTGCGGCGCGCCTCTTTCTTGACGGTATGCGTGCTACGCTCTTCTTGTTGGTGCTGCTTGGGCGGGTCTGCTGCGGTGTGAGGGTGGTGGTGGTGATACCGGGCGGGCGACGTCACACCCTGTTTCAGAACCACATTATTCGCGTCTGCGGCGGCGGTCGCGTGCCCGTCGTAAATCTTTGGCACGGGCACTGTAGGCACGGGCGGCGCTTCGACAGCTGCATGGTTGCGCCGGTACCGCGATGGCGCTCGCTTGACTGCAGTTTCTGGGCCGGCCGGGGTGAAGGTCGCGGCTTTGGGCAGTGGTGGAGGTGGGGGGTCGGTGTCGGACTGCGAGGACAGGGTTTGGAGGGTTGCGGCGCGGGCTCTCACAGTCCGGTAGCGGGAGAACTTTGCCGGGTTGGCAGCGGTGCTGTTGGCCTCCATTGTGTATTGTGTAGAGCCATAGATGTGTTTCGCGGGGATGGTGTTGTGGTGTGCGCCGGTCAAATCACAATAGGAAGAGCCACAAGAACTGATTGTTTCATGGTCCGTGTGCCAGAAAAGAAATGCTGGCTCTCGCTGGCTTGCCTGGATTGCTGGCCAAACTAGCACTGTTTTGGGGGGGCTGGATCTGCGGTTTTAGGTCCCTAAGGTACACCACCAGCACCAGGTGATCCACACACAAGCCACTTTCCAGGCGGCGCATCCTGCACGCTGCCGCTGCACCCGCAATGCTGGCCCACCGCATGGGCCAATCCCTTCGAATCATGTTGCAAACTCGGCGCTGGAAATTGGGGGATTTCCAGCTGGCAATAATAATTTCCTTGTTCGTCTCTTTGAGTATTTGGGTGATTTGAACCGAGCATAATGCGTTATCGAGTCTTGGTAGTCATGTGCAGTGCCCCTACAGTATGCGGCAGAACTTCGTCAGAAAGTCAACTGCCAATGCTTGTGTATAGGATCAACACTATGGAGAGCCGATCGCATACTGTAGAGGTTTGCGATCCAGTCTCGCTAGGGGAGCAAGAAGGACCTCCGGCACCCTCTCGAAGCTACTCTTACCAGTGGAACTTATACGCAGAGATAGACATAATGTAAGAGCAAGCAAATCAGAGTCATGAGCTTTTTAATGATGAATAGCGGCAGAGATCGTACAATGTGATACATGATCATGCCCATTTCATCCGTGACACCTGGGAATCAAATCAGCTCTTCTCACTTCAGGATCCGCGTATGTCAGGCAGTGAATGTGCCAAGACCCTCGGACCCGTGCCCCCGTTCAACGGCATCAAGCAACTATTGCCCGCTTCCATGCTCCCGAGAATAGCTTCAACCCTATTGAAAAGCACTTGGTCCAACGCCGGATACTTGGACGCAGTAGCAGGCTTCGTACTGCGCATCACCATCTGCAAGCACACGGCTAAAAAGGCTGCCAGAGTTGTCTCCACGTCAACTATATTCGGCACCCTTTGACCTCCAGGACTTTTCTCGCCTGTAGCAATACATGTCAGACATGCCACCTGAGATCTCGCTCGTCGGCGTCGACTGCAATATAGCATCGATAAATGGCCTTGTAAATATTGGCACTCATCGGCTGCATGTCCAAGTCGCCGGCCCACCCCGAAAGGATGATCAGGACCTCATCATCTTCATCCACGGCACAGCCAGCCTCCTCGAGTCATACGCAGCTACGGTAAGAGCCCTGGCCACCAAGCATCGGGTCCTAGTATTCTCTCGATCTGGACTTGGCTACTCTGACCCTAGACCCTCAACCAACGACGAACCAACCCCGCCGACACTCGACGACATCGCCATAGAGCTCAGCTCCCTGCTCTCTACTCTGAACCTCAAACCACCCTTTGTCCTCGTCGGCCACTCCTGGGGTGGCATGATCTCTACGCACTGCATCGCCAACACTTCCTCCGGCGTTAACATCCCAGTCCGCGGCCTCGTCATCCTCGACGGCGGCGCCCCAACTCACACCACCACCTCACCAGGCCCCTACAACTCCTTCGCCGAAGACCCCGGCACACCCTGGGCCCATCCCTGCGTCCAGCAGGTGATTCAAGGCATCGTAACCTTTGACCGCATGAACCCCTTACCCAAACTCGCCCTGAATACCACCGAGCACGAAGCGCTCCGCCACGCCATGTCCCGCTCCCAGCACGCCAAAGGCGCCCAAATCGAATTTCAAGCCCTCTTCAACTCCTACACCCCCTTCAAAGCCCACGGCTACCTCGACGCCTCTCCCACCACCATCTCCAGTCCCACCCCCATTCTCAGCCCCACCATCCCCCTCGCCCTAGTCCACTGCCAAGCCTACCTCGAATTCGACTCCCTCATCGCCGAAGGCCTCTCACGAGGCAACGGCACGCCGTCCGAGCGAACAGACGCGCAGAACCTGCTCAAGACCTGGAAGGAGGACACGCTCGCGAACCAGCGCCAGTTTTTGCGGTTGCAGCCGGATGAGAAGCTGAGGAGGGCGAGCATGGCGAGGGAGGGCACCACGCATAATGTCCATACCCAGGATCCGGCGAGTATTCTGGGGGCGGTGGAGTGGGTTTTGGCGACGAGGGCGGAACTTGTTGGGTCGTGAGCATGGAGGGTAGGAGGTCTAGGCTGGGGCGGAGACGGAGGCGGAGGACGTTGATGAGGTTGAGGACCATGGCCGCGGCTCATGGCTGCACCACAATCGCACCCACTCACGAGGCGCCAACATTGAGAAACCCAAGAGCATTTGATCAATGTTCAAAAAATCTGGTGGTGCTTCTTATTTACAAATCTGTCTATCCCACCAGAACCCAAGCGCTAGGCTTGATTGATTACCTTGTGCTGTACATGTATATCATCGCGCAACCACCCTTCCTCCACCGCTTCCACCCATCCGGCCACCAAGCCAGTGCACCACACTCAGCCACCCGGCCACAACGCACGCAATCCAATGCAGCCGATATGCCCACGTCATGCCATACACGGCCGCGTACACCGCCAGGCCAAAGAAGCCGACGTTGGTGACGATACGCCCGTACCCGCCACCAGCGGCGGCCCAGGAGGAGCCAGGCTTATTATTGGCGTTGGCCCGATTCGCCTTCGCGTTCCTGCCTAGTCGTAGCCGCAGTCGCGGCACCATGACACCACCGGCTAACGTCTCGACCAGCACGATGAAGGGTGCGATGGCCAGGATGTTGTGGTGCGAGCCAAAGGCGGACCAGTACGGCACGGCCAGGTTGTGCACCCAAACCACCAGAACGGGCAGGTTGAGGGGCAGCACCCACAGCATCAGGATGAGCACCGCATAAGTGTAGTTGAAAAAGTTGGCAGCGGCGAGCGTGCGCGAGTGCGGAGTGGCGTAGTGGTAGGAGAGGGCGCGGGTCGTCGTGGCTAGTTGCACGAGGCAAGCGACGACATAGGCGAAGGGGTAAGGGATGATGGTGGCGACGAGGCCGAGGAGGAGTAAGGTGTTGATGAGGCGACGGCGCGGCGTGGAAGTGGCGAGGATGGATAGTGCGGGAAGGGTCGAGAGTGGAGGGAGAGGTTTGTCCTTGTGATCTTTTTCGTCCCCTGAGGATGTGGGCGAGGCCGGCAGTGCGGTGTACGGGGCTGGCGAGGAATTATTAAAGTGGGTGATGAGGCGACCGAGGCCTACAAAGAGATGCAATAGCGCGAGAACTAGGTAGTGTAGGACGACACAGGCGCCGACGCAAATCAGACCTGCGAAGGGCACGAGGAACCAGAAGAATGAATCCTGACTGCCGAGTAGGAGATCATTCTTGCCGAAGTCTGTTGTTGTATTTGTATTAAGCGAAGTGGCAGATATGCTGCCGGCGGTGGAGAAGGCGGTGGCGAAGAAAGTCATGCTGAGGAGTAGCACAGGCAGGGGTAGGCGGAGACTTTGGTCGAGTGCTTCACCGAAGCTGATGAAGATCCCAGTGTTGTCGTAGACACGAAATTGTTTGCGAAGTGTCATCGCTACCACGAGCAATGGGAAGACTGCAAAGATGGTTCGGTAGCGAATAGAGAGCTTGCCGAGAGATCCAGGGAGATCGGCATGCAAGGACACTTCCAGCGCACTGTTACAGGTTTGATCGCTCCAGATTTGAAATGCGACTCCGTCAAGGCCAGGATTGGAGCCGTCCAGAGACGGAGGCATGAACGGCGAAACACCGTGCAGGTTGACGTCTCCAGACTTGAAGTTCACGAAGTACTTGCTCTCGTGATGAGGACTCTCAAGGTGCTGCCGAACAAGAGGTGTGAAGAGCTCGACATCGTCTCCGCAACCATGCTGGCGGACTTGAAGCTTGTATGCGAGCAAAGATGAGTGCAGAGCAGGGATCCTGATCTCGTTGACCATTGATCTCTTTGGGGGCAATTCAAAGCTCTCACCACGAAGCAGGAGCTTTGTGAGACTTGCTGTAGAAGTTGTGACTGCAGAGGCTGCATCAGCGAACTCAGCCAGAACCCAGCTCGCACTTATCTCCGTTGACTTGTCCACAAGGGCAACGAGTTGGAACTCTTGCAAGTCCGCAGCGTCGTACTGGAGATAAGTGAAGGGAGTGCGTTGGTCAAAGGCATTCTGAGATGTTCTCGTAGAGGCTGGCAGGCGAATAGCATCGCCAGTAGGCCGCTTGCAAGCTAACCGCGTCGCAGAAGAGTCACCGCTGGACTGGTCAATCTGCACAGGCAGAGAATTGGCGCTGCCAGACGATATTGGGAAAGTACTGCAGAAAAGCACCTCGAGCTTGTCGCCGAAGCTGCCCTGATCGTCCATGGTCTGGTCTGTCAGGAGGGAGAAACTCTGCTGCCCATGCTTAGTCGTGATGGGAATGGGCAGCAATCGTGTACTTGGGTCGTCTTGGGCTCCTAGCCGTCGTATAGCAACGCCACCACTCTTCTCGGTTTCAGTCCTTCCTAACGTCAAAAGAACATCGTGGTGTTTGCTCTTCTCGGTGAGATGCTTTTCAGCATTCGTCTCCAGCCCGGTTAGAAAGTACTTTTGAAAGACTTTCATCCGTTCAGCTCGAGGAATTGTCTGGCCAGGTCTCCTGACGTCGACGATCTCAAACATGCTCCTGACAAGTACCTTGCGCATCTGGTCAGCCCACGTAATAGCAAGATGGTCCATGCTCGTCCAGATATCAGGAATGCCGCTCGTGAAGACGGTGAAGCCGTTTGTTTCTGGAACTAGACTACCAATACTGGTGTAATCCGACGGCACAGTCGTGTCTCGGCCTCCGCCCGCAATGCTGATCAATGTGGTCTGCGCGAGCGGGTTCATGCCCTCCTCTTCTTGGAGGTAGGACATTCGCCAGTACTGGTTGATCTTCTCGTAGAGGCTCACCATGTCCGCGTCGAAGGCCACCGGTGGCCTGGCATGTGGTGTGCTCATAGTGATGAGTGTATTGACACTGTTGGCTTGGTACTTGCTGGTCACCAGGACTGTTCTTGCAACAATGCCCCCCATAGAGTGTCCGATCAAGATGACCGAGCTGGGATCCGGTAGATTCGCGTTTTTGCTTCCTTTCCGACCTCGGACAGGGTCATGATATAGTGACAGAATGAATGCAATCGCCTCATTCACATACTCGGCCTGATCTATCAGTGTCTGACCATGGAAGGCTGAGAGATCTTCGTTGAAATTAAGTGTAAAGAAATCAAACGCTCTCTTCCCGTCTAGCTCCTCTTCTCTATCTCGGTTCTTTCCTTTCCAGTAGCGGGCAGCCTCGCTGCTGAGACTGCGAACTTGCTTATAGCTCCCTGCATTGCCCGGAATGAAGAGAACTGGGGCGCCCCGCAATCCCAAATCTCCGCTTGCAGCATTATACTGATCGACACCCTCTTCGCGGTACAGATGTAGGCCGTACTTGGATGCAAAGCGGGAATATTCGCTGTCGAAACCCTCCATCTTAATATAGGCTGGCGTCATGAAAGACATGCCGCATCCCTGAGGATCTAATTGCAGATTCATGGTTGAGTGAAGAATCGCGCCGATGGACAATAATGCGAGGACAGTGGTGATTAGAGTGAGCGGTCTGAAAGCCCAAACACTTTGAGTTCGCGCATCGAGCGCACCGTTCTTGCCATTCCCATCCTGCGATTTGAGGAAGCCGCGTACGTCGGTCATATCGGAGGAGGAAGAGGAGCGCTCGCCGGTGGGGGAGGACGGAGAGCTGTCGCCATGATGGGCGTTGTTGACAGGCTTCAGCAGCATTCTGCCGCGTCCGGTCCTGTGTACGCCCAGCTCGATGAGGCACACAGCAGCCGGCGCCGGATTGTCGCGTGCTGTTGAAGGAGCATAAGGGAAAATGGAGACGGGGAATAACGAAGTACAAGCCTCGTAATTCGTAGGCAGCTTAGCGAAATCTTGTCTCAGGGTAGCGGACCCCTATTGTAGCTCGCCGGCCGGAATAACGAGACTTCCGCGACAGTCTTATCTGGCACGGACGCTATCGAGGACCGCAACATCACTTCGCAGCATCGTCAGCTTCAGCTTGCGAGTCTCAGTCAGACAAGCATGCCCTTATTAGACATGCATCCTTGATCGTCCTATATATCGCCCTCTGTCATGCCTTCCACCGAGAAGACGACTCTCCATACAGATGCAGAGTACGACCGAGATGCTTCCTTTGTTGACTCTGACCCAGGAAGTGATAGCGATGCCGGGGGCATTCGAGCAAGTGATGAAGAGGTCCTGAATGAGACAGAAGAACAAGAGAGATTGTTGCGGAAGCCTGGTCGATTCGATGCCGTGCGGGATGTGTTCGAAAAGAGTGAGCGACGGGAGAATAGGAGGAGGCGACGGTCTCGGAACAGTGGCAACCAGGTTCGAGACGAGGATGGTCAAATCATGTTTGAGATGGAGAATGGCTTCAAGGACAACAGCTCTGTGAGCTCTTTTGATCTAATCGCGGACCAGGACGAATCCAGAGGCAGTCAGCCACGACGCGGCAAAATGTTGTTGGTACACTTGTTCATTGTCGCGCTCTTCGTGGCTTTGGCCTATGGCGCGTGGAAGGCATCCAAGAGGCCGAATGCACAGTCTCATCTAAGGACCTACTGGAACGGCACTCACAGCTTCAAGCCTACCACAATTCTGGTCTCCCTGGACGGCTTCCGTGCTGACTTTCTCAACCGCGGTCTCACGCCAGCACTCAGCGCCTTCATCGCGTCCGGCGTCTCTCCTCGATATATGCTGCCTTCTTTTCCATCGGTCACGTTCCCGAACCACTTCACTTTGGTGACTGGGCTTTACCCCGAGAGCCATGGCATTGTTAGCAACCAATTTTGGGATCCGGAACTACAGGAAGAATTCCACTACACCAACACCAAGATCTCAATGCAGCCCAAGTGGTGGGATGCTGAGCCTCTGTGGGTCACCGCCGAAAAGCAAGGTGCACGTACAGCCATTCACATGTGGCCAGGCTCCGAAGCTCATATTCCTGACCGCGAACCCACTTACATTGACAAGTACAATGGGTCTGAGGCACTACCTCGAAAGGTCGACAGTCTTATGCGTTGGTTGGACATGCCTGGAGATGACGATGAAGGCGAAGGCGAGAAGAGACCTCAGCTTATGCTGGCATACGTTCCCAATGTGGATGCAGACGGTCACAGATACGGCCCCAACAGCACCGAGATTCGAGCGACTATTGCCGATGTTGACAGTATGTTGACCATGGTTGTCGAGGGCTTGGTGCAGCGCAACCTAACCGAGATTGTGAATTTGGTGGTTGTGTCAGATCACGGCATGGCGACGACTTCGGTGAATCGCGTTATCCAACTCGACGATCTCATCGACATGTCTCTTGTCGACCATATGGATGGATGGCCTTTGCGTGGATTGCGACTTAAGAATCCCGAGCGAGATGTTCCGATCTTATATGAGCAGCTCCTTGTTGCTTCGAAGAAGACGGATTCATTTGAGGTGTACACGTTGGATACGATGCCAGAACGGTATCATTTCTCGAAGAACGATCGGATCGCACCATTGTGGATTGTGCCGAAGACGGGATGGGCGGTACTCGAAAGGGACGATTTCGACGTGGCCAAAGCTATCGCGGCAGGTGAAACCTACAACCCAAAGGGTCTCCATGGCTATGACCATGAACATCCGTTGATGCGAGCAATCTTCGTTGCAAGAGGACCGGCTTTCCCACACCCGGCTAACAGCAGAGTTGCAACGTTCCAGAATACCGAAGTCTACAACATTATTTGCGAGAGCATTGGCGTGAAGCCGGTATCTAACAATGGCACGCTACACCTACCATTGAAGACTGAAGGTCTACACAGCGATACCGGTGCACCGCAGCTCGAGACACCCCAAGATGAAGAGGAAGCCGATGAGAATGCGAACACCATAGAGCCTCCCGGAACCGAAACGGCGGCAGATGCCGGAAGTGGCATTCCTGAAGATGCTGCCGATCAAGCCTCGAGTGAGAAATCAGGGAAGAAATCTTGGTGGAGCTTCCTCCATGATGGGCTTGAGAAGGCTAGAGAATGGGCGAAGCAGTTCGCTGAAGCCATCAAGGCAAATCATCCGAACGAGAAGATGGATGACATGGCAGACGCCGACAGTGGCAAGAATGGCTGAAGTGTCTTTCCTGATTCTTTGAGGCACCTGCACTATGTTTGCATGCATCAGCAATGTCTCACGAGAAGCCACCAACCATATATGCTGGACAGCTTGGTGGCAGTGCCCGAAAACCTGCAGCAGGTACTGCAGTGTTTGCCACTGGTCGTTTCCAGGAAAGCGGGTGCAGCGCATGCGGGGTGTGGCACAAACCCGGTCGCGTTAAAAATAACAGAGGTGCATGGGTCGCCAAGCTCTCGCGTAAACGGCGAGCTTGCAGGGGCCTTATGCGCGGCTATGCAGCCTTGTACTGTGTAAGCTTGTTACGGCCTCGATCCCGGTTCCGGTCGAGGCATGCCCGCTTATGATGACTGGCCCACAACGACGTCGCCTCGATGCAAAGGCTCCAATTCTTACGTCAGACCTTGCGCGAGATCAGGCAGAGTGACACCGAAGCGTGAGGCTGATTCTTTGTTCTTGGTCGAGATGCGAGAGTCCGGCAATACAGACACAGGGCAGACAGAAGCGGACGTTTCACAACTGTGAGGGTCCTGTGCGACAGCAGATGGCAGCGAGGATGACACTGCCTGTCGCTGAAATTTGGGCTGGAACCATGCTCCGTGCATCCGGAAAGCTCTGAGTGGAACTTCCTACAACGATACTCGCCACTCCACTACAGAGTAGCACCGGGCGGAACAAAACAGAGAACCAGTGTGCCCTGGATTACAGTGCCGTGCGAGATTCAAAGAAGCGGCTTGGGCTGGCTGCGAGACTAGGGCGCACACTGACTCATCTCCTGGGAAGGGCATCTTTCCGAAATCAGGCTGCGAGTTGCACCGGCACTTTTCAGCCACGAAGCATGCCTGGTGCTGAAGAAAGGTCATGTTCTAGACCTGCACCTACTTTCACGTGGCCAGTATACGAGCTCTGAGCGAACAGCCGAACACAGAATCGCAGTAGATCGCTTTACCAGTATTTCTAGGCCTGGCCGCTCGCTGACTCGTACCAACCAACACATGATCCAGTAAACCAATGTTGGAACGTTATTACCACACAAGAAGCATTCCAAGCGACGTGCTCCGAACCTGAGAACCACGCCGGATCGGGTAGTCTTCCAGGACCCATGTCAGCAAACAAATGGCAAGTTCGGACCAAACCCAGACGAGCCAGAGCCAACCTGCAGGAGGAGGCTATGGTGGGCCTGGCAGCGTGGCTCGGATAGTAGTAGCCCTTCTGGTAATACTCGTCACAGTAGGTCATCTCCATCTCGGCAACCCTAGGCTTAGGTAGTCGAGGCCTCTCTGACTCTAGAGGCCTACCAAGTACACCGGGCCTGGTCAATCGTGCTGGGATTCTGAATTCTGACATGCTGGTTGCTAGCTGCTTGGCCTATGAGAGGACCAGTGCAGAAGAATAATGCGAGAGGCTGGTTAGCAAGGTGTTTTGACAGTGGATGCTTTTTGCAAGACAGCGTCAAATGCTTAACTGCTTTCTCGGGTCTCGGATGCTTTTGCCTACTGTAACTTTCCAGTGTTGACAGCATTCGATGCGTGGCAGCCGTTGCAGCCGGCTGGGTACATTCAGGGTATCAGAACCCTCCATGAACCGTTACAGGCTCGTTAATCGTGCCCTGTTGTGCTGTGCTCTTCGTATACCAAGTATAAATTGCTGGCGCATGTCTCGGTTGGCCTGCTACCACTAGGCTGGAAGTGGGTATTGTTGTGGAGATCATCCTGGCCTGCCACGCACTGCGAGCATTCTAGCATGCTGGCAGGGTATGGGTGGACCGAACATCTCGCACACCGGGTTTGTCTCTTGTGAGATGGCACACAGTGAGGCTTTCGTTCAGCGGGCAGTGGACGTTGATGTCTCGCGGCAATATGCCTCGCCTTGCAGCCTATTCGTGACCTTGCGCACTGCGTACAGTACGTGAAGGCACGGGGCCGTGTATTGCAGTGAGGTCGTGCTAATGTGTGCACGCTGCTCCATCATGCAAACACGCACGAGCGTACCAACTCCGAATTGAAGGCGTACTGCAGCCGGACTTTCATGCTTCTGCTCGTTATCTGGCACAAAACCCACCTTGGAACCCTTTCCTGCAAACCGGTGTACACGCCGATCTGTGAAGGCTCGATCTCCATCGAACCGTGTACCTAACTATAGCATAGCCACAGGTGTCCTGCTTGTTTGACCTAGGCCTTTCGCTGGCGGGGCCAACTCTGACGCGTGGCAAAACGTGGTTCCGTGCGTAGGTTTTTGGGGCCCTCGATGAACGAACGAAACCCTCAGAGCCGGTCGGCTAGTTCGATCAGGTCAGTCACGAGGTGGGTGGGTCTGAGACATTCTGGAAAGTTTGGGATGCTGCACGGTGTAGATCTGTGATTCATCTTCCCAGCCCCATGGATGCTGGTTACGGACCCTGATCTGGGCAGAAGGGAGAAGAGGCTGGGAGGTGGGCGTGCTGGTTGGTTTGAGAGGAGACTGTTTTGCAGGTTGAGGTGGAGGGAAGTCATTGTGGCAGGTGAAAGCATGAGAATGGCGTTTGACGTCCAAGATATCAATTATCCATTATACTGCCGTGTCCGGCAGCATTAACTCTAAGGAGTGTGTAAGAGACTCGTCAAGCCGTGTCAGAACAAATAAGGAGACTCGTTTTTAACCCTGTACCCAGACCAACCAATGCAATGCCCCATGACTATCAAAGATGCAATATGCCCCTAGAATGTTGCCGGTAGTGCTGCCGTCCCTGTTTCATGCTGCAGATGAATTTGGTGACCGCGCGATGGCAGAGGGAATGAAAATGTCAAATGGCCTAAGAATCAATCCCTTTAGTAGTTCTTCCAGCCGGTGGTGGTCACGGCCTCCCAGCCGGTGGTCGTCTCGCAGGGAGCAGTGTAGGTGACGGTATCGTAGACCGTGGTGGGCACAGTGATGGTAGAGACATCTTCCCAGCCTTTGGTTGTGACGGTGGCAGTCTCGGTGATGGTGGAAACATCGCACCATTCCTTGGATGTGACGGTAGCGGTCTCGTAGATGGTTGAAACATCTGCCCAGCCAGTTTCAGTGGCAGTGATGGTGTTGTAGATGGTGGATACATCGGCCCACCCCGTCTCAGTGACGGTGACGGTAGAAACGTCTTGCCAGCCAGTTTCGGTGGCAGTGACAGTGACAGTGGACACATCTTGCCACCCGGTCTCAGTGGCGGTAATAGTGACGGTAGAAACGTCTTGCCAGCCTTGGGAAGTGACGGTGACGGTGTCGGTCTCGGTCACGGTCACGGTGCTGGCACCGTGGTCACCCCATCCGCCGCCCTGGCCGCCACCATAGCTGGGCTTGTTGTCACCCCAGCCACCCTCGGTAGGGGCGGCGGCAGCGACGGCAGCGAGAGCAGCAACAGCGAAGATCTTGGAGGCCATTTTATTGGGTTGTTAGGGTGTGCTTGACGAGACAAGTAACGAAAGTTGGAGGGAAGAGAAGGTTGATTGGTAGTGATTGTGTTGTAGCGATTGTTGTGTGGATGCGAAACGAGTAGGACGGTCGGGTTGGACAGGGTGTCTTTATACATCGTCGAGACTGTGCTGCTGACAGTTTGATTCTGGTAACTGTTCGTGCTATGCTGTACGGTGTTGTGCTATCCGTAATGCTGGGGGCCAGCCACTCTGCCGTGTCGACAAAATAGAGTGGGCTCAGACTGTCATCGTACCAATGAGGTAAAGCCACCAGCTCAGACATGCATGCTCATTTAGTGGACTTGTCAGGCAGGCTATGGAGTCGGTAAGGCTGGCGAGCATAAGCGGCGGAAATAGACTTAGCGATGCTGGGAAGGGCTGTGGGGTGCAGCCAACGTTCGACTTTCAAGCTTCGTCTTAGTACCGGCTATTGCGGCCAGCCTGGTGAGGACCCCAAAATAGACCCTGCCATGCATTAGCGGTACTGGTTCATAGTCATCATTGGCTGGGCCTCGGTGGCGCAAGCAACGGTCGGCATATCGCCAAGTGCCTGCAGAGTGCAGTCGAGGGTCCCAGCCATTGGTCAGATCAGGAGCCTCAGCCCCTCAAGACAACCACTAGCCCCCAAGGCAACATTTGGTGATCGCGAACTCGTACTTGCCACGAACCTGGTGTGGCCTCGTTATGCATAATTCAAGGCTAGTATCAGACTGCTTGGCCGTTGAATGGCCGTGGATTTGCCCCTCATGCAAGCTAAGATGCGGTGATTTAGGTACATCAGGTTTTCCCTGGCATTTGCAACAGCGCAGTACTTGGAGAAGATACATCGATGTCTTGATCGTCTCAAACATAGCCCATTGTAGTTACCCGAGTCTCACAGCGAGCGGGTTCTGGTAAACAGGCGTGGTACGACCCCCAGCATATTACCTTGGAAGCTATACTCGTTCATGTTGCACTTTGTTCAGGCCTTGTTGTGGGTATCTCGTTCCCAACAGCGTCAGCAGGCCAGAAGTTGAGAGGTCGCTGGAGGGGCCAGGATGGAGATCTCGAGCCACATCAGAGCAAGGCCACCGAAGCCTTCGGTACGACCGTAGTGGAGCCGACTGCGGGAGGTTAGGCAGATGGAGCATCGAGACGATTGCATTGCTTCATGATTAGTGTCGAAAGGGTCACTCCATATTGAGGACCAGTTTTACGCATCTCCCAGCTATCGGTGAGATGCCGAGCAACAAAATGTCCTCGGTTATTGCACATGCACACCGTTGACCTCGTGGACATCTGAAGCCTCCTGTACGGGGCTTTCAGGTAAAGTTAGACCCACCGTGAGCATAAGCTCTGTACTTCGACCGAGACACGGAAGCGGCGAGATCATAGATCTACTCCCAGCTAGCCAGATGCATCCCAAGTCTCGTTAAACAAGGTACTGTGCTCGCGAAATCAGGCCTGTCGGAGAGGCCAGCAGGCTCTTCGCACACTTCCCGGAAAGGTCGGGCTGAGACTTGGCTGGGTAAGCCAGCTGAGTCGGGCGGGGCAAGACCGACCCGGAGATCCACGGATAGTTCCAGCTGCATGAGGGAGGGTAGTACGCCCTCTTGCAGACACAACAGGCTGGGGGCTTTGTGGGTTTGTCCGGCCAACCACCCCGGAAAGAGTTCTTAGCAATGGAATCCTAGGTCATCGACCGATTTGGACGCGTTTTACTGTGACCACGACTCACCACCCGCTGGCTGTTGATTACAGATGTTGGACCGCGTTTAGTGTAGCCTAGACCTCTCGTGTAGTGAGCTTTCGCGTGCCTGTCATGCTCTTCGTATAAGGCATCTCAAAATAGTCGGCCCGAGGACCGAGATGCTCGTATGGAGTAGGAAGTGCCTGGTGTTGTGGTTGGGGGCGCAAGCAGCCATCATATTGAAGAGCGGGGCGGTGCACTTCAGAGGCTATCCTTATCGATAACAGCGCAGTGGCAGCCTTGGCGGGCCAGAAGTTGCCCGATTTCGAAGTTACTGATAATAACGCAGCATGATGGGGACTGAGTCTCGCTCAGCTCCTACATCCTTCCTCTCGGTCTTCGCTCCACTTATTGAGATCTTACCTCAGTGACGCCCGCTCTGGCCTGTCCTCATTGGACGATCCATGGTTGATTCGTCCTGGCAACTGCCACAATCCCCCGACTTTGTTCTGCGAGATACGCCTGATGCCGGTCGAGGCATCTTCGCCCGCAGGCCGCTGAAGCGAGGCACCCAAATCCTCACAACCTCGGTGTCTCTTTCGCCCACTGCGCATGTAATCCTGCGTGCGTACAGACGCGAAGTCTGCGCCTTCTGCTTCGCGTACGACCGTGGCCGAGAATGGAAGATTCGCCCCCCGAACACGAGCCTTGCCTTCTGTTCAGAAGACTGCCACAAGCAATGGCTTACGAGGTACGGCTCGGAGGCCTTAGAGGGCTATCTCAATATTGAGACATTGATTCAGAAGCAATTCAAGCAAAATGGCGATGCCCAAATGGAAGAAAACTTCTTCAATTCACACGATGCTGCTGAGAGGTGGAAGCAGGCCGCTGAGATCGGCGCACAGGTCTGCGAAGCCCGCCAGCAGGTGAAGCTTTCGAAGAACCAGAAAAAGCTTCTCCGGCAGCAGTCCGAGGTCAAGGTAGACCCAGACATACTCTCCTTCCTCTATTCCACTGCACTGAACGCTACCCCAGATTCCGAGTCTGCTCTCATGGCCCTCGCAGATAACCCTGATGTCTATCAGACTGCCTCGCTCGAGCAACACACCAAAGCATACGGTCTCTTGCTCACCCTGCTGCCGTCCGGACTTCTTGAGAACATACGTGCCAACCTCTGTCATGAATACGTGTCTCGTGCATCCCATAATGCTTTCTCCATTCGGCCCACCGCCGATGGCGACCACAGTGGCGAGTTTCTGGGATACGGAGTGTGGCCAGAAGCGTCCTTTTTCAACCACTCGTGTCGGCCGAACCTACGGAAATCAAGGGAGGGCAGGCAGTGGTCATTCTGGACAGCTTCTGACACTGACATTGAAGAGGGTGATGAGCTTTGCATCACATACCTTGGAGGTGAGGAGCGCGATCTCACAATTTCTCAAAGACGAGACAAATTGAAGGAAGAATGGGGATTTTGGTGTCGTTGTCAGAGATGCATTCAGGAAGAAGGCAACTGTTGAGATCTCTTGGGGTAAGCTTGGATTCATCAGATAGCAGACCGGCAAAGATGCTGTACATACGTGATAAGGTAGACATCGAGCAGGCGTGACAAGTTATCACGCTTGGCGGCACCCGCAGCATTTCAAACTGAGCTTAGTCATTTCCCGTCCTCTTAGCCATACTGACGCGAGTCACAACTCTTCACCTTGACCGTCATGACTACCTTAACGGAGAACGAAGTTTTGCGGTACCTCAAAGACAATTTCTCGAAATTTGCCAGCAGTGACCACGATGCGAGAGGCGTCGACCGGCAACTGGCCGTGTACACCGCATCCCTCGCTAGGCAAATAGAGGCTTCGCCATTTCCCGCGACCGAACATGTGATCCCACCTCAGATGACTGTCTTACGCCGTCGCTATCTCGAGGCTGTTCGTAACAACGCCATTGCTAAACAGGAATTCGCCGCAGGTATTCGACGCGTTCAAGTCGCAGGGCCACGCCCAGATCTCTTGCCCAGTAGAAAGGACTCGACCCCTAGACTAACGTCGCACCTGGGACTCCTGTACCAGCAGAGACTTTACGACAAGCTGAGCACAGTCGAGCGCTATTTAAACGAGCTAGATGGCTTAGCTGCCGGTGTGCAATTGAAGGGAGGCGGATCCTTCTCGAACGAACACCATTCACACACCGCGGCCACAATGATTCGTCTCGCGAGCTTTCATGATGATGCTACCCAGATCCGCGACTTGATCACAAAGCTGGAGCTCGCAGTCGTGAAAGCAGAATATGAATGCAAGCAGGAAAAGACTGCGCTGCAAGCTGCTCACGGGCAAGTGCAGACAATCAAAGGCCTGAACCCTAATGCCGAATTCCAAGCATTGAGTGCCGTCCGCGATGAACTTACCGCATGGCTAGAGCAAAGCCTCACGCTCTGTGCTTCTGCCGAAGATGCCGACGACGATGTGAACGAAGGCGAACCTGGGCAGATCATAACGGCCGAACAGGTCGAAGAGCAGTACGAACAATATCTCAAGGCACGACAGAGGGTACTGACTGCCGCCGATCGTCTGTCGAAGGTCTCACCGAGAGATGAACCCAAGATCATGCAAGTTCCGCGGCCTGAGTTGAAGCCTGCAATCCGCCATCTTACAGATCATGTGTTGCCGACAGAAGCATCATACCAAAAACGGCAGCTTGAGAACAGCATCAAACAGATCCACACGTATGCGGTGACCGAGATCGAGAGCGAGAGTCAGGACGCGCAAGAGAGTCTCGTTCGCTTAGCTGACGAGAGCCAATTGCTGCCAAAATACCCGAGGCTGTCCAAGTCTGAAAGGTTCGGAAAGGTGACCAACAGTCTTGGAGCAAGGCAAATCCCGACGAATGACGATAGAGTCACGGAGCAAGTTGAAGCATGGTCATTTGCAGCTGCTGCCGCTGACAACAGTCTGGAAGCTATTATCCAAGGCCATGTCAAGAACGCTACTAAGGCGTTGGACGGGGTGGACGAGACGCTACGAGACCTGACGTTCTTGAGTGGACAAAAGGTCTGAAGACTACCGTACCGGATACTTTTGGATGGTACAACATGCGTGGAATCGACGCTCTTTGGATGACCACCACTTCTCTGCCGAAGGACTCACTGCTTCTTATTCTGTGCAAAGAAAAAATTGGCACCGACGACCTTCTGATCGTTCTCCCTAGCCCAATCCCGGACGCCATGCCTCGGCTCGCCATATCCCCAATGCTGGCGGTCCTTTGGTGGTGAGAGATCATGTGTGCTACCTTGCAGCAGCACAAAGACGTATCGGTGGGCACCTGTCTTGGGTGGCGGACCAGGCGGTTTGTATCCCTTTAGCTCGCCAGGTACCTTGAAGAGCTTGGGCGGCTCTTGTGGCGGAGGCGGTGCCGGTCCAGGGAGGTCGGTAGTGAGGTTCGACAGCAACCAATGGCACATCTCTGACCACTTCGGATTGTTGCGTGACTTGGCATCAGGGTCAGTTAGAGCCAGGGTAAAGGTGGCGTTGTCTGTGAACAAATTGATGTCACTTTGGGCGTTGATGGCATGAATGACGAAAGTTGGGCGATGCTGGACATGCTTCACCGGGATATCATTGCCCAAGAGGACAGTTTCGTGGTATTCGGGGTAGGCGATGTCGAGGTAGAAGGTTGGCTCAAAATCGTCGAGGACATCCCCAATGATCTTGTTGTCTTTCAACGTGTCTCTTATGGCCGAAGCTGGTAGGTAGTCTTGCTCAATTGGCTGTTGCTCTACCCATCTAGCCGAGATGGGCGATGTCGCCAACAGCGCGGTGAGAAAGTGCTTCCACATGATGGCTCGAGGGACTCGGTACACGTAGTCGACCTACTGTGCAACAGAGAAACAAGCTCACATTCTGTAGAAGCACCCGAGCAGCAGTCGAGATGCTTCCCCGCGTCGCGATATGCGAGTTACCTCATACGCCGGGATGAGCTTCCGACAAGGGTGCACTTGCAGCACTAGCCACCGCCTAACAAGCCACTTGTGGCGAGACTTGGCATCCGCCAAGTCTGTGACGCTGCAGTGTTGGGGTGAACCTGGGCACTTGGGCTCGGGGGTCGATCTCAAACGCGAGCTCGCATGTGTTTGCCTGTGCTCCTCGCTTTTCATCTCACCGTCGCTATTCATCTTCACCCGGCGTCTTCATGACCACCTAATCTCACCTGAAGCCTTGACAGTCTATCCAGACTGCTAGAATAATTCACGCGACCACGATTCCTCGAGTTGACCGAGTCCATCCCTTCGTCCTGCCAGCTTCTTCCCCGTGCAACGACTAGGCCATCATGGCCTCTCTGGGCGATGACTTGCTTAACACTGTAAATAAGCTACAAGACCTGGTCTTTAATACCATCGGCAATGATTCTCTAGACCTGCCGCAGATTGTTGTTGTCGGATCGCAGTCTTCGGGCAAATCCTCTGTTTTGGAAAACATCGTTGGAAGGGACTTTCTACCACGAGGCAGCGGCATCGTTACGAGAAGGCCTCTGATTCTACAGCTGATCAATGTTCCTGCCGACGAAGACGAGCAATCCGAGTCTGCAGTGCCGCATACAGCTGAGGCAGTAGCTGAGCACGGCGAATGGGCCGAGTTCCATCACATTCCTGGGCGCAAGTTCACAAACTTCAACCAGGTGCGGGCAGAGATCGAGAACGAGACAGCCCGCATAGCTGGCAACAACAAGGGCATCAACCGACAGCCCATCAACCTCAAGATCTATTCCTCGCATGTCCTCAACCTCACCCTAGTCGATCTGCCCGGCTTGACCAAAGTGCCGATTGGCGACCAGCCCACCGACATCGAGAAGCAGACCCGAACCCTCATCTCTGAGTATATTGCGAAACCCAACTCCATCATTCTTGCCGTCTCTCCTGCAAATGTCGATATCGTCAATTCCGAGGCCCTGAAGCTCGCCCGACATGTGGACCCTATGGGCAGGAGAACCATTGGCGTTCTTACAAAACTAGATCTGATGGACCACGGAACGAATGCTCTCGATATTCTATCCGGTCGCGTGTATCCGCTCAAGCTTGGGTTTATCGGGGTGGTTAATCGGTCACAACAAGATATCCAGACCAACAAGCCCATGTCCGAAGCTCTCAAGGCCGAAAGCGATTTCTTCAAGCACCACCCAGCTTACAGAAATATCGCCATCAGGTGTGGGACGCAATACCTGGCCAAGACACTCAACCAGACTTTAATGTCGCACATTCGCGACAGGCTTCCTGATATCAAAGCCAGACTCAACACTCTGATGGGCCAAACCCAGCAAGAATTGGCTAGTTATGGTAGTAAGCAATTCAGCGGCAAGGAACATAGAGGCTCTCTCATCCTGCAGCTCATGACCCGCTTCGCGACTTCGTTCACATCTTCCATCGACGGTACCTCATCCGATATCTCCACCAAAGAGCTATGTGGTGGTGCCAGAATATACTACATTTTCAACTCGGTCTTTGGCAACTCTTTGGAATCTATCGACCCCACTCAGAACTTGTCCACGCTCGATATTCGCACCGCCATTCGCAATTCGACCGGCCCACGACCGTCACTGTTCGTCCCCGAACTCGCCTTTGATCTGCTTGTTAAGCCTCAGATCAAGCTACTAGAGATCCCTAGTCAGCGTTGCGTCGAACTTGTGTACGAAGAACTCATCAAGATCTGCCACACTTGCGGCTCCACCGAACTTTCTCGCTTCCCTCGTCTTCAGGGTAAGTTGATTGAGGTTGTTTCAGAGCTACTGCGCGAGCGCCTTGGTCCCGCTTCTTCTTACGTCGAATCTCTGATTGCCATCCAACGCGCATATATCAACACCAACCATCCCAACTTCCTAGGTGCCGCCGCGGCTATGTCGTCTGTCATAACGGATCGTAACGAAAAGGACAAAGCTATGCAACGTGCCGAAGACAAGCGCCGACGAGAGAAGGCACGGATGAAGCAGCTCGGCGTCAATGGTGCTTCCACCCCGGACGTCATCGAAGAGGAAGCCGAAGAGAAGAGCGCCAGCCTTACCGTTCGCGGCCATTCTGCGAAAGCCAGCCGGAGCATGTCACCGGCCGTTGGTAGACACGAGCGCGAGAATGGAACCGTCGGTCCTCGTGACTCATTCCTGAACTATTTCTTTGGCAAGGATGGTAACATGCCCGGGTCTCCATTGCCCCAGCCTTCGAATATGGCACCACGTCACGTCAGTCAAAACCTTGAGCCCAGCATTACACAAAGCATGCGGAGGCAAGAGCGAGCTAGCTTCTCGGATGCTCGAAGCCAAACACATCATCGCGAGTACAGTCAAGATGATTTTGTGCGAGAGCCAGAAAACGGTGACACTGACACCCCCTTATTCGTAAGTTCCTTATCATTCGGCTGTTTGATTTCATCTAACCATTCATGGCAGCCCGAGAACCCGACCGAACCCGCCCTTACCGATCGCGAACAGTTGGAGACGGAGCTCATCCGCCGCCTCATTTCCAGCTACTTCAACATTGTTCGCGAAACTACTGCCGACCAGGTACCAAAAGCCATCATGCATTTGCTGGTCAATCACAGCCGGGACGAAGTACAGAACCGGCTTGTGTCGGAGCTGTACAAGGAAGAATTGTTCAATGACCTGCTCTACGAGGATGACGGCATCAAGAAGGAGAGAGAGAAGTGTGAGAAACTCCTGGCCACGTACAAGGAGGCGGCCAAGATCGTGGGCGAGGTGTTGTAAGATCGACGGATATTGCCGACGACGATATGCCGATACCCGAAGTTTCTGGCTGCAGGCGTGTGCAAGAAGGCATCGACCGCATGCACAGCGCTGCATTGTAGAACGTGAAGAAGGACTCCACTCGGACGACGGTGCCACATGGATATGGAAATGGTTGGCCCGTCGTGGCACCTTTTTTTTGTAGAATCACCTCACTATCCGAGATTCCCCAAGAACAGCCGGGCTTGTATATTCATGTATGAATATTGCCATCCTGACTACAGCGACGAGGCAGGCGCGCTTGGACACGGGACAGGGACCGCTGCAGCAGTTGCAATTACAGTTGCAGTTGCGGCTGTGGTGCGGGTGGTATATATATGTGTATGCATGAATCTACTACTTGTCTCTACCATGCACCCACGCTTACACTTATTCTTCGCACGAAGCCTGTGCCCCCCAGCCTGTTATTCTCGGGATGTCCCAACAACTACAACCACCCACCAATCCCTCCCTGACCTCACCGATTCACCCCTCTACCATACCTACAATCGAATAGTCCCCTGCGCCCCATCGTTAGATCACTTCATCTCACCTCAACCAAACCTCAAACCACTCCCCCGCCTGCCTCGCCGCCCCCTCCATCGCCCACCTCTGCCTCCTATCCTCCCTATCCCCTCGAACTGCAAACCCATGACTGACTCCACCATACAAGTTAATCTGCCACGCCACCCCCTCTTCGATCCCCCTTTGCGCCAGAATCTCCTCAGAGCGCCGGCGGTGCGCGGCCGTGAAGATGGCGTCCGTCTCCGCAGCCGCGATGCTGAGGGGCGCGGCGACAAGGGAGAGCTCGGATTCTTCGACGAAGGAAGGGTGGGCGATGAAGGCGGCGTCGAGGTGGGCAGTGGTACTTTCGCCCTGCGGACGCGTGTCCGATTTGTCTCCACGCAGGAAGCGCACGGCGTACTTCGCGCCAAAGCAGTAGCCTAGCCCGCCCAGCTTCGTGAGGCCTGTATCAGCGCCACGCATCTTGGCGATGGAGCCGGCGACAATGGGGTCGACGGTTTCGGGCGTGTGTGGCAGGTGCGAGGGGTGGTAGTGGCCCTGCAGCCATTTGGGTAGGTCGGTGTTGGCGAAGTTGTTCATCGCGATGGCGTCGCCGTGGAAGAGGTCGGGAATCACGACCGTGTAGCCTTGTGAGGCGAAGGTGTCGGCTAGCAGCTGGGCGTTGAGGGAAGTGGGGCCAATTACGTCGGGGATGCTGTTTGGGAGGGAAGGGGGTTAGTTGAGGAGGGACGAGGTGGCGAAGGAGGAGAAATGAGAGGAGGGCGTTGACAGGAGAGGGGACAGGGAACATGGGAGTGTGAAGGCAGAGCGTAGGAAGGACGAACAAGAGCAGGCCATGTTTAAGGTCTTTGTTCGCAGGTGGCTTGCTGATATAGGCTTCAACGGGGCCGTTCTGTGTTTCGATCCAAGGTTCAAGACGGCCGCTAGGCGTGCCTTCGTGCTTGAAGCCGCTGATGCAGCAGGTGGAAATTGGGTTGGATGTCATTGTAAATGTGGTCTTCGGTGAAGTGGTAATCGTTAGTGTGTGCTCTGATAGAGCGTTTTCTGGCAGCCATGGTCATCTCTGCCTTCTCTATATGTTTAGTGCTGCCGGCGATAGTCATGGGCTTTATTGTGGAGGTACCGAGGTCTCACTTGTGCTTGGTAAGATAGACGGATGAGCTAGTGTGGTTGCTGAATGTGTCTTGGCGTGATGGATGCTTAGCAAAGCAGCCGGACGAAGGCTGTCAGGTTTGAAATGCAACAACATGGGGCTCGCGGACTTCGAAAGAAGTAAACTTGCCGCTGTAGAGTGCCCGATTGTCTACAGTAGAATAAAGTAAGGAGTATGGCTGCGTGCCAGATGCTCTAAACTGCTGATTCCGAGAGTTAGGCGAGCGACCACTGCTCTTCCATGGGTACCGTCCTAAAGAAATGTAAGTACACTAACAGGGTATTCAACGCAGGTCAAGATCCTATGGTCGATTAGCTCCAAAGGTTGATCGTACAACTGTGTCAGCAATAGTGACTTGTGACTATTTGAAAGCTCGATTCCCTCGCTGAATGGATCCCGGATTCCCTGCGCAATAGCTTCAACAACTGCAAGGCTCTACCTCAAGAGATGCGAGTTCGTACCCGTGGAGACTCCAAAGAGATTCATCTTTGTGACCTGTCCTCTACACCCCTCTCCTGCACCAGGACAGCTACTACGTCAACGCGATCCTGGTCGTGGCCGGTGCATGCACGCCGTTGCCCACACATGCCAGTGGTGAGTGATATCTTGACAACGGGAATGTCGTGCTTGTGGTAGCGCTCAGTCATGAATGAAGTTGCTGATGATGAAGATGTAGACGCGTCAAGGCTGCTACGATCGATGTTGGAAGTCGTGGCAGGATACCCACGATGCCGATTGATCGACGTCGCGTGCATTGCGCCAGAACGGCCGCTGCAGGCAACCGCAGAATTGGCAAGAGGCAACTAAACTCAATTCGGTTGTCGCAACACGTCGCGTCTCATAAACCGTTTCAACATCTCGTCTCTGCGTCAATTGGCGCCGCACCTTACAAGCCGCCGTTACCCTACGTCTATTTCTGACACAGTTGACCAAACACCCACCGTTGCTTAATGAGGCTTCCCACCAATGAGAACACTCTGTTGCAGAGGCTGAGCTAACGTCGCCGGTCGGCAGGCCGTCGATCCGAGCTCATCGCCTTGCCCTCCCCGGCCAGCTCAGGAACCTTTAGGGTTCTCGGGTTGTCCTTTTCCCACCCTCCTTGAGACTAAACGGGAGATAAAGTTGGCTCGGGTGCCAAAGTAAGGGTAGGGTTCGTGTGACAGCCACGTTTGGGGAAGTATATCTGGCAGTGCCGCTCCTCTCATACATCGCTTCTTTTCCCACACCTCTCATTCGCATCTCCAAGCGCTCTTTCCAGTCCTGTTTACTCGTGTCTTCTGTCTTTTCGTCAAGGCCGGTCCTCACTCTCTTCTTCAAGTCCATCTTAATACAGATAGGCTGGTCCTTTCCACTCTTTTACCACCAACATACAACACAAAGACATTGCAAGATGCATTTCTCTCATATCGCAATCACTTCCCTCCTGGCGAGCGCCGCTCTCGCCAAGCCAATGCGCCACCTTGCCCGTCAAGAAGCCGACACACCCTCCGTTCCGGACCTCGGGCCCTTACCGCTTCCCACTGGCATCTTCCCTGGCCTGACCAAACGCCAGTCTCAAGGCGTCGACCCCGTTGCTGGTCTTGGAAACAGAGTCGGCGGACCCACTGAGGGTACCGGCAACGGCAATGGCAGTGGTGGCGTAGATGATGGAGAAGACGACGACAATAATGGCAATGGCAACGGCCAAGGCAACCGTAATGGCAACGGCAACGGCAACGCAGCAGCAGCACCGCCGCCGCCGCCACCTCCACCAGCCGCAGCAGCGCCCCCCATGCAAGAGCCTCCCATGCAGCAGCCGCCTCCGCCACCTCAGCAGACTGCCGCAGCCACTCCACCACCTGCTGCAGCACCTGCGGCAGCACCCGCGACGCTGCCCGCCGAAGTTGCTGCGAAGATGATGCAGATGGTCTGGAACCTCGGACCAATCACGCAGTTGAAGCCCGGTCTCGGTGTCATGGACAACACAGTGCTGCCCAAGATCAACAACGTCGACTCCAAGGCGTCTTGAAGTCCCCGGATGAACATGGATGGATAAATGGAGTGACCGACGCACTCAAAAGCGTTGTGCTTGATACCCAAATGGAACCCGGCTGGTGGCGTTATTCTGTTCTGTGTGAGGGAGATATTGAAGGGCTCGCTTGAATGTAAATACATGGATTCCTGCCACGGAGTCGCACTCATGGCAGACGAGACGGGTGGACAGATAGTAGAAGCACAGGACTCTGTACTACAAATAAACAGCCGGAACAGCAACTCGCGAGCTCGAGTCGCTTTCAGATTATGATAGATGCAAGGGCCAAGATCCATCTGCTTGAAAATGGCATGAACATGATTAAAAGTCGATACGCTTGTTGCTCGGTACACAACTCCATAGCATAATACCAAAGCTCAACCACCTGCCCATCTACATCGCCATCACGCGTCTGCATGCGGTCCTCATCTACGCCCTCGCCTTGATGATATCACTCGCCTTCTCCGCCACAGCATACATCGTCGCCTGCAGATGCGCCGCCGGAATGATCGGCAGCACACTCGCATCAATGATACTCAATCTCTGTGTCCCATACACCTTCAGTTCCGCATCCACACACCCGCCCAGCCGCTCCGGCATCATCGGACAGCTGCCGCTCGGGTGGCTGAACGTGGGCGTCAGCGCCCCACTGCTCACCAGCACGTCCAACACCTCGTCTTCCTCCGTATACTGTGCTCCCGGCGTGACTTCGACGGGCTCCATGACACTCATGGCGTCGGTGTTGAACAGGCGCCGTGTGAACTGCAGGTTCGCGTACACGGCGTGTCGGTCGAAGGGGTTGTGCATCGCATCGTGCAGCACGGTGGGCACGCCTTGTGGGTTTGAGGCGTTGAGGTGCACAGTGCCTCGTGAGAGTGGCTTTTGTAGTGCGTTGGGCATGCGGCCGGCGGCGCTGAGGGGCATTTCGACTACGGCGACGGCGCCGCGCGACATGTCGGAGACGAGGGTCGCGCGTTGGGCTTCAAAGCCGGCGACTAGGCGGGGGTCACTTGCATAGATATCGGGAAGGTACTCGCTGGGGGACTGTGCAGCGAGGTCATCGAGGAGGGCGGACGCGGTGTCGGAGCCCACGACGGTTTGGAGCGAAAGGAAGCCGACGTAGCTGGCTTGGGATTTTGTGAGGGGACCGGTCTGCTCTTCGTGGTAGAGGCGGAGGGCTTCGGCGTAGAAGGTGGCGTTGGTGGTGAGTGTGGTGGGATTGGGGAATGAGGAGGTCACGTTCCAGGCCAGGAAGACGGCGGGGTGGTCCTGGAAGTTGGAACCGACGGCGGGCATGTCAAGCTTGGTCTCGATACCGGCGGCATCGAGCACAGACTTGGGGCCGATGCCGGAGAGCTGCAGGAGCTGAGGGGTGAAGATCGCTCCAGCGGCGAGGATGACTTCGTTTTTGGCTTTGAACTCGACGAACGAGCTGCTGTCGCGGTTGAGTGCCTTGACACCAGTAGCCGAAAGGTCTCCGGCAGCCTCGTTGAAGATGATCTCGTTGGCTTGGTGCATAGGCAATAGCTTCAGATTAGGCCGATCGGAGACTTTGTCATAGTAAGCGTAAAGGGAAGAGGTCCGCGTCTTGGTCTCGTCGTTGATCGAGGCTGGAGTCCAGTACTGTCCAACAGCGTTGCCGGCGGCGTGTTCCTCTATGAACGGCACGTCGAGCTCATCGAAGCCATTCTTGAAGTTGTACATATCAGGGTACTGGAATTCGGGAAAGCTGACTTTAGCAGGGCCGTCGCCATAGGCAGGTGTGTCGTAAGAGTAGCCATACTTGGTCTCGATGCCCGGATCGGGCGTCGCGAGGTGCGAGGCCTTGCAATGTTAGTACGATAGGTTACACTTGATCTCAGATAGCCAACTTACTTTCTTGTAGTATTTCTGAATCTCACTCCAGCCCCAGCCGTCGTTTTCGAGCGCCTCCCAGGAATCAAAATCAGCAGCGGATGGCAGATCCCACTGCATACCATTGATTTGCGAACCACCACCAGCCACAGATGCTGCTCGAACGGCAAAGGTTCTGTCTCCCATGTACGGCTCGGGCGCGGAGGGAATGTCGCGCATGGCGGCGGTATTCAACGAGGTGCCATAGAAGGGGATCTGAGTGATATTGCTACGGTCGATAGGGCCATACTCCAGGACAAGGACCGACACATCAGGATCTTCTGACAGGCGGGTTGCGGCCACAAGACCAGAGAGGCCACCGCCAACGATAACATAATCGTACTCATTGCTGCGAGGCAGCACTGCTGCTGTGGCCGCGGTGGTACCAGCGAGCGTCGCTGTCCAAAACGTCGCACTTACCATGATAAACGAATGACAAAGATAAACGAGAGACTGGGGTCGGATCTGAGCGACGGCGAGGCGTGACTGGAGCAGAGATAGGTGATGATCACTATGTCAGAGCATGTTATATGTCCAAGCAATGCTGTTCACTAGGGTGCGGCTCATGCGGAAAAGGTCACAGCCAGGCATTGGCGAGGGACCTGGGTCGAAATTGGATGAACATTGGGCCGTGGCATCTCGCCTTCCGTGCCGGTTTACTGTACATGGGGACAGACCAAGCTGCTTTTGTCAATGTTAGCGGCGCGAGAACCGTTACGCGCATGATGGTCGATGCCGCGCATACCGGCCATGATCAAAACTCGCTGGTCTCGGTCTGGTTCCTGAAGTCTGTACTCTAAAAGAGCAACGTGAAGTGAGCCTAGATAGCAGGGGTGGAGAAGCCCCTTTTCGCTGCCAAGGACCACCACTGTGTTTCTGTCTGTGTGGACTCAATGATCTGCAGCCGTAGGCACGGAAGTGGCGGAACACTGGACGAGTGGCAAGGACTTTGTGACTTTGGTTTTGAGCAGCTTTGGAGGGCGATTTCAGCAATGACAGTACCCCACTTACGGTCAATGCTCCAGTCAATGCACGAGACAGATAAAAGATCTTTCTATACCATTCATATCGTTCACCATGACGGGATCTAAGGTCCGGGTGCTTGATGAGATGTTTTCGAGTCATTGATGCATGAGAGGGGAAGTGCCCAGCAGCGCGGAGGCGTGGAGACGGCAGTTGCAGATGCCAATCTTGCCAAGTCGCGCTAAGAAGAGCTGGTTGAACGTCAAGTTACAAATCTCCAACGGCGTGTCTTATGAGTCTCATCCATATGGTACTCAATTTACCCAGCTGGCACGATTCTGGAAGCACGTGGCTATCCGAAAGACCGGTCGAGTTGTTCGACACTGTTTCTCGAATACGACGTTGATGACGCGCCTGGAAAACCCTAGACCGATGTTTCAGAACGCTGCAGTAGATCTTTGGCGGGAGCGAAACGATATCGCTAAGCTGCGTCCGGTAGCTTGGCCCGACATACTGTTCAACCTTGTCTTCCGCAGTCTGGACCGTTGTCCGCATGCGATTTAGTGCTTTACCTACATTCAGCAAACTTGACATCGAGGTGGTCTTGCTGACGAGGTTGCGGGATAATATCCCAGTACACTCTGCAGTGCGCAAAGCGTATTCCCTCCATAACTTGACCAGGCGCCGAGTGCAGCCTCAGTCCGTACTTACTCTACGTCCAGATCCGGGGGCAACAACTCAGGAGTTGCGGTACGGGCCTGCACTCCACTTGCGCCGCCCTTCGCTTCCGCCCAAGGCAAGCGAGCTTGCTTTGACCATATAAAATGCAAAATCATCGGGACACCTTACCATATGGGGCAGTTTTGACTGGTGTCCTCCCATCCCTACGGAGTACAGCGCTCAGAGACTGGTGACTCTTGGCACATGGCTGGCATGGTGCCTAGTCGCTTACCCCAACACTGATGCGCTCGCCTGTGCAGGTACACGGTACCTGCACAATGTTGCGTTGCATTCTGTCGGGAGAGCAAGCATGGTCCATGTCGATCATTGCCCCCTGCACAAGACCGCTGGATCTACACGAGGCCCTCGTGCACTAACGAGCAACACATCTTTCCCTTTCTTTCAGGCGTTCGTCTGTACAAAACGACGCGTTGCGCCATCTTTCTCCATCATTGATGCTCCATCGCTGATGCTCCATCGTGACCTGTGATAGCTGTCGGATCACAGCGCCGAAGTCGGTGGCGGAAAATCGGCCAACACTTGCGACATGTCGACTTCCCCTCCCTCAGTAGACAAGCCGGACAAAGATGATGCCCTTCTCATCTCTACAGTCATCTTGACTATACTAGGAGGTGCCTTTGTCCTCACACGACTTTGGGTCCGATTCAGAAAGTCCAAGGCCTATGGCTGGGACGATTACTTTATCGCTGGGGCTTTGGTACAGTCAACATGATTCTCGTCACGTCTAGCCACTGACACTGGACAGGCCGCTAGCATCGTATCGATGGCGCTGACAATCGCCATGTGCTCACACGGCTACGGCAAGTCATCCGCAAAGCTATCAACTGCATCGCGCATACAGGCTTCAAAATTCTCAAACTTTGCCCTTCTTATCAACGGCTTCTCTATGGCCTTCCTCAAAGTCAGCATCGGTTTGTCCCTACTGCGTCTGCAACTCGGCCGGACCATGCAATGGATAATCTGGGGATCAATTGTCCTCTCCGTCGGCTGCAACGCCCTTGTTGCGGTAGGGTCACTCTTCGCCTGCCGCCCCATTGAGGCCATCTGGAACAAGACGCTCGATGACTTCTCGTGCATCCCACGGTCGGTGAACGCGGCGAACTCATATGTTCAGACCGGTAAGTCATCCACTCAACCGATACCACACGCGGGCAACGCTGCAATAGTACAGCTGACGAACAAATCACAGGCGGCAACATCGTTACCGACCTCTTCTACTCGCTCGGACCCATTTACTACGTCTCACAAGTCAGAGTATCAGTCTACAACAAGTGGGCCCTTCGAGGTGTCTTTCTCGTCGGTCTCTCCGCCACCGTCTGCGCCGTGGCAAAATGCTTCGAGCTGCCCAAGCTGAAAACCAGCACGGATCCAACTTGTACGTCACTCCGAAGGAATCTCAAACCCTTCACCTTCAGCACATCCATCCTGCTGCATCTCTGCATGCTAAATGACGCTTGCCGCCCTCCTCCTGCTCAATCCCTCCCATCCGTGCCCACAGCACAACCACAACCCCACCCCTCGTGACACTGACACACGCTAACACCTCTTCACCACCAGACGACGGTGTCCTGATTACTATCTGGGTTCGCGCCGAGCTAAACGCCGGCCTCATCGCCGCCTCCATCCCTCCCCTCAAAGCCGTCTTCGAGCAAGTCCTGCGCAACGTCTTCCACGTCCGCTCCGGCCTGCACATCACCTCCTCCGGCCACATGACTCCCGGACGCTATAGACCTAGTGGCTACGGAGGCGGCAGTGGCGGGGTGGGGAAAGCTTATGGCTTGCATAGTTTCAAGCAGGGCGGGCTTTCGCAGCATCGCACGCTTGATGGCGGTGAGGATGATGATGAAGGTGGGGATACGTTCGGGGCTAACCGCGGACACGCCGCTTACGTGGTGGGCGGCGCGGGCAACCGGAGGTCTCGAGATAGGAGTCGAGAGCAGAAGAGCGATGGTGATAGTGTGGAGCAGGACGAAGACCAAAAACATATACTGCAGGCGTCGAATCGGGGGCGGAGTGGTAGTAGTGCCAGTGATCTGGCAGGAGACTCGAGTAGCGGGCAAGGGGGAGGAGGGGACGGGTGGATCGTGAAGACGGTCGACTATAGTGTTACGAGCGAGATAGGTTCACCCGTTGGCCAGGCACGATAGATGCCTCCTTGGGCATAATGAAAATCAAATACACGTTTCAGCCTGCATCCTGTCGTCGATTTCAGCTACAGCTTTGGAATTGGCGTAGCCAATTCAGAACCCGGCAACTATATTCCCCTCGATTGACTGTTCACTGTGCTCAAGGCTGTCACCATCTGCTCCACTATTCTCCATCCTTCTCCTGGTCCACTACGAGCCCCGCGAATGAAGTTGATGAAGGCGCTGCCGCAAAGGTCCCTAGATCTCACCCACGAATCTTCCACGGCCCAGCCATGTACCCATACGCGCCCATCCCAAGCGCCAACCCCCCCGCACCACCACACAGTAGCGCAGCCTGAAGTGGCAAGTCGCCCTGCAAGAAACACACCAGACAGCTCACAACGTCGATTGCATCAATGGCCACCCCCGCCAGCAAGGCATATCCCACCAGGCTCCCGCTCTCAACCTGACAAACCTCAGCATTACCTTCCTCGTTCTTCTTCTTCCCTCCATCCGACGGAATCAGTGGTTTTCGATCCGCGGTTTCCACCGCTGGAGCTGCTGCGGCATGTTGACTGTGTTTCCGAAGCGCATACCACAGCAACTCTCCCACGACCAGTTCGCGCGAGCCGGCGAGACGGGTGGCGATGATGGCGGCTGGCGCGGTCGCTTGCGGGACCAGGAATGTCGCCGCTGTGAAGCTGGGCGCGGCCAGAAAGGCGGCGCCGGTGCTGAGGCGGATCAGGGAGAGGATGTAGGCGGTGGTGGTGGCCATGATGTGTCTGTTTCTCGGGGTTGGCGGCGGGTAAATGTGGGTGTTGCGGAGGCGGAACCTCGGCGGTGATGGTAATGGTGATGGTGGCGTTGACGTCAAGCTGAGACTATTCATGCAACGGTTGTGGTGGGACGGCTGTAAGGACATCCTTGGTCTGGTGTCTTAAGTACGAACCGAGCATAACGCGCATAACGTAAGGCTCCGGTGGGTACGATACCCTGCCCGTTGATGAGGCCCGAGCGTTTCCGTCTCACCAGAGCGAGTTGTTCAGCCATAGCCTTGAATCGCTGTCGGCCAAACTAGTTCACGCTGAAATGCCCAGCAGCATCCTGAAAAGGTCTGCCTCACCCGATATCTCGTCCGTTAGCTGACCGACAACCGCCTTGGCAGCTTCCAGCTCACCTGGCCCTGGGGCATCGGCGCCCAACGACGTCCACGGAGAAATGTGTCCAAACCCATCAACCGCACGGTCAGCGCACAGTCTCTCCAGGGAAGTCTTGTTCGCAGCCGTTTTCCCGGGAACGGCCATAAGTACATCGAATGCTTCAAACACGACCGCAAGCATGGTCTGACAAGCGGACGGCGTAATGACGCCGCGAACGTGCAGCTTGAGAAGACTCTGCCCGCACCGTAAGATGCAGTCGGACGCAGTGTCAGGGTGAGGGTCCAGAAGCATGATGTTTTGCGGCTGGTTGCGTTGCCGGTAGCCGTTGCTGCGAAGCGTGATGCCAATAGCATTGACGATGGCGCGGGTCGGGCTGAGGCGAAGTTGGAGCAGGTCAGCGGCTGTGTATCCGCTGGGATGGGATTGGCTCTGCTCTAGAAGGTCTAGTAGGATGAGAATCCCGGTATTGACATGCAGGACAAGCAGGACTAGTATTGTCAGTAACGAAACACTCGAATTGTCTGCCAAGAATGGAAGGTTTTGCTTACAGTAGCCGATCTGGTTCTGTGCATCAAGCATTACATAGTCTCTCTCCACAGACCCCACAAGTGATCCAAAGACTCGTTCCCAAAGATCCTTTTCTCTCATGGCCGTTGCAAATGTTACGTCCAGGGGATCGTCCACGATATGATTGATGAGACTGTCTTGCACCTTCGAGACTGAATACCAGAACATGCTCTTACATGCACTCGCATGCTGCAAGATGATCGTGGCAAGAGGATCACTTATGAAATCTCCTGATTCGCGGACCTGAGCGAATGCCCGGTCAAAGGCAGCCAAGTGCTCTCTAACATGACTCCAGACCCGTGCTTCGCCTATCCGGCCGGGCAGTACGATGGCAGGGCGGCAGCAGAAGGTCGTGCGCCATACATCGGTTAGAATACCTGTCCAATACAAGATGTCTCGGACGTGGCTGTAGTCGATGTCGGAGCCGGGCTTTGTCGACGCATGTCTGGAGAAGAAGCTGAAGTCTGATGCACAGAATTCTAGAGCTTGGAGCCGCAATCTTTCGTGGTGTTGGAGACTGATGTCGTGGCATCCATCGACCAAGGTGTCAAAGTGAGAATGTGTGGCAGCGCCAGATGTGGCGAACAAATGCAGCGCGTGGGCCGACCGATAGGTTGGATGAGAGATGGCGACCAAAATATGCTGGCGAGCTAAATCCCACAAACAAGACCGAAGAGCCATATGCTGCTGTCTCGTCTGAAACAGAGCTTCGGATCCATGATCAGATACAGGTAGCCATCGTGCAGCAAATGCATAAATCGCGTAGAGATGGCATTTGTCAATGTCACGGGTCAAAGACCGATTCTCCGTGCCACGTTCTTTACGAATATGGGCGTCCAAGGTGACAATGAGTCGGGTAATGGATCGCGGGAGCTGCAACACATCAGTAGTCGACTCAGTCACCGGGAGTGGACTAGCGCACATTAAGGGACCCAACATATGGACAGCAACTGCTGCCGGTAAACAGGCTAAGTCGGGGTTCGTAGATCTGTTCAAAAATATCCCAGAGAAGGCGATGGACACTTTGAGCCTGTGTGCGCTGCGCTAGCCCGTCGCTTCTGGTGTCGAGAGAGCTAGGTTCACGACGACGAACGCCATGGTCAAGTCTCGACTCTGGACCATCGATGAGAGACAGAGCTCGATCTGGCACCGGGTCTGAGAGTAAATGCACCGAGGCCGTGGTGTCTCGTCGTTTTGGACTGCGTCTAGTACTATCTCTGCCGCTTGCTATTGCATTACTACATTCTTGACCACGTCGAACGCAGTTGTAGCAGGCTTCACCCGCGGCCTTGGCGGCATCACATCCGAGCTTCGACTTGCGGCAAGCAGTGCAGCTCGCACGCGGTTTTGGCATGCTTTGCGACCATAGTACGCGCCAGTGGTTTGGCGGACGAGGTAGGTTAGATGTGAATAGAAAGATGAGGATTACGACGGCCTGACCGTTGGCTGACAGGTACGCCTTTGAGCTGACATGAATGCCGCCCACGTGACCGGCATACTACCCGGCTTGGTTGCACTGTGGTAGACCTCAACATTACTAGAAACAATCCTTGATCGCTCTCCACTGGGGAACCTTCCCAATGCCTGACGGTACACGGATGTTCTTGGCCCAGGTGAATTCCCTCAGCGTTTCCTCGCAGTGCTCCCTTGCCTGGCCGCTGCCTTTGACGCCTCCAAACGGGGTACCGAGAACAGCACGGAAGTAGTTGTTGACCAGAACCATGCCAGCATCAACATCTCTCGTGGCTCTCCACTGCAGAGCGCTATCCTGAGTGTAAATCCCACATACAAGCCCAAAGTCCGTACCATTCACGATCTGGATTGCTTCGTCGTACGTACTGAACTTGAGCACCACCTGCACCGGCCCAAAGATCTCTTCCTTAGCGATTCGCATTTGCGGCTTGACGTCCGTGAACAATGTTGGTGTGACGAAGAAGCCATTCTTCAGACTCGGGTCTGAAGGCAGAGAGCCTTGAGCCGCAACCGTCGCCCCCTCCTTCTGCCCGAGTTCTATGTACTCGAGCACGCGCTTCTGCTGCACCGCGCTCACCTGTGGTCCCACATGTGTGGCATTATCGGTACCGTCTCCTGACACAATCTTCTCGTACGCGGCGCTGAGTCGCTGCACAAAGGCATCGTGCACCTTTTCATGGACCACCAGCCTGGAACCCGCAGTACATGCCTCGCCCTTATTGAACACGCCAGCTTCCAAGGCGTCCTCAACTGCGCGGTCCATGTCCGCATCTTCAAACACAAGTAGCGCATTCTTGCCGCCGAGCTCCAGGCTAAGATTGGTGAACGTAGCCGCACCCGCCTTGCTTACTGCTACACCCCCACCAGGAGATCCAGTAAAGCTGATTTTGCGCACGTCAGGATGCTCGACCAGCGCGGTTGGGACAGCGCTGCCAGCGGCAGGGACCACGTGGATGACATCCGGCGGGAACACATCTTGCAGAATCTCGATGATGCGCATGACAGTGAGTGGCGTCTGGTCGCCTGGCTTCATGACCAGCGTATTGCCGGTAGCAAGTGCGGGAGCGAGCTTGCCACCAGTATGGATGGGCGGCCAGTTGAAGGGCAGGATAGCGCCAACGACCCCAAAGGGTTCGCGGATGATGGTGGCATTGATGGACCCCTGCTGGCGGAACTCGCCCGCCTCGTTGACGATCAAGGACGCGAAGTAGCGGAAAACGTTGATGCAAAACTCCACGTCGAACATGCGAGCATCCTGCACCGTCTTGCCGTTCTCAGAGCAGAGAATTTCAGCGAGCTCATCAGCATGTACGGCAACGGCGTCGGCTGCCTTAAGCAGGTATTGAGCTCGCTCTTGGCAGGTACGATGACGCCAGTCAAGATCAAAGGCCTTCTTCGCCGCGGCGACAGCGGCGTTGAGTTCGGTTACACTTGCGCCAGCAACAATCTTGTTGATTGCACCGGTGGCTGGATTAAAGACCTTGAAGTAGTCTTTCTCGTCTCCAGATGACCATCGGGTGCGAACGAGGTCGTTATCTTTGATCGGCAATGTCATTTTCGTCGTTATAATCTGTCGTAGGGATGTAAAAGAGTCTGGTTCTTTTAAACGTCTTAATTGGCATCAGATTCTTACCTTTAAGTAATATTCCAGGCTGGCAGCCTGAAACGTTAGACAGGCCGTCTGAGGACATAATGCTCGTTAGATCAACAATGGCCACCGTTGGCTTTCCAAGACGGGCAACTGTGCCATCAGCAAATGTCATAGACCATGGAATGGCTGTTGAGGATTGGACAGAGAATACCGATCACGTGGCCACGATCTGAGGTGTTCGGCCTATCATCGTCTACTGCGAGGGGGCCGTCCACGTACTTATTGGAGTCAGGTCGAAGGTCTCCGCACGGGATACTTTCGCAGTATACTCTCTGAGGTGATTGAATGGACGCCTTGCAGCATCACAACAGATTCGTGTCCGGAGAGGATGGATGCGGCTCGCCTGTCACTGTCTGGTCAAAGATGCAAGGATGAAGTAGCTTCGATCGGGTCGAAGGCGACGCCAGAAATGAGGGTTGCTCCAGTACGTGTCAGCTATACAACCCTGTACTATGCCCGTAACTCGGGTGAGGCAACCTGCCATCGGCGCCAACCCGCAGTCGTATCCAGCATGTCGGGTAGCTTCATGGTTGCGAGCCTGGCCCAACGACGGCCTGATCTTTGAGAGATCGGTTCCTTGATACAAGCGTCACATTCACCGTCCCGCCATTCCTCGCCGCGAGACACACCTGTCATACAGGGTGTAATTTTACGCCGTCAGAGTCCGCATGCGAATCCTGCCCGGTCGGTAATGTTGAGTACTTCGACAAAATTCCTTACGGATCCGAGCAGATCACATCTGACGGCCGCACGTAGACCCGGTTCTCGAATCGCGGATACAGCGAGCTCGAACAGCCAGTATAAATGTCTCCTGGTAGATATGAACGAGCAGATGGTACGTCTGCGTCATGGGATGACGATGTTGGTTTGTCATGGCCGATGCTGCCCAATATGCTGCTCCCAGCGCTGCTCCAGTATTGCTGTGCATTAGTATTCATGTAGTCGTCCAATTCGTCAAAGCGAGTTCAACCCTCCGCTTGTAGCTTCGCTCTCGCTTCTTGCAGCAGCTTCTCCATGGCTTTGCAATCATCGGTCTGCGTTCCTTCGGTCTCGACGCCCTTCTCCAGCCACTGAACCGCCTCCTCTGTTCTCCCCATCTCCAACAGAGCCTTGCCTCCAATCGTAAAGGCTTTTGGGTTGCCCAAAATTCTCTGGCCCTGTGGGGTTTGGCTCGGGCCTTTCTTGCATTCGGTGCTGCACTGGGCGTCGCGCCAGGCATCCACCCACTCACGCAACTCGGCGTTTGCTGCCGCTCTGGCAAGGTAGCAAATTGCCAGTTCCTCCCTCTTGAGACCCACCGGCTCCCAGTCCGGCCGTGCAGAGGCCATGTCGAGCGCAAAAGTCAAAAGGCGAACGGCTTCGGCGTTGTTCCCCTTCTTCGCGGACTGCCCAGCAGACTCGCGCAGTTTATTGATCTGAGCCGTGCGCTTTGGGTTGACCGGGACTGGAGGAGGGGGAATATTATTGGCTGTCTCAAGAGACTTGAACTGAGTGTGTAGATCATTCACCAGCGCAACTGCATCCTGAACAGCTTTGTCCGAAGAATTGACTGACACCGCTTTGGTCGAAGGGTCGATATGGACGGGAAGATGGTTGTAGGTTTCGAGAGCATCGTCAGTGGTAGCCATGATGAGTAATTTCAGTTGAGTAGTGGCAGAGCTGCTGACAGGCTCCTGTAATGGTTCGTCTACTCGCGGCGTAAGAGGTATGAGGGATGATTCTGTGACAGACGCAATGAACATGCCAGCGTGGAAACTGAAAGTCACAGCCTTGACAACGCGGGTGGCAGCCTCGCCTTGGTCTGAACTCGCGGCAAGGATAAACTTTACGCCGGGGGTTCTCCGCCAAAAAGTTCGAGTTCAATTTGGAGAGCACCTGGTTCTCGAGCATTTTGTTGCAGACCGTTTCGCACAACAGTCACGCTCACCAAACTCGATCGGTAGCCGCACTCTACTGGATCACTTTCTCATAAGGGTCTCGGCGCTCTGAGAAAGCGCAAGAACCGGATCCTTTGCGACTAAGCCAAGCACAGTACCTCTCTCTTGCTTGTGCATTCCCCCAGATATCGCTATGGCCAAAGACAAGTCCGACCTCTCCAAGGAGGAACGCAAAGCCCTCAAAGCCGCCAAAAAGTCCGAGAAGTCCACGATCGCAGATGCCGGCGTCAATGGATCCTCCAAGCATAAATCCGACAAGAAAGACAAGAAGGACAAGAAGAAGCGGGAAGCGCTTGTTGAGCGGGCGTTGAACGGCGTCAATGGCGACAGCGACGACGTCAATGTTGTGGTCAAAGAGAAGAAGTCCAAGGATAAGGATGTGGCGGCCGATAGCGACGACGAGCCCGAGCAGACGAAGATCGCAGTTACAAAGCCCATTGGTGCATTGGTGCCATTCGCAGTACCGTTGGCGGACGAGAAGGCCGCGAAGAAGGTGTTCAAGAATGTGAAAAAAGGTGAGGATATCCCTCGAAGCTGGTCCACAAACCAACACTAACGAATCTACAGCGGCTGCCCAACGAACACTGAAGCGTGGCGTCAAGGAAGTCGTCAAAGCGCTACGAAAATCACCCAACAACCTGCCCGCCAACTCAGCTTCTTCAGACCCCATCGGCGTCGTCGTCCTCGCAGCCGATATTTCGCCTATGGACGTCATCAGTCATATTCCCGTGCTGTGCGAGGACCACAACATTCCGTACATCTTCGTGCAAAGCAGAGCCGAGCTTGGCCTGGCCGGTGGCACCAAGCGGCCCACCAGCGTGGTGATGGTGTCTCGAGACATCCAAAAGAAGAAGGATGGGAAGGCCGTTGAGGGCGAAGACGAGTGGCCGGAGACTTACGCTGGTCTGGCAAAGACGGTACTGAGGGAAGGCGCTGGTGTCAAGCGGTGAGGATGTTGAAAAAGAAGCTCTGCGGAAGCGGTCATTACCCAAGTCTTTCTTCGACACCGCGCCGTTTAGGGCAGTTCAGCGGTGAGCATAACATGGCGTCTGCGGCGTTCTCGAGGTCCTGCCACGATGGGATGGTGCGGAGTGAGGAGTGGGATTCGACATCAAGTCGTATGGGTATGTGCGAAAAAAGTGCTCAGGATACGGATCACCGACGAATGTCTCAGACCAAAGCTCCATTGTCTGCCTCCTGATGCTATCTATGTGTAGATACAGATCGGGTGATCAATCGGGTTGTTCTAACACATTCCCCGATGTTTGACAACAAAGTGTCTTTTGACCTTCGCTTAAACGCTTCATATGCAGTTTTTCTAGGTCGTGGTCTCATAAAGTCATAAGTCTCCACCATTGTACAATCTCGTCAGCTGCTCTCGTTTCCCATCACCTCACCTCACACGGGACTCCTGGGACTACCCTCCGCGTTTCCCAGCTTACTCGAGATCCTCCTCAAAAAGCTCGGCCGATGCGCGCGTGCAGGCGTCCTGGGCGACTCGGTATCGGGCGTGACCTGAATCGTCGGCACCGACACCGACAGCTCTGGCCTCGACTTCTCTGTCGGCTGCTCTGCCTCGTCACGCATGCTAGCCTGTACGATCTGGTCCAGGTTGCCGACGCTGGTGTTCGGACTCGGCTCGGGCGTCGTGCCATGCCGTTGTTCCCTCGACCGGAGCGATTCAGTGTCGAACCGGACACTGCTGCTCGTTCTCTGCGGCATGGGTGGAGCGACCGGGCGCTGGATCACAGACGCCACTCCTCTCGAGCTCCCGATGCTGGTCGGTAGCGGACCTGGCTTCAAGGATCCTCCAACTGTGGCCGGCGATGAGGTATCTACTTTGCCTGTCTTTTCCGCCGAGAGTTCGACATCGGACGGTTGCGCGAAGGCGTAAGGTCTGCTGGCGCGTCTGCCCGTGTTCATCTTGCTCTCTTGCTCCAACCTTGCCTCCAGACTCGCGAAGGTAGCACTTCTACCCCCACGGCCCCAGCCTCTGCCCGATCCTCCGCTCTGAAAGCCCATCCAGCCGCCCTTCTTCGCCGCCTTCTCTCCCTTTTTGAGCTTTCGCCGGTTCAGGTACCTCTCCTTGTATAGCCGCGCGTAGTCGGCCGCGTAATCGTTCGATCTCTTCGTCCACGTCCACGTTAGCACCCACGGCCACAGTATCCAAGCTACACCCTTCTGGAACATCTCGGGCTTGTTGATCACTGCGATCAGCAGATACGTCGGCAGACACACGGCCAGGGCCATGATGATGGCGGGCAGGAAGTCGTCCTCCGGCGGCATGTTGGTCATGCCAAACACACCCGTCACAAACATAAGCGGCAAGAAGAAAATGGTCACCAGCGTCAGCAGCTTGATGTTATAACCCTGTTCCACCGTGATGAGTGCCTGCTTGACCGCCTGTCGGCTCTCCTGCACGCTGGTCCCGCTAAACAACCACTCGCGCAAGCTCTTGATCTCCTTCTGCTCGCGGTTGATGAAGCGCAGCACGTCACGCAGCTCCTCCATCTCCAACTCGAACGACCGGCGTGTGTGCTTCATCTTCTTGCGCCAGTTGGCGAAGCGTGCGCTCGTCTCGGCCTTGCCGGGCAGGAGGGTCTTGTGCTCCCCTGACCACACCTCGTCCGTGAACGTCTCCTTGTAGGCGCCGATCATCAGCTCGATCTCTTCCGCCAGGGCGCCCAAGGTCTGGTTGGCCCAGAAGTAGCGGCGCGTGAAGACGAAGTCCCCGCTCTCGAAGATCAGCTCGTCGCGCAATGATGAGTCGAAGACGCTACGGCCTGGCGGCTTCGTCAGATAGATGATCTGTCGAGCCAGAAGGCGGAAGCGTTTGGCTGCGTCGCGGTACTCGTGCAGTAGCGTGGCGAGGAAGGCGTCTGGCCCGTTGACGTAATGATGGTGCGTCTCGTGCAGGTTGACCTCTGAGTGCCAGTCCGGGAAGTTTTGGATGCTGAGCACGTGCCAGGGAGCGAAAGGGTCATAGATCGCGCTGACCTTCGGGCTTTTGGTGCGACGCGAATGGAGGCGAAAGGTCTTTGCTGGTGGACCCGAGAGTGAGAGCGCCACCACACTGCTGCATGTGGAGATGGGAATGTGGTTCGTCTTGGTGCCGATATCGTCATCGTAGTTCTGCCAGCTCAGCGGTTCGCGTCCTTCACCTACCATGGTGTGGTACTTGAAGCAGAAGACAATGCTTCGCTGCTTGCGGTGGTCATCCTCGGCATGACCTCGTACATACGCTTTCGTACGTTGATGATCATCGATTAGCATGCGGTAAATGGAGTCCATGTCGAAGTGCTTGCTCATAGTGAGGTGGAGCGCACCGTAGAGTATAGGCGATGGTTCTCGCATGATGACTATTCGTCCAATGGCTTGCTTGCGGGATTTATCGGTATTGACGCCGGCCAACACTTCCCACGTAGCTTGGTCGCCACGAGAGACATCGGCTCGGGATCGCTTCAACGGGGCTCCGTCATCGCCCACCTCATATATATCGGCAGTGGTGTGATTCGCATCGTTGTGGTTGTCAAAATCTGGAGCGAAAAGACCCTCGGGTGAGAAAAGCTTGCCACTGCGTTGAAGGGGACCAAATATGAGGCGTGAATGCTGCTCCCAAGCGTAGTTGCGGATGTGCTGACGGAGTTCATCCTCAGTATGAATCTCGCTAGGAAGAGGGTCGTTGGCGTAGTAAGATGACTCGTCGTCGCTGTCGGAACTGTCATCAGCCGAATAGAGAGACGTGACTCTTCTTGAGAGGCCATCAAGACCTAAACTGTTGGTCCTTCGACTGGCGATGCTAGTTGGTCTTCGAAACGCATCATCGTTGGACTCAACAGACAGTGTCCTGGGGCGGTGTGGTTGGCTGAGGCCATCAGGCTGAGATTGCTGTTGTTGCAAAATCTGGACTAGGGCTTCTTGGAGCTTGTTCTGGGTAGACAAGTAGGCTGATCTGTCAGCTTCAAGCTGCTGTATGAGTTGCTTGATGCTATCGTTGTCAAGGGCCATGACTACCCATCCTGCTGTTGAGAATGCCTGGGAAGTGCACGAAAATGAGGATGTGAAGGCGGTCAGATGAGGAGGTCTGTGGGCTATGCGAGGGAGATGGCAGGGATCAACAGTATGAGGCTGTAAAAGGGACTTCTCCGACGCATGGCACCGACACTAGGGCGGTCCTTTCGCTACGTGGCTGGGCAATAAGAAACAGTGGAGGCGGTTCACAGGGCCGATCAGGAAAATGAAAGGACCGGATGGGTAGTTGGCGGGTGAGGCCCGGCTTGTGGGGGCCAGCCATGAAAAAGAAAATGGCAGAAACTGTTGCGCCATCTACCTAGGCGCAGACGGACAACTCACCAATCGAGGGTCTTGTGGCTGCACCTAGTACGCACGATTACTGCGTGGACTGGAAGAGTGGTCGTGGAAATATAGTTACACATTCGAGACCGAAAGTCGACTTGCTTTGCCGTCCCGTCGTGAGCTTGGAGAATCTTGACGCCAATGCTAGAACGAACCCAAATCGACAATCCTCCGGACCAGGCAGTATCAGGTAGAGATTTGTGCACTGGCAAGGATTTAACCGCTAGAGGCGACAAGAGAAGGTCATGGGAGCTAGACCGGCTAACCCTTGTAATAGGCCTGGCTGCATGGTTGTACCTTAATCCGGATGCTAGTTTATGCAGTCTATCATCCTTCGCGTCTTGTCCGTCTATTTGCGCTGCAAGCCAATGCTTTGTTCTTCATCCGGCCCATCGCCACGTCTAAAGGGATCCTCATCATCCGTAGATTCATCTCTATATTGTCTCGTGTCGTTTGAGGCGGGGTCCTCATCAAAGTAGTCCATAGTGTCTTCCTCGGCCAGCATCTGTGCGGCCTCCTGTGCTTCTGGGTCATCCGTAAACTGCTTGGGCGGAGCGCCCGTTCGGCGCACCGAGTCGTGCACAGCGGCTGCTTCCTCGGCTTCAAGCTCTCTGGCTCGCGCCATAGTCTTCTGGTAGATGTAGTATCCAACACTCGCCCCAACAATTCCAAAGAAGGCGATACTAATCCAATTGAGGGCCTTGGTGCCTGCACTCATTTCCTCATCAGAATTCGCAATGGCCGCCAGACGGCTTCCAATAAAGGTATGAATGAGGAGCTTGGGCGTGATCAGAGCGGTTGCTGCGGCATACATGGCTGGGTGCACCGTGGGAAAGGTCGACATGGCGCCGTTGGATAATGAATAGGGAAGCGGGCACAGCCGGATCATGCATAGCAGCTTGAGTCCGTCTTGCTTCAGCGTCAAGGTCAGTGCCGCGAAGCGCTTGTCGTGGGCGACCATCCGTTCAACATAGCTCTTGAGGATCGTCCTGGAGACTATGAAGGAGCAGAAAGACCCGGCCACTGTCGCTGTCGCCAGGATCAGCCAACCCTCCCACGCGCCATAGACAAATCCAGCGGTCGTTCCGCAGGTTCCGTAGCCGATCACGGGTGGGAAAGCTGTGCAAAAAGTGATGAGCCATAGGATGATCCAGCCTCCTGGTGTGTTCTTCCATCGCTGCGCCAGCGGGCCTAAAAATGCGAAGATCTTCTCGCTGAAGATGAGGAACAGCAGCGTCAGAACGTTCAGCGTAATGATAACTATGACCGCAAGTATCTTCTGGAGCAGCGAGAAGCCATTCCAGACGCGCATGAAACGGCGGTGCAACTTCTCGGCGGTATTGATCAGGCGGTCCCTATATTGCATGGTCGGGCTCTGGGAGTAAGGAGAGGAGTCCTCGCCAGAGAGGCTGTAGCGAGGAGCGTGCCATGGACTGAGCAGACCTTGAGTCTGCCGAGGGTCCAGCGGAGGAGAGTCTGGGAGTTGGATAGCCTGCGGCGCCATGATGATGGGAGACGGATGCGGGTGCGTGGCAAGGGCTGTGTAGGAGAGGCGTCAATGCGATGCAATCAACGCATTTCGGCGACAGGCTGTGAGGAATATTGAGGTTTCAAGGATTGATGATATAGAGGAGCACGAAGGTCAAGCATTGGGTTTGTAACCTCTGGAAAGCTGCGGCCTGAAGTCCAGACAGTCGCTGACATTGGCACCGGGGATGACGCTGCTCAGGACGGAGTTTCGGGTGTCTCGGGTGGCCGAAACGCTCAAGCACGAGGCTGAGAGCCACCGCCCAGACTGGCGCTTCAGCCGCCTCTGCGTCATCAATGGCGGGCTTTACAACACATCGTATTGGATTAACGAAAGTCCAGAGTTCACAGCAGCAGGTAGAATCTTGACAGAAATTAATGAGACTCACTCTCGGACAAGTATGTCTACGGCAGTAGGAACACTACTTGCCTGGCTGAGTGATAAGGTTGTAGTGCTTGCAGGCGGGCTGTAGTCCATCGCGCATGGCTGCAGCATGGCCACTCATTCGCTTCGTCTCCCCTCTCCCCGCAATCGACACTGCAGTCACTGATCTGGAGTCGACTTGCGGCCAGTCTGCATCTTGTCACCGCCTGCTTACACGATTCCTCATCCACCACCCTCTTCGTATATACTCAGTGTTGCTCTAGCTCTTCCGACCCAAAACCTTTCACGTTATCTCTTGCGTTCAAGCGTGTTTCCGACTCTGCGCCATCCACGTGTCAGCCCCGCTCCGAAGGGTACCATCCGAACGAACCCTGAACACCAGGCAGCCTGCAACATACAGCCCACGCGCTCTGCTGCATTCCCACCCCGCTTCACCTCCTGCTTCTGAATAGATCGCGAGACTATGAGCACTTTCCTAAGATCAAAATTCAACGGCTAGCCCCTACGTGCATTTCACCCACAATCATGGCGTCCGACGAGCATTACCAGTTATGCCTCCCCATCCTGCAGGACGATACCCTAGACGACGAGGACAAAACTGAGCGGCTGGAAGAACTGCTTCGGGAGAAGACCGCTCTGCGCGGTGCTGCTCTGGAGAACACAGTCATGTCGGTACTCTGGCGAAGGAGAAACGGAGGCGAGGCGCCTGATGCCCCTTTGAGGCACACCATCATCCGCAAGTCCTCTCCTGCGCCGTGGCAGGTCAACAGAGCGCCCACTCCTATCGGATCTCCCCCAACAGCCTCGACGCCCCCGACAGCTTCGGCCTTCCCTCAGTCCCGACCGAGCTTCTCGCGCCAAAAATCCGCCATCTCCTCCCCTTTTGCTTCCCCTCGGCCATCTCCACGTCTGGCTCTTGCTCAGCCCATTCCTCATAGCCCAAGCTTGAATGCATACGAATTCTCGGATCAGAGCCATGCACCTGACATCTACGGCGACTATGGCAGCGAGAATGTGGATTGGCTTCTGCAGGATGATACTGCCAGCAATGCCTCATCGACTGGCTTGAGTGCTGCTGCGCCAGAATGGATGCCACAACCAGATATGAGTCCCTACGATATTCTGAGGTCCGTCTTGGGCGATAAGAAGTCCGATGACGAGATAGAAAAGGCATTGAACGAGCACTCCTACGACCTGGGCGCCACAATCGCTGCACTACTCGGCTCGGATGAGACTCATTTCACTGCTATTCCTGATAGCAATGTTCTGGTTGGCAAATCAATGAATGTCCTGCAACGCCCAGTCACACCAAATGCTGTCAAGAGTCCCATCGTTTGCAAGTACTGGCTCGCGTCAGGCTCATGTCTAAGGGCGGACTGCAGGTTCGCTCATGACACCAGCGGCTATCTTTGCAAGTACTTCATGCAAGGGCATTGTCTTGCGGGCGATTCCTGCCAGTTCTCTCACGATCCAGCCTTGTTGATCAATCACTTATCCTTGACCAACTCACATTCTCCTGGTCCTCAATTCCAGCTTCAGGAGTCGTCTGATCAATTTCCGTCCCTCTCGCCTCCAGTCAAGTCTGGGCTATCCCCAGCAGCCAACGGCTTTGTCCCTGCGGCTCAGCGGGGGAGGGGAAGTTTTTTGCCGACATCGCGACCGCATTCTCGGCCGAATTCGAGACACCAGAACAGACCAGAAACACCATCCTCCTTGTCTATGGACGACCCGGACTCTTTTCCAACCCTTGGCTCTGCTAAACGTGCCACGAAGCATCATGGCACCCGTTCTCGCCATGGCCCTTCAACGCCTCAACAGATCGTTGAAAAGGAGCCCTCCTCACTTGCTGATGTAGTTCGCATGTCTCCGTCTCCAGCACCCACTCAGCCCCGCAAGATTGAAGTCGCCGGTGGTCGAAAAATTCGTACCTACGGTGGCAATGACAGCGCCGCCGCCCGGCGTATCCCCGAACCGCAGCATATTCCCTGGCTTGAGACCGGCGCCAAAGCCAACGCACAGTATTTGAAGTATCGGGCCGAGGCCATCAAGCATGGGAGTGTACGTAATAAGTTCCTGCAAAGGTAATCTCCTTTTTCCAATGGCCCTTCCTGCACTCTTGCCCTTTGCTAATATTAGCCAGCGCTGCACAAGCATGGAACCGCAACGACGCGCGCGCAGCCAAGGCGCTCTCGCTGCGTGGCCAAGCTGAGAACGAGGCGATGCGGAAAGCCCACCGTGAAGCTGCGAATGCGTTATATGAGGAGCGTAACAAACACCTACAGAATGGCGACAACGGCGATGAGGAGCTTTACGTTGATTTGCACGGTAGGCGCTCCCTCTTAAACTCACGACATTTTCTTTTACTCCAAGCTGCGACCTTTGTTGGGCGCAGGCGCTCCTTCGCATCTACCAGGCAGATGAAGCTAATAAGAGCACTACTTTCATAGGCCTCCACCCTGAGGAAGCAGTCTCATACCTCGACTCCATCCTCCTCCAGCACGAGAAAGGCCCACGTCGCGTTATCTACGCCATCACAGGCACAGGGCACCACAGTAAGAACGGCAAGGACAAGGTGGGCAAGGGTGTGCGCGGTTGGCTAAACGACGGGGCCTGGAGCTTTCGCGAATTCAGCGTTCCTGGTGAGAGGGGCGGTTACGTGGGTGGAGTGCTGGGTATCGATGTTAGTGGGAGGAGGGCGAGTACGGGCGCGGGTGCGGTGACGGGCGGACGGGCGGGAGACGAGGGCGAGGAAGAGGAGGAGAATGCTGGCATGGGATTGCGAAGTGGTAGCGGCAGTGGCGGTGGAGGGTTGGTGATCGGCGAAGGGAGAGTGCGGGTATTGAAGAGGGAGGAGGTTGGTGCTAGCTGATACCATGGGAGGTGGAGATGCCAGGGGAGGGGTCGAGGTACAAGGTGAAGAATTGAGACAGCTCTCAATTGAAGACGTTATTCTCAGTCTGCTTCTTGTCGCTACTGTAGGACTCCTACCTTGCAACGTATATGATCCCTGCTGTATTTTCTCAAGGTGACCTACCAGCTGCACATGGTTTGCAACAATATATGGTCGTCCATACATGACCGTGATACTTGAGTATGTTTCCTCGATGACTCCTCAACAGCAGCCCCTCTCACACACCTCTCCCTTGTACTGACCATACAAGGCCTGAGTGCGAGTGGTGACCGGATGACGCGACGTTGAAGAGCCCCTAAGGTAATTTATATTCCTTTTAACGCGGCTTGGTTCCGCTGTGGCTGCTCACAGACTACTACCTAGCAAGTAGAGTCTTGAGCGCACATCAATATACTGAAGGGGTCACTCGATGGTCAACAAACACGGCATTTTGGTTTGTGAAATCGGTATGTAGATCAAATGCTTCTGGAATGGCGCAGTGGCTGGTGGTCGGGCCCCGATCGGAGCGACAGGTTGATTGTATCTCAGCTAGATTTCGAGCTTCTAACATTGACCACTGCTCGTGATAGCACTACCGTCTCCTACAGGGTATACCTGAAGAAGGGATTGCGGTCTCCGAGGTCAAGAAGTTCCTGCTCGGTGTACTGCCCCAGGATCTCGTCCTCCGTCTTGCCTTCCAGGAGCGCATCGCGCTTCTTGTTGTCTCTGCGATACACAGTACGGAGCACAAATGCAGCGATTATGCCGCACACACACATGGCCAAGGACACCGAGAAACCCGTGGTGTAGTGTGGTGCTTCTCGGGCGATGTAGATGTTACTGCCGCAGATGCCGCCCTGAAAAAGGTCAGTACTTGGTTGCTGAGGGGAAAGAACGGTGAAAGGAGCTCGAGACTTACCATGTTGCCAATGGAGATGAGCAAAGCCATGCCGACCGCACGCTTGGAGGACGGCGCGAGATTGTTGCCGATAATGCAGACGATGCAGATGAAGGGGGCATATAAGCCAGCCGCGACGACAAAGAGGAAGGCGTACGTCAACCCCGGTAGATTAGGATGGGGAATAGCGAGCTCAGCGATGAACCCAACACAGGCGATGGCGTAGCCACCCATGATGAAGGGAGAACGCTGTTCGATCTTGTCGGACCACCAAGCGAAGACTAGCGTTAAAATCATGGCGAAGACGTAGACGGGAATGGTGAGCAGCTGGGCCTGTGCGGAGGTGTAGCCAAGGCCATTGATCACAGCTGGGACTGTCGCTGTGAAGCCATACACGCCAATGGTGTTGGCCCAGAACATGACGATGGCGACCCAGATCCTCCATTCTTTGAACGCTGCCTTGATATGGTGCATTCCGATCTTGTCATTGTTGGTCACACGGCCGGCTTTGGTGGACTTGGAGCCCGTGTCAAGCGCCAGCCTGTTGATGATGAACTCTTTCTCGTCTTTGGTGAGGAAACTGGCCGTCTCTGGGTTGTCCGGCAACATGAAGTAGAGGCCCAGCCCGACAGCTACAGGAGCGAGGCCTTCGAGGATGAAGATCCATTGCCAGCCCGAACGGCCCCCGACACCATCCATTTGCTCAATGCCGAAGGCGAGCAGGCCAGAGAAGGCGCCGGAGAGAGAAGCCGCGGCGTAGAAGACGGCCATGCGGCGTTGAACCTCGTATCTGCGATACCAGATGGTCAAAAGGTAAGTTGCAGCTGGAAAGAAGCCGGCCTCAGTCACCCCGAGAAAAAAGCGTGCTGCCAGCAAACCGCCGTAGCTGTTGACGAGGCCCATAAGAGTCATGACTGTACCCCACGAAAAGCAAAGGATCGAGAGCCAGATTGATGGCCGAAGCATCTTGAGAACGACGTTGCTAGGCACCTCCAGAAGCGTGTAAGGCACAAAGAAGATGGTGACAGCAGCGTTGTACTTCAAGCCATAAAGCTCGAGGTCCTCATACATGCCAGCAATTCTGGCATTGCCGATGTTGGAGCGATCGATGAAAGCGAGTCTAATCCAGTCAGTGATGGGCTTGGACTAGTTTACCATGGACTTACAGATAGAGCAGTGCCAGTAAAGGCACGAGACGGTAGTCGATCTTTCTGAGGATGCGAGACTCCTCTTTGGGATCGACCTCGGTGACGGCGGCGACTTCTTGCGGAGAAAGACCAGCTTCGACAGTACGGAGGCTTTTCTGGGCCTCGAAGTCAATGGAGGCTCTGGTCGAAGACCGACGCGTTTGGTCTCCATGCTCAATCCTGCTGTCGCTAGTGACAGTCTTCTCGTTGTCGCTAGCCATGGTGAATATTACGACTTGTCCGGGGACGAAACTAAAGGGTACGGGGTCAGAAGTCTGGAGTTCTGGGGCACCCGCGAACGCGGAGGTAAGGGCATAATATAGGAGTCATGTTCAAAGGCGCTTTTGCAAAGTCCGCAAGCTGCTTTCGCTTAATCGAAGTCTTGACCTACCTCAACGACGGCTTCACCGGCACTGAAAAGGGTATGGATGCGCGGAACCCACGTGTGGCAGACCCAATGTGCGCATGCGCTGAAGAGTACCAAGCTTCCAGCCAACGGGTTACTGGCTCGTGGGGCATCGAGGTTTGTGTCGGAGGCTTCACCGACGAGACCGATACTCCACCTGTAGACGGCTGCTGATCTGACGCCGTGTTCGGATCCGACACGAATGGCTGCGAGATGTCGATTCCGGCGTCTCGCGTCGCTGCTGCGAAGCGAAAACTCAGCAATTTGGGGGTGCGCTGGGGGTTGGGGTGGGACCAAGAGCGGGCATGAAGCGGCTCTTCCATTTTAGCCGGCATCGTGGCGCTGGGGTAGGTCGGCAGACCCACAGTCAGCGTCAAATCGTGTGGGAGTTCTCCGAGTGGCCTGCCGGATGAAGTGCCCGGACAACGTGCAGTGTTCGAGAATGGGCGATAGCATGATTCATGGAGATACTTGAGCAGTTTGTCGCATGCTATGGTCGTCTGAGCTGTCAATTAGGACAAGCCACTGGGTGATGCTCGAAGACTTGCTTATGAGGCTGGCCAAGCTGTTGCCCAGAAGCTTGCAGTGAACCCCGGGTTGGCGCCCAGACGGCTCAAATTCAACCGCCCCTCTCGCCCATCCTGCCTTCGTTCGGATCAACTCCAGAGACGCCACGACCATCACCTCGGCTATCATCAAAGCAGTGGATACACTTGGAGTACGAGTGGGCTACAGGCTGACAGCATGCCGTTTCCATTTGCACCGTCGACAACGTCGCAAGTGGCATTCCAATCGCATCTAACCTCGTCAACCCACCCCTCGCTTCCTTCAGCAACCACATCGCAGCGTTCGGTCGTCCGCTCCGCTCTGAAATCTCACAAGCGACTGTCAGCATCCGATCAGTCGAACAACCTCTCAGCTTTGGTAACGGCTTTATCTGAATATCTCAAGTACCTTTGTAGCCTTGATTTGGGCCTGAGCGGGAAGCCGGTCTCGAACGAAGATGTTGACATTGCCCTGATCAATGAGATTGAGGTCGAATGGCGTCCCACCCTAGGATCCAGCAATATTCCTGGCCGGGAGGCTGAACGGGTGAAAGGGAAAGGTCTTGACTTTGAGCTTTACTTTGTACACCACACTCTTGCAGTTGTCTACAACCTGCTCGCCAGACACTCCCTGTTGGGTCTCTATGCCACCACTACTCCAACCGCCGACCAGCGCCTTTCTTTTATTCGTAATGCCATCCAGAGTTTGACCAAGGCCTATTCCCTACATGCGTATCTGAGCCACCGCTCTAGCTTTTCTGCCGATGGACCACCTACCTTTCCCGCCCCGGCAGCCGACATCTCTCAGCCTGTACAGTCTGCCCTTCAGCATCTTACACAAGCGGAGATCAATCTCCTGTCAGTGCTCAAGGATGACCCCTACCCAGCCCAAGTGCTACAGTCCCGGAACAAGGACGACAAGGAATGGATGATCAAAGCTCCAGAAAAGCCCAAAGCCAGGGTCGCAATGCTGCAGAGACTGTGCATTGGAGCCGCCGAAAAGGCAGCATCGGCTTCTGTGGCACTCAAGACCGAAGGAAAGCGTGCTTCCAAAGATCTAATTGAGTACTGTGAGGATTTGCGTGCCACAGCCCGTGCCAAAGCCTGCCGTTTCGCAGCCGTTGAAGCTGACACCTCGGGCGAAACAGGAAAAGCCATCGCATGGATACGCGCCGGACTCAATGAGCTCGGCATCGAGATCTCCTCCACCGGCAGCAAGAGCACCTTCTCCAAGTTGAAAAACACCTACGCCGAACGCAAAGAGGACAAGCGCATTGCCAAGGGCGACAGTACCTGGGGAGTCGACGGTGGCAAGGCAGAAGAGGGTCGTATTCTGGCCTTTCTGGAGACCAAATTCACAAAGGCGAACGATACCATCAACATACAGCTCATACCGGAATGGAAGCCGCTGTTGGCACAGATGCCGGGCGCCATGGTTTTCCCTGTGAACGAAAAGTGGAAGCCAGTCACCTTGGCGGAAGACGAGTTGGCTGCAATGCGAGCATTGCCTGATGGGGACAACCTAGAGCAGGGGGCCGAGAGCAGCGACGAGGATGAAGTGGGCAAAGAGAGGAGGCCGGCTGGGGCATTCCCCGGCACAGACGAGGAGTATGGCCGTTCCAACTACTACTAAGCATGGCGAGCGGGCTGCAGAATCAAGTCTATACGCCATATATGGTATTCATCGTGACAGGAACCGTGATAGAGTGGCCAGGCAGACTACGCAGCCTCAAGACGGGGCGGCTTTGCAGCATATGCGGCGTCGACGATGGCTGTACTGCTCCGAGGTTGCTGAATCGAAGCAGTCAGAGGCCTGCAATCTACGCCACATGCGACCAATGAGTCATCCTTCCAAAGGCCCTCTAAAGTCCGCCGGCCAGTACACGAGGCAGACAGGAAGCACTTTTGTGCTACAGTGCCATGACTGACGACCCGCTTAGGTGTGAGCCGCATCGCAAGTTCCAAGCATTCGGGAACGAATCATCACCGGGGACCAGGCCACAACAATGACGAGACGGACGACATGTGCCACTTGCACATGACGGGGCAAAAGGTTCTGGAACGGATGTGCGATGGCGCAATTGATGCCTGACATTCATACAAAAAGTATGGCAGTCTCTTGTGGTCGTTTTCGAGCAAAACCGAGGCCGGCAGTCCATTTCCGTCCACTTAGAGAACCCTGCAAGGTCTTGTGATATGCAAAGAGGCGCCTGCCTATCCTCCAGACTGAAGGTGATGATGCGTCGAAAGAACCATCAAGAATTTGGAGATTGCTTGACCAGTCCGACACAAGCGGGAGAGCCTGGTAGGGCACTTTGTGAACCTTTGGTCAGGCGCCGGCCAACCTACGTCCGCGGCTTTGGTAGCCCGTATTTGCGGATGACGGCTGCGGCAAAATCGCGCGGTCGCCTGAACTCAATGCCTGAGGCGCAAATTGTGGAGAGGAGGGGCAAGAGGAAACAATGCGCTGGATTCTCAGTAGGAGGATTGGCGAATTTTGCTCGGTGATAATGGTCCAGCCATTATGCTGTGAAACCCGCCTCGCTCGGCGATCAAAATAGATAGTCTAGTCTAGTATACATCTGAAACATGGTGGAAGTACCACTGCTGAAGCAATCGCCGCCCCTCAGCTTAAACCACGTCGGCAATAGCAAGAAATCCAAGCAAGTCGTAAAGTCATCCATCATATCATGCCCTTGCCCTCTCCAATCAATCAGTACTTGTCCGACCTCCTCCGATCATCCTCATAACTGCGCCGCCTCTCGACGTAGCCATGTCCATCCTTCTCATAATCCCTGCTGTGCTCTTTGCCGAACCGTGTCTCCCACGCGTACTGGTTTTTGTCCCTGCGGTCCTCGCGCCCCTTTCTTCGCTCGCCATAACCCTTTCCGCCAATCCACCCGGCCAGCGCGCCGCCCACCGTGCCGAGCCCGGGGAAGATCAAGTCGCCGATCAGGCCGCCGCCAGCCGCGCCCAGGAAGCCGTCGGCGTTGGCGCTGCGGCTGGTCTCGGAGGTGCGTCGGCGCCCTCGTCCATCACTGTGTGAGCGCTCGCGTGAGCGACTGCGCGAGTGGTTGTGTGAGTGCCCGTGGCGGTGTTTGTGCTTGTGTCGCCGGTATTCGGGATCGGAGCTGTAGCCGGAGGAGGACGAGAGGTCTACGGCGGAGGTGGCGGCGGCGGCGGCTGGGTTGAGATGTGAGGGTGCGTAGGGTCGTAGGTGTGTATTCCCAGGCCCGTTGGGACGGGGTGGTTGTGAGTAGTTGTTTTGATATGCCTGCCCCTGCTGCGGCGGGTAGCCCTGAGGCGAATATTGCTGTTGTTGAGGATGTGGTTGGAGGGCTTGTGTATTTTGCACGTAAGCTGCCGGAGCCCACGACTGGGGATTGGGCCTCTGCCCTCCTGAGAAGGAGTTTGGACGGTGTTGGTTGTGGAAAGGCGAAGGGGTCGGCGCAAAGTGCACAGACGGTTTGTGTTGTTCGATCAAGGGTTCGTAGGGAGGAGGGGGTGGACCTTGCGACCAGGGTGAGGAGGGCTGATATGATTGTGGAGGAGGGGAGGCGAATTGAACGTTTGGCTGAGACGATGCCCTTTGCGGGGGTAGAGGTGGGGTCAAATACGATGAGGAGGGTTGATGCGATGCGGCCATAGAGGGCCGCGGGGGCGCGAGGCCACCGCTGAAGTAATCTGCTGCTGCCATGGTCTAGTCTCAGTGAAATGGAGAAAGGATGGTTTGTCGTCGTTGAGCTGGGCAGCCGTATATATCGCTGTTAGTCAAGCAAGGTCAAAGTTTGGGCGCTTGGGACGGGACGGCATGCGCCTAAGGCTAACTCCGGGCGTTTGAGGTGGCTATAAGGACTGTCCAGTGGCGAGTCACGTTGAAGAGTCATAGGATCACCGGTCCGCAGCAGATTGACAGATGCGGCATTGCAAAGCCATTGGAAGCGGCAAGGTGGCGCAGTTTGGCGAAGGTTGCCAGGAACTTTGGAGAGGCCATTGGGTGGGATTTGAGTCGTTACAGATGCCCGCCACTTCAGCCTTAGGGCGTCCGATCATCTGCAGACCACATGCACCATGAAAGTCCATCGGCTTCTGCCTGCCCAACCAGTAACGTGAGGGGAGGATGAAGTCAGCAAGGAAGACGTCAGCGGAGAACTTGGAGCTGCCGAGCCTCAAGTGCAAGAGAGAAACATGGAAACACCCTGCTGCTACTTGGCAACGATGCCAAGGCCATGCTGTGATATCAGTCCACGACGGCGAGATGAGCTCTTACTCTACAAGAGCTGGTCATCTGCTGAGTGTGAGGTAAATCTTCGTCATTCTGATGTTGTTGCTATGTTCTTGCTGATCCCAGGCTCAAGCTGTTCCAGGTAGGCCAGTGTTTGCACGTATGTCTTCCGCTGGTTCGCCTCCAGTTCGGCCTCGTGACACATTATATCTGGCTCGCAATTCTTGCCATCCTCCATATACTTGCCGTGACTGTCCGGACCAGCGCATGCACCAGCAATCAAAGTACGTGCACCCACCTCCACTGTGCGTGCAAAGAACAATTTCAAAACCTGTGCGGCCCAATATTCGAATCTGCTGGGCGTACGGTTTGCGAGCTCCGTGTGAGTGAGGCCTGGCGTCACGAGTGTAATAACAGGTCCACCGATCATGTGCTTGACCAGTTCTTGTACGAACAGTATTTGCATAAGCTTCGATACAGCATATCTGCTCTTGTTAAGCGTGGTTGCTTGCAGATATGGTAGACTCACCGATCAAATCGATTGCCACCTTCCATGAAATGGGCCTTGTCAGCCAATTTGGCGTATATGTCATCTTCGTTGACTTCCGAATAGGTCGTGGTCTTGTGGGATTCAGAAGTCACAATTTCTAAATGAGGAGTGTTGCCGTATGTTGCTGCCGTATCCCGAAGCTTGGGCAGCATCAGCAATGCTAGAAGCAGCGTTGAAACCACATTGACCTTGATGTCCTGCTCCATGCCCTCATATTCGGCCCAATAGGTCAGCGCGATGCCGGCGTTCTCCAAAAGAACGTCAACGCGTTCGAGTCCATCCGCGCGCCTCACAAAACTTCTGATCGAATTGGTGCTGGTCATGTCCAGCGGCCATACTTCCATGAAGTCATCTTTGCGTCCCGTGCTGCTTTGAATCGACTCTTTGGCAGCCTCACCCTTGGATACAGTTCTCACAGCTAGAATGAGCTTGCTGCATCCCTGCTGTGCGAACTTCCGGGCAGCTTCCAACCCCAAACCAACATTAGACCCGGTAACAATGATGGTCTGCCCTGAAAAGTCATGGGCGATATTCGGGGGTGTGACAAACAGGTGCGAGTACAAAAACGAGCGTACAAAACGGGAGGTGATCATGACGTCAAGTTATGAACGGGTTGGTGGACAATGAAAGGGAAGCTTGAGTAGTTGCTTCCCTTCAAGGTGTAAAAGGCAGTGGTGTAGTCGTGTCCACGACGCGCAGGTACTGCCTTATTCAACCCCCATAAAAGGATTCTGCTCTGATCAGTGAGCTAGAGAGTACGGACCATATCTGATATCGCTCTACTGGCCGATGCAGGCAATCGTAGTCGTAGCCAAAAAGGCATCAGGATCGCAGCGCGTCGCGGATTAATCTTGGCATTTGCCAACCGAGGCGCCGCGGGACGTTCCACATTGCTTCTCATCGCAGAGTTCGACAACCGCCTCGATCTCCCGCTCAACATGTCGGCTAAGGCACACGCATTCCAGCGCGCCTGTCGTGCTGGCCTGAGTTCGTCGCAGCCAGCCTCCCCTATTCACATCCAGACCCGCACCGCCACCAATAGCGGCGCCTCATCGAGCTCGTCCTACCCTTCATCCGCCGCGCCTCGACGTCGAGCAATCACAGTCACAAGCGATGATGGTCGTTATCACTGGTCAGAGCTCTCAACGGGCGAGAAGGCTGCGCGCGGAACACAGCAGACCTTCAATGCGGCGCTCGTCCTCGCAGGTTTAGGAGGCACTTGTCTGGTCTCATATTTTCTCTACCAAGAACTATTTGCGCCGGACAGCAAGACGGTTCAGTTTAACCATGCAGTTGATCGAATCAAAGCTTCTCAAGAATGCAGAGACCTGCTCGGACCAAGCCGAAAGATGCGAGCATATGGCGAACCGACCACGAGCAAATGGGCAAGAGCCAGACCACTGGCTTATACTACCGAGATCGATCGGATGGGCACAACTCACTTCAGAATGCACTTCAACATGGAAGGAGAGAAAGATTCCGGAGTTGTTGCCGTGCACATGACGAAGCCACAAAACGAGAGCAGGTTGGATTACAGGCTATTGAGCTTGACTGTTTCTGGCCACCCGACGGTCTATCTTGAGAACAAGGACAACCAGGGCGTCAAGTCGAAAGTGGGAAAGCTCATGGGCGTGCAGTGGAGATGATTTAGCCCGACCGTGGTCGTATGCTGGTGGTCGTTACGGCTCTAATGGGGCCGCTCGACGATATTTGCAGGCTCCTTGCTCACAAACAAGCAAACGATTACAAGCCGCGAAGGAAGGTCGCAGTATGAGGAAAAGACGACGACTGCTCTGGCTTGACCGTTCCACTGAGTTGCCGGTGCATATACTCAGCTTTGCTGGAATGCAGATCTCGGTGTCTGTCTGTGCTCCGTCTCAATTCTATAACCCTACAATGGCAGACTCTGCTGGTGCCGCCCTTCCAGCCCAGGCAGTCTCGAGCTCGCCTCGGAATCGCGCCACTTGTGAGAAGCCCGAAATATCCCATCTCCTCTGCAGGTCCGCCCGCACAAGCTCAATCTCATCTTGGGTTTCCATGAAAAAGCCGATAGTGTACAGCGGCCAGTTTCCGATGAAGCACTTCGCCCATTCATAATCTTCAGCATGGTCTTGCAGGATCTGGATCATCTTGGCGACCTGCCACGAGCTGCTCGGCCTCGGCTCCAGTATTTCAGTCCCATCGAACAAGAATTCGTCCGCCTGATCAAGTAGCAGAGATGCAGCAAGGATGTACAGAAATGCTGCGTCCTTGTAAATCTCGTAATGCGAAAGCTCACTTCGCGAGGCGGCAAGATCCAAGTCATCGTTCCGCAACACCATCGCTTCCCACTCATCCAGCTCATCCCTCAAGTGGTTGATGGTCTCCTGGTCCTGCCGATTCGGCCCCTGATATATTTGCTTGATTGACAATACCAACCGAAATAGCGACATCGGGACACCCAATACCGGACTGTTGACGGTTGCCGGCTCACTAGGGAATAGTGTGGACTGAGCTAGGAGTTTCTCAGCCTGTAGCCAAAATTCCGCGTCGAAATGGAAGTCCTGCTCAATGCGCTGGCACCAGGAGCCCATGGCCGTCAGAAAGACTTGGTACAGGACGCTCTCGATGGCAATGCGGTCGAAGGGTCGCCGAATGGCACCGTCATGGCCAGTGAAAAAACGGAGGCGCAGCAGCTGGATGGCTGCTTCAACGTGGCGCGGAATGTCGCTGAAGGTAGTAAGGCCAAGACAACCGTGCAGGTAGAGAAGAATGATGGTCATAAGGAGGCCGTTATGAGTGGCGGCGCTCTCGACGGCGAGCAACGATGAGACAGTTTCAATGCCGCGCGAATAATACTCCAAAGCTAGCCCGTGCATCTGTTGCGTACCGGACAGCGAGCGCAGCTGGGACGCACTACAAGCAAGTACGGAATAGTACAAGCTCTTGTGTACTGTCATGAGTTGGCGAATTTCGTTTATCCAGCCGTGGTAGAAGCTTGGATGGCAATTGGGTAGAACAATCATGTCGAAGTACCTGTCGAAAAAGTTTTGCGATACGACGGGCTCAACGTCGCGGAGCAGAATGCGGCCGGCAAGCGATTCCGAAGCCAGTGATAGTGTGGTAATCGGCGTTCCTGTCGCCTGCTTGGTTTCCGTGACCACTGTTTGTGCTTTCGAAAAGGCCGGTGATGCAGTATCGGCCCGGTGGTTGCTATGGCGTCGGTCGATGAGCTCCTGAGAGGTTGGCCACCGGCAATTTCGCTTTGATGCAGTACACCGCTGGCAACGAGGATAGTTCTCGTCACATTTCTTTCGCCTGCTTCTGCCTGGTAGATGATCAGCGGAACCCTCAAAGAGATAGCCCGCGACTTACAGATCAAGCATCCAGTTTTCGTCCTCAACCGAGCACTTTGAGTCCCGGGCATTTTTCCAGCGCGCACGTGGCGCTGTATTACCCTACATGCCTGCACACGTCTGATCGGAGAGCTGGGGCAGAAAGAAAACAGGAGGGTGAGGATATCGTCTTGGGAATTGACCGTTAGTGCTTGGCTACCCCGCCTACTGATAGAAAAAAGAGCAGTTGGCCTGTACCCCCATTCCACGCCCTCGCTTGAAACCGGCCGAACTCAAGCTAATGGACGGTGTTTGCAATGGAACAAAGCACTACCTGTGAAGAGCTTGTTTTTTTGGTTGTGAAGAACTGGCCCCAAGAGCAGCTACGGACATTGATAGCGGCCATGTATCAATACGTTCACATTGGTAGACTACTCCCCTGACTTCGCCTGATCTTGGCTTACCAAGCTCCAATACCTTGCAGCACTCTTGACGCGGAAACCCTTGCCAAACTTGATCATGATCAGGAAGACCGAAGAAGCAGCCATACCCACGAACGCGGCTGAGATGAAGCAATTCTGATAGCCGAGGGTGGTGAGCCACGGAGTAATGCTGTAGAGTATTAGCTTGAGCCAGGCCCTTTCGCGGAGTGGCTTACCCGTAGGAGATTGCGAAACTCATCGTGTTGCGGACGAGAATGACGGTGACAATGGCATCGCCAGAGATGTCGTGATAGCTGTCAATAAGGTAATTGACGCTCAAGGTGATCCCCATTGCCGAGGTGAATGCCAGTGCGCCCATTGCGAAGATGAGCCCGAACCAATGCACTTCCTGCGCAGCTCCGACGCCCCAGAGAATCAGCGCGGACGGAACGGCGATTACGCAAAGAATGAAAGGCCACAATCGCTGCTCAGCCTCCATCACACCCTTGTTGCGGCGGGCGAGTTTGATTGTCAGCCAGTCGCTCATGTTTCCCGAGACAAGAGATCCGATGATGACGCCTATACAGCACGATAAGTAGCTGAGGCCCACCATCGATGAGCTGAAGTTATACGGCGGCCCACCGAGGATGATCGAAGCTGTTGCATTGAGGACGTTGAACCAGATCAGGTACGAGCCGTAGGAGAAGCCAGCATAGAAGATGACAGGCCAGGAAAGGTACTTCAAGCTGCGGATCGCGCGAGGCAGCATGTTTTGACCGGGATGGGGCTGCCAGATAGACAGCTTCTGTACGTAGGTTTTGGGTGGAGGATGTGCGGTACCGGCTTGTGTGGACAACGTTGTGCTAGCCTTGGTCAACTTCTTTTCTTGGTCTCCCTCAAGGCTTTCAGGAGGAGGGCTCTCTGTCTCGGTGACAATGCCTGTCGTCTTGCGGTTGTAGTTGGTCTCTTCCATGAAGAAGAACAGGAAAACGAAGAGAAAGGCACAGAATATGGCTGGCCAGTAGAACACCCACCGCCACCCTTGTCGATCTGCGATAAAGCCGCAGATGACGGGCGTGAAGTAATTGCTGCCGGCCAGAGTGAATGAGTAGATCCCCATGTATGTGCCGCGTTGGTGGGTAAAATAGACGTCCGTCACCGAGATCTCAGGCAACGCCTCAACGGGAGCAATCATGAAGCCTTGGACAATACACTTGGCGATCCACTCGCCGTTGCTCTTCACGTAAGCGCTCCAGATGCTGGTTCCGATGGCGCCGAGGACCGAGATGAGATAGGTGAGACGCTTGCCGTATCGTAGAGCAAAGGGTTGCCAGAAAAGCAGGCCCCAGCCGAGGAAGAGAAACATATAGCCAGTGCCTTCGTTGAGTGTTTTGGTCGAAACCCCTGATGCTGCGGAAAGTGGCACCAGCACTGAGTAGACTGTAGAGACGGCAACTCCGGTGAACCATGTATAGCTGCAGTTGTTAGCTTTGAAGGGCACCGTCCCCGACGAGTTGACCTACAGGTTGGATGAAATGGTTGACATGACCTTCCTACGTGGCGACCAATTGAGAGGGTCATCCGGGTCACTAGAGGGGCTAGGGTCGAGCACGATATCGCCCTGCCCAGCATGGCGGGCATGCAGTGTGTGTTCAAGATCGACAAGGTGGATAGTTCCAGGCACTGAGCCTGTCTCTGCGGTTTGATGCGCCATAGCGAGCAGATTCAAGTTTGACTATTGACTCAGACACTCACGTCCAGGGGGACATGAAACTTATACCATGTGGTTGAGCGATCATGCTGATCTGTGCTAGCAGAACAGCCTCAGGATGTACAATCCATGGTGCTGGCAGCTAAGAGCGGTGGGAATTTCCGCCTCGCATGCTAGCCTGCATCTCGACGGCATATCTGTCGATAGATTCACCAGGGAAACAAGGCTTGCGGTCAGAAGCATATCAACACCCGGAGCTCCTATCCATAACGATATACCGTTGATCAAGCCAGTCAGGTTGTGACTAGATATCAAACACATGTTCAGGCTGATAAGGATGTAGAAGACTTGATGAGGTCGCGGAAGCCCGAGTGGAACGCGTCGTGCGCAATTGCCTCTGATTGGCAGCTGCCAACGATAGCGGTCCGTCGGCAAAAGCCCACGCTAGCAGTAGCTGGTGCCCTGGGCGTTTCCAGGGTGGCCCACCTGTGTTCTCCCCGAACCCCAGCAAACGATATCTGAAAGTGCGCAATTACACTTGATTGGGCTCTTCTGACCTCTGTCTTTACCACGAGCTTCCATTTTGAGCGAATCTGGGGACGTCCACAGGTCTTCTCTGAAAGCCTCCTGATGTACCCATGTTCCAGATCGCGATTGCCGTGGGTCTAGAGCTGCCATGCAGTTGCTGCTCACCCCGACGAGGGTGGACATGCGCACCGGCCAGTCAATATCAATTGCGCGATAGGGGTACAATAACCAGGGTAGGCAAGAACGGATGATCTCTCCTCGGAGGTCAACCGTTATCAAAGCTGCTTGTACTCGAGACTTCCCAACGCAAGTCCTTCAAGCGTTGCGGTTCTTTCAAATCTATCGAACATGATTCAACACGTGGCATCACCGATCCAAGTCAAAGGGATCCCACAGGGAAGTCCGGAGTATGAGCAGAAGCGTGCAGACCTTCTCCGGACCTTCTATGACAAGATTCCTGCACAGTATTACCTCCCGCGATCGCTCATTGAGCATCCACCACTAGATGTGTCCGGAATTCCTCGAACGGCAGGTATCCTGACCTCTGAGGAAGTCGAGATCACCGAAACCTACGATGCTGTGGGCCTTGCAGAAGCGATTGCCGCGAAGAAGTACACATCAGTGGCTGTTGCGTCTGCATTCTGTAAACGCGCTATAGTTGCTCATCAACTCACCTGCTGCCTGACTCAGTGGTTTATGGATGAAGCCATTGAGCAGGCGAAGCAGCTGGATGAGTATCTTGCTGTAAACGGAAGAACTATTGGACCGCTCCATGGCGTCCCCATCAGCATCAAAGACCATATGCCTATCGCTGGTACCTACAGCTCCATGGGTTGTTTCGGGTCGATTGTCAAGGATGAGACGGATAGCCACATGATCAAGATCTTACGGAATCTTGGAGCGGTGTTTTACGTCAAGACGAATCAGCCCCAGACTATCATGCATCTTGAGAGCGACTCGCATTGGGGTCGAGTGTTGAATCCTTACAACATTAATCTGTCTGCCGGAGGATCAACCGGAGGCGAGGCAGCTCTGATCGCTCTTCAGGGGTCCGTGCTCGGGGTAGGTACCGACATTGGAGGCTCTATCAGAGGTCCCAGTGCGTTTTGCGGCATTTACGGCTTCAAACCTACCTCGTACACCTTGCCGATGAAAGATTTCCTTCCCGGTGGCTTCCCAGCTGAAATCAACATCCTTTGTTCAACAGGGCCAATGTGTCGGTCTCTAAGAGATATGGAGCTTTTCATGAGCACTGTTCTGGCAGCGAAGCCTTATTTGAGCGATCCTAGAATCATTCCGATACCTTGGACAGGTCTTCAAACTCCTACGAAGAAGCTGAAAATTGGCATCATGAACGATGACGGCTTCATCCGCCCTCAACCGCCCGTCCAGCGTGCGATGGCATGGGCACAGTCGATTCTGTCACAAGAACAATATTCTAGCCTATTTGAATTGAAGACATACAAACCCTATGACGCCCAAGGAGCCTGGGCTAGAATTCGAAAGATGTACTGGCCGGACGCTGCAAACGGTCCCAAGGAAGCCATCACATCCACCGGCGAGCCCATCCTTCCTCTGAGCAGATGGATCTGGAAGGACGCAGAGTTGGAAGGCGAAAAGACTGGTACAGAAGTGAGCAAGATGCGTGTAGACAGGGATGAGTTCAGGTGCAATTTTGCCGAGGGCTGGATGTCTCAAGATGTCGACGTTGTGTTGGCTCCTGCTTATGTCGGCCCAGCTTGCGCTCACGATACCGCTTTCTACTGGACATACACTTCGCTGTGGAATTTTGTCGACTATCCCGCGGCCGTTTTCCCAACTCCTATTACGGCTAAGGCTGATGAGCAATATTCAGAGGGCTACACGCCACTTAGCGAGGCTTGCTCTCACGTCAAGCAGCTGTGGGAAGAAACAAGCTTTGTTGGTGCACCCATCGACCTTCAGCTTGTGGCAAAGAAGTACCACGATAACGAACTCTTTGGCGCTTTGCAAGTCTTGAAGGACGTGTTGAGTCTATCATAGACACCTCAAGCACAGAAATAGCCACGATGTATCATTCCCTGGTATTTCGTTCCTGCTCCGGCCATACGTCGATTTGGAGGTTAAATGTCTTCTCCATTTGCTCCGCAATCCCAAAAATGTCGCCATTCAGTGATAAGGTTCTGTCCTTCCTCGAAGATATGATTCGGTCATGGATTGTGCCATGTTCGAAGCGGATCCTACCGGCACCGATATTGGTAGTAGACTCTGAGCCAGGCTGCTATCATTGATTAGAACTCCGCTGGGTCGAATGCCTACGATCTTGAATGCAATTGAGCGTTGCTCGTAACCGGCTCGACTCGGCTTTCGGCACGTGAAGGGGACTGCTGGAGGATTCCGTGAGAGCACATATCCATTTCGACAAATCTAGAACGACAGCAAAGCTTCAGCATCTGCTCCAACCTACGAGACCCTTGGCCCTGGTATCAAGTAGTGAGTCTCCATCAGCAGCGTGGTAATCTAGATATGGCTTCTGTCTGACTCTGGTGTGAGCGCTACTGGCTGAACAGTTGTTGTAGTTACACGTCAAGCGCTTATGGTCCAGCGAGCCTTCTCCAGACCATTGCGCCGGGCAATTCGTACCCTGACATCTTGCTTAGGCTTCAAGACACTCAGCGGAATTGCGTCCTCATTCTTCTCTGGGAGGACCAACGTTCTGCCATTAGGCCCGGTCATATCGAAAGCCATAATCAGATATGCGACAAAGCCAAGAATCTCGCTCTGCGCGAAATGTCGGCCAGGGCATATCACGCTTCCTCCACCAAACAACCTATAAGCGGCTCCTGGAACACCAGGCGGCAGCTGCGTTGCTGTAGACTCTTTAGCATCTGCCTCTGTCAAGTCCTCGGTGTTCCCGGCCGTGCTTGCAGACTTCATGAATCGTCTGGGTTTGAACTCCGAGCTATCCTCGCCCCATGTTCTTGGGTCACGGTGAATGACGCAGCCGGGCATTTGAACAAGCGAGTTCCCTTTCAGATACTGCTTTCCCACGACAGTGTCGCGTATCACGTAGCGGATCGATGCTAAGTTTCCGATGAGGCGCAAGGTTTCTCGATATGTTGAAACAAAGAGCGGACAAGCGGACTTGATACTGGAGACCCGAATCGTCCGACTTCCATCCTCGAGCACAAAAGTACAGTTTTCCAACTCTTGGCGTAATTCGGCTAGCAGCTCTGGCCGGCTGAATATGTTGGCGATAATCCAGAACGTGGATGGAACAGCATTGCCGAGAATCGCGAAGAAGAGAATGGTTTCAGCCCGTCCAGATTCCTCCTCGCTTAGACCATGTCCTAAGTTTAGGCGGACTCGATTCTGAATAACGACAGAGGCTTTTTTGTAACTTCCTCGTTGGATGTACTCGATCAGACCTCTGACAACCCTTTCTCTGCCCATATAGGCTTTTCTTGCGGTGATGGCGGGCAGTACATCAACGATCAAACCGAGCATGCCAACCTCGAAGTCCCAGAATGATCTAATCAATGACTTATCCAGTGCGAATGGGTTTTCGGGTCCGTACAAGGTGTCGATGTTGCACTGGGCGAAAACGTTTTGAAGCCAGTAAAGTAAGTCAGTCTCCATGGCGGTGCCGTCAACAGCAATACTGCTGAGTGCGTCTGAGAATATCGACATTTGAGACTTTGTGAGCTGCTGTAATGTCTCACCCCTACCAAGGACACTCTGAAGCATATCGTGCATGGCCGGCATCAGTCCATCGCTACCGCCGTGTCCGTCGACGTTGTGTGCAAGAATCTTCATTGTTGACGGGTTCAATCCAATCATTCGCCTTGTGACCTCCAAGATGGCATTATAAAAAGATAAATCCTTGTGTGAGCGCTGAAGCTGTGCTGCTAGCTGCGGGGAGGCAACAATATACTGTCGGACGTTGGGTGTCGGCAAGGTGTAGATGGGATGACTATATTGGCGATTCACAACATCGAAATATTTTGCGCCATATCTGAACATGCCAAGGATATGGCCAACGTACGGAATTCTAGATTTGATGAGAGGAGGTTCTCGAGGGTCGTAGTCGATGCCGAGCAAACGATGTATCACAACGCCCACCCCAATTAAGATCGCAGCGGTCAGAGATAAGAGACTGACATGCAAGGACCCATGCTGCCAGGGTTCCATGACTTAAAGGACGTACGTTGCGATTGCCCACCTCACAATGAACGCACTGAACTGGATGTGAAGGTTGGAGGGGTTCAGGGTGCCTGGCTGCGCGGCTATTGTGCACAGATGACGTGATACTGCAGGTCCGCGAGTGGCGGCCTCGAGTACGACGACAGGATGATTATAGAAATGTTGAATAAAGCAGACGAAAACCCATATGTCGCCTTGAAAGCTTTATCAGAAAGCTCGCTGCTTTCACTTGGCAGGAGGTGCCACGTGAAGGGGCTAGCCCAAATCTACATCCTGCGGCTAGCAACGGGGCCACACTAACGCTGAACTAGGCGCGGGCATGATGTCCGGAGCGGAGATGGCAGCTGGTACGGTACGGTGCGGAGTATCGACCTCCCCGCACGCCCAATGCCCCCTACCTAGTAGTACTTATTGGGCAATTAAGCTGCGAGCACCTTCTGCGGTGAAATGTCATATTCAAGCTCTTTCATGACTATTGCGTGAGTACAGTCTGGCATTATTCCGGGGCATTCTATCGCGCATCCTCGTCGGCAAAGGCCGTGTAAGGCTGCGCATCCCTGGTGTTCAGGCGGAGAGATTTCACCTATACTGGGCGCAGATAGAAGTTCTTGCCAGGCAGCTCGATTATAGCTCGACATCAGATAAGTAATGGGGCTTCGGGGATGTGTATTGGGGCGCCTTCGAGTCATCTAATACGGTATCTCCGTGCCTCTCTCTTGGCGACAGCTGTACGGAGGCTGTTCGGAGGTTTCGAAAGCTGGAAGCTTCATGACTGTCATCAATAGTCGATGATCTGACGGGAGGGTTCCTGGACTTCATAGAAGAGGTCTGTAGGTGAGGCTCGATCGTCAATTTGTCGATGCAAGGGCCACTTGTTTTCTCCTTTGCCTATCCGGGGATCAGGAACCCGGCGGAAGAATGATAGGGTTGTGCTGTGTTTGTAGACTCATCGAATGTATACTCAATTCACATCGTACCCTGCGCCTCAGAACTCGTCTCCGGAGAAGATGACAACCTGGCCGGCCCGGTCTTCTGTGATACATAACCCAGTCACTGGGCCAAGAATGGACATCTCCGTCCAGGAACTTTTCCCGGCTGCAGCTTAAGATCGAGCCAGCAACTGCACTGCAGAAATCATCTCTTTAGTGCTTTGCAACAACACGATTCTCCGTTTCATTCAAACCGCAATCTATCCGGACTCAGTGTTGCCACTATGCCTGCCCTCTCCGAAGAGCTTGTTGCTTCTATCACAAAATCTGTACTTGATGGATTCGATGAGCAAATCGCGTACACACAGAAGCTGATTCGGTTTGGTGGCCAACGCGGTGAGGAAAGTGATGTTCAAGGCTTTGTATTCCAGCAGCTGGCCGACCGTGGGTACAGCCCGGTTAAGTTTGATATGGAAGAACAAACACTTTCACAACATATTGGCGCGGGCAAATTCAGCTCCAAGCATTCGCACGCACCCGTCGTTGTGGCCACACATAAGCCAAAAGCGCAGCACGAACAAGGCAAGAGTCTCATACTGAACGGGCATATCGACGTCGTGCCTCTGGGACCTCTGGACATGTGGAAGGACGATCCTTACAGTGCTCGGATAGTTGGAGATAAACTCTACGGGAGAGGTGCGGGAGATATGCGAAGTGGTCAAGCTGCAAATCTTTGGGCTTTGGACGCACTACGACGCATTGGTCTACAACCAGCTTCGGAGGTCATATTCCAGTCTGTTCCAGAGGAAGAGTCTACTGGCAATGGTACTTTAATGACGCATTTGAAGGGTTATAGAGCCGACGCCGCCCTGATTCCCGAGCCAGTACAGGAACAGCTTGTTCGGGCAAACGTTGGTGTTTTGTGGTTTCAGGTTGAAGTTCGTGGTAGACCAGTCCACGTCAGGGCGATGGGGACAGGAGTTAATGCCATCGACTCTTGCTGGAAAGTAGTCGGTACCTTAAGAGAGCTTGAGGTCGACTGGAACGATCGTCACGCGGATGCACAGCATTTCGAGGATGAGAAACATCCCCTCAGTAAGTTCATTCCGTAAACCCTTGCAAATCCTAACTATGCGCAGATCTGAACGTCGCAATTGTGAATGCCGGAGACTGGGCAAGCTCAGTGCCTGCTTGGTGCCGCATAGACTGTCGCATCGGCATTGTGCCAGGCGTGACAGCCAAGTCGGCCGCCGACGAAATCGAGAAGAAAGTGGCAGACTTTGCCAAAAACGACCCCTATCTCAAGGAAAATCCACCGAAGATCACCTGGAACGGTTTCTTCTCTGAGGGTTATGTTCTTGAACCCGGTAGTCACGCTGAGAACACCTTACGTAAAGCTCACAAGCAGTCGACTGGACAGGAGTTGACCAACCAAACGTCAACTGCATACATCGATGCGCGCGTTCACAGCCTGTACGATAAGATTCCGGCGCTCGTCTATGGACCCATTAGTGGAGATGTACACGGATTCGATGAGTGGGTTAGTATTGAGAGTCTAAAACGAGTCACTGTTACGATCGCACTATTTATTGCGGAGTGGTGTGGTGTTGAGAAAGTCTAAGCATGAGGTCTACGCCATGATATCTGGTCTTCCCACCACACGACGAGAAGAATGAAGGTCTCCGCGCTGGGATGTCATAGATGCCTAACATAGTAGACATGATGTCTTCTCACATGCCGGTGATGCATTGCAGCTTAATGATCCAGAGTATTGGAATCTATCGAAGACTCTACTTGCTCGCGTAAGAAAGCTATAGCGGACAGTTACGTGAGAGTGGAAAGAGGCAAGCGGAAGCGGAAAATCGTGTATTTCTATTGTCGTGCATCTATCTACTATCTACCGATTAATCCTGTCCGGACTACGTGGACCCGACGTTCGTAGCGGTTAAAAACAGTATTTCACATGTTTCTAGGCGATAGAGAATTTGCTACGCCAGGATTTAGCAGCCTTTTGTTGCCGGCCGCGACTCAGCGCGAGGAGTTAGTCGAGATCTACCACGCCATCGAACTTTCTCCGAACAGAACAGTCCTCGTTTTGATCCCGAACATGTTGAACAGGGGATCTCTATCGACTGTCTATATGGAATACCCTGAAATAGCGCGGCTACAGTAAGTTCGTAGGTAAAGCTCGGCTAACACTATTGCCATTGACCATTCCATCCGATATCGGGCCCGTTCTGCTATACATGTGGATCTGGTAACGTGGCGGACCAAGGCCAGGCTCCCACTACAATATCTAACATGGGCATAAGTTTTAGAATCTTCTATGACAGATTAGTCAAGGCTTCAGTACTGGGGGTGTTGATCAGGATCGTCAAGTACAACCGAGCATTAATTTGTACGAGTCGTTCCGTCTTAACCACCCTTTACTATATTTCTATCATCCTAACCTTGTAGCAACTTTCGGCTTATAGGCTTACGTATACTGGCGATGTTGTCGAGTTCCTGCTCATCTTAAGAGAGGTGTTAACCAAGCCTTGTAGTAGTCATTCGTTCTGGCTGTTGAGAGTGGGCCTTGTCGGTAGTGGGTGCATGCTCTTGTAAACAGCGAGCCTATATGCACGATCAACGCCATAGGCGAGTTTTGGAAGAGGGTGCAGGTGCGGACGAGCTCTGCATTGTCCTATCTATTTGATCCACATTCAAGTCAAAGTCTATGTTCCCGATCTAAATCTCTTTCTCCTCTTCAATGCTATCTATGTGCGTATGTGGTTGCACTTCCGCTTCGTGCGCTCCCGAGACAATTTTGTTAAACCACCGCTCTTGTGCATGCTCAGCACTAGCCAAGTCGCGTATCAGGGAATGGAGCATGTTGGTGTATTCACATAGCATGTGGAGGCCTGGCTTATAACGCGGTAGTTGCTGGATCTTGCGCATGGTGACTTGCAGCGATACCGAGGGAAGTTCAAGCAGATGTAGATACACTTGAGCGGTTGTATTGGTTGTGAAGATGAGGGTGTAATTGGGACGGGTTCGGTCCTTTCGTAATCATGGTGGCTCAACGAAGATGAACATGAAACACAGTGTCGTGTGAAGCACATGCTCATCTTGTTTGTGTATGCGGGTTGCGGGATGTACGACTACCTTTCTAGGGAAGCGTATATCGTATACGGAGATAGCCGAGGATGGGTGCGGAACCTTAGTCCTAACCAATCAGACACGCTTTCGCTGCTTTCTAAGCCATATGCAACATATTCGCGAAGAAATATGGTCTTCGATAATTACACAGTGCCGCGGAGGCTGGTATAACGTACTTGTCAATAGCATTGAGATACCGGCGAAAGACTTACTTTCTACGGTTAAGTTCTGGAAATGTCGCTCCTTCTCCTGGTCGTAGAGCTGCCGAGCGCATCCGCAGGCGTGGTGGCTGCCATACAGTCGAGTATATCCTGATGCTGGTCCATGAAACGAGGAAGTGCGTTGTTGGTATAGTGTTACTAGCCCACCAGAATTTGGGAGCAACTGTGAGGGCTGTGAGCAGGAGTAGCTCTACCTAAGCTTGTCCGAACAGCTCCACCAACATTACTGAAAGTTGTCGTCTTCTAGGTCGACATTCCGTGTAATCGATTAACCCTTATCCAGCTGTTATCAAAAGGGTAATTTCCTCAAGAATAAGGTTGATATTGATCAGCACAATAGCACTAGATTTGCCAGTATGCCCCCTGAGAGCAGTCCCCAATCACAGCCTGATACGAGTTATATCAGGCTGCGACTACCTAGCACTAAGAGTATATGCGGTCTGACTGCCCCTACCGCAAGTGGTAGGAGCAAAGTAGGTTGCAAGAAAACTATAAAGGGCTGACGCTAAGGGTGACGGAGGTGAAGGCCGTGCCGAATGAATGCAACCCCTGCGAAGTAGCCAATTCCAAAGGGACGTGAGGCGAGAACCTTCTTGGCTGTGGGGCGGCGATATTGCTTGGCAAGCCCTTGATACGAGAGAATTGTGCCACGTCATACCGCTTCCGGAAGGACTAGAATGAATCTATGGGAAAACGAACTCAAGGCGCCTACCACTTCGAGGATTAATATGGGCAGGGGAGAGGGTATTTTCAATTCTGCACAATTATATAACTACAGTAGCGTCCTTCAGCAGCCGTAATTGCAAGCGTTCATCCTCTCACATCGTAACGCAAGTATTGAATCAACGACTCAACGGAGGCTTTGGTCAAAATGGTTGAAAACAGCATCAACATAGTCATTGAAACCTCTCAATCGCGGGAGACCATGACATCAATCATCCACCGCGACGTCAATTTCTTCTCCTACCGCGACCCAATAGCCCGTCGTGCTGCTATCGAGGAAGTCTTCCACGTTGGAGTTGTCTGGTTCGATTTTGACGGTACTATCCACCGTGGTCACGATGGCCTGCTCGCCCGCTCGTCCCTCCTGCTCGAACAGATGCCCGGAACTATCCATCACACAGAGGGAGCGCCCAGTATATGCCAGAACATGGTTACGCAACGTTGGTATGCGGTACGTGAGGGCGACCCTAATGCCAGCAGTCAAGCGGCTCTCGTTCAGGGTTGCGATGTGGCCGTCGTGGAGGGCAAGAAAATCAAAGTACTCTGGTCTTGTGTCGATCGTTTTGACGAACAGGCATTGCCTGGATTGGGCAAAGGACCGTCTCAGCCCATTTTGTGATTGTTCTGGTGTACATATAGCACTGCCATATAGCTAGATCGAAATCGTGTACCCATCGAGAACCAGGAAAATTGTCAATGTGTATTGTTTTTCAGGTTGAGAATTCTATTATCAAGAAGCGGAACATTTTTCCATCGTATCTAAACCATTAGTCGAGCACTCGAGACGCAACGGTGACTTCATCTACCTGGTATGCGAGCGTCTCTTTAAAGACATGGCGGTTAGTTACAGAAGATTTTTGCCACTGTCCGATCAAACGAGCGCTTAGCCTTCAAGCTCTGGATATACTTGGAGCGGACTTCTTGTGGAGCCTGGTTCTGTGTAAGTTTCTGGATTGTGGAAGGACTAATTTGGAAATTGATGTATCGTGACCTTTAGAGCTTGGTATACCCCAGGTGGTCCATCTGAATGTAAATATGGAGCGGCAGATTGAATCGCGTACTTTGTCGAGTCTTTCACATGTTTCGGAGGATGGCAAAGGATGGCTGGGTAGGTCCAGAAAGTTCTTGGCAATCGTGAGCTTATATTATGAATGGGCTGGGTGAGTGGACGACTACCGTTGGAATACTCCACTTCGTTGCAAGTTTCTGTCCAAGTGTTGTCCAGGCTTGTACAACACTCACACCTAAAGTGGTGCTTTGTCCCGCTCCATGGGCTAGTTCCTCACTAGCACCTAAACCGGCGCTTTGTACCACGTGGAGGGCCAACTCCGTTAGTGTGGGATCCGTAACCCCATATAGTTCGCACTCCCACCAAAGGTCTCGACCAACCGACATGCCCTCTTCCCATTTAGCGTGCGTACAATCTGAATATTGCCGATAACTCGGGGACAAGGAAGAAGCAATGAAACATTCAGCCCTGGTGATGGTCACGTATGACCCAGCTCAAAACATCCGGGATCGCAAATCTGAAAAATCCCGTGCTTTAAGTCACGCTGCCAAAGTGTCGCACTTGCGGCGGCGTGTCGGCAAACGTACGGATTCGGGTTACACCAAGTCTAAAGAGATCAATATTGTGGCCAATAATCCTCGAATCTGGGCGACTTCTGACTCAGCCAGACGTGCCAGCTTGCGGCGCCTTAGTTGCCGGCTTTTGACAGTGCTCAACCGAGGCAACAGCGACCCATTTGAAACTACAGCGATAACTATCACGCCCGAAATTTCTATGTTATTCGCTTTATGGATGACTCATTATGAGAGCAACGTTGTGTCTACTACTCGCAAGCTAAGTGAAGCCACGTTACGACAAGACATGGTCCTTGGCAATGAGCTCCAGATGAGATCTGTAATACTCGCCTGCCAAGCTCTCCACTGTATACAACTCGCATACAACGATGATCTACAGGTCAAAACCTTGCAGTACAAGGAGAGCTGCTTGCAACAGCTCAGCAAGATCAACATATTACCATCAGACGCGGAAATAGTACCCTTCATCAAAGCCCTTACGCATACGTTTATTGCCGCCGTACTTCTCAACGAAGTAAACGAGGCGAAAATACACGAAAGGCAACTTCGCCAACTTCTGACTGTCGTTCAGGGCGCGCAGTTTTGGAGTAACGAAGATCAGAATCTTCTCCTCAGTCGCGTCTATTATTACGACCAAAGATGCGCTCTAGCGTACGTACATGCACCGGTTCTAGAGCCTCACGTCATTGGCCAGTACCGGGAGTTGTTTCCAAGTCCAGTTCTCGAATGGTTGCAGAACCGACCATCTGGCTTTTGTGTTGTGGGGGTGCCTACATTCAGCAAGGATATTGGCGAAATTTTCCATCTGCTGCAAAGCCATATTGATATCGTGTGCCATGGTTTGCCAGCATTGTCTGGTAAGCTTGACGAAGATGCCATCTCTGGTCCCGTCCTCTACTCCAACCACCTCACATCCATGGCTTTTAAGCACTTAGAACTGGCTCACGAACAATCCTTGGTCGCGATCGATACGAAGACTAGATTTTTCTGGAAAAATGAAGTTGTGCTCACACTCGCAGTACTGGTATTCCTTGCGTCTACGGTGAATGGTCCCAACATTGTAAGTCTACGACAGCGTGGAGAGAAAGCTATCAGGAGTCTTCAATGCTCTTTAGAGCGTGTTTGGCAGGAAGCTGCTTACGTTCACGATTCATGGCTACACCGATACGCGCAGGTATGGGTGCTTTACATGGGCGCGGTATGGGAGCTGGATAGCGGTGAGTATGATAAAGGCAATAACTGGTTCACGAAGTATTTGTGGCATAATATCCGAGAGAACGATATTGAGTCCTGGGACGAACTCATGGAAATTACCGACAGCTTCCTACATGTCCCTCGACACTGCGAACCAGGCTCGATCTGGTTTTTGGGCATGGCTGATCTCCCGGGGGAAGTTAGGTCTAATGGATGTGAGACTACGATTCCAGCGACGCTAAATAAGGTGTTATTTCCTGATTAAGAGACAGAACAATGCGTGGTTTCATAACTGTAAATAAGGAAATCCAATACAAATGGGTTTTACAGGACATGCAGGCACTTGCACAACAATAGCGTTCGCCCGTAGCCAGAACCTGACTAGGCCTAGAATTAAAGAAACATGTAATCTGCGCAAGATGGGTCTTACAGGTAATATCCCCATATGCCAACGGTCCATGTCATGTTGCCTTCCTAAGCGGTGGTGCTAAACGGTCTCAAAGTTGTCGACCCGGTGGAGACGCCATGGGACCAACCCCCCAGCATCCCCCCCGGGTCGGCTGTGGGTGTGTGCACCCTCGACGAGCCATTGCGTCGCATGGTAGAATATGTCAGGCCATGCAGGACAGAGAGTTGCCCCGAAAGGCGTGGTGAACACCTTGGGCCGACGCCTACACCGTGAAGACGTGTGGTGGTCTTGGCACGCTTGCAGCTGTGGTGCCAAAGCCGTGGCAGTCGGCTTCGCGCCGAGCACGGCGGGAGTGCCACGGAAGACCATGTCACCAAGTGCTGAAGCGGCAGTGAGCTGATGTTGAAATGCTACCTGATTCTGCACTGTTCTGTACAGAATCCTCGCTCGAAGGTGCGATAGTACTTCTCATGCTCGTTTTGCACGAGGCAATCGTCATGCATCCGCCTTGCGCACTTGCCGCACTGCCCATCGGCCACGAACAACTATCCGCGCTTTGCTCTAGCCATAGCCATGACGCCCGAACGAGTGTACCGAATTCGTGTGACGATCTGAAGGAGAGGTGGCCCACTGAAACCTCTGTCCTCCACTGTACTCGATCCCGTCGACCAGGACCAGTGGTCACTCGCCCACAGTTGCTGATGGGTCCCAAAGGGGCGCTTCCAACCTCCGTGGCTGGTGACAATGGGTTTGCCAAGGCTACTTGCAGTTAAAGCCAGTCGTCGTCTCACCTTCTCTCGTGTTGACTCTCTTTTCTTTACCTCGACACTCCAGCATCTTAGGCCGACCAGTACTGCTGGCGCAAAACACCACGCAAACAATAAAAGACGAAACATTGGTCAGGAGGCGGGCACGGCAAGCCCGTTTACGCGAGAAGCGCAGCTTCCACATCTGGATTGCCACCACCACCACAGACCTCGTCTAGAAGCCTATTCAGCCCCTGACCAATGTGATATACAATTATATGCTACAGGAATGAGACCTGTTTGTAGTGTAGATCATTATTCGGTCCATCACTAACCAGTGTGCCGGGTTTACATCAGAATTAGAGCACCATGTTAAAACATTTGTTACCGCAAGATATGTAACAATCCATGGATCCATAAGTGGCGTCACTGCACTTTGCAGAACTTCTTCTGAGGCCTCTATCTCGCTAGTGAGCACCTGGACTCCACCAACCATACTGATCAATGTCGTAGATTCGTCTCACAGCACTCGTTCTCGGTTGGTGGAGTGTGCAACCAAAATGATTCCGCAGGAGGGCGAGTTGTACCATGAGATTCGCCACTCTACGCAAGATCCTTTGTTCTCCCCCGATAACCCATTTCATCCTATAGCCTCCCTTTTCCCCAGTCCCTCAACCGCGCACCCCACCGCCACAGCACCACTGGCGCCACAAGGCCCACCGCGGCCGCGACACCCGCGAGCAGCGCATTTCCACCGCCCACCCCGAGCGTCTGATACAGCCTCGGCGCGAAAAGCGGGAAACTAAAACCAGCCATGGTCCGTACAAAGGCGGCCGCGCCCGTCGCGCTCGCGGCGTAATTAACGTCATTGATCTCATCCGTATAGGCGTCGACCACATAGGCTTGCGCGCAGTTGAAGGTGATGATGAGGCCGACGCAGAAGAGGGCGGCACCCAGATCCGGGACGATCCAGTGCGTGTGGGAGGCGGCGGAGAGGCCGTAGATGAGAAGGCCCAGTGGCATGAATAGGCCTGAGGGGAGGGTCAGGGGGAGGCGATGCTCGGGGAGGCCGTTGCGTGGGTCGCTGCGAACAGTGTAGGTGCGGGCAGGGGGTGGGAATGGAGGGTATGGGCTAACGGTGATGGCAAGGGGCGCGGAGGGGTGGGACTGGGAGGTGCCAGGCCAGTTTTCGATGTCGTTTCTATGGTGGCGGCGTTGGCGACGGTGGCGACGATGGCGGCAGAAGTCGGCGAAGAGAGTTTTGATGAGCGTGTCGAGGGGAGTGCTGGGATCGAAGCCGTTGGTCTTGAGGTATTTGTAGGTCTTGTCCTGGAGAGGCCCGCTGATTTGGAGTCCAAAGACGAACCCAATTCCCAGGCTGATGTAGTGTAAGCTGGCGGTGCCGACGTCTTGGTCATATTGCTCTTGGAAGACCATGGGGAAGGTGGAAAATATAAGATACATAAGTCCATATCCGTAGGCTCGATAGATGGCCATGGCTTGTAGTGCGGGCTGGGTGGCGAGCATTAGAAACGGGCGCAACATGGCTCTGCGAAGTAACTGGCGGAAGGTTTTGTCAGGAGTCTGCCACTTAGTGTGCAGTCTCATATTTCCAGTCTCTTTCTGCTTGTGCTTGCATACTTCGCCGAGGATGGCGGGATGGTATGTCTCGTTGAGGAAAAGGAAAGCGAAGACTTGGATTAGGGTGTCGACGATGGATGTGGCCCAGAAGATCCATCTCCATGTGGTGTGTAATGTGATATAACCACCAGCGATAGGGCCGACGGCGGGGCCGATGAAGGGTGCGAGTGAATAAAGAGCCAGCGAGCTTCCTCTTTCTTCTTTTGCCCAACAGTCGGACAGAACTCCTCCACCGATGGCTTGGGGAGCGCTTCCGCCCAACCCGCTTAGGAAACGGAACGCCATCATTTGCTCTTTTGTCTGCGCAAAGCCACAGGCAGTGTTGAAGACAAGGTAGAGCATATTGGCAGACTGCAAGACAACGACCCGACCATAAACCTCTGACAATGGTCCAAGGACGAAAGGACCTACAGCGTAGGCAAGCAGGAAGATGGACATGACCAAGACCTGTTCAATATCTGATCTAATGTCGAACTGATCTGCTATATCTGGGAGCGCAGGCGCGACCATGGTGGACGCAACCGGGGAGATGAATGTGAAGGAGGACACCAGCACCGTGGACATCCATTTCTTTCTTCGTGGCCAGTTGAGTGGATTACGTGGATCGTCTTTCCCGTCCCAAGTCACCAGATTTGGATCTTTGAAAGACTGCGACCTTCTCAGACTTTTCTGACTTCTCAGATCTCGATGTAGGTCTGTAGGCAGTGGCTTTCGCGGTGGCACTGATTGCCAGCGTAGGTGAGAGCTCTGGCGGCGGATCGGTAGTCGACGAATCGAATCATCATCATCATCATCTACAACCGGTCTGGTTGGTGGCCCTATGTCCCCGGCTTCGTCTTCAGAGCCCGAATCTGAGGCAGATGATATGTCGGACGCGGAATCGAGGTAGTCAGCGTCTGAGTGGCGTAGATCATCGGATAGACTGGAGAACTCCAGTGGGGGCAGGGCATAACGAGAGAAATTTGGCAAGCGCAGGAAGCTGAGTGATCGGGTCAAAGTTCTTTGCAGAGATCTGAGCGTGTCTGAGCGCGAAGGAGGCGCAAGAGAGCCTCTTGGGATGTTATCGTCCATAAGTGCCAAACGAATGTGGAATGATGGAATGATTGGATTTAGGCAACATCAAGTACGGAAATCTGCTTCCATAAAGGTCAACTTGCCCGGTCTGGAAAGGATCGTGTGCATTTTCACGGAGTATAGACTTCGAGCCTACCGGCTATGCCAATGCGGGCGCAGCGATTATTCAAGACATCCAGCGAGTCATCGGGTGCACTCAACCTGAGACAAACTTGAGGCGGAGTGGCTCAAGTGCATGCAAGATCCTGCAAAGGATATCATGTAGAGCCTCCTCGATGCCCCGACTAGAAGATGTGAGCAGAAGCTTCGGCCACAACAGCGAGAGGTCGTGGCATTGAGGCTGTGACCCTGAGCTAAGCCGTGACGTTCCAAACCCGGGACCAGTGAGAGAAGCCCCGCCAAGATGAAGCAAAGAAACAAGACGATCCGCCAAGAGAGGCTCCGGATCGCATTGATCAAAAGTGCGCTAAACCTGCGGGCCTTGCTCCGACGTCTCCGCTCGGCCCTCCGTGGTCCAAACATTAGCCAACTTTCCTGCTGTTCAGCGATTATGCTGATACTCACCTGATCCACACGATCAAGCGGTGGTGGCGCTCCGCGCCGCCCCCAAGGCAACGGCACGCGGGATCGAGTGGGGATAGCCCTAACAGATGCATGGCACCAATGCTGTCGTCCACAAGGCAGTCCCCATCCCTGAACCCTCTAAATTTAAACCACCTCATGCTTGATCGTGCCCCTATCTTCATTGTATCTGGGACTTTCATTCGATGGGTCGAACATTGCAGACCGCTTCAGCTTCTTGTTGCTTTGCCTTGTCATCAGCTGCCACTGGGACTGCTACCAATCTGGAATGGGGCGTGGCTGGGCAATTTGAAGTCCGAAATAGAAATCTCCCTTCATGGCAGTCTGGCACGCGACATTATCGGTGATTCCGTGGACGTCCAATGTGGGATGATGTCAAATGGTTCGAATCGCTGCTTCTGCAGTTACTGGCAGTGCAATCGGTCAGCGCAGCATGCTGATGGAACTAACCCGACAGCAGCATCTGGGTGCAAGTACATAGACCTGTGGATTCCGCTAAATTGTCGTGAATTCAGCATCAACAACATTCGTTCTTGACATTCGCTCACTATTTTTGTAACACGCACCAACACACCTCTTTCTGCAGCGCAAAACTTACCGTATTTTGCTATTTCACTTCGACCGACATGAGAGTTTTGATCGCACCTTCTGGATTCAAAGAGTCCCTGAATCCAGTTCAAGCAGCAGATTGCATTGCGAAAGGCGTGTTGAGGGCCGATCCTGATGCCGAGGTACGCAAGTTGCCATTGGTAGATGGTGGTGAGGGCTTCGTAAAGGGTCTCGTCAAAGCAACAAATGGAAAACTGATAGACCTGACCGTGACCGGACCAGTTGGAGAGCCCGTGCAGTCCCACTTCGGGTTTCTTGGGGATAGAGACAAAACAGCGGTCATCGAAATGGCAGCTGCAGCCGGCCTCAGATTAGTTCCACCCACTCATCGCGATCCGACAAAAACAACCACATTTGGAGTTGGGCAGACCATACTGGCAGCTCTGAATGCAGGCGCTGAGCATATTCTTCTTGGTTGCGGAGACTCCGGCACCTGTGATGCGGGTGCGGGAATGATTCAAGCACTTGGGGCAAAGCTCGTTGACACCGAAGGTCAAGTGCTGCCGCATGGCTGTGGTATTGCTGGGCTCGAGAGCTTGAACAGCATCGAATTGTCAACACTAGACGCCAGGCTCACGACCGTCAAGATTGACGTCGCTTGCAATTGGCATAACATTCTCTGCGGACCGAATGGGGTAGCTCGTGTCTTCGGGCCCCAGAAAGGCGCCAGCCGCGAGCAAGTAAAGCTCATGTCTGCTGCGATGGATCGTTGCGCAGAAGTTATGGGAAGCCTCATCGGCTGTGATATCTCCAAGGCGCCAGGAAGCGGTGCCTCAGGTGGACTCGGGGCAGGGCTCTTGCTCCTTGGGGCAAACCTTCACCCGCGATACGACATTGTGAGGGCATTCTTTCGCATTGATGAGTTGATGAGTGACTGTCAATTGGTGATAACTGCGGAGGGTGGCATCGATTATCAGACGCCTAGAGGGAAAATCCCAGCAGAGGTCGCGCACAGGGCCAAGCGACGTGGGCTACCGGTCATCGCATTGGCAGGAACGATTGGCGAGGACGCTCAGGTCAACTATGCTGCCGGCATTGACGCATATGCTAGCATCATGCAATGTCCAACATCCTTGGATGTAGCAATAGCTCATGCAGAGAGGTTGCTAACTGATGCAGCAGAAGGGGCTGTGAGGATGATCATGGTCGGGCAGTCGATGACAACGGCGCTCGCAGTCGAACCAACAGACCCGCTAATGTTGAGTAGACGAAAGTCAACGGATACTACAAAGCAAGGGGCCAGGACCTTCTCAGTGTGCTATGATTGATAAATAAAGCCACATTTGATGATGATAGGATGACTTGCAGAACTACACCAGTGGTACCTTAAAAGCACCGTATCACCTCCTCAAGTCCAAGTGCAATAAGGAAGAATTTAGCTACCAAATCTCTTCCACGCTACGTACGGGGTTCGACTCTGGCTTTTGAGTTGAAGTTTCTTCCGCAGGGTGAAAAACGCGTGCGACCATATTTTTAGGCAAGTAGAACGAAATGCCAGTGTTTTCCATAAGTCAAATACAGGTCAGTTATCGTCAACACCCGTTTCACGGCTGTTAAAAATGCCCAGGCTGTTCCGAGTCACACCTACGGCCCGGCCAAGGCCAGAGGGCCGTGGACGCGCTAAGACCTGTGGGGAAGGTTACCCGGAGGGGAGCCTGGCCACAGGGATGAAAACACCCCAGGGACAATCAAGGAAGGGGTCACGTGACCAGGCTCTCGGTGCTCCCCTGCTCTAAACCGAGCAACAGAGCACGCAGAGCATAGACAGCTTCTATAATGCCACGACCACACAAATATTAGACCCCCCAGGAGGCTGCCGCTACCTATCACCGAGCAAAACAGAATTACTACTATTGACAGGGTATATCACAGTTAATAGTACAACCTCCATCTCAGCCCGCTCCTATTGTGTTTGTAGAAAAGGCGTTAGAAATAGAGAAAAGTGGAGACTTAAAACCTTAAATTTTGCCAAGGGTTAGCCAAAATTTTATTTAATGGTTTTAGTGGTTGTGACCCTTAAAATAGTCCTCTCCTGGCCTTGTCTATTTAGTGATTTTAGCGGTCGTGACCCTTAAAATAGTCCTCTCCTAGCCTTATCTATTTAGTGATTTTAGTGGTCGTGACCCTTAAAATAGTCCTCTCCTGGCCTTGTCTATTTAGTGGTTTTAGTGGTTATAACCCTTAAAATAGCCCTCTCCTGGCCTTATCTATTTAGTGGTAGACTTCTTCTTAGTAGCTTTAAGAGGTATTATAATAGATTTAAAGGATTAAGATTAATTTAGAATCAATACTATGGATTAGGCGCGGCTGTAAGAGAGGGTTAGTATAAAAAGTAACTATTTTATTTATTCTATATATATATTAGTACTATAAGACCATGGTGCCAGAGTTTCAGAGGGTAACCAGTAGTGGTTGTTGAGCTATCATCGTCACCATTTAGTACTCAGTTTGGCCTCTGCCAAGAAGAAAATTATATACTAACCCAATCGAGTTTTTGTCTAATCGATAAGCCCGCACTCTTGCCTAATCGAGTTTTTGTCTAACTAAGCTACTTTCAGACATCTTCCCGCCTACCTTCCACTAGTCCCCTTTGAGTTTTTGTCTAACTAACCCCTTTTAGCTATCTCTCCTTTATCTTGTCCTCCTTACTCCTCCACAATTATCTAATCACAATAGCCTTACCCTGTAGTCCTTAATCTACAATGCCACGACCACATAAATATCAGACCCCCCAGGAGGCTGCTGCTGCTCATCGCCAAGCAAAACAGAATTACTACTATCGACAGGGTACATCACAGTTGACAGTACAACCTCCATCTCAGCCCGCTCCTATTCCTACCCAGTCTTCACTAGTCAGTAGCTTCATTCAGTGGCAGTCTACTATTACAGAGAGTAGCCCTACAAGGGTGTTAGCTCCAGAGTCCAGTTAACCAGCCACCACACCTGCACCAAGGATTCCATCTCCTCCACCTGGCTTTACTACCCCTAATGACCCAGTCTTTGATGATAATAATACTTACTATGATCATCCTGAGCCCCAACCTTTGTCATCTCAAGTAGGCAGCCCTGGTTCCTCTCAAGCGCCAGTCTCTTTACCCTTAACCCCATCTCCTGGAGACCCCTCTCTTGACAATTCTTTGGCACCACCAGACTTGACATCAACCCAAGTATCTAGCCAATTCACAATATCAATCCCTTACCAAGCCCCTGAGGATCTAGCCGAGTATATATCAGCGGCTGGCAGTTTAGCGGCTGGCAGTTCACTAGCTGTCAGTCCAAGATCCCCCTCCTCCACCACAGACAATGACTTTGACGATAATGTTAACTTTAAACTACTCCCGGATGTAGTTGACAATAAGGATCTCGCTTCCCAACAAGACCCTTCATCTGATGAAGAGTTACAGCCGGATATTAGCGACACAACTTGGGTAACCCGGAAGCTATAGTCACAGCTAGTTCAAGGCCATCATGGATATCCTACCCATACTCATCAGACACCTCAACGAACACAGAGTACAACCAGTACCAAGCATCTTTCTCTAACTCAACTCTCAACCTCTTATCTCCCCCAGGTTCTTGGAGAGCCTAGCCTTCTACTAGCAACAAGCTATACCAGTATAGACTCAATCCCAGCTAGGGTGTGGCAGACAACCTTCTGTGGTCTTTCTGATGATCACCCAAGTACTCCCCCAAAGGTCTGCCTTAACTGCAGTACTACAGCCAGCAGTACACAGCCAGAGGTTGTCTATAACCTAGATAGTATCCTGGGATTTGCTTCCTCCTTAGCTGTTGCTCACCATAGCCTGCTTTTTTACTCTGCACCTCAGAAGCAGCAAAACCTCCAAACAGATGTACATCTTACCGTCCCTCAACCGCTAGAACCAACTGGCAGCGGTCAGACCACCCGGTTTAAAGCGACCCTCCTGAAGGATACACCTCACTTTCTCCTCGGCCGCTTCGAGTATCCTACCTAGATACAGCTTCATATCTTCTTTCCACACCTAGAGTACTGACATACATTCACCTCCCTTACTCAGCAACAGTTTAGCCGGTGGTTTGATCAAATTTTCTACCCTGCCCTCACCGAGATCTGCCCCGCTAACAACATCTAGTATTATCCTTCTAGCTATACACATAGCTTAACAACTGCTCAAGCACCACAGAGAGAGTTTCGGCCGTCAGAGACTTTTGCCTATTGACCACAGCTTTAGCTTAGCTACTTCCTTGACCCCTCCATCCTCAGGCCTCTCTAGGCTCGCATCCTTAAAAAGATTCGCCAGCCTGGCCTACACAACTTTGCTAACCTGATGCTCTACTTCTCGGCCAAGAACACTAAAACACAGTTTAAACATAGTACCGATTCATCCCAGTTCGGACCTTTCCTCAATCAAATTGGTGTGTCTCTACACCAACTGTTGGACTTTGACCTCATTCTTCCCAATAACCTATGGCTTGATATTGGCAAGGAAACCTGCCTATCAATCCCACAAGCCACCAACGACGCCTATAAACACATACCCCAGGTCTATCTTTGGCGGCGGTGCTGTCTGGGTCACTATCTCCAGTGGCTGTATAACAAGAGTCCACCCAAGTCGCACCAGACATACTACCAGAATAACATGCTCTATGAGGCAGTTGACTTTACTAGTCTTACCCCCCCAACTTCTCGGTTACGCAGGGGTAGTCTACTCTATAGTCAATTCTATAGCACCACCAAGGAACCTCTAGATGCGGCCAAGCACTTTCCCTTCCAGAACACCTATCTCCGCGAGCTGGCCCTTGGGCCCTACCTTCAAGCTGCCGCCAGGTGTATCATTGGAAGTAGTGCTCAGAAGGTAGTGTCACTAGAACAGGCCTATCTTGCCACTAAAGTCCGCTACTATACTGCCTTGACTGCCTCTCGGGGGAAGGCTTATGGTACCCGCGAGGAGCACCGCATCTCTTGGACCCAGTTCCAGAGTCTACACACTTTCAGCCAGGTCCAGGGACCTGCCACCCTACCAGGACCCTCTGAAGTTTCAGGTACCCTATCTTGTATCTGGATAATACCAACGTTAACATTCTTTGACTTTGCCTGGTACAATAGCAACAAGTTTGCCGCAGGCTTTAAGCTCATCCGTACCTATACCCTTCAACAGCATGTGACGCGTTGGGAGCAGGTCAAGATGATGGACATGTTTCTCTACTGCCTCCAATATGCGGCCGGGTCCTATAACTACCGTCGCGCCAGCCCTCTGTGGTGGAACCACCGGAGCATTCCAAATCGGAATGCACAAGACCTTGAGACGCTCTACTATGGCCTTAGCAGCTCAGTGACACTCCCTCAGTACAGCTACTGCTGGCTTCAGCCTCTTTTTAATTGGTCTTGTCTTGCCTTCCAGCCTGGACTTACTAACTACACTCTGTTTGGGACCGGCCACCTACACCAAAACTACAAGCATGCCTAGCAGCATCTTCAACTTTTCTTGGACATCACTCATTGTATTGATCATGCCATCACTTGGCTAGAATCCCACTGGCAGTCACCTCAGGTCGCCTCTCGCCTCCTTGACTGGCTCTGTCATCTCTGTCTCCAGCAGTTCCGAGTTAATGTTGCCTACGCGCTTCAATGCGATTTAGGCAATCGTTCCCGTCAACGCGCACTCAAGGGCCAACTCCCTTTTCACCTTTCTAATATTCGCGCCCTATTCAGCGCAAGAAAGTTTGCCTTGGTCTCAGGCAATAGATCCCCTAACCAGACTCCCCAGCGCCTAGCCAATTTACTCTTTGAGGATAACAACGGCCAGGACCGTCAGCGCTGGATTCACAAACCGTTTCGACTCCACTACAAGCAGATACTTCATACTCTTCATCACCTGGATCGCAGCCGTCGGCTTGAGTTCACCTTTGTCTCGCGCCACCGACAGATGCTTTTTTTGTACCACTGGCTTCTACCATACCCATCCCAAGGGTCCTTCACCCAGCGCCGCAAGACAGGCGAGCGGATGTGGTACTCGATTAAGATTCAGCCTGAGGCCGCCCAGACACCACTCCACGACGTACGGAACTCAGACTGGATATGGGCCCGGGCTACCCATCAACCTGGCCGCCCGCCTCAGTTTCCCGTATACCTCGAGTGGCCGATGTCACAGTGGGAGCTATGGATCCAATCTCACCTGGAAGATCCCAGCCAAGCCTGGCTTGAAGATAAAAATCAGTCTCCGCCACCTCCTCCATCATTCGATCAGCGACTGCGCCCCCGTCGCCCTAAGAAGCCCGCTGAAGATTCTTCTCAAGGCCCAGATGAGTCTGACGAAACGAGTTCCGAATAAACCTCTCCCCTGTCCAGCACGAGGCCAGGCTGGATTTCCTACCTGGGTTATAGGTGTTATCTCCCCCAGACAGCTCGGATTTAGGTAAGGGGAGGGCTCTCTGGAGTATCTACCCGACAGAAGGGGCCAATCGGGGGTGGACCGGTTGACTAATACTACGTTGGCCTGTGGTAGCGACCTCGGGTGGGCGGGCCGGGCCGCCTGGCCAACGTTCCATATGGACCAAGGTCCCTCCTCTTACCTACTCGTCACGTTCAGGGTGGCTTGTATTTCGTGACAAAATGTAAAGGTGTTAGAACAGGCCTCCAGCGGGGATTCATTTGTACATAAAAGAAGCAAAAAAAGCCCTCGTCGGGCCCGCGCCTCGGCGACTTGGAATGTCACCTAGTGCTCAGGAGGGGCCTTGACCACAGATAGATGGTGACAGTAGAGTGGGGAGGTAGATCGCCGGTTGACTAGATTTGGTGTGTATACGGATAGAGGAGAATGTCCGTCTCCTGGACCGGTTAACGAGATATAATATACGTGCGAATAAACAAGAACTTCGGTCTTGGGGACCGGTCAACCAAACTTGACAGGTAGATGGATCAACGAGTATATTTATCCTTGAGGCCGGTTGACCAAACTCGATAGACAAATGAATAAGAATATCTGTCCTTGGGCCCCATTTACAAGATATAATGTATACATGGATAGACACGGACATTGACCTTTTTTGGGACCGGTTGATCAAATATGACGTGCGGGAACACGCGCAAGGTACCCGCCGAGCACTAGGTGACATTTGGGTTCGCGGGGGCGCGGGCCCGACGAGGGCTTTTTTTGCTCATTTTACATACAAAAAAATCCCCGTTGGAGACCTGGTTTGACAATTTTACATTTTTTCACGAATAAAAAGGCCAACCGAACGTGACAGAACTATAAGGAGGGGTGGTTGAGGCGAGGAGCGAGCACAACCAGTCAACCGGTCTAATATGTGGGGAATGTAAAGGTCGACCCAGCGGCCCGGACCGTGCCTAGGCTGCAGTAGCTCCTCGCTAATGGACCCCTCCTTGATAAACCCACCTATCCATCCCCCCTATAGACGCCGTCAACCGGTGCCGAGCGTCCTCCGGCTCACACCCGGGCGACGCGGCATCCCTGACTTGGTACGGGTGGGGACGGGTGTTCTAGGTGGTCCGGTAGACCGCCGCGACCGGGGACGCGTCCCCCACTAACCGGCTACTGTAGAACAATGTCCACCTCTGGGTGGCCTCTCCCTCTTAAGATTTCCTGCTTGTCTAAGCTGCTTGCCTGTATCAAGACTCGTTCTTCGGTCAAGGGGGCGGCCTTATGGGGCCTCTGGTAATTCGGGGGCTCCAACCGAACACCGAAAGGCGCTTGACTTTAGGTCCCAAAGACGCAAGCCTGTGTTTGGGACCGACATGATAGGTGGTCTATTTATAGCTGGCCCATGGTCGTGGCTATTCAATAGACCACCGGGGGGATCGGCAGCTGGTAGCCGTCGGCCGTGCTCGCGTGGCCGACGTGACTCGCTTCCGACCCTCCACTCAGACGGTGGACACCGTCCACCGGTTCTGGGGAACGCTGTGGGCCTGGGGGTTGGTGGCCTCGAAGTGAAACTGCGAATCCGGATCTTTTAGGGTTAGGGTTAGGGTTAGGGTTAGGGTTAGGGTTAGGGTTAGGGTTAGGGTTAGGGTTAGGGTTAGGGTTAGGGTTAGGGTTAGGGTTAGGGTTAGG